TCAGAAAGAAAAGTAGTTTATGTAGCTCCCAATTTTGGAGGCTGAAAGTCCAAGATCAGGCAGCCTTGTCAATGTGTCCTCCAGTGAGAGTCCCCTGGATGCATCACTTCATAGAAAATAGTATTATGGCTGGAGCACATGCAAGAGGGAGAGTTCACATGGTGAGACAGGAGCCAGAGAATGGGGAGGTATAAGGCTCACACTTTTAGAACTAAATACTCTCTAGGGGACTAATTGGGACTAATCTCTTCCAAGGGCAGTGTCCCCAGTGTCTAATCACTGCCTACTGTGCCCCATCTTTTTTTTTTTCTTTGGTACCAGAGATTGAACTCAATGGAGCTTAACCACTAAGCCACATCCCCAGTCCTTTTTACTTGTTATTTTAAGACAGGGTCTCACTACGTTGCTTAGGGCCTCACTGAGTTGCTGAGGCTGGCTTTGAACTTGTGATCCTCCTGCCTCAGCCTCTGGAGACACTAGGGATTATAGGGATTATGCACCACCACGCCTGGCTTGGACCCCACTGTTTAAAGATTCCACCACCTCCTAGCATCACACACTGAGAATCAAGCTTCTAACGCATGAACCCTTGGGGGACACAGTTGAACCATGATCCAAACCATAGCAGAATTTTCTTAAAGCTCTTCTTTAATAATATTATGAGAAATTATTTTCATGTGCTGAGTCTTGGAGTTCAGGATGTTACTGGTGAATTTTGTTTATCCCCAGTGACTTGGCTTGTTTGGGACAGGTTAAAAAAACACAACTGTAACTAGTGAGCTTTCAAACTGAAATTATCTCTCCGTGGCTCGCCCTATAGATCACAGCCTCTTTCCATCCCCTTTTTTAAACTGACAAAAACCTGATAAATAAGGAATAATAGGAATAAGTTTAGACTTGATGAACTTGAGATTGAAATACAGTAACATGTCCTGTTTAGAAAGTTTGTTTTCATTCAAGGTTATGCATGTTCTAATAAATCAAATAAGAACATTTCTTATTGTAATGACAGCTAGGGTGGATCATTTAAAGAATGAGGAGTCACATGTTTTTAGCTACGAAGTGAGCAACTGTTGTCATAAACCCACTCTCTTGTGACCTAGTGACACACGGTAATTGGTAGTGCTCATTAGGGATGGCTGTATGCATTTATTGTCAGGCCTGGAGCAGCTGGCAAGGTGCCATGTCACAGGAAAAACACATGTTGGTAGGTTTGAAGACAGATCCAACACTTGCTGGCCATATGGCCTTAAGTAAATAACTTAAGTAAATAAATATGAACTGTCTTTTCACATCTCTTGCCCTTTTTTAAAATTTTGGTACTGGGGACTTAACCCATGGGTACTTTACCACTGAACTATATCCCCAGCCATTTTTATTATTTTTAAGTTTTTATTATTAACATTTTTTAGTTGTTGATAGAACTTTATTTATTTATATGTGGTGCTGAGAATTGAACCCTGTGCTTCACACATGTTAGGCAAGCACTCTACACTGAGCTACAATCCCATCCTGCCCTTTTTATTTTTGATACGGGTTTCACTAAGTTGCTTAGGGCCTCACTAAGTTTTTTACTTAATAATTTTGTTTTATTTATTTATTTTATTTTTATATGGTGCTGAGGATGGAACCCAGGGCCTTGCCCATGAGAGTGCTCTACCACTGAGCCACAAGCCCAGCCCCCTCACTAAGTTTTAGAGGCTGGCCTTGAACTTGAAATCCTCCTACCTCCACCTTCAAGTCTCTGGGTGTGTACCACTGTGCCTGGCTCTCTTGCCCATTTTTCTACATAGTCTTAGGTTTTTTCTTATCCATAAAAAACAAAACCACCCAAAAAACTCTCTAATCCTTTGTGACAGATTTTCCAGGTCATCTGCTCATTTTTTCCAGGTTTATCATATGTCATAAACTCTGCCCTAGTATTTTTTGTCAAAATATATAGGGAGCCAAGTTGATCAAATCTTTTTCTTTAATGTGTCTACAGTTTGAGTCAAAGGTTACAGAGGAATTTACCTGTTCTCTTCTGATGTTTAGATAGATTTGTTCCCAGAATGCTAGGCCAGAGGCCTGACTCTGGGGATCCAAAACAATCAGGTCCAGCTACTCAACCCCAAAAACAAACAGAAAAATTAATGGTGAAAAGCATGAAAGGAATTTTAATCAGTGTAGCTAGAGAGACAAGGGGGCCCACGTTCTTAGTCCTCTCTTTGAGGGACTGACAATAACTTCAAGGTGTTATTGAAAGGGGAATAAGGGCCAGGGTTGGGGGTTTTCACAGCCGATAAACCAGGTAAGTTTGATCAGATATGGTATGTCCACTATTATCTCAGGATTAGTGACTGGGGCCTTGTCTGAGATAGAAAGCTGCTGTTATCTGAAAGGGAGGGAGTAGCTTCAAGTCAAGATAGTAATTGATCAGACTTTGTTCCTGGTAACCCAGATGACACAAAGCAGAGGAGACAGATGCAAAATGGAGGCAGAGATGCCAAGTATTTAACCCTGGTTTTAGTCACGCATTGGACATTTTTCAGGCAAAAGTGAAGAGTCAAATTCCTTGTTACAGTTCCAAATTTTTTTTAACCCTATGGTGGTCAGCCTCCAAGATGACTTCCAGCTCCATGTATTTTTTTCTCCCTCTCACATTGACTAGAGCTGGCCAATGTAACAACAGAACACCGGGGAAATGACGTGCAATTTTTGAGGGTAAGTCATAAAAGGCATCATGCATGGTTTCTTCCTCTCTCGTGGATCACTCTCTCTGAGGAAAGTAAACTACCAAGTCCTGAAGTCATTCAAGTAGCCCCTATGGAAAGACCCTTGCCAATATCCATGTGAACAAGCTATTGAGGAATTAAAACCACCAGCCCCAGTCAAACCCCAGCTGGCGTGTTTACCATGGGAGATACTGAATCACAACCACTAGCCAGGATGCTCTCAAATTCCAAATCTACAAAAATAGTGAGATAATAAATATTGTTTTCAGCCACCAAGTTTCGGAGTAATTTGTTAGCAGCAATAGGTAAGCAATATATCCAAAATTTGTTCTTAAGCAGAGCACACTTGAATGTGCTCTTATCTATCTCTTTTGATGGTCAGGGACTGCTCCTTGCCTTTGTTCTGATTCTTGGGTACAGTTCAAATAACTGAGTTTTTGTGGTGTCTGGTTCCATAAACCCATATTGCATCTTCAGAGTCTTCTGAGACAAGGCAGCATCTGGGTTTTGGAGACAGTTCTGTCTTTGTTAAGATTTCATTTCTGTCGTTTTGCTCTATACTCCAGGGCTTGATCATTTCACTCAGGAGTGATCATACTCTGGGAAAACCAGCTGATATATAAAAAAAAAATATTCACACCCACAAAACCATGGTGCTGGTTTGTAGTGAATAGTGTGTCCTTTCCTGATACTTAATCCCCACCATAGATAGTTAGCCATCTTTAAAATGGTGTTAACTTTTAAATTTATAGGGATTATAAATTATATAGCATTATATAGTTGATACTTACAAAGTTCTGAGTGCCTCACACATAGTAAGGGCTTAGAAAATATTATTACTCCTAGGATTATCATTACTCATAGAATTGAAGAATGTGACTTCAGTCTCCCAAGCTTAATTCCTTCCTTTGCTCTGCATATTTAACCAGTTATCACATTGTATCTAGTCTTTGTTATGCTTTGGATATGGAAATTTCCCCGAAAGCTCATATGTTGAAGATTTGGTTCCCAATGCAGCAATGTCAAAAGGTGGGACTTTGAGGAAATGATTGGATTATAAGGGTTCTGACCTCATCAGTGGGCTAATACTGGATGAATTAATAATTGAATGGACCTCGGGAGGTGTTGAAAAGTGTAGGCAGGTGGGGCATGGTTGGAGGAAGCAGATCACTGAGGACTATATCTTGTCCCTGGCCCCTCCCACCACCCCCATTCCTGAATGCCAGGAGCTAAGTTTTCCTCTCCCATGCCCTTCCACCATGATGTTTTGGCTTATCACAAGCTTAGAGCAATGGAGCCAGTCAGCCATGGACTGAAACCTCTGAAACTGAGCTAGAATAAGCCCCTCTTTCCTCCAGTTGCTCATGTTTTGGTCACAGCAATGAAAAGTTGACTAACACACAGACTCAAGGTGGATAGAAGTTGGCAGATCCTCTCAGTATGGCATGTGTTCTCCTTTGGCCTCTACATGTGCTTTTTTCAGCATGTGACCTCCTTTTGTTTCTGGGGATATAGTCAGTATTCAGGCATGTGCATTAGAAATCATCCTGACAAAAATCAACCTAAATACTGCAGTGCCATCTGTGGATTCTCCTCAGGAAAAAAAAAATCCCATATTACAATGAAAGTTTGTAAATGAAGCTCCATGGTATAGTCTAACTCTCACAAAACCTAAACAATGTGTGATCAATTTTAATAGCAATTGTGGGAGATGTTATTGTTGACTGACAAGGATTTGTGAAAAGAGAAGACTCAGATTTAAACCAACTCTCTCCAAAAGATAGAGAAAAGAAGAGAAAACCAATCAAATCAAATGACCTAAGTTGCCTAAGGAGATTTTCAGATGCCCTAACACTAAAAAGAATCCAGGAAGATAAAACAAGTATTCAGGAAGGACCTTTCCCATTCAGGCTGCACAGAAATGTACAATTTGGCATCTGGTTCATCAGTTCATTTTTCATTAGCGTGGTTCTTCTGAGTTTGTAAAGCTCTCTTCCTTCCCCAAAGGTAACACTCACGGTTCCACCTTAGTTTAAGGGAGAAAGTGCTATAGGTCTCAGATTTTAGTGGGACAGGTACGTGTCATCAGGCCTGGGTTTCTATCCCATTTTTACTACCGTAGGTTATGTACACCCTTAAGCCTTCTTGCACTTAAGCGTCCCGAACGGGGTTCATGCAGCCCTCCTTTCAGCTGTGAATAACTTCGCTCGTTGGCGGCTAACAGACCTGGTCCCGCGAGAGTGGCTGTCTCTGCCCGAAGGCATTCGAGGCGGCGCCGAGTCGCGCTGGGTTACGCCCCTCCCATAGGCCGGCGCCGAGCGGGTAAAGGCTGCACAACCAAATTCACCGAGAATCCGGTATTCCTCCTAAAAACCGTAAGGTCGCCGGGGTTGATGCAAGGCTCCAAACCTGTCCAGGAGCTCCCGCCCGCGCCAGGACCCGAGTTGCAAACCCGCGCGCCGCCGCCCATCATGAGCGGCCCCTTGCGGCAGGGCTCTAGCGTCTGGCGGCGGGCGGCCACCGTAGTGCTGGCTGCCGGCTGGACGCGCCCGGGTGCCGCCGCCCGGTCACTGCCCCCGCCGCCTTCCGAAGGCTTCCGGCTGCTGCTGCTGCAGCGCTCCCCGAACCAAGGCTTTATGCCCGGTGCGCACGTCTTCCCGGGCGGCGTGCTGGACGCGGCAGATCGCTCTGCGGACTGGCTGCACCTCTTCACCGAGCACCAAGGGCAGCCGCGCTTCGGCTTGGGCCCAGCGCCGCCCCGGAGAGCCTCTTTCCCCGTGCTGCCCGACGCCGCCGACGGACACGCCGGGGCACTGCCAGATGACGTCGCCATGCGCATCTGCGCCATCCGCGAGACCTTCGAGGAGGCGGGGGTGCTGCTGCTGCGGCCCAGGGGCTCCCTGCAGGGCTCCGAGCCCCCAGGTCCGGCTTGGGAGCCCGGCCTTGCCCTGGCCCCGCCGCAGGGCCTGGATGCCTGGCGCGCGCGTGTCCGCCGCGACCCGCGCCACTTCCTGCGCCTGTGCGAGCACCTGGACTGCACTCCCGACATCTGGGCGCTGCACGACTGGAGCGCCTGGCTCACGCCGTTCGTGCGCGGTGGCAGTCGGCGCTTCGACACGGCATTCTTCCTGTGCTGCCTGCGCGAGCCGCCGCCGGTCTATCCCGACCTGTCGGAGGTGGTGGGCTGCCAGGTAGGGCATCCACAGGGACCGGGTGGTAAAGCAGCCCTGGGTTCAATCCCAATAAACGAAGTACCGATAAATGAACAAGCAAATAATTACAGGAGGATGTGTGTAGGTTATATGCAAACACTGCACCATTTTATACAAAGGACTTGAGCATCTTCAGATTTTGGAATCTGAGGGTGAAGAGTCCTGGAATCAAGCCCCCACAGGTACCAAGGGACAACTGAACTTCTATTTCTCCCCTCCTTTCCTTTGTGCAGTTTTCATACTTTTATTTCTATTAACTGCACAGTTATTTTTGCTTTAGACAGTAGACAAGTCTTTTTTCTCTCTCTCTCTCAGTACTAGGGATTGAACCAGAAGCCTTGTGCAAGCACTCTACCACTGAACTATATTCTCAGACCTTTGTTAAAATATTGAGACAAGTTCTTACTAAGTTTCCCAGGCTAGCCTTGAGCTTTCAATCTTCCTGTTACAGCCTCCTAAGTTTCTGGGATTACAGGTGTGTGCCACCTTGACAGTTTTAGTCAATCTTTTAAAGACTGGAAATAAGGGGAAAAATGTCTTTTTGGGTTTACCTGCATATTTACCATGTATATTGCTCTTCATTTCTTTATGTTGGTCAAAAGCTACACCTGGCCATCTATTTGTCCAAAGAACTTCCTATAAATCCCAGTGACTCAAGAGGCTGAGGCAGGAGGATTGTGAGTTCAAAGTCAGCCTTAGCTATTTAGCGAGACCCTAAGCAAATCAGCAAAACCCTGTCTTTATTAAAATATAAAAAAGGGATCTGGATGTGGTTCAGTGGTTAAGTGCCCCTTGGTTCAATACCTGGTACCAAACAACAACAACAAAAATAACTTCCTATAAAGGATTTTCTATAATATGTCTTAATGTCCAGCTCTTCTAACAATCCTCTAAATTTTGGGGTCAGAAAAATTCTTTATATTTTACTCTTACTTTTGATGCACATTTTGTAGGTGGACCGTTTTTTGATTTTGTTTTTCCCTTTCAGTACTTAGAGATGTTTCTTAATTATATTCTGGCTGACATACATTTTTATGAGAAGTCTGCTGTTACTATTAATCATTCGCCCCCTACATTTAGTGTGTTTTTGGTGTGTGTGGCTACTTTGAATACTTTCTCTTGGTAATTGGTTTTCAGCAATTTTATTCTGATGTGCATTGCTTTCCCTCTCACTCCTTTTCTTTCTATCTTCCTCTTCTCCTTTCCTTCTCTTCTGTTTCCTTTCCATGTTGAACATTGGACAGAGAGCCTTACCACTGCTAGGCAAGCTCTCTCTACCATTGAAGAACCTGCCCCTCTAGTCCCTATCTTTTCTTACTTGTTCATTTCTTCAAATATTTCACATCTCGCCCTATTTTGTGACTTAAATTACACATTTTTTTTTTTTTGTAATGGGTAATTGCATGGGCTCTCTCTTGTCCAGCAAGGGGGTCAATGGAACAGGAGTCGCTAATCAAGACCTCTTGAGACAAGCAGGAAACAGATATGAGTTTATTGTGCAGTATGTATATATATTCAGGCAGTAGCTAAGCAGTTTACAGGCAGCCACCAATGCAATTTCTGCTAGCTGTCTTTGCAGCGGTCAAACGAGGAGTGGGCTGTGGAGCAAGTATAGGGACTCCAACACATGGCCTCACGCCAAGAGCTGTGCCTAAGGGGTAAGTGGCCTGCTATTTAGGCACCTAGCATGAGAGGAGTGACCTGCCACTCAGACGCCCTTAACTTATACCATGTATGCAGTACTCCATGCACTTGTCCCCACAGGTAATAAGGAATGAAACCAGGAGCACTTAGCCACTGAGCCACATCCCCAGCCCTTTTTTGTATTTTATTTGGGTCTCACTGAGTTACTTAGGGCCTTGCTAAGTTGCTGAGGCTGGCTTTGAACTTGTGATCCTCCTACCTCAGCCTCCCCAGCCCCTTGGATTACAGACATGCACCACCATGCCTGGCTCAGTTACATATCTGAGGCTACTTGATAATGTTCCATTGGTTATTGATGCCTCATTTGCTTTTTTCAATCTTTTTTCCTCTGTATTTAATTTTAATACATTCTATTGCTATGTTTTCAAATTTACTCTCTTGTGAAGTATTTAATCTGCTATAAATACAACCCAAGTGGATTTTTCATTTTAGATATTATTCACCTATAGAAGCTCCATTTAATTATTTAAAAATATTTTCTATTTCTCTCATCATGTGGATATTTTAATTTACAGCTTTGAACCAGTGAAACATACTTATAATTGGGGGCGGGGTAATGATCTTTCCTGGCTGGATGCAGTGGCTCAGACCAATAATACTTCAGTGATTCAGGGGCTGAGACAAGAGGATTGCAAGTTCAAGACCAGCCTAAGCAACTTAGTGAGCTCTTGTCTCAAAAAATAAAAAGGATCAGGGATATAGCTTAGTGGTAAAGCATCCCTGGATTCAATCTGAAGTACAGACAAAAAATAAACTTCTCTCCAACTCCATGTTATTTGTAATTTCTTGGTCTTTTATATTGACTGATTTTCTTCTAGTTATGGATCACATTTCCTACTTTTGTCATGTCTTATAATTTTTTATTAGATGTTGGAAATTTTCGTTTTATGTTGTTAAGTGCTCGATTTTGCCATATTTCTTTAAATGGTGTTGGCAACATTTACTACAACTTAATACTTTTGAGATTTATTTTAAATGATTTTTGAGTGTATCTACAGTATCCTTTAATTTAGAGCCAATTTAGCCGCACTTCCATTGTGTGACTGGTAGGGAGTTTATTTGAATGCTCCTTATATTGAATCGTTGGAGGGAATTTGAAAAATTCTTGGCCCTAAATGAGCTCTGGGAATTTAGTCTTAAGCTTTTAGGTAATTGTTGTTCTTCTTCCCCCTCCTCCCCCCCTCCTCCCCCCTTTTAATGTTTTAGTTGTGGGTGACACTACCTTTATTTTGTTTTTATGTAGTGCTGAGGGTCAAACCCATTGCCTCATGCATGCCAGGCCACAGTCACAGCCCCACTGAGCCACAGTCACAGCCCCAGTCGTTCCTTCTTTTGATATCATCTTTTCCAATACCATATCGTTTCACCTTCTGCATGGCCAGATGTGTGTTTAGCAAAGATTCAAGGGTGCTCTGTACAGATTTTCTATTCTGTGTAGCTCCTTCCTCTTAGGTCCACTGTGTCCAAATGCTAGCCTGTGTGAGCTTCCCAAATTCTGATTTCTGTCTTCTCAAGTCTTCAAGAATCCTAGACTCTGATTAGGTTCTCTCTCCTTGTCCTATATTTTTAGGCAGAAACTCCAGACAATGGTAGGGTTCACCTCATTCATTTTTCTTTTCTGAGAAATTATAGTACTGCTTTTTTTCAGTGTCTGGAAATAGTTGTTTCATAGATTTTATCCTGTGCTCTACTATTCAATTGGCCAAAGGAGTATAATTCAAACTCTCACGTGTGGAAAAGGAAGTTCCAATAAACAGTTTTTTTTTGAGATGGACCTCACTATCTTGCCCAGGCTGGTCTTGAATTTGTGGAGTCAATGATTCTCCCACCTCAGTTTCCTCAGTGCAGGTGCTTTAAATGTACACCACCATACCCGGCTAGTAATTCTTAAGTTAGCTTAGATGAGTGGTTCTTAAATGGGGGTGATTTGCCCACCCCATCCAGGGGTACACTTGGCAATGTCTGGAGCCTTTTTTTTTTTGGTAGTCACAATTAGGGGGTTGTTACTGCCATCTAGTGGGTAGAGCCCAAGGATGCTGCTGGTATCCCTGTTTCAGTGAGTACACAGCAGCCCTCAACAAAGACTTTTGGCCTGGTGTCAGTTGTGTTGAGGTTCAAAAATCTAGTAGAAACAGTGGAATTTGGAGTCAGATACCCCAAGAGTTTGAAACCAAGATTTTTCTAGTTAGAGGAGCTACCTAAATGTTCTCATCTGTAAAATGGGACTTTGCAGCATTATCCTAAGGACTAGAAATATTTTATATAAAGCATTTTGAGCAGAGCTTTACTGGTAACAAGTAAGCAATAAATGATAACTTATCATAACCGATGGTCTAGAATAATCTGAAGAGGTTGGATTAAGTGGAAGATGACTATCATCTTGCCTGTTGTCAACTCACAGGACAGAGAAATCAGAATGCCCTGGAAATAACTTAACAATTGGGTAACTTGGAGACCCAGAGCTTTGATTTTCAAATTGCAGCCTTGGCCAACTTCAGAATGATCCCTCTACCAGGGCCCTCTATCAGAGCCAAAGGGATGTAAAGATTTATCAGGCCTCTTGGGATAATTGAGCACATATAGGTTCACAAACCTTTGATCCATAGTCACCTAAGGCAGAGGTCAGTTTTAACTCTGAGTTTGGGGTGGAGGGGCCGTTAGAAAAACTCAGTCCTGGTGTATGAGAACTGGCCACCAAAGAGGAAGGTGCCTAAAGACCAAAGAAAGGCAGACAGATCCGGCATTGCACAAAGTTGGAATTTATTAGGAGCTTCCACATGTCTTGGGCTGCAGCAGGACAAGAGGACTCCCTGCATTCCAGGGCAGGAGGAAGGAGTTTATATGCTAAACTAGAAGAGGGTGGGCTGTGGCCCAAGTGGAATGGACTGGGCTTTCTCAAAAACTATTACTGTGTCATATGTCAGTTAAGCAACAGGTGCAGTGATACATGCTTGTAATCTCAACTGCTTGGGCTGCTGAGGCAGGAGGATCACAGATTACCCAGGCCTGCCTGGGCAATTTATCAAGCCCTGATCTCAAAATAAAAAAAGGGCTGGGATGTGGCTCAGTGGTAAAGCACTCCTGTGTTTAATCCCTAGTACCATAGAAAGAGAAAAAAAAAAAGGAGGGGGGAGAGGGAAAAGGAGAGAGGAAGGGAGGGAGAGAAGGAAGGGAGGGAGAGAGGGATGGTGGGTGGGTTTGATTATCAGTGGCTAGGGCCTTTGGGAGTTTTTCTGTACTCCTGAGTCACTCTTTTTATCTCAGGGTCTGTGAAGGAAAGCTGTGGCAGGAGAGCAGCTTGCACCACTTGAATTTAATGGGCAGACCCTGTCTGGCTGAAACCCTACAGTTATTAGTCTCTGGACTGTAGGCTGAGGCTGCTTCTTGACCTTCCTGAAAGCTCCTATTGTTCCTGATTCTTCACCACCATTGTAGTGTGTGTCATACATCATGATGTATTTTGGTGGTTAAAAGCCCTATAGTGTCTCTTTTAGAGTTTTGTCCATCATTTCCTCAGGCCAAGCCAAGGTACCTGTTTATGGGAGGAATGAAGGCATCAATTCTCAGTTCACTGTCAGAAGTTTACCCTTCAGTCTTCCTTTGGGAATGAACAGAACCACTATAACCCTTCCACATCTTCTTCCTTTTATGCTGAACAACTCCCAACTCAATCCTTAGTGATCCGTCCTGGTTCACTGACCTTGGCTGGGGTCAGTGCTCAGTAATCAACCTCTTAAGAGGATCAGCACAGCTTTCTTCTCTGGATCTTTTTTTTTTTTTTTTAAATAGAGCAGGTCTTGCTATGTTGCTCAGGCTGGTCTTAAACCCCTCTAATCAAGCCATCCTCCTGCCTCAGTCTCTCAATTAGCTGGGACTACTGTTTGTGCCACTGCAACACCCTCCCCCAATGTTTCTTTTTGTCTCAGAGGGATCTAGCAAGGCACTTGAATGATATAAGATATAAAATTTTAAGTAGATCCTATGCATTAACCTAGCAGTCTATTTGATAGAAGCCCTACCTTTATCTTCCACAGTGGTCATCTCCATCAGAGGCAACTAAAAGTTTCATATCAAAAGAAATTTGGCTGGCGCCCCCACAGTTCTACGAAGTAAGACGACTTAAAAACTTTGCCTCTCTGTCTGACCTGCACAAATTTTGTTTGGATCGTGCCTTAGAAGAGGCTGAACGGTGGCTGCCAATTACATATTTAACTGCTGATGGAATGCTCCAGCTTTTACCTGGTAAGTCAGTGAAGCAGCAACACATTTTGTCAGTATGCACAGTCACTGGGCTGTCTGGCAGTATTACCCAGCACAGAGATATGAATTACAGTTAAGTTGTGTAGCCTACAAGGTATTAATTAAATAGAGCCAAAGTCTGTAAAACATCAATGTTATTTATATAACCAGAAATTCTGAATGACATCACATACACATTTATATAGGTATATTTTTGGGGGGTTACTGGGGATTGAACTCAGGGGCACTCAACTCAGCTCTATTTTGTATTTTATTTAGAAACAGAGTCTCACTGAATTGCTTTGCACCTTGCTTTTGCTGAAGCTGGCTTTGAACTTGAGATCCTTCTGCTTTAGCCTCCTGAGCGATTGGGATTACAGCATGGGCCACTGTGCCCAGCTTATAAGTACATTTTGTAGACATTGACAGATTTCTTTCTCATGCATTATCTCACTTTGTACAGTTTATTTTTTTAAAATTTTTTTAGTTGTAGATGGACACAATACCTTTATTTTATTTTTATGTGGTGCTGAGGATTGAACCCAGTGCCTCACACATGCCAGATAAGTGCTCTACCACTGAGCCACAACCTGAACCATAATTTTGAATTATGAGAACTTGTAAGCTGCCAACTAGAGTTATGGTCTTTTAACCATACAGTATGCCATGAGTATAAAATTGAGGTAGGATATTTGTTGATGGTCGATTGTAGTTTGGCGAACTCAGTTTTGTGGCAGGGATTTTGTGACCTATCATACTTTATATCTGCCTGCTCAGCTCCTGAGAATAGTGATAAGATTTGTTACTCAACCTATAGTTTGGCAGTTTTGATGTAAATAACAACTTCTTTAAATTAACCTTATCAGAACAGCCCATATAGAAATATCAAAAGTATGACTGTCAAGATCAATATCAATGTCAGTATTTAATACACTAAAGAGAGTCATGAACTAATATAAAATTTACAGTTCACAATGAAGAACATTTCAGTCAGAAATTTTTATGTACTCAAAGAAAATTCTTGGGTAGAGGATAAGGGGAGGGTGAAAATATTAAAAATATGAGAAAAAATTAATATAAACTTGTAAAACTAGGGTTATTTAACAACTCAGTTCCAAATGCATGAAATAGATAAAAATAAATACCAATTTATATGTCATTAATATATTTGAATGATTTATAAAATGATACTTTATAGATTTAAGTTTTTATTATTTTTCAGGAGATGAGCTGTACCTAGAAGATTCAGACTATGTAGAAAAGTCTTTGTCTACTGAAAAAACAACTAAAGAAATCATGAAGGAAGGCAAGAAATTTCACCGAATAGTGATACACAATCGCCATCTTTATGAGGTCCATGTGACTGTTCAGTCAAAGTGTAAACATGTTTATCCTAAGAACTACATAATAAGTAAGAGCCATTTGTAGGGAGCTACTTCTTTCTAACTAAACTATTTCAGTTGTGGGAATGATTAAGAGGGTTGACTAAACTTGTTTGAAAATTATATAACTTGGTGCCTGTGCAAGCTATCATGGAGTGTTTCTTCTTTTAAGTGTGTTGTGGAGCTCTCTTGCTTATTTTATTCTTTTAATCATTCAGTATGCAGTGAGTATAAAAATTGATGTTACCAAAATGAGAAAAAAAAAGTCACAAGGGGGCCTACTTCTATATTGTTTTATTAGCCTAAAAGTTTAAATAAGATGTTCTATTGCCATTGTTTCAATTGTCCCACATATTAGCATTTTTCCTGATGTGCTTTGGAAGTTGAACCATGAATTTCTTAGACTTTCTGCTGAAATTAATTTAAGAGTGCCTGACTGGATGGCAAACACTAGACAGAGACACCCTTCAAGTGATAATGCCATTGTTTTCTTGCTATTGTCTTTAGCTTGATTACTAAGATCCAATTCTGTTTAAAACCAAGTGGCATTAGTAAATATATTATGTTTTCCAAATTGGAAATCTATTTTAGTTAATATTTTAAAGAAATATGAAGCCATACAAACCTATCAACTTTTATGTTATTAAGTGCTGGTTAATAAATACAAAGAGTTCAGAGAGAATGTTAAATTAGGTTTATTTTCAGTATGATTAATATGGATAGTGTTTTCACCTCCTTTAAAGAGGTATAATTTTTTTTGCTGATTAAAGGTGGGAATTAATAGTTAAAAACACCAATTCTTTTTCATTATATTTGACTATATTATGCATAACACAATGGATTTCTTATTTCATGAAATTTCTTAGTTTTTCTAACAACCAAATAAAGGCAATCATAAAACTTATGTGTATTATTTAATCCTGATTAGAGGAATATATCTAGAGCAGTGGTTCTCTACCTGGGCACTTTCGCCCTTGGGTCAATTGGCTATTCTAGACATTTCTGTTTGTCACAACTGAGGAGGGGATACTACCACCATCTAGTGGAGAGAGACCAGGGATGCAGTTAAATAACCTGCCTGAGACAAAGAGTTGTCTGGCCAAGGCTGAGAAACACTGATTTAAAGTCAATTTTACTTGTTTCAGTAAATGGTCCTGATAGGTGAAGTATGAGAACCACAGACATAGTTGTCATTCCTTCTGGCTTCTGAGTCTACTATAACTCTCCTTAATGACTTTTAGCCTTGGGCTTAGTCTTTCATTCTCAGAGAATACTAGAATGTTACAGGGAAGGGACCAAAGGAACCTGTTTACGCCATGATTTTTTTCAAGTGAGAAAACAGATACAGATTCATGCAACTATTTAGTGCCATAAGCAGGGGAAGAACTTTACCCCTAACCCTGCTACACTTTTCACTGGAGTTACTATGACTGAGTGGTTTTAGATGTCATGAAAAAAATTATGTGACTTTTTTTTATATAGAAAAGATAGTTTAACTCAATATTGTTAATCTGAATGAAACTTGTCCCCCAGGAATTCTTTCTGGGCAGGCATAGTGGCACAATCATGTAATCCCAGTGACTTGGGAAGCTGAGGCAGAAGAAATCACAAGTCAGTCTGGACAGATTGGTGAAATCGTGTCCCAAAATAAAGTATAAAGGGCTGGAGGTGTAGCTTAATGGCAAAGCACTCACATAGCATGTGTAAGACCCTGGGTTCAATCTCTAGTACGTTGGGGGGTGGGGAGACACAAAAATATTTCCTTTCCTTCAACTGATCACATGACTTCCTATCTACAGTGACACACTGCCCCAGCAGCCCCAAATAAAGCCGCTGAAAAGTTGTTTTAGAGTCTAGCTTGTGTTTGTGGCATTCATCATATGGACTCTTACTGGATGGCTACCAGGGCCTCAGGTACAGAAGCAGAGAGATGAAGACTTATCCCTACTCCTCCTCTTTCATTCTATCACTACTCCATGCTAAACTGTCCAGGAAAACACAGCCAGAAAAACTTGTCTTCTATGATATCACACATCTCTTGAAACTACACTTATAAACTAAAGAATAAATGCCTAGTTGGCATGTGTTTTCATTTCATGTTGTGAAAAAAATTTGCAAAACAACATACTATAGCATGGGATCTAGTCAAAAGAAAAAAAGGCAGTCATATGCTACCAAGTGGGTATAAACCTGGATCCAGGGCTTAGGGATTGGAACTGTCACTGGGACTGACCAGAATCAAATCCTATTGCCCCCACTTTTTTTTTCATACTGGGGATTTAAAACAAGGGGTGGGGGTGAGAGGGTGAGGTAGGGTTCTACCACTGAGCTATATTCCCAGCAATTTGGAGACAGGGTCTCCTTAAATTGCTGAGATTGGACTTGAACTTGTGATCCTCTTGCCTCAGCCTCCCCTGTAGCTGAGATTACATCTGTAGGCCATTGCAGCCAGCTTCCCATCTCTTTTGATAAGGTTTAGTGCTTTCAGGTGAAGCTGTTTTTCTCCTGGCAGTCACACCTATCCTTTCCGACCACCCTTCTGAGATTTTAAGCATATATTTTGTGGCACCTTGTGAAATTAAGTTTTAAAACTGGAAGCTTATGTGATCACTCTGTTCTTAAATACATGGCCACACAATTTCCACAATCCCTGTCTCAACTGGAGGCCACGTTGTTGGTTCTCTTTGCAAATGAGCTCATTTTAGTGTAAACTTAAGAAATTTTGTTTTCTCATAATTTAAATAAAGAATTCAGCTACAACAGGGAACAGTGGCATACTTCTTCCATCCCAGCTACTCAGAAGGCTGTGGCATAAAGTTGAGGTCAAGGCCAGCCTGGGCAACCTGGCGTGAACCCATCTCAAAAATGTAGCTCAGTGGTAAAGCACTTCCCTAGCGCACGCCAGGCCCTGAAAAAAAGGGGGAGAAGAGGTGGGCGGGAGAAAATAAAAGAAAAAAGGATTGAGCTGGAAAATCGTCTAGACCAGCACCTTTCTTCAGCTGGGTTCCACTGGAAGGCCAGGTGGCTGCAAAGACCGGGCGCAGTCTTTCCGGAAGGTGCAGGGCAGGTGGGAATGTTGTCAGGGACGCCCCCGGACCCCGGGATCCTGGGGGACCAGGAGTCCTCCTCACCACCAAGGCTGCGAGCGAGAGTCGGGTATCTTTTAAGGACGGACCCCCGGGGTGGTGAAGCGGAGGACGCTGGTCTAGACAGGGCGGGAGGGCCCGGGCCTCCCTGAACGCAGCGACCTCCAAGTGGCTGGGCCCGCAGGCTCCTCGGGACAGGTAAGATGGAAGGCAGGCGAGGCCCTGGCTTTCGGAAGCCGCGCAGTCGGGGACGTACTCCGTCTGCCCGCCCCGCCGCTCCGCCGCGCTGCGCGCAGGCCGGCCGTTTGGCGCCTCACGTGGTCTCTGCGCACCTCGAGGCTTGCGTGGGGGCCGACGCCGGCCGTTGCGCACGTGGGCTGGTGTCGGCGGCGCCGTGGGTGTGCGGGAGGCCAGAGGCGAGGCGCGCAAGAAGCTTCCAGCGTGTGTTTCGCAACCGCGGCGGCGTCGAGTTGGAGGACCTAGCGCGTCGACTCTGGGACGTGGCGGCCAGTGGCCCGGAGGTCCGCGTGGGCGAGTGGTGGAGAGGAGGCTGGAACCTGGGTCCAGAGGCGGGCGCGCCCCGACGTAGGGCGGAGGCGCCAAACTCTGCGGGTAGGGCGGGGAGCACGGCATAGCGCGGGCTGGACAGTGTCAGTCGTCTGGGAGGAGCGGGCCTGCAGGCCAGAGGAGGCGCGGGCAGGATGCTCGAAGTCCTGGTGCTGAAGGTGAGCGCGTGGCCTCCGCTGACCCCACCCCACCGTCCTGTCTTCAGTAAATCGTGCTGGAAAACTGAATATCCGTGTGCAAGGGAGTGAATCTTGACCTTTACCTAACACCATATAAAAAAATGTTGTGTACCCAGTACTGGGAATTGAACCCAGGGCCCTTGCATGCTAGGCAAGTGCTCTATCACTGTGCTCTACGTCCAGACCTTTTTGTTTTATTTTGAGGCAAGTCTCATTCAGTTTCCCAGGTCGGCCTTGAATTTGCAAATCTTTCAGCCCCAGCATCCCAAGTAGCTGGGATTACAGGTGTATGTTGCTGTGCCCAACAGAATTTCCTTCCTAATTTAAGGCTGAATAATATTCCATTGTGTGTATTTACCACATTTTGCTTATCCATTCATCTGCTCATGGACATTGGGTTGTTTTCACGATTTAATTATTGTGAACACTGATGCTATGACCAGGATGTACACATATCTCTTCCTATATTCTTTTTTTAGTTTTTTGGAGTCTTTGCTGAATCATATGCTAATTCTACTTGTAATTATTTTAAAATGACTGTTTTCCACAGTGGCTATACTATTTCACATTCTTAACAACAATATACAAGGGTTCCACTTTTTCTGTATCCTTATCAATAACCTGCTATTTTATAGTTTTGTTTTGTTTTTTTTTAATAGTAGCTATCCTAATGAGTGTCAGGTAGTAGCTCATTGTGATTTGGAGATGGAATCCGAGTCCTTCCTGGTGATTACATTTCTCAGGAATAGCTTTCAGGTTCTTTGAGAAAGACACATGAGTTGTAGTTACATATTTATAATTTTAAGCCCTTTTAGTAAGTGCTCTAAGAAAGGGAGGTGGGGGCTGGGCCAGGTACAGTGAATTATCCTGGCAGCATTGAATTTTTTTAAAAAAATTTTATTTTAGTTGTTGATAGACCTTTATTTTATTTATTTATATGCTGTGCTGAGAATCAAACTGAGTGCCTCACACGTGCCAAGCAAGTGCCCTACCACTGAGCCCCAGCCCCTGAATTTTCTTATGCAGGCATTTTGGTGGGAACCTTCCTCATCCTAGGGATGTGGCCACCTGCTGCTAGAAGCCATGCTAGAGTTTGGATGTCCCTAAATGAAAAAGATTTGGCAGAGTTGTTACATGCCCAGGGTTCTATGTTTTTGTTGAATATCAACTAAAACTTTTTCTTTCAGTCTTCCAGCTGTTGGTCTTCTCTGGACTCCTTGGAGTCTCACCTAAGCTGTTGAGGATATGCCAAAGATGTGAGGGGCTTTATATGCAGACTTTAGAGCTCCCTCTCTTTGGCCCTCCTTTTCTTGTTTCTCCCCTTAGTTTTCAGCTGCTCTGGCAGCTCCAAAACTCTTTTCTCTGATTCCCCAAACAACATACATTGTGCCTTTCTGCTTGAGGTGTAAGAGTCTTCATACCACGTGGCTGAGGGTTGGGCGCTGGAGGGGCGGGGTGGGGGGGACCTGGGAAAAGCTGTTTAACACAGTGAGGTTTCCTTCTTTCAGGAACCAAATCTCTTCCAGGCTTTGGCTGCTTTTGGCAGCTCTTCAGTGCCTTCAAATTGTTTTGTTTTTTTCCAGGGCTTATAATTGTTACCTGCAGATGTCATAAGGATTGTTCTGCCATTACTTGAATCAGAATGACCACTGTTCTTTTTGCCAATTTTTTATTATAAAACTGTTCAAATATTTGGAAAAAGTAGAAATAATACTACTGCAAACATCTGTGTTCCTGCTCGTTAGTTTTTAGGATCCCCAAATCTTGGGACATCATTGCTTCTAGGTCCTTTCACTAGGCAGAGCTGGGAAATACATTTGAAAAGTCATGAATTCTTCTATTTTCAACTCAAATTTAACTTTTTAATATTTTCATCTTATGTCTAATAATGAGAATCTTGGTTTCTCATAATAATAACATGTAACCAGATATATTCCAACAGGTTTGACATTAATTTCATTCTTCCTTCCACCATAGGTAATAGTTATATGTATTTTGGTTTATTTATCATCTTTTATTTTTTAATATTAGTATAATATACATATATTCTTATTTATTTCTTCTTCTTTAGAAAAACAATGTTAAAAATATTGGCCTGACCCTTGCTTGTATATATTATTAAATGTTTTCAAAATATGGAGATAAAGGGCATTTCTGCTTTTCATAGCACATAATTGAGAATTAATTACATATTGTTGCTTACACACTTTGGTATTTACATTTGGTCTGACTATTTAAGACAAAAGTACTTGTTAAGAATTTGTTAGATCACTTATGTTGGAAATAGTTATCATGTTTGTAAGATTTATCATTTTATGGTTCTACTTTTAAATCATGTATTGTCTTTTAACCATTTTACAGATTGAAGATCCAGGTTGCTTCTGGGTTATTATAAAAGGATGTAGTCCCTTTTTAGATCATGAAGTAGACTACCAAAAACTAAATACTGCCATGAATGACTTTTATAACAGCATGTGTCAAGATATAGAAATAAAGCCATTAATATTGGAAGAAGGGCAGGTATGTATCTAAATGTGGTTTAATCACCATGTCTTGAAACACTACTCAAAATGTAAAGTACTTTGTCACCTAAGGTGATAAAATCTTTTGGAGTAATGTTAGTTGTTTATAATCATTGCCTGGCTTTAGGATTTTTAGCACAAGATAGAGGCTAGCCATGCAAAGACAGTAGTTGTGTAGGATTCATGTGGAGCAATAGGAAATGGCATGACATCTAAATCCAGGCATTAAGACCATATTCCTGGGTCTGGGAATGAAGAGATTATCTAAATCCACTGCAGGTGTAGGCACTTCAGCAGAGGGCTTGGAGTTTTCAGTCTAGTACTGACATGTCCCTTTTAGCCCCAGCTTGTGTTTCTTTCTTTCTTTATTTTTTTTACTCCACATTGTGGCATTTTTTTGCCTTCTTGCAATGTCACTGCCCATTGTCCACTGTGTGATTGTCTTGACAAATCAGCATTCGTGAGAAGAGTTTGAATTCTCTTAGTGATGTGATGGGAATTTTTTTTTTTTTTTATAGAGAGAGAATTTTTTTTAAATATTTATTTTTTAGTTCTCGGTGGACACAACATCTTTATTTTTTAAATTTTTACGTGGTGCTGAGGATTGAACCCAGCACCCTGCGCATGCCAGGTGAGCACGCTACCGCTTGAGCCACATCCCCAGCCCCAAGGGAAAATATTTTATAAACTCTTTTTGAACAAATTAGAAAACATTTTAATCTCTTTCCCCAAAAATCATTAATAATATATTTTATTATTTTTCTATACCATTGCCTTATTGAAGGAATGAAACCAGGTCATTTGTCCTTTTAAAAAATATTTTACATTTTGGACTCCCAAGGGCTTCCTTTTGGAGGTGGACTGATAGTTAAGTAGAGTTAAATACAAAGCTTTGGATAGACACAGGGTCACTTTTTTTCTCTTAAGAATGTGCTGTGAAGTTCATGTTGTATTGAATTGGAAAGTAATATCACTTTTTGGTGGTACTGTGATTGGCCAGTGGATTCAGGTGGTGACAGCCTGATCCCTCCCTAGGATGCTGCCTGTGGTTTCTCCATTCTGTAGTGACCACCATGACATGCATCAGCTTTTATTCATGCTTTGGACATGGTGATTTCTCATTCCCTCTGCATCCATGAGCTGGAATTCTGTGTGGAATCTTCCCTCCTTTATTAGGACTGAAATAATACACTTTATACTGTAAAGAAAAAGTTGCTTGATCCTTTCCCCAGTGCATTTTCAGCATGATGTTCTTCCATTGGTGTTCAGAGGTTCATTTTGTTTTTCTTTCTTCTATTTTGTATGTGTGTGGTGCTAAGAATTTAATCCAGAGCCTCATGCATGTTAGGCAAGTGTTCCACCATTGAGCAACATCCCTAGTTCCTTTTCTTTTCACTTTTAAGTGCCTTTTCTTTTCATTTTTATTTTTCTGGCTTGTAAATGTTTTCTTCAATTATAATCACTGTTCAGCTTGATACTTAAATTGTTTAATTTTTGACAAGCAGTAGCCCTAGTATAACACAGTTTCAAAGTTTACTAGTTATGTGAACTATTAAATAGTCAAACCATTCTTACAAGTTGCATGAATTTTAGCATTAAATATAAATACCCTGTATCCTTTGTCAGAATTTATCTTGAATCATTTGAGTTTTGAATTATGTGAGGTTCTTAGGCGCTTATCCCTTACAGTGTGGCTGTACCATACTTTCCAGTTTCAGTTCCAGAGGTCAGGAATCTCCGCTGGTCCACTTCTTCCCTGACTGGGCACAGCTCTTGCTACTGGCTGACTTTATAAGCCTGTGGTCAGCATATAATTTGGTTGGCCATGGAATACCTGTTGAGTATGATGGTCCTGTGGTTCAGTCAGGATGCCAAGGACTGTCACTTAAGTGGAGTGGTTCCCCTTAAGAGAGGCTTTTGAAGACTTAGTATATGCCAAGCACCATGCTGAGTCCTGGAAATATGGCAGTAAGCAAAACAAAAATAAAATTTTCATGGATCCAACATCCGTTTATGAAAGGTAGTAAACAAATTTAGAGGGTAGGAAAAGCCATGCAAGGGAATGAAGAGGATGACCCTGGGGTTGCAATTTTATATCAGTCTGACGCATATTAACAATCATTTGTAAGCTTTCTGATATAGGAAGGTAAAGCAATGCATTTTAAAATTTTTACTTTCTAATAATTTTCCTTAGTTAAGGAGTCAGCATGATTCATAATAGTCCCCCTTACCTACCTGCAAGGGATATGTTGTTCTAAGACCCCAAGGGAATGCCTCTCTATATACACTGTATTTTTTCCCATCCATTAATACTTATGATAGTTTATGGATTAGTCACAGTAAAAGATTAATAATAACAAATAAAACAATAATTATAATAATACACTTTAATAGTTTTCACTTTGGGGCCATTAAGGGTTACTTGAACGGAAGTACCTGCAATATTGTGACAGCTAAAATGACTACTAAAACGACTACTGAGTGATTAATGGGCAGGTGGCACATGCAGCATGAGTATGGTAGACATTCTGCGATTGTTGGAAGGAGATGGTGAGATTTCATCACACTGCTCAGAGTAGAGCACAACTTAAAACTTATGAATTGTTTATTTCTGGAATTTTCCATTAATATTTTCAGGTTTTGGTTAACCAGTGAGTGCTGAAATTGTGGATTAGGAGACTATTGTAGTAAGAAAAGCAGTGGAACAGAATCTGGTTGACTCACATTCTTCCTGAAGTTCTTTTGCTAGAAAACTGGTTTAGCTTTGGCAGGTCCAACCTCTGGAATCTCTCCTCTTCTGTAAGGTAATGCCGCTGAGGTAGTTTCAAGAGGACCTTTTGGTTCTCTTATGTGACTAGAGATTTTTAACACCAAACTTAAAACCTTCCTTTTCTTTTGTAGGTTTGTGTGGTTTATTGTCAGGAACTAAAGTGCTGGTGCAGGGCTGTTATTAAGTCAATCATATCTTCAGCAGACCATTACCTGGCAGAGTGTTTCCTTGTGGATTTTGCCAAATACATTCCAGTAAAATCTAAAAAGTACGTATGCATGTATTTTGCCTTAACACTCTTTAAGGAGACAGATGTCAATTTAAAGAAGAATGTCCATTTTTAAAGTAAGGTGACAAAGGTTATCTTTTTTTCTAATATTTGTTTTTTAATTGTAGTTGGACACAATATCTTTATTTTATTTATTTTTATGTGGTGCTAAGGATTGAACCCAGGGCCTCGAACATGCTAGGTGAGCCATAATCCCAGCCCACAAAGGTTATCTTTTGAGAAAGATGAAACTAGAATTTTTTAACTTGTGAAGTGGAAGACTTGCAAGTTCCAATCTTGTTTTCATTGACTGGAATAACAGTGGTCAAATGAGACTGAGGGCAGCCTGTCTGTTCTCCACCTTCCTTCCTGGAAAGGGCAAAGAGGTTCAGGCCCTTCTCTTTGCATCTCCTGTAGATCCTTCGCCAGTGATTCTCTGTTCTTTCCCTCTATTTGCTCTGTGATGGAGCAAGTCCATTAGGGGAGAGTGGCTGCAAGAAAGACAGTAGCAGGAGGTGGAGAGGAACTCTTATCTCTCCAGAAGGGTAGGTTGCTGTCCCAGCCTCAGGTTGCAGAGATCAGAGTGTGTGCTCAAGTGTGTATTCCTGATTGTCCTACTTACTAAAGTGAGAGCATGGCCATGGCTTAAGGTGAGGAGAGAATTCGTAATGAGCTGGTAACTAGGCAGCCTTCACTGATTTGGGGGCCACATGTCACAATTTATTAGAAAATGCTAGCAACAAGTCAGTCTCAGCGTTTTGTGATAACTTTTCCAGTTTCCTTCCCAGGATAAGAGATTGTTAATTCAATAAATAAATATGAGGACTTTCTTCTACTGAAGGAGGAGCAATACCAAGTAGACTTTAGTTGTAATAAGAGGGGTATCCTGAATAGAAAAATTTGTGGCACAAGGACTTGCCAGACATTGGGAATTTATAGATACTTAGGAAAAAGTAGATAACCTTTCCAGCTTACAATTCTGCACCTTTACAGTCGTAATTGTTATAAAAATAACTGTTGTGTTTAACTGTTGGGAAGATTTCTTTTTGTATTTGGTGTTTTAGTTTAGTTTGATTGGGCAGGAGAACAATATGATGAAATAAAGCAATCACCTTTTCCTAACCTTTATGGGGCAAAAGGTGACACACATACAGGCATAATGAGAATCTGGGGAAGAAACAGTTCATGTTGAAATAATGTGGTAAAGTGGACTGTCATTTGCCTTAATAAGAATAAAAATGTTGAACTTTTTTTTTCCTTTTGTGGTGCTGGGTGTTGAACCCACACATGCTAGGCTGGGACTTCATGCATACTAGGCAAGCACTCTATCACTGAGCTGGTGCTGAACTTATTTATCAAATCTCAGTCTTTTAGTTCTTTTGTGCAAAATTGGCAAATACTAATTATTAAAACATCCATCTGTTTATAGAAACTTTAATATAATTATCATATACTGATGTTGATATTTAAAAATCTTAAATAGAATTTCTTCACAGGTTTATTCATTATTACCCAATATGTCTCAACCTCCAAAGCCTCATTAAGACATTTTTCCCCTAAATTTTTTGCCCCCCTGCCTTGAAATTTTCATACCACAGATATGCTGACCATCTATTTATGTACCGTATGTATATTTGTGCTTTGTACACAAAATGAGTAAGATTCTTTTTTTTTTTTTTTACTCCTCAGGAAAGAGTTTTTGCCCCTTGGCTAAATACATCCAAGTGCTGTAGGTAGTTATATTAGAAACAATATTTTCTGTGTGTTTTGTTTTACATTAAATATATTGATTATGTATTATGTGGGTATACTTTAAATGACTATATTGTGTACAACTTTTATTTGTAATGGAACTATCTCTGCTTCACTTTTAAGCATCCGGGTTGCAGTAGAATCTTTTATGCAGCTTCCCTATAGAGCAAAAAAATTCAGACTGTATTGCACAAAACCTGTTACATTACACATTGACTTCTGTGAAGACAATGCTGAAATTGTGTAAGTACAGCTTCTTCAATAGTTTGAATCATTAAAAAAGTCTTAAATCAAGTGTTTATTTGAAATCTGTTCCTCCGTAGGAATGCTAAGAAATTTCACAGATCTCTGTTCTGCAAGAGTTGGCTTCTGAGTCACTGTCAAATCTGGCTGTGCAGCAGAGTCCCCTGGGGCAGAAGTTGGGGTAGGGGAAGTTAGAAGAGGGCCTGTGCTTCTCACCCTTTTTATTGTTTTTTTTTTTTTTTTTAACTTGTAAAAAGTAATAAGGTATCTATAAAGAAAAAAGAAAGCAAGATCACGGACCATGAAAAGTATATTAACCAGGCATGGTGATGCACACCTGTAGTTGGGGGGCTAAAGCTAAGGTAAAAAGATCAGTTGAGCCCAGGAGTTCAAGGCCAGCCTGGGCAACATAGCCCCTGTCTCAAACAAACAAACTAACATTTATTGCATTTCTCTCCAGCCCTGTGTCCTCCCTTCTATGAGGCCTTGTGGTCTATTAAACCTCTGAACTTCTAGAACCCTGTCAGTGCTTTTATACACATCTCATCTTCATGAATTTTTCAATGAAAATTAGCAAGATTAACTTAAGAATGTATGTTGGAGCTCTTTACCATTATTTTTTTCCATGGGTGGATGTAATTATCTTACTTGTACTTAACCATTCTCCTCTTGATAGCTAGCTACATTATTTCCATATGATTTGGCACATCCATAAAATATGTAGATGACAAGAGATAGAGACTGTGCACACGCACTCTCCTGTCTTTGTTCCTTTTTACTAGTATCTGTTCATGGTGCTAGTGTTTGTACAGAAGCACCCTGTATTGGGCAGTATTTTGTCAGGTATAAACTTGATCTGTTATTTTATTATTATCATAATTATTCAGTGAAAACAGTTGTACTAATTAATAGTTTCTTTGTGACATTTCCATGCATTATGTTGTGCTTCAATCATGTCCACCCTCCCTTCTTCTCTCCTACATTTTCTGGCCTTTCCCTCTGTCTTTCTTACCTACTGGTGTACCCACATGCAATGCATATCTTTCTGTGTCTGGCCAATTTCACTTACTATGATAACCTTCAATCCAGTCCATTTTCCTGAAAATGATGTGATTTTATTCTTCTTTATGACTGAATGGTATATAACACATATATTTTTAATCATATGTTGTTGTGCACTTAGGCAGATTCCATATCTTGGGTATTGTGAATACTGCTTCAAGTAAACATGGGTATGCAGGCATTTTTTTATATGCTGATATCATTTCCTTTGGGGTGTTTACCCATGAATGGTATAGCTAGATCATATGATAGTTCTATTTTTTAGGTTTTTTTTTAATTTTCATACTGTTTTCCATAGTGACTGTACTAATTTACATTATACCAACAGTGTGTAAGGGTTCCTTTCTCTCCACGTTCTTGCCAGCATTTATTATTTTTTGTATTTTTTATAATTGCTATTCTGAGTGGCTTGATTTCTGTGTCTGTAGCCAGTGGGGTCAATTCCATCCTTTCCCTTCAGAATTGTGGCATATAGAAAGAAAAGCCATAGGAATCAGCCCTATTCTGACTCCACTTGCACATGGCAGTGATGATGGATTATACTTTCTGAACTTGAAAGCCATAGCTGGGTGTAGTGGTATATACCTGTAATCCCAGCAACTTGCAGTGCTGAGGCAGGAAGATCACAATTTCCATGCCAGCCTTAGCAATTTAGCAAGGGCCTCAGCAATTTAAGGAGACCTTGTCTCATAATAAAAAATAAAAAGGGTTGAAGCACAGTGGTAGAGTGCCCCTGGGTTCAATCCCTGGTACCAAAACCAAAAACAAAACAAACAAAATAATTTGGAAGCTACCTTTCTGTAGATACTTTTGAGCTCTTTGAAGATCTTCCTCTCCCACCCCCACCACCTGTACTTGAGGTGGTGAATATATCACTCTTGTGGCCTGCCTCAGCATCCACACTGATGAGATAATAAGCCAGCTTGTCTTTGTGAAAACCATTACTTCCCACAAGTCTGCCCTCCAGCCAGCGTGCATTGCCACTCATGCCCCTTTGCTGTGTAGACTCTGGGAGTAAAGGCCCTGGTGTGGCAGTACTCACTGCCTACTCAGTTGTTCGTGTTTCAGAGCAGCTAGCTGCTGACACTTAAGCATGAATCGGGTACCCGCCTTTACAGCCCAGCTCCTCATTAGAGGAAGCCCACCCATTTCCTGTCTTGCTCCCTCTGCATGATCTCTTTCCCAATCTCAGTAGTCTGCAGGGGCTTTCCCCACTCTCAGATGGACCCCACTCAACATGAAGATACATCCAGTATAGGTGAAGGACTTAAGATAAGTCGTCTTACTGAGTTTGATCCCATTCTTTGATGTGATAATTTTTCATTTGTACTTTATCTAAAATGCTTTTCTTAGTGTGTATTATATAATTTGTGATAGATTTTTCTATCCAAAAACCCTAGCAATTTTTACCACCATTGGGGTACAGAAAGTGGTGTTTTCCCCATACAGTATTGGAGTATTGCTAGGCTTTTAAATTTTTGTGTGTTTGTTAGGTAAAAATGGTACTTTGTTTTAATTTGAATTTTTCTGACTTGCAAAGTTGGATATTTCTTCATGTGTTTATTCTCTGTGTATGTGAGAGATAGACACTGATTGAGGTACCTGTTCATATGCTAGATTGATTTTTCTCTTGCATTTGTTTGCCTTATAGGAATTTACTATTTTCACATATGTGTGTATATATTTCTTTCTTTCTTTCTTTTTGGTGGTACTGGGAATTGAACCCAGGACCTCATGCAAGGGAGATAGCCCTTTTAATTTGTTTTATTTCAAAACAGTGTCTCTCTGAGATGCTGAGGCTGGCCTTGAACTTGAGATCCTCCTGTCTCAGCCTACTAAATAGCTGGGATTACAGGTGTGTGCCACCATGCTTGGCTATATATTTTTTAAATTTTTAGGTCAATTTTTTTGTATGTAGCAAGAGTTTTGAACCACTGTCTTTTTTTTCTACTTTATTTATATTTTTATGTGGTACTGAGGACCAAACCCAGTGCTTCACATGTGTGAGGCAAGTGCAAAACAAAACAAACAAAACAACTTGGAAACTACCTCTCTGTGGATACTTTTGGCCTCTTTGAAGATCTTCCTGTACTCTACTCTCCCAAGTCACAACTCCAGCCCCCCTGTACTATGTCTTTTTACAAATCCTTTGTAATTCTTTTGAAGTAATGTGCTTAACCTCTTAGGGAAAAAAATTATATATATATATGTGTATATATATATATATATGTATATATATATATACACACACACACATATATACACATATAAACATATATACATAAAATACCAGTTGTATACAGGTACTGGGCTGCATGTGTTATACACATTACCCTATTTTTCCTTTAAAAGAACTCTTGGAGGATGGTGGTAGAATCTCTGATGGATAAGAACAGTAGAAGCATAATACAGACTAACCTAAAACTTTATTTTAGTTTTGTTCTTGCTACCAAATACTGGTTTCTCCTGCTTTTTCTGTTGCCTACAGCTTTTTTTTTTTTTCCTTGCCAAAGCAGAAGAAAGATTTAGAAGGAGCGAGCTGATGGACATCTAATGGGAGAGGGCTTGAGGGTTCTAGAGACGGCTAAGGGAGGAATAGCTTGAGATGATAGTGACTGGCTTTGTCTAACCACCTTGTGGAGTGCTGGTTTAGCCAATGTCTGTCACATTGCTCTCTATGCCAGCCTGTGCTGGACATTGCACACTTTGGATCTCTTCCCCAGGGAGCTTGCATTCTGGCTGGGAAGACAGATTTGTCACAGGTAACTGGGGATGATGGTGTTGCAACAGAAAATAGCATGGTATTGGGCACAACCCAGCAGGGCCTGACTAATGTGAGTCTCTACAGTAGTGAAGGTGACCTTGGTTTTACAGGATGTTCGTAGGGTCTTCATGAGCAGAACAGAGCCAGAGACAATCTCCCTGCTCCCTCTAGCAAATATGCTTTATATTTAATGCCAGAAATATTTAGTGTATGGTTTACTAAATGAAATTAGTATAGTAGGGTTATATTTTATAATGAAGTTTTATCTGTTTATTTTTCCAGCCCTGCCAAAAAGTGGGATAGTGCAGCAATCCAGTACTTTCAGAACATTCTAAAAGGTAAGACAGTCATATTCACTGTACCCTCCTTTGAACTGACACTCGTGGTGGCTTACCCTTCCGTTGACGAGGGGTTTTGACCTGTGCCTGCTTAGCTGGCACATGGGAGCTTCTTTCACATCAGTGTCACAGTGACTGTACCCCTGAAACTTTGTGGGTGGATGCTGATGCCAATAATTAACAGCTGAAATACAAAGTGGCTGTTTCTGTAGATGAACCCCCTACACAATAAACTTAAAAACTGCAGGGCTGTAGAATAAATTTATGTGAATTTTATTGAACTAACAATTAAAAACCTACCCTTTTTTAGTGAGCAAAGGATATTTATTATGTAAAAATCATTATTGCTAATTTAAGATATATAAAATGTATTTACTTTTTACTGTGTTATTTTATTTGAGTGGTTGTAAAATTAACCTCTTTTATGGCAACTGTCCTGACTTTTAGGGTCCATGTCTGTGCCTCTCTCTTAGGGCTGTTCTAAAGAACTAGTAGGTATGACCTGCCTAGGGTGCTGCCTGGAATGTAGTTGGATCCTGGCTCTCCTGTGCTGCCCCTTTGTTTGAAAAAAGGGAAAGTCAGATGCTTTGAAACTGGGAGAAGTAGGAGGTTGGGGTGGTTGTCACTAGGTTTGGGGTTTGGGCTCTTGTGAGCCCATTATGGGGGATGCTAAGAGAGTATGGGTTTGGAGATGTAAACCCCCTGGGGTTGAATTCTGCCCATCCCCTTCTGTGTATGTAGCCTTGGGCAAGTTACTTAATTTTCTCTGAACCTGGTGTCCTTACCTGAAAAATGATTGGAAAAAAAAAAAAAGGTTGTGATAAAAATCAAATGAAACCAGGTGTATAAAGGACTTAACACAGTTCATGATAAGTACCCATAAATTGAGCTCCTGTTGGGTTCTCAAGACTGTGATAGAGTAGCTAGGAAATTCAGTTCATGGGGTGTTTGGAGGAGAGAAGAGGTACTTGGAGGAAAGTTTATGACTAGAAATTTGGATGTGGGAGTCAGTGAGAGAGAAGGACCGAGAAGTGTACTTACTGGAGAAGTATTCACTTGTATTCATAAAGAGGCAGGGGGACACTGTTGATGTGGACAGAGAATATGTGGCTCACTCTACAGTCAGGAGAGCCTTTTCCATGGCTCGCTCACCCTGCCGCCTTGTGCTCAAGGAACCTACCCTGCTTGAGGAAGCTGCTGGCTATTGGTCAGCAGTGACTAACCACCTAAGAAGAAATAGTCATGATCGTATCAAGTGTACTTTGCTCATCAGCTTATTTGTGCTCTTACTTATGCTGTTTAGCAACTACCCAGGTGGAAGCCAAATTATGTGCTGTGGAAGAAGATACTTTTGAGGTCTACCTTTATGTAACAATAAAAAATGAAAAAGTAAGTGAAAGATTTGTGTTTTTAAATATTTTATCAAGGAAAAATGTAATTCACACAGCATAGAAGTTATCTGAATGTTTCAAGGTCTGGCTTAAATGAGAAGTTAAATAGGACTGTGTTTCCTTTTTTGATTACTTTGAAAAATTACTTGAGCAATTCATCAGAGCAATATCTCATTTAGTAATGGACAAGAAATTATTACTGTGATGATGAGTATGAAATGTGTTATCTCAGGGATATGATTATTATAAATAATTCCTAAGGATCATTATCCCCTCCCCTGATTTTCTCATTGTAATAGATGCTCATTGTTAAGAACTCAGATACATATGTAGGAAAAGAAAGTGGATGTGACCTGTGAGACCTGCACCCTCCCTTTCCTAAGTATTTGCTGCTACATTTTTGGCTGGCTGCCTTTTCTGAAGGGCACCACAATGTGCAGCTGTTCACCTTGGGAAAGTGGGTGAAGGGCATAGATCTAGGGTTGCCCGGAACCAACAGAGGGCAGCCTACCCAGGGATTGGGGTTGCTAGGGATTGAACCCAGGGCCTTGCACATGCGAAGCACCCACTGTATCACTGAGTTACACTGAGGCTCCACCTAGAGATTAAATGTGTGTGTGTGTGTGTGTGTGTGTATATATATATATATATGAATGAAACACTTCACTCACAGAAGAGATGCAAAAATAATGTGATTATTGTATATACTTTGCCCAGATTTCCCTTTTATGAAATATCTGCAGATTATGCATTCACACCATGTTAAGATTGTGTAGAATCATAGTTATTAAAACCAGAAAGTTAACATTGATAAAATACTGTTTAACAAATTCTCAAATTATTTGAATACTGCCAGTTTTCCTACTTATTTTCTTTTTCTGGTCTAGGAGCTGATTCAGGACCTGAGTTGCATCTGGTGGTCATATCTTCTTAGTCTCCTCTAGTCGGACAGTTCCTCAGTCTTTCCTCACCTTTCGTGACCTTGATACTTAAAAAGTATTGGCCAGTTGTTTTCCAGAATGTCACTTAAGTTGGTTTTGCCTGATGTTTTCTCATGATTAGGTTGAAGTTGAGTGTTTTTTGCAGTAATGCCACAGAAGCAATATTGTGCAGGTCTCAGTGCATCATTGTGGGGTTTGTACTGTTAACATGTCTAATTGCTTGTGATTAGTTCATGTCAATCATGTGGTAATGTAGTGTTGTACAGGTCTTCCCCATATAGTGTTACTGTTTTTCTTTCTTTTGATATAATAATTATTTTTTTTAGAAAGAGAGAGAATTTTTAAATATTTATTTTTTAGTTTTCGGTGGACACAACATCTTTATTTTTTTTTTTTTTATGTGGTGCTGAGGATTGAACCCAGCGCCCCACGCATGCCAGGCGAGGGTGCTTCTGCTTGAGCCACATCCCCAGCCCTTAATAATTATTTTATAGGGAGTTTTTTTGAGACTATGCAAATGTTCATCAATGCTTCTTGCCTGTAAAAGTTATTACTGTGGTGGTTGCCTGTTGAAATAGGCAATATTTTTGTCTTCTGCATATTATACAATATTTTTGTCTTCTGCATTTTTAATTAGAATTATATAAAGAATCATCCTTCCTCCACCATTTATTAAGTCATTGAATTTATATTAGTATGGATTTTTGGTTACTTGTTTGAGGGATAATAACCATTTCTGTCATTATTGTCTTGCTCAGATTACCTCAGATTTTGGCCATTACTAGTTTATTCAAAGTGGTTCATGTGTCCTTTCAATATGCTCATCGTTGTTTGAACACTGTTGTCTTTCCCCTGTCACAGAATGCTCCAGGATTATTTTGTCATTTTCCACAAATCAACCACTTTGGCAAGAAGTGCTGGTTTCTTTTATTAATGAACAATAGTTAGATTTAAAGATAAGGGCACTAGGTGTGCTTGCTGTTCCTGGGGTATCATTGATTGTATATCCTCTCAGCACAAAGTGTTATGAAATATCTTCAGATAACTAACTTATGCATTCACACGATCTAGATTTTTCTGAAGTCTATCATCTGTACGTGTGTCAACAGCCCCGATCCCTGTAGTTTCAATCCTGCAGCCACAGGGTCTGTCCTAATCTTATTCCAACAGTGAGAAACCTGCTCTCGTTAGCCACAGTATACTTACATGATCAATCCTGTTTCAGAATTGCTAACACACACATGCTTGTGAAAAGGAAATTTGTCTCTTGTCTTACTTTGAACAGTCAAGCAATTGTTTTCACAGTTGCTCGGGTTAGTTTTTTTCTTTCCCTCACTCTTCAATGTGATTGTATTATTCTTTTGTAAAAAGGTTCTTTTTTTTTTTTAACTGTTTATATTGCATTTGTGGTTCTTACACTCTGGTTGGTTTTACCTATGACTTTTCATTGCTTATAGTAAAATTATTATAGTAAAATTGTTGGTAAAAAAATTGTTGGTTCTAGGACCTGTCTTTGTAAATCATCTTTTCTAAAATAAATTCTCTTTTGACTTGCTCTCCTCTTGCTTTTCAGAAGTCTCTCTTTCTCATCATGTAGGTTGTATATGATGATGACTTGCTCTTACTTCAAGATGATAAAGTGCAGACGGCAGGAAGGTCCATGTGGTGCATGAGGCCAGAAAACGGTTAAGGCCAACAGTCCTTTTCTAGATAAAGTACAGGGATATGTCCCAGGGTGTTCTTTTTTGGCCTAGCTTCTTTAATTGAGCAAAATTATTTTAAGAGACATCCATGTTGTGGATGTATCAATAGTTTGTTCCTTTTATGGTCAAGAACTCTTCTCTTACACAACTAACAATGGTGTGTGCATCCATTCTCTTGTTGATGGACATGTGAGTTATGGCCAGTTTGGGAATATAATATTATAGATGTTTTCCACAGTCATTTACCATTTTATATTCCATCAGCAGTGTATAACACTTCACTTTCTTTATGTCCTCCTTGATACTGTGGCTATTCTAATAGTATATTATTGTGGCTTAAATTAGCATTTGCCAAATGACTGATGTTGCTTTTATGTGCCTATTTTATGTATTTACTTACTTATATATATATTTTTGAACTGGGAAGTGAACACAGGCAGTCTTTACCACTGAGCTATATCCCTAACCCTCCTAGTTTTTAAAATTTTGTGATAGGGTCTTGCTAGTTGCTAAGGCTTACCTTGACTCTTTTTTTAAAAAAAAAAATTTATTTGTTCTTTTTAGTTATACATGACAGTAGAATGTATTTTGATATATCATTACATACATGGAGTATAACTTCCCATTTTTGTGATTGTACATGATGTGGAGTTACATTGGTTGTGTAGTCATATATGAACATAGGAAAATTATGTCCGATTCATTCTACATCTTTCCCATTTTCATTCCCCCCTCTACCGTATCCAATACAGTGAACCTCTCCTCTCCACCCCCCACCCCACCCATTGTGAGTCAGCATCTGTATGTACATCAGGGAGAACATTGGCCTTTGATTTTTGGGATTGGCTTATTTCACTTAGTGTGATATTCTCCAGCTCCATCCATTTACTGGCAAATGCCATAATTTCATTCTTCTTTATGGCTGAATAATATTTCATTATGTATATGTACCACATTTTCTTTATCCATTTGTCTACATAAGGGTACCTAGGTTAGTTCCACAGCTTAGCTATTGAAATTACGCTGCTATGAACAATGATGTGGCCAAATCACTATAGTAAGTTGATTTTAAGTCCTTTGGATATATGCTGAGGAGTGGGATAACTGGGTCAAATAGTGGTTCAATTCCAAGTTTTCTGAGGAATCTCCATACAGCTTTCCTGAGTGGTTGCACCAATTTGTAGTCCCATCAGCAATGTATGAATATACCTTCCCCCCTCCACAACCTTGCCAGCATATGTTGTTACTTGTATTCTTGATAATTGCCATTCTGACTAGAGTGAGATGAAATCTCAATGTAGTTTTAATTTGCATTTCTCTAATTGCTAGTGATGTTGAACATTTTTTCATATGTTGACCATTCATATTTCTTCTTCTGTGAAGTGTCTGTTCAGTTCCTTTGCCCATTTATTGATTGGATTATTTGTGTTTTTGGTGTTAAGTTTTTTGAGTTTTTTATATATCCTGGAGATTAATGCTGTATCTGAGGTGTAGTTGGAGTTGGCAAAGATTTTCTCCCATTCTTCAGGCTCTCTCTTCATGTTCTTGATAGTTTTCTTTGTACTGAAAAAGTTTTTTACTTTGATATAATCCCATTTATTGATTCTTGATTTTTTACTTCTCGTGCTTTCGGAGTCTTGTTGAGGAATTTGGTTCCTAAGCTGACATGATAGAGATTTGGGCCTTTTTCTTCTAGTAAGTGCAGTGTCTCTGTGACCATGACTCTTGATTCTGCTGCATTAGCTTCACAAGTCACTGGGATTATATACTCCACTATGCCTGGCTTCATATGCTTATTTGCAATCCATGCATCATTTTTGATGAAGTATTTATTAAGATATTTTGCCTGGTTTTTTTAACTTGGTTATTTTCTTTTCATGGAGTTTTGAGAACTCTTTGTTCTGTTTGTCTATTCAGATACCTGTTTAAAAATATTTTTGTTTTGTCATTCTTTTTCGTTATATATAACAGTACAGTATATTTATGCAAACATGGAATACATATTATTCTAATTAGCAGCCCAGTCTTTTGGTTCTCCATGGTGTGGAGAATCACTGTGGTGTATTTATATGTGTACAAAAGAAGTCAGATTTATTCCACTGTCTTTTCTATTACTGTCTCCTCTCCCTTCCCTTCATTCCTTTTTGTCTAATCTACTGAACTTCTATTCTTCCCCTCTCCCCTGTGTTGTGTATTAGAAGCCACATATCAGAGAAAACAATTGACTTTTGTGTTTGGGGGATTGGCCTATTTCACTTAGCATAATAGCCTCTAGCTTATTTCACTTAGCATATAGCCTCTAGTTTCATCTGTTTACTGACAAATGTCATAATAAAGCCATTATTTTTAAGGCCCAAATAATATTCCTTTATGTCTATATACCACATTTTCTTTATCTATTGATCTGTTGAAAGGCACCTACATTGGTTCCATGGTTCCATAGCTTACCTATTGTGAATTGTGCTGCTGTAAACATTGGTGTGGCTGTGTAGTATGCTGATTTTAAGTCCTTTGGGTATATATGGAGGAGTGAGATAACTGGATTAAGAGATAACTTGGTGGTTCCATTCCAAGTTTTCTGAGGAATCTCCATACTGCTTTCCAGAGTGGTTGCATCAATTTGCAGTCCTTTATCATTCTTTAAGAGTAGAAGTTTTACATTTTGGTAAAACCTAATTTTATCAATTTTCCTTTTATGGTTAGTGTCATGCCACCAGATTTTTGCTGGGCCAGGTTGTGTTGGCTCTTTATTTCTTTATGCTGTTTTTGTATTCCATACAGATTCTTGCTGTATTCTCATCAGGAAGGTTGGCAAGAAGTATTTACTTCACCATTATCAGAGCAGAAATCATACAAATAGATCAAATTATGTTCTGTAAAACATTTTTTTCTGAAACCAAATTTAGGATTAAGGCTGGAATAGTTTCTTTACATTCACTTAACTATACTTGTTTTACTATCCATAAAATGTTTTAATTTTATAGGTTTGTGTGAACGATGATCTGGTTGCAAAGAACTTCGCTTGCTATGTATCTCCCACAGAGAAGAAAAACCTTGATGCTTTAGAGAAGCCAAGGTTGGATATAAAGTCAGCTTCTTTCTCCAGTAAACTCAATCCAGCCCTTACTCTTTGGCCAATGCTATTGCAAGGAAAAGATTTTCAAGGAATGAAAAGTGAGTGCATTCACATTTATATGTATTTCTTTTAAGTTGCTTTATTTATAGTCTTAGTGTGTTGCCATAAGTTGTAGTACAGACTTTTCCCTGTGTGTAGGCAGAGACTTGGACTCTGTGTTTAATAATTGAAATTTAATGTTGGGACAAGCCTGTGACAGATTTTGTGGTCCTAAAGCTGCTATAATTTGTTTTTATGAAACCAGGAAGAAACCATTCTCAATTTCTTAATAAGTCACATTTTCAGAAGTCCAGATATTTGTAGTTTAAAGATTAAATTTGTAGTTAAAATAACGTTTTGAATATTCATTGTTTTAGACAGTTTTAAAAAGAATTATTAATTGTAAAATGGTCCTTAGCAGTAAAATATGAGAAGAGTTAGTGGTGAACTGTGGAAGTGCTTTTAAATGTTCCTCTCTGCTGTCAGATATTAGTACCCTCACATGTTGTTGCTTCCTTGTTAGGTGTCCTATGACCATACAGCAAAAGCAAGAGCAGTTGTGGTAGAACAAGGAATCTGCACTTTACATTTTATTTCATGCCTTAATTTTGAAATTTATTCTTTCAGAGTCACATGATTTAGATTTTCTGGCACAATCTCTCCAGCATACCTGGTGCAAGGGTGTTGTCAGTGACCTACGGTCAACTGCTACAATACTGGGTGAGTCCGCCAGTTTGGTATATTTCATAGTCAACATAAAATAATATCCTTTTTTTTGGGGGGACTGAGGATTAAACAACTCAAACCCAGCTTTGGGGCCTCCCAGTGTTCTACCACTGAGCTATACCCCCAGTCTTTAACTGAAGATTAAAAGGGTTGTTTAGAAGGACTCTGGTCTCTTTTTTTTTATAATTTAATGGAACCAATTTATGATATAGATGCTGACAGTGATTACTTGACCTGCAGTCCACACTTAGAAAGTTTACTGTAACATAAAGAACATCACAGACCCTTGTGAGCTGGGCTCTGTGGCTCAAACCTATAGTTTCAGCTACTTGGGAGGCTGAGGCAAGAGGATCACTTGAACCTAGGAGCTCCAAGCCAGCCTGAGAAACATAGCAAGACACTGTCTCAGAAAATAAAAAAAGAAACAGTAGGCATTTGTCCATCTGGAAGACTGATATTTTCTAGCCCTGAAAAAATATTATTTGTCCTCAGAGTATACCATACTTTCATGATTGACTTTTATTTTGAGCAGTAGGATGCAGAAAAATAAGGAAGTTGTACTTATGAGGGAGATATACTCAGTCTTTAATCCCATATCTCAGAAATGTTTAATGATTTGGAATTGTTCAACAAGGTGAAGTCTGTCAGCTTGTGATGCTGGTTCACCCCTGTGGTCGTTTCTTACCACTTCCCTCCTGCACTGGGTGTGTGTTTACCTGTGGATGTGACATTTCACATGCATCCATAGTATGTTAAAATGAACCAAAGCTTTAATCAGCTAAGATGTTCCCTACATTTAATATTATTTTCACAAGGGTGATATTGTTCATCATGGAAGAATACAGATAACCAAAATTGTAAAAACTTGCCACTTCACTACCTACTTATTAAAATTTTAAGAGTCTGTCTTTCCACAGTTCTCTAGATGTAAATGTATAGGTTACAGGAACAGGATCCTCCTGCATATACCTCTTTGTAGTGTTTTTCCCTATGGCTCAACTTCTTTCCAGGTCAAATAATCCAGCATAGCATGTTTAAGTAAATGGGATCTGCTGTGAAACCATCAAGAGTGTGTGCCCCATCTCCCTCTGGGGTGTGGGGAGGCCTCACTCCCATCCTGCCCAGAGTTGGTCAGGTTGGCTGTGCAGGTATGGAGTGCCCTTGGCACAGTGCCTGGTGTGGCAGCTCTCACATGTGTGGCCTCCTGTAGGGTCCTCAGATGAGAGTTACTGCTGAAAGCAGTCCTGTCACCGTGGGAATATATCTTTCCATGGTGTTCCTTCTAATTCCCTTACAGCAGGAAAAGTACCAAGTGTTCGCATCCTTGTGTTTTGCCGTTGCACAGTTTCACCTAGTATTTATTGCTTTCAGTAATCCCAGATTGTTGGACAGTAATTGTGGCCACCTTTGGTAAATAAAAATGACCAACTTGGGAAAATAAATTGTGTTTTAGTCTTATAAGCTGGTGTGGGAATTTTTAGAACTTTGAAAACAATAATAAAGGCTGAAACAAAATTTTAAAATTTAATCCCCTTAAATAAAGTTTAATATAAACCCCTATTCCATAATAATTTCATGTATTAAGATTTTATAATGCCATTTGTTTCCTATCAGCATTTTTCAAGGTAGCTTTGTATTGCTGTTTTTATTTTTCAGATAGAACTGAAAAATATAATAGGGATTCTATGAGAGACTCACCTAAAAAGAAATCTGAAAAGAAGCAGCAGTGCATCTCTTTAAAAGATGTAAATAAGGTTGTATTTTAAAAATTCTCATTTAATGAAAACTTCATGTAATGTTAATAACATCCTATTGGAAACCAAAATGTGTTTTCTTTTTTAAAAAATTGACTATGATAGTTTTATTCATGAAAAAAATACAGTTTGCATGTTTACTTATTTTGAAAAAACAAGGTAACTCCATCCACCTCCCTTCTTGTCAAGCTCTTGTCCTTGATAATTAATGCCATTTCTAAAATTGGGTACTTCTTCTCATTTGAACAAGGGTATGAAAATTTGGGATTCTAACTTACCTTCCAGTCCTTTGACCGAGACAGGTGAAAGTAATTGCAGGGCATTTTAAACACTGATTATCTGAAATGCCAGCTACCTGCCATTTGGACCTTTTATTTATTTTTTAAAATTTTTTAATATTTATTTTTTAGTTGTAGTTGGACACAATACCATTATTGTATTTTTATGTGGTGCTGAGGATCCAACCCAGGGCCTCGCACATGCTAGGCAAGCACTCTACTGCTGAGCTGCAACCCCAGTTCTGAGCCTTTTAATCTAGTGATTATAGTGATGGCATAATCATCAAACTTTATAGTTTTTTGTCTCTCTGTGTCTTGTGTGTGCAAGAAATTGACTGGAGTGGTGTTTAAATTTTTGTCCCCAAAGAATATATATCTTGTTAAGCATACATATTTTTTCTGAAATTTGTTTTACAGTGTGTGGAATCTTCAGCATGCTGGCCAACGAAAAGAGGCATAACCATATATGCTGATCCAGATATCCCAACAGCAAGGTATGATTTGAAAATATATATAGTCTTATGTAGTCATCCCTTAATATTCTTGGGGGATTGATTCCAGGACCTCCAAGGATACCAAAATCTGACATGCCACAATTAGTATATATATTAGTATTTGCATATAACTTATGCACATCCTCCTTTATGCTTGAAATCATCTATAAATTACTTATAATACCTAATGCAATGTAAATGCTATGTAAATAGTTGCTGTACTTATTGCTTAGGTATTAATGCCAGGGGGGAAAAAGCCTGTATATGTTCAGTACAGACTCAATTTGTTTTTTTCCCAAATATTTTCAATCTGTGGTTGGTTGAACACAAGATGAAGAACCTATGGACACAGAGGCCAAATTGTACAGTGTTCTCATGACATGAAAGTATTCTTTCCAAAAAGCGTGGCACAGAAAATTTTTATTGAACATATTAATTTAAAGAAAAAAATCTTGCGACAATTGGTTAGTAGCACAGCGCTGAAAACTGACTCTAGAATCCCCTTGTTACCTTGTTGGACAGAGGTGGTTTTGTAAGGCAGGTCCAGAGAAGGTTGGCACAGAGTGGGTGTGATGTGAAGGAGGAGCAAATGTGGGCCAGATGGCAGCAGTGCTTCGTTGGTTACAAGTTGATAGAAAGCAGAATGGTTTGCAGTCTTCTTTGACTATAACACCATCCTCATCAAGATGCACCAGTGACATTAATGACATCACAGAAATGATGTCATATGCTTTTTTATGTGCAGTATAAAAGCTTAAAATAGTATACTTCCATTTCCCCCCACTTAGACTTTATGCTATGATTTTCGTGTGTTTTATTAGTGTTATAAATGCTACAATGTTATCACTTCAAACAGTTTTCTTTTAGAGAGGTTTAAGTAATAAGAAAAGTAACATATATTTGCCTCTGTAGTTACATTGGTGCTCTTCAGTTTTTGTGTTGATCCATGTTTCCATCTGATACCACTCTTTTTACTTGAAAAGGCTTTTATTAACATTTTTTTAAATTACAGGTCTGGTGGTGATGAACTCTTCAGGTTTTATGTCTGAAAAATTATTTGTGTGTGTGTGCATCAGTGCACACTGTAGATTAATAGCAGAGCACTCTGCAACTGAACTGCATTCCTAGCCCTTAGCTGCTGCTGCTGCTTTATTTTTTATTTATTTTTGGCTAGGTATAGAATGAATTCTAGGTTGACAGTATTTGACACTGTTTTTCTCTGTGTATTTTTAAAGGTAGTGTTGCACTGATGCAAAATCTGCTGTCATCTTTTTTTGTTGTTGTTCCTCTGTTTGCAGTGTTTTTTCTGCTGTTAAGATTTTTCATTATTACTGGTTTGAGCAATTTGATGGTTATATGCTTTGGTGTTCTTTTTCTCATGTTTCTTATGCTTGGGATTTATAATAGTTCTTTGTAATTTTCTATTTTTCATCAAATTTAGTCCATTTTGTGTAACTATAACAAAGTACCACAAACTGAGTAATTTATAAAGAATAGCCATTTGTTTTTCACAGTTCTGGAGGTTGGGAAATCCAAGATCAAGGCACTGGCACTTTTGTACTGTGGTAAGTGCCTGATCTCAGCTTCCAAGATGGCACCTTGAATGCCTGTCTTCTGGCAGGGAGAAATACTGTTCCTCACATGGCAGAAGAGCAAAAGAGAGAGAACTCACTCCCACCAGTACTTTTTGTAGTGGCATTATGGCATTAACCCATCGAGGGCAGAGCCCTTGTGGCCTACACATCTCCCTAGAGGCGTCACCTCCCAGTGTAATTGCAATGGGCACTGAGTTTCAACATGAAATTTGGAAGAGACAAGAATATTCAAACTGTAGCAGGAAATATTCACTTTCATTATAGTTTTTTTTTTTTCTGCAACAGTTTTCTCTCTTTTCCTTTTGAGGCCCTGATTTAAAAAAAAAAAAATCAAAATTTTGATAATTGTTCCAAAGGCCTCTGAAGTGCTTCATTTTTCAACCTTTCTTTCTTGCCACTTTTCAAATTAGCAGTTCTACTAATCTTTCTCTTCTGTCATCTCATTTCTATTGTTGAACTCATTCTGTGAATGTTTTATTTGGTATATTTTTCATTTTTAAATTTTTTATAGTTCATTTTTCTTTGCTTTCTGTTTTTCCACTCAAGAATGCTAAACTTTTTTTATGCACCATATTATGATAGCTGTGTTAAAATCTTTGATAATTCCCACTTCTGAACCATCTTGGGGTTAGCACCTATTGATTCTTTTTTTCCTTTACAATTGATCTGATTTTCCTGGTTCTTCATGTGTTGAATAACTTTGGTTTGTATTATGGATATTTTGAATAACATGCTATGAGACTCTGGTTCTGTTAAAACCCACTGGAGAAAGTGCATTCTTGTTGTTTGTGTTAAGCAGGCAGCAATGATTTGGTTAGGTTCATGACTCAGGTTTAGTCTCACTTGCCAAGGGTGGCTGCAGTGTCTATCAATTTCCAAGCCTTTGGTGTGCTGTTTTGGGGCTGTTCTGCAGGTGTTTAACCTAGGGTGACCTTGAGATTCCTGTTAGGGTGACCTTTCATTGATCCCCCTCTATTTCTCTCCTGCTTACCAGATCCAGGTGCTCCTTTCCTGTCTCTGTGGCCAGACAGACAGTTCCTCTTGGAGAAACTGCTATGCAATCTGTGCTTGGGCCACTTTGGGAGCAAAATGGCAATAGAAATAATGGAGGAAAACAGTGGATTTCCCCACACATTGTTTGGACCATAGGGTCTAGTTTCCCAGTTTTTCTGGATGTAGGGACAGGTTTTCTTTTGAGGTTGTAGGGACTGTGCTGCTAGCTCTAAGGTGGAGCTGGCCTTGGGGCAAACATAGGAGAGAAACAGGGAAAAAAGAAAAACAATCCCAGTTCTCTCTGGCTTGGAAAGGGAGCCTCTCTCAGATTTTTTTTTTCCTCCAGTGCTAGGGATTGAGCCCAGGGCCTGAAGCAGGCAGCCAGGTGCTCTACTACTGAGCCATGTCCCCAGCCCTTCTCTCAAATTTTTGATGTCTGTATTTGCTATACAGTTTCATGTCTCAGGCCACCCTGAGGTCTGAGGAAGGAAACAGAGGAAGGAAAAAGCCCATGAAACTCCTCATGATTCTGTTTACTTTCAGTTTTTTTTCCTCCATTGCTTTTTTCTATCCAGAATTTCTGATTATAATTAGTATGGGTCTAAGCCACAGGTATGAAAATCATAAGTTCTTACAGAAATTCACTTTGGTATATCAACTGATTCCTCACTGATAATTCTTAAATTTTTTTGTCATAAAATAAAGTCATTTCTAGGGTTGGAGTAATTGGGTTCACAAATTTCAGTAAACTTTTTGATGCCTTTTATTTCTAGTTCTTTAAGTCAGAAGCCAAATGAGAAACCACTTAGATTGGCTGAGAAGAAAGAATATGATGAGAAGAATGGCTGTGTGAAGTAAGATTTGGGGGCATGTGTATACAAATTGTTTATTGAAATAATTGTAAGAAAATTATAAGCAGGAAGAATTTACATATTTTATTTCTAATTTCAAACTTCATTCCTGTAAAAAAAATACATAACCAGTAAGTCTTCTGCAGGCTTTGAGGTTAGTTTTTTTCCCTTTCTGTTTAAACAGTTTTACATTCCAAATAACTGTAACCACTGTGGAGTATCAAATGTGACAGAGTTTATTTAAGACAGTTCAGAGGTGGGTGGATTTTGCTGTTTTTACTAGCTGCTCTGGGGTTGGAAGGAGGGCATAGATCAAGCAGCCCTGCAGCCACACAGCTCCCCAGATGCCACTCTGATGCCCTGTCACAGCTTCTTACCCAGTCCAAGCTCCTCATAGTATCCCAGGGCCAAGGGCTTTGAAGGCTTTCATGGAACTTACAGCTGGGGATGGTTGTTAAGGCATCTGATTTGACAACCTTCCCATTAATGCCTGAATGTTTTGCTGTTATAAGTGGTTCCTTCCTTTGGAACCAAAGCCTTTCATTATCCATTTATTTTAAATTACTAGCTGGTAAACTAACCTTGAAATATCTCATTCCCTTTTATTTATGTATTAAAAAGTTTTATTCTCTCTTATTCTGCTAAATGGCCCTTATTGGAATCCACTGATGAAAGTATACTAGTTATCCTGTCTGCTATGGTTCCAGGGAACCTTAAAGTGGCTCAAGGTTAAATGGCAAGGAAAAAAGAAGACAGTGAGTTTCTTAGAAATCCAGAGACTGACCTGGTGATCATGTGATCCTTCCTAGGATCTGATCAAATAGTCCTGGGGTTGGCTATGCTGTGTCCAGAGCCTAAGGAACCAGGCATTCAGAGCCTGGTGAATCGTGTGTCCATTATTTTTGGTCAAGTAATGAAGGCAGCCTAGAAAAGAGATCTTTTCCTTAAGGGTGATAAAGTAGGAATTTGCAGGCATCATGTAATTTAATAATAACATTAGTTAGTAAAGGGGACACAGTAACTTTGGCATGTTGCCATTCATCCTGACTTATCTTTAAAGGACCACCTTAAAGACCTTACAGAAATTCAGGAAGAGTTCACCCCAGATTTGGTTATCATCCCTGTTCCAGGATAGTATACCTTCTTCTCCTTTTGAATCCTGGTTTCTTGGGTGACAGGGAGAGTATCAGGGTCCACATCCAGAGTACCAGGGCCCACATAGCAGATTTTTTAGTTGTTTAAGAGAAACAACCCTGCTCTTCTGAGAGCATCTGGAGATGACTGCAAGCTTAGATTAGACCAATACATCATTTCTAAACTGTTTCCAAGTTCCACTAGTGATTGGTTCTAAGTCCATTTGGTTGATAGCAGTTCCCTGCAGCATTTTGGTGAAGAGGATTTTGACATTGTGTCAGATGTGCTGGGGACAGTATTTTATGAGTGATTAAGATATCCAATCTAGGTATAGGAGAGTTGAGTAGTGGCCTGCTTGCCATCTGTCATCTCTGATGTTTAAATGTAAGCTTGTAGCTGTCTTTTTTTCTTTTGCATTCTTTTTATTTAAACACCTGTATTTTTTTTTATTTTTTTTAAAATTTTTTATTGTTGGCTGTTCAAAACATTACATAGTTCTTGATATATCATATTTCACACTTTGATTCAAGTGGGTTATGAGCTCCCATTTTTACCCCATATACAGATTGCAGAATCACATCAGTTACACATCCATTGATTTACATATTGCCATACTAGTGTCTGTTGTGTTCTGCTGCCTTTCCTATCCTCTACTATCCCCCCTTCCCTCCCCTCCCCTCCCCTCTTCTCTCTCTGCCCCCTCTACTGACATTCATTTGTCCCCCTTGTATTATTTTTCCCTTTCCCCTCACTTCCTCTTGTATGTACTTTTGTATAACTCTGAGGGTCTCCTTCCATTTCCATGCAATTTCCCTTCTCTCTCCCTTTCCCTCCCACCTCTCATCCCTGTTTAATGTTAATCTTCTTCTCATGCTCTTCGACCCTACTCTGTTCTTAGTTACTCTCCTTATATCAAAGAAGACATTTGGGAAGACATTTGGCATTTGTTTTTTAGGGATTGGCTAGCTTCACTTAGCATAATCTGCTCTAATGCCATCCATTTCCCTGTAAATTCTATGATTTTGTCATTTTTTAATGCAGAGTAATACTCCATTGTGTATAAATGCCACATTTTTTTTATCCATTCATCTATTGAAGGGCATCTAGGTTGGTTCCACAGTCTTGCTATTGTGAATTGTGCTGCTATGAACATCGATGTAGCAGTGTCCCTGTAGCATGCTAAACACCTTTATTTTGTTAATTTATTTTTATGTGGTGCTGAGGATCGAACCCAGGGCCTTGCATGTGCTAGACGAGCGCTCTACCGCTGAGCCACAACCCCAGCCCCATCTTTTGCATTCTTTATCTTCTGATCTTTCCGTATCTGCATACTACTATAAAATATGTTCTTTTTTCTTCAGTTCTCTTCCTATAAACATTTTAACATTTCCCTATTTTCTTCTATTGCTTATTTAAAATGGGAAGTTCTTCTAAATAAATAAATTCTTTATAATATTGTTTCTGTGTCAAGAGTTTGAACACCAGTTCTTATTAAAGCCTGAATTGAAAGCCCTGTACACAGGCAATTGAGTCCTTCCTGCCCAGAGCTCTCTGCCAAAGCCCTGTGAATGGTTTGATCATTCCCATGGTTCTTCCCTCTTAATCATCCCACACTTGGTCCCTTCCCTGACTTCCCCCCCCCCCCATTGTGATTCTACTCCATGGTCTGTGAGTAGAAAATACTGCGGAGCCTCACAGGAGCCAAATGTGGCTCCTTCTCTTTTCTTGCAAAAATTCTTGGTTTTTCTGACATTAATAAATTATTGTCTATTATTTTTTTCTTTCTTTAATTTTCTATATATCTTTATAGATTCATCTCCAGAATCCCCCTCTGTTGTCCAAACATACTCTCAGTAATTTAGCTTGCATCTTCTGGGAGAACTCTCTGAATTTCCTGCCTGTGCCCGTGCCCATGCCTGCTACATCCTGTGTCCATCGCCACCAGCATCTTGACATTACTGAATCTTTTTGAATGGAGTCTCCTTTCTTCTGGGTTTTCCATTTTCCTCTTATTTGATTGACTTCTTGTTTTGGTAAAGGATATCCTCTGATAGCTTCCTGAGGAGGGAAACAAGAAAGATTGAACTTTTCAAGAGTGCAAAAATACTTTTAGATTATTTTCACACTTTGGTTATCAGTTTTTGAAAGCATTTCTACCTTATTTTCTAGTTTCTAGTTTATTGCTTTTTGATTTCTTATTTATATATGACTTTATTTTTCTCTCAGGAAACTTATAGGGTCTTTGTTCCTATAATTTTGTTGATTTTTAAATTTATAATATCACATTTTTCATTTGCAAGTGTTTTTTTTTTCCTATTTTTCATGATAAAGTTTTCTGGTACTATGTTCCTCACTTTGGGAAAATATTTTTTACTTTTTCAATGATATCTTACATTCTTGTCTTGTCTTTTTTTTTTTTTTTTTTGGTACTGGGGATTGAAACCAGAGGTATTTTACCACTGAGCCATATCCTAGTCCTTTTTATTTTTTATATTGGGACAGGACCTTGCTAAGTTGCTTAGTTTAGGGCCTTGCTAAATTGCTGAGACTGGCTTTGAACTTGCTCAAAGCTCCTGAGTTGCTGGGATTGTAGGCATGTGCCACTGCACCTGGCTCTCTGTTTTCTAGAGTTTGTATAACTCTTCTTCATGTTGTACTTCTCAAGTTGGACATATGATTTTTCTTTTAATATACTAGAGATTTAACCCCAGGGTTATTTTTACCATTGAGCTACATCCCCACTCCTTTTTTTTTTTGAGACAGGTCTCTCTAAGTTGCTTAGGTCTTGCTGACTTGCTGAGACTGACGTCGAACATGTGATCCTCCTGTCATGGACCTCCATGTCGCTGGGATTATTGGCATGCCCCACTGTGCCCAACTGTGATGTGATTTTTTAAAATACATTTTTCATTTCTTTGTCTTTTTGTTTTACTTTTTGGGATATTTTCACAACTTTATTCTCCACCAATTTTGTTGATTTTTAAATTTATAATAAAACATTTTTAATTTGCAAGTGTTTTTCTTTTGTTCTCTTTTCCTCTTTTTTGGGGGGGATGGTTGGTAGAAATTAAAGTCAGGGCCTTGTGCACCCTAGGCAAGTGCTCTACCATTGAGCTAGAGCTCAGCCCAATTTACCCACTTTTTTTTTTCCATCTGAGCTGTATCCCCAGCCCCTCAACTTTACCAACTGAGCTGTATCCCCAGCCCCTCAATTTACCCTTTTAAAGTGTCCTACAAGGAGCTGGGTTTATGGCTCAGTGGTAGAGTGCTCAGCTAGCACATGTGAGGCACTGGTTTTGATCCTTGGCACCAGATAAAAATAAATAAAATAAAAGTGTTGCATCCATTTACAACCAAAAATATTTTTTAAATTAAATAAATAAATAAAGTGTCCTACAGGTATCCTGAGTGCTGAGTGGCAGAAGCCAGCTGGGTTCTCATTATTCAGCCTTACTCCCCTCCTCCACTTTTCAGTGCAGTCCCTCCATCTTCAGCTGTTCCTCTAGTGCCCCAGTCCCAAGAGCTCTGTTTGATCCTCTCTAGGACATTAACCCTGGTCTTCCCCTAGGATGGGGTGGGTAGCTTTCTGGCATTGAGAAGTGGAAGGGGATCTGGGGTTTGCCCTCTTTATTTTATCCCCCTGCTATATTGCCACAGTAAGAGAAGGTTGTTCCTAATTCCTAAGCTTTCTGAAGATTTATTCTGTGCGAATAGATTTGGTCTTCTTATGTATGACTGGCTTAGATTCAACTGTTTTGGATCTGCCAAGTCAGTAACCACATGTCCATCTGCTTTCCAGCTTCTAAAATTTTGTTTGTAATATTGCCTCCTCTGTGGTTCTCTACTTCATTGTGGCTTTAAAAAAGAATTTTTAAAAAAAAGCTTCGTCAAGATAAAATTTATCTATCTTAAAATTTACATTTTGTATGTGTGTGCATATGGTACTGGGGATTGAACCATGGACCTTATGCATTCTAGGCAAGCACCTTTGCACTGAGCTACATCCCCAGCCCAGCTGAGTACTCCTTTTTATTGCTGAGTAAAAACTATTGCATGGATATGGCATATTTTATTTATCCATTCATCAGTTGATAAACATTTATATCTTGTGGCTCTTGCACTTTAAAAATATGTAAGAATGGGATTTCAGGTGGCAGGCATGATGACACGCACCTGTAATCACAGCTATTTGGGAGACTGACACTGGAGGATCAAGTGTTCAAGTCCATTGTGCAACACAGCAAGACCCCATCTTAAAAAATAAAATCAAGTTTAGGAAAGAATGTAACTTAATACGTATATTTAATCCTCTCTTTTTCTTCCAAAGTCCCTGTCACTGAAAATGGTTTATGAGTTCTCTCCTGCTGTCACTAGACCTTACCCATATTGGGGCTGGGGCTGGGGCTGGGGCTGGGGCTGGGGCTGGGGCTAGGGCTGGGGCTTAGTCTAGAGGAAAGCAATTTCAAATTTCTTTTCCACTGAGTTAGCAGAGGTGATAGGGCAAGTACTCTCTGGGCTTTTTTTCTCATCCATAATAAAGATAATGAAGCAGAATGGTGATTCCTCAGATATTCTGCACAAGGACTAGGTGGTAGAGTTGTTGCAGTCCAGATGCAGGCACAAGGTTGGAAAGTAGGAAGCATAAAACAGGCATGCTACTGTGGCCTTGTATCTTAATCAAACAGAACAGAGCAGGCAGGCAGTCCGCTTACAGCCAGGCCTGGGGTAGAGAGTCCATTTTACCTCTGTTAAGGAAGACTTCAAATAACAGTTCAGTTGAGGAAATATAAATATTTTTTGTCTTAACAGTGTTTTTTTTAATGATTTTACAGATTACTGCAGTTTTTAAATCCTGATCCTTTGAGAGCTGATGGAATCTCTGATCTGCAGCAGGTATTACAGGCCCTAAAAACAATTAAATAGGAGAGAAAACAGTTTGCTCTTAAAAATTCTTCTCCTTCCTCTTTCCAGTCTTAAAATTAGAAGAGAAACTCCTCGGGTGGGGGACTTTGCCTGAAGACATGCTTTTATAGATTGGTAACTTTGCCTGAAGACATGCTTTTATAGATTGGTAAATTAGTGCATCAGAGAAATTTCTATTTTTATTTGGGTAATAGGTGATCTTCTTTCATTTAGGTAGTTTTGGAGTTTTTCAGGTTGTTAACATTGAAATCATATGCTTTCTTTTCTTTCTATGCCGGTACTCTATGCTAAGAGTTCAGGGCAGATACTGGTTGTCTAATGTCTGTATCACTCAGTTGCAGAAGTTGAAGTCAGGCATGCAGCAGCCTGTCATGGTGCTCCGGAACAGGATTGATCCCTGTCTGACCATCGACACGTCACCACTGTCTGCAGACCTGAAAAAGGTGAAAGTGCTCTTAGAACCAAATTCATGAAGAAATACCAACCTTTTCTAATGTAGAAGGATTTTTTTTTTCTTTTTTTCTTTTTATTTTTTTCCCAGTGCTAGGGATGGAATCCAGGGCCTGGAGCAGGCTAGGCAAAGCACTCTACCACTGAGCCCATAGTCCCATAGAAGGATTTCTAAATAAAAGTTATAAGGTTACATTGTATCATTTCTTTGCTTTTGAAATTCTCTTTTATAAAGTTTTTGATAATAATTTATTCTTAAATCCTGGATAAGTTCTTGTAAATGAATAATTAATTTAAGGAAAACCCATTGTATACTGTAAACCCCCTTCTGAAATAAGTTTTTAAATGGGCCTTTGAAAAAAGGGGCTTTGAAGACATAACAGGGCAATTGTAATATACTTCTTAGCCATTCTTTCCAAAATGGCTTCATAGATGGGTGGGTTCACTTGGTAAATCGATCATTCATGCTTACCTGTTTCTTTCCTAATTTTTTAAAAAAGAGGTTAAAACTGTTTTTTAAAAGATATAAATAAAATCACAAGGATGAAAGAGTGACAGAGAAGTCTTGAATGAGCAGGAGATTTTCATAGAATTTTAGAGGATGAAAGCTAGGTAGCAGAGTATGGTTGACTTAACAGGGAAAGAGCTAGGAGGTGGAGAGGAGTGGACAGTGAACTTCTCACCCTGTTTCCTGACAATACACAACCAGTTTATATTATTCTAAGGAAGAAAATTGGAGACTCTTTCTGGAGAAATTGAGTGACCACTGAGTAGTGGTGCTTAATGATGGTGTTTGGAATTCTCCCAGTTAGAATGCCTGCTTGTTGCCCAGTCTTCTTGTAGTGATGTCTCACTCTCATGGTGACTAGATTAGCCCCACCCACAGAGCCTTTAGTCAGGTTTTAGTGACTTAAAAAAACACAAAACTAGTTTTTTTCATATATATACATATAATATAATGAGAATCATAGACCTTTTTTCTCTCTCTCTCACACACACACACATATGAAACACAGACATCTGAAGAAAGTCTTTACCTTAAGAAAAAAAGTTTAAAACAAACTCTGAAGGAAATAATGACTGGAGAAGAAAATATTAAAAAATAAATATTGCCAGGTGCAGCAGTGCATGCCTGTGGTCACAGCTGCTCAGGAGGCTGAAGCAGGAGGATTGCTTCAGCCTTGGAGTTTGAAACCAGTCTGGGCAATATAGTGCGACTCTTAAGAAAAAGAAAGGAATGGGGGAGAGAAAGAGAAAGGGAGAGGGAAAAGAAAAAAAGGAAGGAAGAAAGAAACGAAAAATATCCTCAGAGGAAAGAAGGTATGGCATCTTTTGCTGGAAAGAGGAGGGAGGAGAAGGGGAGAGAAAGATCAATAAAAAAGGTTCTCAGAAGTTCAAAATATTATAAAAAATTTTGAAAATAAGTGGTTTTGAGATATAAAATAGAAGCCAGCAGAAAGTAGAACAAAAAGGCAACAAGATGAATCAAAGAGGAAAAAAAAAAAGAATTTGAGGTGCAGTATCTGAAAATGGAATTTCAGACTGAATCAGAAGACAGACCACACGGGTTGCACTGCCTACCTGGAAGCTCCATGTTGATATCAGAGACTATTCCATTTGGAGTTCAGGGGTCTGGGGAGGAGGATGTCACAGACACCATGGTGCTGACGAGCTCAGCTTTTTGGAAAGAGTTACAGGAGGGGCAGAAAAATCTCTGAGGAAGAACACAGGAACATTTCCTGAACCTAATGGAAATAAATCTCCACATTGAGCTGTCTCACACTGGCCAGCACAACTTATGAACAGACATTAGCTGTATGGGGTTGAAGCATCTGAACTTGGATTCAGAGAGCACAAAATCTTCTAGAGGAAAAAATGGTCCCCATCTCAAGACCAGAAGTCAGGTACCTCAGATTTCTTCATAGCAACACCAAAGGAGTTACTTCATGTAGACAATAATCGTCTTTTTGGAATAAAATCATTTTTGAAGCACATATGGAATATTGCTAAGCTTAACCCTAGATTTATTGAGAAGATTTCAATGTTTTATGGCAATTTTTCACGTGAGTAAGAAACTAAAAACATTGATGTTGATTAGAGGTGAAAAAAAAAGTTATTTCCACCTATACATCCATACTCACATAGTAATGAGATGTGAGAGTAGAACAAAAATATTTTCAGACATGCAGTCTCAAAAATAACAAAGAAGTATTTCCCCTGTACTCTTTGCCAAGAAGCAGTTTCAAAATGTTCATACAACAAAGAAGTTCACCAAGAAAGACCAAATGGGTTGCACCTGTCTACCTGGAAGCTCTCAGGTTGGCGGAAGAGTAAGCAGTACCTTTGCATCTGGGACTCAGGGTTCTGGGGAGGGGGATCACAGAGCTCATGGTGCTCTTGAACTCAGTCTTTTAGAAAATTATATCAGTGTGGCTAGAGAACTCTGTTGGAGAATTTGGTTTAGTGAGAGATACATAGATAAACAAATGAATAAAAGCATGTTTTTAAAATGCTGTACAAGGGAGGCTGGTGGACTGGCAGATTATTGGGAGAATAAGATCAAAAAACCACATCCTTGATCCAGTGAGCTCTAGTGGATCACCATCCAGTTCCTTTTGATTGGAGCCCAGAAAAACAAAATTTTATATAATAGGAGTATAGTACTGAGAAAAGAGTCAGAGGGACTTACCAGGGTAAGTCTCAGAAAATATCAGATTATGGGCTGGGGATGTGGCTCAAGCGGTAGCGCGCTGGCCTGGCATGCGTGCGGCCCGGGTTCGATCCTCAGCACCACATACAAACAAAGATGTTGTGTCCGCCGAAAACTAAAAAATAAATATTTAAAAATTCTAAAAAAAAAAAAAAAAGAAAATATCAGATTAATCAATGTGTATATACTGAGTGGTAGATGGAGTAGAGTGGCAATGATATGGAGCTGTTGTTTGTTTTCTCTACTTTATTGTGGTTTTTGGTTGTTGATTTTTTTGTAGGCTCTTCAAAGAAATAAGTTCCCGGGACCCAGTCACACTGAATCTTACTCTTGGCCTCCCATAGCACGTGGCTGTGATGTGGTTGTCATTTCTCACTGTGGAAATGACCCTTTGTTGTACCTCCCACCGTTGCTTACAATTTTGCAAACGGGGGGCTGCTACAAGTCATTACCAAGTAGAAACGGAGTAAGTTTAAGACAATTTTGTTTCACAACAAAAATGAATTAAATTTTTATTTTTTTAATTACACACTTGACCTTTGGTAAAGTTCAGGTTACATTACTCAGTTTGGTTTTCCAACTGCCAAGATAGAAGAAAGTGAGAAAGTAGCCTTTCTCGTCTCCTGGTCACCTGTTCTCCTGTACTGATTCTCATCCAAGCCTGGGTTGTGGGTCATGGGCTGAGCAGGAAAGCCCTGGCTTTTAGAGGTGAACGTAGAATTTATAAAATGATCTCACATTAATTCATGTCATTGTCATGGCAACCATGTGATGTGGTCAGGGTGTGTATCATTCTCACCACTGTATACATGAGAAGACCCAGGTCATGATAAGTTGCTTGGGTGAATTATTGACAGCTGATATGGTGTGAAAGTGGGCTTAGAAGTTAAGTTTCTGTTGTCTTATTCTACATTCTTCAATATCTCATAGTACCCCACACTGTTTTAGAATAATTTCCCCATGTGTAATAACCTGAAAGTAACAGAAAGCTGGAGAGAAGGGAAATGGGTATGGGTTTAAATGGCAATGAATAGTGATGTCCACTTTTCTAGTTTGGGCTCTTGGAACTGATGGGTGTAAAACCTCCATCCTAACACAAAGGGTGCACTCCAGAGGGTTCCACCATGTGTCGAACGGTGAAACAGCAGTACAAAATGAGCTTAGAGTTGCAGTTAGAACAGATACTAGCTCTCTTTCTAATTATGCCATGCAGTTTGATGATTTCCCTTTGGAATTCAAGCTGGTTATTAGATATTGATTTAATCAAATAAATGCATTTATCCCCCTCATCCCTCACCAGTTTGTTAACAGCTAAGCCCTGTTAATGATATACAGCTAGTGTTGAGGCAGAACCATGGCTGGGGTTAGAAGAGGCCATCTTAAGTCTTGACCCTTGTGTCTCCCCTACTTTCTCCATGCCCCTATGGTCAACCTGCCTTCAGGTCTGTGCCTGGAAACTATCATCTGAATCTGTCTAAAGGAAAGAGAAAACTAGGCTTCTCTTCGATTAATAGATAGCAAGTGTCCAGGAAGGTATTTGGTAGGCAGTGCACCTTCAAGAGAATCTGTGGGCTAGTGGAGGGTAGGGTTCAGAAGGTAATTTCCTAAGAAAGAGCTGTTATCCACTTTTTAAGCCCCTTCTCAGGAAGTGGTTAGTTCATCCTTGGGCTTAGGAGCAGGAAATCTGGAGCCAGACTTCCTAGGTTCAAATCATGTTGCTACCAAGAATGAACTGTGTAGCCTTGGGCAACTGGCTTTACTTCTCTGTGCCTCAGATGCCTCATCTGTGAGATGAAGTAATAATAGGCCCTACCCATAAGAATGTATTAAACGAATTAATACTTATGCAATACTTAGCTTAAGCCCTAAGAAAACCTAGCTCAATGTGTCTAAAATCTGTTTTTTAAAATATTTTTTAGATGTCAATGGATCTTTATTTATTTATATGCAGTGCTGAGAATTGAACCCAGTGCCTCACACATGCTAGGCAAGTGCTGTACCACTGAGCCATCACCCCAGTCCCCTAAATCTATTTTAATGAAATTATTTTTAACTCTTCTAACCTATGTGATGATGGTGGTAGCAAAACCTGAAGTAGCACTTATTGTGTACAAGGAGATGTTCTGGATGTTTCACATATACTGTGTTCAATTTCTAACTACTGTTCAAAACTATTTGAATTTGTTTGTCTTTGCAGCCTCTTGCAGTCATCGTGTGCCCAGGATGGAAAAAGGCCCAACTTATTTTTGAATTACTGGGCGACTATAGCATGTCCTCCAGGCCTCATCATCCTGTGTTATTAACAATTGGACTTCACAAAGATGAAGCCAAAAACATGAAGCTTCCAAGGGGGTGTAAGCATTCTTTCCAAGCAATTTGGCTTTCCCAACAGAAGACAGGGGACCCTGCCCAGGCAGGTCTGGGATTGCAGATGACAGGCTTGTGTGATAGCCTAGCTTGTCACTCATTGATGGGTATCCATGATGTAGGTTCAATCTTGACCTACATCTGTTTTGCTGAGAAAACTACAGGATTTCATTCATCTACTTTCTACTGACCAATTACTGCTTGCTAGATGCTGAACACAGTGTTGACTAAAAGCCTCCTGCTTTTCAGGAGTGCAGAACCTGGTAGGAGTGCCAAGGCTTGTCCCATACTGACAGGGCTCAGCCAGGGTGGGCACCTGAGGAGAGAAGCAGCAGTATGTGGAATCTTAGCAAAGGAAATGTTGTGAAAACCTGTAAAACAAATCTAAAATGGGCATTGTTTTTTCTTTTAAAATGTAGGCGATGTGATTGTCACAACACCACATAGCCTCCTGAGACTTCTCACATACCAAAGCTTGTTATTTCTTAGACTTTGTCATCTGGTGTTGGATGAGGTGGAAGTGTTATTCCTTGAAGCTAATGAGCAGGTAAGTATGGCATCTATTTAGATGTTATTACTATTCTAAATGTATACATATACTTCTAAAATAGATAAAATTCAAGTATTAACAGAATCAGGAAAAAGGATCTAGTTAAGGAATAAATTGGTTAATCTAAAAAAAATCCCTTTAACTTCTATAATTTAGAAGAGAGAATGTTTATTTGAAATTTCATTCCCAGTGTTAAATCTCTCTTTGAAAAGCAACATTTCTCTCCCAGGAAGATTTACTGAGATAATGAATGTTTTTCTGATTATAAAAGCAATAATTTTTATTGTAAAAAATTTTGAGAAATAGAGAAGAGCACTTGAAAAAAATACAATACCCTAATCATCTTACACTCAAAGGCAATCATTCTACTATTTTGGATTATTTCTTCCTTTTTAAAATTCCTAATTGTTGATACATGTGTTCAATATCAAGAGCACATTTTATGTATAATTTTATAATTCACATTTGCAGTTAACAGCATTGTATTATTACTTCCTGTTCTAAAGGTTATTATTATTATTGGGCATATTGAATCACATGGGCATAACAATTTATGCCATGTTTGCTGTCCTCCGACCAGTAGGAGGCCTTGGCCTGGTTTTTTGTTCCATGCTAGCTGGTAAACAGATCTTGTTAGTACAGTTTGCATCTTTTTTTTTTTTTTTTTTTTTTTTTGCAGTGCTAGGCATGGAACCAGGGCTTCATGCATGCTGGGCCAGTGTTTTACCACTGGTTTGCATGTCTAGCCTTGTAGTTTGTATTTCCTTGATTACTTAAGTTGAACATTAATTCATTTTGATCATTATGTTCATTTTCTAAAGTTGCTAGATCATTTCCTTTTCTTTCTTGTGGTGCAGTCATCTTTTGTAATTACTTTTTGACCTTTTTAAATGTGAGCATGTTAATCCCATTAGATGTGTTAACACATATTTACCAAGATGTTTTTTGTGCTTTAATTTGATTTATAGTGGGGTTTTATGTTCATTGATATTCTCTTTCTCTCCCCTCGCTGCCCCTGCCCCACCTGCCTTTTTCCTCTTTTTTCCCTTTGTGTTTCCAGAGATTGAACCTAGGGGCATTCTACCACTGAGCTATGTCCTCAGTCCTTTTTGTTTTTTATTTGAGACAGTCTCACGCTGTTATTACAGGTATGCACCACTGAATTTGGCTACATTTTCTCTCAGAGGAGCATGCCTATAATCCTAGTCACTTGGGAGGCTGAGGCAGGAGGATTGCAAGTTTGAGGCTAGCCTCAGCAACTTAGTGAGCCCCTAAGCAACTTAATGAGATCCTGTCTCAAAATAAAAATAATAAGGGCTGGATATGTAGCTCAGTTGTAAAGCACTCCTGGGTTCAGTCCCCAGTGCCGAAACAAATATTTTCTCCTTTTTGAGTTTCTCTCTTTACTTTTGTTTTGGAAAGGCTTCCTCCTGTCTGAAAACAGTAAATATGCAATTTTTTACATATTATGTTCTGTCAAACTAATTATTACTGTCTTTTGAAATAAAAATTATATCAATTTTTTAGATGTTTGCTATATTAGATAACTTTAAAAAAAACGTTGAAGTTGAAGAAAGGGAATCTGCACCACATCAGATCATTGCGGTTGGCATTCATTGGAGCAGACATATAGAACATCTAATCAGAGAGTTCATGAATGATCCCTACATTGTGATTACAGCCCCAGAGGAGGCTGCTCTCTATGGCAACGTCCAACAGGTGATGAATGAATGGGAGGGGAGCTGTTGAGCACAAGCAAGTAGCCTGTATTTCATGGCTTAATATTATATGACTGTAGCTTCTATTTTATACCCAAATCTATAATTGTAAATTAAATTTGTTTTGATTTCCTATGCATTCTTTTCTATTAAAATTATAACTTAGCTATGAAAAGTAAAACTGGAACTTTTTGAATATTTTTTTTTAAATATTTATTTTTTTAGTTTTCTGTGGACACAACATCTTTGTTTGTATGTGGTGCTGAGGATCGAACCTGGGCCACACGCATGCCAGGCGAGCATGCTACCGCTTGAGCCACATCCCCAGCCCGTTTTTGAATATTTTAAAAATCAAATTACTTCATTTCTGGTAATTTCATTACCAGGTCGTGCATCTTTGCCTAGAATGTGAAAAAACCTCAACTTTACTCCAAGTTCTTGATTTCACTCCAAGTCAGGCACAAAAGACCTTGATCTTTACTTGCTCTGTAGCTGAAACAGAAATAGTGTGTAAGGTGAGTCCCTGTCTTGTTGATTTAAACTGTGGCTGAATCTTGAATGAGGAAAAAATGACTTGGGTAGTTGATATGTGGTGGGGAGATGCCATTTTGCAAGTTTAACATCAATCAGAAGAGGAGGTGGGCTCTGCTGGGAAGCACTGACAGCTGGAGGTCTGGCCTGGGGGAGGATCCTTGCCTTTCCTGAAGCACGGTCCCACATGGGGAGTAAGGCTCAGGAAACAGTGCCAGGTGGTCTGTCAAGGTAGAACATGAAAGGGTCCAGTTGATGAACAAAATGCCCACATCACTACTCTCTATTTTTAAAAGTTGTGAAGATAACAGTAAAACATACTGTCATGTAACCAGAAAAGCCAAATAAATTGGCTAAAGACTTATTCAGTTTTATCTAATTTCATATTAATTGTAAAATGCTAATTAATTGCCAAAATGTACAAAGCTAAATACAAAAATTAAAAGAAGCTGTAGTACATCTTTCGGTACATAATAATGAGCTAAACAGTACAGTTAAAAGGCCATTATTGGACTGGGGATATAGCTCAATGGTAGAGTGCTTGCCAAGCATGTGTGAGGCCCTAATCCCCAGTACTAGAAGGGAAAGAAAAAAAAAAAAACCTTGTTGACAACAGTACCATATATTTTATATATACTTATACATACATATGTGTATATGTATTATTTTTAAAAGGAAGGGAAATAGTTTTAGCAAAATGATGTTTGTTTCACTTGAGCAAATTTTTATATGAACTACAACAGAACTTTGGAGATATATTTACTTAATTTCATAGTCATTTCAAAGAATTACTGGGTCAGTGAGGTGATTTACAGTTGAATACTTTGATACTCGATGAGACAGCTGGCTTCAAGCTCATGTTCCTGATTTTGAACTGGCTTCTGTGGTTTTACCTTTAGGTAGTAGAAAGCAATTCAATATTTTGCTTGAAAATGCATAAAGAAATGGTTTTTAACTTAAAAAGTGTTTTAGAACATTGGAAGAAGAAATTAAGTTCTGGCTCCCATATTGTATTAGGTAAGTGTTTTAGTTTCTACTTCTATTTAGACAAAGGTTAGCTCATAGGAATCATGTCTTAATTTATATATTTCACCTCCATATTTCTCATTATTTCCAAGATTTACTCAGAATTTATTAGTAATGTTAATTTTAAAATGAAAATTAACCTCCAAAAAGATTCTCATATTGAGATGAATCTAGGTGCCTCAGAGCTCATAGGTCAATAGGCAGCAACCGTTGATCTAGACACTTTACCTGGAATTCTAGCTTGAGGATTACTGTTGTATATATAAAATCTGTGTATATGTAGTCTATAAAGTCTGTATCTAGCTGTACATAGTGCATCTGTACCTATATTGAAACATCATAAATTATAAAAAAGGTTAAATATTAGAAATACAAAAGTTAGAATGTATAAAAAAAAAGAAAAGATCTGGGCAGCCTGGATTTGTAATAGAAAAAGATATTTTTCAAGCTAAAAATGAAGCCACTTGTCTCTGGAATTAATCACTGGTGTGGGGCATTTGGGGAAGAAAGTGGTAAGAAGTTTCTTTGCATCTAAAAAGTAAAAGGAAGGATTGAGGATATAGCTTCATGGTAGAGTACTGGCATAGTAAGTATGAGATTGTGGTTTGATCCCTAGCATTGCAAGAAATAAAGTAAAATATAGTACAGAAATGCTTTGCGGGATGGTTTTGGGGACTGCTTTTTAAAGTAAGTGCAGCTCATGGGAAATTGTTGAAATCTTTCCTCCAGCCTTAACTGACGATTGCATACCACTCTTGGCCATCACTGATGCCACGTGTGTAATTCACTTCAGCTTCCCTTCCTCACCAAAGATATTTGGTGGACGCCTATACTGCATGTCAGATCATTTTCAGAGTTTAACTGAACAGGTTTGACTATCATTTTCTGTGTAATGACAAATTTAGAGTCCATAAAGTTCCACTGAGACTGGTGTGAATGATTTGCTTTCTTTATTTACTCCCATTTTAAGGGTTCTCCTGCAGAGCAGGGAGATAAGAAAACCAAATCTGTCCTATTGCTAACGGAGAGAAATGCGAGCCATGCAGTTGGTGTTCTGCGCTACTTGGAGAGAGCAGATGCCAAAATCCCATCAGAGCTGTATGAGTTCACCGCAGGGGTCCTAGAAGCCAAAGAAGACAAAAAAGCCAGAAGACCTCTTTGTTCATATCTTAAGGCTTTTGGATTTTGCAAGTAAGCCAGTCTTCTTTATTTTAATTAAAGTATAACATGCAGTCAAGTACAGAGATGATAAGTTTACAGCTTGAAACACAACACTGATAAAACCAATAACCCAGTAAATAAATGGGCAAATGAACTAAAGAGGCATTACTCAAAAAAAAAAAAAAAAGCTAACAAACATGAAAAAAGTGTTAAAAATCGCTAGCAGTGGGAAATGCAAATCAAAACTACATTGGGATTTTATCTCACTCAAGAATATAAATAATAAATGCTGGTGAAGATGTAAGGGAAAAAGGAACACTTTTACCTGGAATTGTAAATTATATGAATTTATACTATATAAATCAGTGTGAAGGTTCTTCAAAAGATTAGGAATGGAACTACCATATGACCCAGCTATACCACTCCTTGGTATTTTCCTAAAAGAATTAAATTCAGTGTACTGTGGAGATACATGCATACCCATGTTTATAGTAGCACAATTCACAATAGCCAAACTATGGAACCAGCCTAAGTGTCTTCGAATAGATGAATGGAAACAGAAAATATGGTGTATCTATACAATGGAGTTTTACTCAGCCATAAAGAAGAATGAAATCCTGTCATTTGTAGGAAAATGGATGGAATGGGACATTGTCAAGTTAAACAAAATAAGGCAAACTCAGAAAGTCAGCGTTATATCTTCTCATTTGTTAGAGTGGAAAAAAGAAGGGGGATTTCATGAAAATAGAAGGGAAACCAGTAAGAAAGAGAGGGGACCCTGGGGAGGGAGGAGGAGAAGGCATTGGGGAGGTACTGGAGAATGAAATTATATGCATATCCTAGTATGTCCAAGTGTAACTTATGCACCAATAATAAATTTTTTTTAAACTAAAAAAAATTAGAGCAAGAAAATTAATTTCACAAAAGAGCGCTTTACCTTGGTATCAAAATTGTAGTTGTACTTACCTGATGTAGCCCAGGGATCACCAGGACCTTGTTTATTAGAAAAACTTTAGAAAAATATATAACAAAAATGGGTGAGTTCAGTTCTTAAAAAAAAAAAAAACTAGTGAAGTTCAGTTCTATGTATATAAAACAATATTTTTGATAAAATTTGACTTCTGTTTTTTTTAAAAAAAGTTTACAGCTTGATGAAATGTCAATATCTGTACACCCATGTAAACCACCACCAAACTGATAGAGCACTTAGAGACTCCTGCATGCTCTTCCTGATGTCCATCCTCAAATAGCTGTCAACATTGACAAGAGTTGTTCATTTGTTTTCAATTTTTTATTAACATGTATTAATTGACTATTTTAATAGGGTTCGATTTGGTATTTCCCTACATTCATATATGAGTTTTAATCAAATCTAATTCCTTTTTCCTATCCTACCTCCTTCCTCATACCCATCCCAATCTCTAGTAACTGTTATTCTGTTTTCAAATTAACATTTTTTAGCTCTTTGCTTTTGTGTCTGAATTATTTCACTTAACATGATGTCCTCACTTCATTTCATTTTGCTGCAAATGATAGGATTTTATTCCTCTTTATGGATGAATAGTATTCCATTGTGTATATACTACATTTTCTTTTCCCATTTATCTGTTGTTGGGCACCCATGCTGATTTCATATCTTAAAATTTTGCTCATTTTTGAATTTCATATAAATGTAATTGTGCATCTGGCTTCTTTCAATCAATCTAATATCTGTGACATTGATCCATGTTGTTGTTATATGTATGTTTTATATATGTTCTGGCTTAGTATTGCATTGTCTTGAGTATATCACATTCTTCTGTTGATGGGCCTGTGGGGTTGTTTCCAGTTTGGGGCTATGATGTTTAAAGCTTTTCTGAACGTTGTCATACATGGCTTTTTGTGGAAATATTCATCCTCTTCTTTTGGGAATTGTTGGGCCATAGGGTTAACTTATGTAAACTCTTCAAAAGTGGTGGACCACTTTATGATCCTGTCAGGAGTGATGAGAATTGGAGATGGTCCACATCCTTCCCAGTCCTTAGTATTCATGGGGGAGATAATGGAAAGCCATTGCAATTTTAATTTGTGTTTCCATAATGATGGTGGATTTAATGATGTTAAATATCTTTTTTTTATGTTTGTGAGACATTTGACCATTCTCTTTTTCTGAAGTACCTGCTTTTATCTTTTCCCCATTTTAATGGAGCATTTCTTTTTTCTTATTAGTTTGAGGAGGTATATATCCTGTATATCTTAGCTATCCTAGATATAAGTATTTTGTCTGACACGGTTGAACATCCGTGACTCTAAAACATGAAATCTGAAATACTCTGAAAACAGAAACTTTTGGGGTGTTGACATGATGCCTCTAAAACATTAATTTGCAGGCTGAGGTTGTGGCTCAGTGGTAGAACGCTCGCCTAGCATGCGTGAGGCCCTGGGTTCGATCCTCAACCCCATATAAAAATAAATAAATAAACAAAATAAAGGTATTGTGTCTAACCAAAAAATTTTTTAAAAAACCATTAATTTGCATATATAGTATGAGGTGTGGGGCACAAGTGGCTTTTTCTGCATAGACAGTCATCTGTTCCAGCATCATTTGTCTAGAACATAATTCTCTTCTCACTGAATTAGTCCCTTTGACGTAATCCAGGTGATGAGATATGTGGTCTGTTTTTAGACTCTGTTCTTTTTGTGGGTCCATTTGTCCCTCCTTATTATAACACTACACTTTATTTTTTAATATCGTTTTTATTGTTGTTTATTTTTTTTATTTTTTTATTTTTTTTAATTTTTTATTGTTGGCTGTTCAAAACATTACATAGTTCTTGATATATCATATTTCACAATTTGATTCAAGTGGGTTATGAGCTCCCATTTTTACCCCATATACAGATTGCAGAATCACATCAGTTACACATCCATTGATTTACATATTGCCATACTAGTGTCTGTTGTATTCTGCTGCCTTTCCTATTTGTTTATTTTTTATGTGGTGATAGGGATTGAACTCAGGGCCTCATGCATGCTAGGCAGGCACTTTACCACTGAGCTATTTCCTCAGCCCAACACGACACTTTAAACACTGTAGCTTTATAGTGACACTTGGGATCTGGCATATAAGTCCTCCAACCTTGCTCCTGTTCAGGGTTGCTTGGCTTCTTCAGATCTGTTGCATCTCTATATACATTAAAGATATAAGCTTACTGATTTCTCAAAAAATCTGCTGGAAATTTAATAGGGGCTGAATCAACTCTGTAGATCAATTGGTAAGGTATGGGGATCCCTCTAGACACATGCCACTACTTGGTAAATGGATGGCTAGGCATAGGTGTCTGATAATGTGTCTCCTGGATTGAATTCATTTTTAAGATAATTAATGACATTAACTTTTTAAATTATGGTACATTAACCAGCTTATTAACAACAATTTTCAGTATGCCTTTAAATAGAATATTGACTTTCAAAACTGAAACTTCAGCTATTTCTCAGTTGGGAGGTAACATTGTAGTGAAGGAGCAGCTTCTGATTTGGAGGTTAATTGACCTTTATTGTGGATTATGGTGATATGTTTCTGAGACTTTGTTTTAGAAGTATAAGCAATCCTGTAGCAGGAAGAGTGAAGCAAGTGGCATCACTATACTAGACCTTAAACTATACTACAGAGCAATAGTAACAAAAACAGCATGGTATTGGCACCAAAACAGACTGGTACACCAATGGTACAGAATAGAGGACACAGACACTAACCCACAAAATTACAATTATCTTATATTAGACAAAGGTGCCAAAAACATGCACTGGAGAAAATATAGCCTTTTCAACAAATGGTGCTTGGAAAACTGGAAATCCATATGCAACAAAATGAAATTAAACCCCTATCTCTCACCACCCACAAAACTCAACTCAAAGTGGATCAAGGACCTAGGAATTAAACCAGAGACCCTGCATCTAATAGAAGAAAAAGTGGGCCCTAATCTCCACCATGTGGGATTAGGCCCCAACTTCCTTAATAAGAATCCTATAGCACAAGAATTAAAACCAAGAATCAATAAATGGGATGGAGTCAAACTAAAAAGTCTCTTCTCAGCAAAAAAAAAAAAAAACAATCTGTGAGGTGAACAGAGAGCCTACATCTTGGGAGCAAATTTTTACCCCTCACACATCAGAGCACTAATCTCTAGGGTGTATAAAGAACTTGTTTATATAATGCATTTAAGAATATCTAAAGGGGACTGGGGGTTGTGGCTCAGAGGTGGAGCACTCGCCTCACATGTGTGAGGCCTTGGGTTCGGTCCTCAGCACCACATAAAAATAAATAAATAAATAAAGGTCTTTATTTAAAAATATATATATATATATATCTAAAGAAATAGGGCTGGGGTTGTGGCTCAGAGGAAAGAGTGCTCCCCTAGCATGCATGAGGCACTGGGTTCAATCTTCAACACCACATAGAAAAAAAATAAAGGTATTATGTCCACCTACAACTAAAAAATAAATGTTTAAAAAAAGAATAAAGGTGTTGTAAAAAAATTATTAAAAAAAATAATAAAGTAACTCTTTTGTTTAAGTTTATTCAATTTTAATTAAATTTTAGAGGGTTTTTTTACTTATTTATATATTGTTAGTGTCATTTGAAGTATTTAATATGGTTACTTCTAAAGTGTTTGGAATAAAAGTTCTCTAATTTCAACTGCAGATTAATTTTCTGAAAAATGTTTACAATTCCATGTTAACTATGATTATCTGTATTTTTCTGGTTTTAAAATCTAGCTATTTTGGGGGTTGGGGATGTGGCTCAAGCGGTAGCACGCTCACCTGGCATGCGTGCGGCCCGGGTTTGATCCTCAGCACCACATACGAAGATGTTGTGTCTGCCGAAAACTAAAAAATAAATATTAAAAAATTCTCTCTCTCTCTCTCTCCCTCTCTCTTTAAAAAAAAAAAATCTAGCTATTTTGAGGGGTTTGGGGTTTGGCTCAGTGGTAGAGCACTTGCCTAGAATGAGCAAGGCCCTGGTTTCCATCCCCAGCACTGTCACCACCACAACAAAAAACAAAGCCAGCTATTCATTGTTTTATTTTTTTTTCCCAGAGACAAAAGGATCTGTCCTGACAGACACCATATTAATCCAGAAATAGATAAGCCAAGGAAATTATCCAACCAAGCTCTACCAATGTTTGGATACATTAAAGTAAGTTCTTCTAAGATCTTTTTTGTTCAGTGATTGTTGAATCGTTGTAATTTTTTTTAAGCAGAATCTTAGTAAAATGTAATTTATGATTTATAATATTCAATATTAATATCCTGTCATTAATCTAATGATAGAAATGTGTTCTTATATCTTAATTTCAGAGTCCAAGTTTATATGTAAAACCATGATGAGTTGGGTAAATGCATGACAATCTGGGAGTTGTTTTTTTCAGGAAAAAAAATGTTTCCACTTGGAGGCAGTTAAAAGTAATACAGTAAAAAGTGGTACACACCTGGGCTGGGTTGTAGTTCAGTGGTAGAGTGCTTGCCTTGCACACGTAAGGCACTGGGTACAATCCTCAGCACCACATATAAATAAATAAAATAAAGGTCCATTGACAACTAAAAAACATAAAAAAAAAAAAAAGAAGGTGGCACATACCTGTAATCCTAGCAAGTTGGAAGGCTGAGGTAGGAGATTGCATGTTTGAGGCTGAGACCACCCTCAGCAACTTAGGCCCTAAGTAATTTAGTGAGACCCTGTCTGAAAATAAAAAATAAAAAGGCCTGAGGCCTGAGTGGTTAAATGCCCCTGGGTTCAGTCCCTGGAATGACTACTACTAGTGTAATAATAGTAATAATAATACAGTGACTACATGAATTCTGTTCAAATATCAATGATAATTTCTGTGAGGAAAATTCTTAAGATTCAAATTGAATTGCTGAGTTAAAAATCATTTTCCTTGAAATCCCTCATCATCAATTTCTTCATTACTTTTTTTTTCTCCTTTTCACTTCTTTCCCCTTAAGGCTTTCTCTTTAGTGTTGGTTTCCTAGTGCTGCTGTCACAGATTGCCACAATTGGTGACTTAAAACAACGTAGATGTATTTCAGTTTTGGAGGCCAGAAGTCTAAATGCAGGTGTCATCAGGGCTGTGCTCCCTGCCACTCTTCAGCCTCCTGAGGACAATCCAGTTCTGGCCTCCTCCAGCCTCTCCTGGCTTCAGACATGGCTTGCAGCCACATTCCCCCCCCCCCCCCCCCCCCGCCCATCTCTGCCTCCTGTACATTGCCTTCTCATCTCTTGGTGTCCCCACAAGATACTTGTCACTGGAAGGAAGACCCACCTTTTAATCCAGAAAGGTCTCTTTATCTTGAGATACTTGATTTCATCTACAAAGACCCTTTTCAAATAAGGTCACAGTCACAGTGACCTTGGGAATTAGGACATGCACATATCTTTTGGGAGTGGTCACAGTTTGATCCACTACAGTTATCATCATTGAAATAATTTTTTTATTTCTAATTTTTCCCTGAGTTTTATCCCCTCATTTCTATGTTTTTCTAATTCTGATTTACATTTTTCTTTTTTGTGTTGGGAATTGACCGGGAGACCTTGGACATGCTGAATACATGTTCTACCACTGAGTTACATGCCCAGCCCTAGTAAGACAGATGAGGCTGGACACCCAAGAAATTATCAGGAAGCAGGAGGAGCCAAATCTGAGGCCAGCCTCGGTGATTAATGAGACCTTTTCTCAGTGGTAGAGCACACCTCTGGGTCCGGTTCCTAGTACCAAAAAAAAAAAAAAAAAAAAAGTTTTTTGTAAATTTTAACAAACATATATTTGCCAAATATATGTTTTGCAAAGAATTTCTCCTACACACTTTGTCTTTTCATTCTCTTTATAGTGTCTTTTGCAGAGCAGTTTTTAATTTTAATGAAGACAACTTACATTTTTTCTTTCACGGATTATGCTTTAGGTATTATATCTCAAAAAAATCATTGCCAAAACCAAATCATCTAGATTTTTCTCCTGTTCTTTATCTGCTTTTATTTTGATATTCATTGGGCCACTTTGTCAATTGTTGTTATAAATTATGTGCCTGGTTTTGTTGCTCTGTCTGAGCTCATGTGAGGATTCAGACTGAAAACATTTTCGCATTTTACTACTACCACCTTTCTAGAACCCTGCTAACCCAATCTCCCCATCGCCCCCGCCCACTTCCTTTCTTTCTCTCTAATTAGGTAGCTCTATTGAAGTATAGTTTACATACAATAAAAATCACTAATTTCAAGTGTATAGTTTGTTAAGTCTTGATAAATGTAAATCGTCATGTAACTACCACTACTAGTGTCAAGATGCAGACATTTTCATCACCCCAAAAAGGTCTCTTCTGTCCCCTATCACTGAGACCTTGCCCTACACCATTGTCCCTGGCAGCCACCCGTCTGCTTTCTGTCAGTTGTTTTACTTTTACTGTAGCTTTGTATTAATGAAGTTTCTTGAGTCTGATTTCTTTTACTCAGTACAGTGCTTTTGAGATTTCTTTATGTAGTTCTTTATGTTACTGTGTAGGATTCGATTATATAGATGTGCCATAGTTCACAAGTTGATGGACATTTGGGTTGTTTCTAGTTTCTGGCTGCTTTGAATATTTGTTTTATAAGTCTTTTTAAATATATATTTTCATTTTTCTAGAATAAAAGACCTAGGAGTATAATTGTTGGGTTATAAAAGTATATGTTTATAAGAAAGTATGTGTTTATTAGAAATGTTTTCTAAAGTGATTATACCGTTTTACATTCTCACCAGCCCTGCATATGAGAAGTCCATTTACCTCATATTGTCATCAGTACTTGGCATTTGGTCTTTAATTCTAGCCTAAATTCTAAAATATTTAAATATTGTTTAAATATTTATTCTGTTGCATTTGTGCTGTTTTATTTGTAGTTCCTTTGTGATTATGGATATTGATCATCTTTTCACATGCTGTATTGTATATTTATATCTTTTAATTTATAAATTTGCTTTTCAGGATTTTTGCTCTTTTTGTGTGTGTGTGGTACTGGGGATTGAACCCAGGGGTGTTCTACCGTTACATCACATCCCCAATAAATAAATAATTTATTTTTTTGGTACCAGGGAATTGAACCCAGCGGGGCGCTTAACCGCTGGGCCACATCCCCAGCCATTTTTTTGTATTTTATTTAGAGACAGGGTCTCACTAGTTGCTAAGTGCCTTGCCAAGTTGCTGAGGCTGGCTTTGAACTCATAATCCTTCTGCCTCAACCTCCCAAGTTGATGGAATTCAGGTGTGTGCCACCATACCTAGTTTATTTTTCATTTTGACACAGTTTTTTACTTGTGCAGTTGCCGGCTTAATCTTGTGATTTCTCCTGCCTCAAGCTTCGTGAGTCACTGGGATTGCAGGCATGTTCCACTGTGCCCAGCTGCCCTTTAAAAAAAAAATTAGGCTTTTTTCTTATGTTACATTTTATTTATTTTAAATATTTATTTTTAGTTTTTTAGATGGACACAGTATCTTTATTTTATTTTTACGTGCTGAGAATCGAACCCAGTGCCTCACGCATGCTAGGTGAGCGCGCTACCACTTGAGCCACATCCCCAGCCCCTTATGTTACATTTTAAAGACTTCTTTACATATTGTGAATGCGCTGCATCAAATATATATGTTGCTATTATTTTCTCCTGGTTACAAAGGGAAAGTTTTTATTTCAGTGAAATCTAGTTATCATTTTTTAATTTTATTTTTTGTGCTTTTCATGTTGTAATAAATTTTTGCTTATTCTGAGGTCATGAAGATTTTCTTTTTTTTTTTTTTTCCCCCTAGGAGCTTTATGATTTTACAAGTCTGATCTCTTCATTTTAAATTAATGTTTGTGTGTGGTGAATCCCAGATAGGGGGCAATGTTTATCCTATTGGATAGTTAGTTACTCCAGCATTATTTATTATAAAGACCTTCTTTTTGCCCTAAATGACATTGGCACCTTTGGTATAAATTAAGAAACCATATATATGAATTCTGAACTCTTGATTCTGTTCCTCTGTTTATCCTTATGCCAAAGCTACACTGTCTTGATTATTGTAGCTTTAGTCTTGAAAACTGGTAGATACGTCTTTCATCTTCACTGTTCTTTTTCAGTATCCTTTTTCTGTTTCTTTGCATAACCATACAAAATGTTAGAATCAGCTTTCCAATTTCTACTTGTGAGTTTTTTTTTTTGATTGGTATTGCAGTGAGTCTATAGAGTAATTTGGGGAGAATTGACATCCTGTCAACACTGTCTTCCAGTTTATTACTGTGGTATATCACTCTGTTTATCTAAGTCCTCTTTAATTTCTCTAAGCATTGTTAAGAGTTTTCAGTGAATAGGTCTTATATTTACTGCATTAAATTTATCCCTTGTGTTTCATGTTTTGGAATGCTGTTGTTAATATTTTAAGTATATTTTCTAATTGTTTTGGAAATTCAATTAATTTTTGAATCTTGGATCCTGTAACCATAACAAAATGAATTATTTATCTGCAAAGGTACTAGGGAGAGGAGAATTAAAGCAAATAGCAGGTAGCTGGAAGGTACCTACTCAATTTGCAAAATCAGAACTGAGGGGTTTCACAACACGTGGGACTTTTAGGGCTAAATCCAGGAAAGTCTCAGAAAAACCAGTGTGAGTTGGTCACCCTGTCTGGAGGCCTAATGCTGTCCCTACCTCCTCCTGTTCAGAGTGTCCAGTCTTATGAACTTCCTTTGGCCACATCCAACATAAATTGTCTTTTGCTGTGTTAATGCTGTGCAGAGGAGACTTCCAGGTCTGATGCCAGTTGGTTGTAGGCCTGGATTTTATTTTCCTGCATGCATGCTAAGCCCTTAGCTTAACACACAAAGCCTTATAATTTGGGAAATGTGAGAGGAAAACCTCTCCCTTTACTCCTAAATCACCTAAAAGAGTAATTGCTGACAGTTTAGTATATTTTCTCTTGAAATGTTTCTTTGAATCTTTAAAAATTTTTGTTATTGAGCCAGGTGCAGTGGCACATGCTTGTAATCCCAGCAGCTAGGGAGGCTGGGCAGGAGGACCATGAGTTCAAAGCCAGCCTCAGCAATTTATCGAGGCCCTAAGCAATTCAGTGAGACCCTGCCACTAAATAAAATACAAAAAAGGGCTGGATGGGGATGTGGTTCAATAGTTAAGCATCCCTGAGTTCAATTCCTAGTACAAAAAAAAAAAATTTTGTTATATATACATTATGCCCTGCCCACCTCTCCTAACACTGTAGGGAGTGTTTTCCTCATCCTCTGGGCCACCTCCTGTCATCACCAAGCAGGCTATTGTCTGGAATGCCAGACTCTTTGGGGCTCTAGCCACAAGGGAGAATTCTGGACTACATTGGTGGCACTCTTGGGAGAAGACTGCAAGCAGGAAGGAACTCTGAACTTCATGCCTGGGGGGAGGGTAGAGAAGCTCTGAGGGCTTTATTAAGGCAGCTTTCTCTGTAGTGCTGGAGAATGACTGGGACATCCAAGTACTGGGACAGGGTCTCCAGGGAACATGACTCTAGATGATAACAAGTTCTGTGAAGAGGATGAAATGCAGTTAAGTAGTCAGGGTGTCTGGGTATAAGTGTGCTAGGGAACAAGGGGTCTTTGGAAATTATGGGTAGGGAGAGCCTGTTTGTAGAGAGGTCAACTGCATTGAGGCCCAAGTGAGATAAGGATCCAGACATGGGAAGAGCACTCCTGGTGGAGAAACCAACTAGCCCAGAGTCCCTAGGAAAGATTTATGTGTTATGTTTGCGAGCAGGAAAAGGCTCAGTGGTAGTGAGAGTTGTGAGGGCAACAGGTGATGAAGTTAGAGGGGCCACAGGCTGTCAGACCTGAGACCCCTCACCCCTTTTGATCACAGACTGACTTCCTCCCTGCCTGGCTTTCTTGCCTCACCTCCCAGTCAGTGCTGCCCATCCCCACCCCACCAAGTAACTTCTCATTCCCACCATTGCTGCCTTCACATGGTATTTCTGCCTTCTGGTCGACCTTCTCCACACACTCTGGTAGCTGTGCATGTGCAGGGCAACGTCCCCCTCCCATGCCGACATTTCCCCTGACACATCAGTGATCCTGCTACAAATACCTGTGAAGTGTCTCCTGAACACACACCAGTTTGGCGTAGTCTGTCCACTCTTGGGTTGCTGAGTGTCCCTGTAGGGTATGGCTTCGTCTGTCCCTGGTACCTGGTACATTAGGTTTTTTAATAAAATGCATCTTGTTATATGACAAAAGATGAGAAGGAGCTCAAGAGACAGCAAAGCTGTTTTATGAATGTTTATTAAAATGCAGTTTAAAGGTAAATAAAGCGGGCTGGGAATGTAGCTCAGTGGTAGAGTGCTTGCCTATCATATGTAAGACCCCGGGTCCCATCCCTTGAGCCACATACAAAAAATTTTCTTAAGTAAATAAAAGAACACCTACACTTAAGATGAAGTTTTTAAATAATGCAATTTGCCAAAAATCATCCATTAGATTTAAAGTAGACTGTAGTTATTTATGGTATGGCACTTTTAAATTGTTTTGTTTTTTGAGATACTGGGGATAGAAATCAAAACCTCCTGTGTGCTAGGCAAGAGCTCTACCATTGAACCACACTCCCAGCTCTGGTATGGTGTTTATTTTGCTTTGTTTTTAGCATACTCCCTTGTTTATTTTTAAATCCCTGTTTGCATGAGGTCAGGTAGCATGCTTGTCTTCAGTTAGATTAAGTTTCCTTTCTGGATATATTTACTGTGTATGTTTCAGATAATACCTTTTTATATTTCAAATGCAACAAATTACTTCGGTCGTATAATTGATAAACATGTGGATCTTTATGCAATTCTCAATGCTGAAATGAATGAGTATTTTAAAGATTCCAGTAATAAAACGACTGTCAAAAAGGTGGAAAATTTTGGATTGTATGGACTAGAAGAAAAAACACTTTTTTACAGGTAAAATATCTATTTTTCCTCTCTAGAGTTGTGAGGCATGAGGTAATATAAATGGTGTTGAACACCTGTGTTCACCATTGGCTGAGTGGGAGTGTACCAGGCCTGGCTTCTTCTAAGGAGGCCCTCCCAATGCACTGTGACCCCAGACACCTGGTACAGTTTTGCACAAGAGACTCCATCCTTGGCTCCTGAGCATAGATCACAATGGCAGTGCAACCCTGGACATTCAGGGAGTTGTCACTGTGTGCAGTATACACGTACATCTGCAGCTTGTTTAATTCTTAATAAATTTCTATAAAATTGGCATCATACCCTTCTTGTAGATAAGGAGACTGAGCTGAGAATGTTAAGTGAGTTGATTAAGGTCAGCTCAGTGGGTGGCACAGTCAGTGTTCCAGCCTGGCCTGGCTGCCCCTCCTGCTCATTAATATGCCCATTTTTCCTGAATCCACCTCAGGGCGGGCTACAGGTGATAGCTTTGGGTCAGAAAGTTTGAAATTTTAATTTTCCATATTAACTTTGTTTATGTTGTCAGATAAAAGGATTTCCTATATTCAGAAGTACTACATGTTTCTATGCTTAGGTATATTTTAAGTAATGTGCCACTAAGGATTCTGAAAGGCCTTCCTTTTTTTGTTTCTAATTTAGAGTAAAACAGTGCAGTCAGTGTAACAGTTTTTTTAGTATGTTTTCCTTTTGATGGGTAAATTGAGGCAAAGATGATTTCCTTGTGGAATCTCTTTGTTAAACCGATGCCACCATTGTTCTCCAGGGTCCAGGTGTTGGAGATGAGCCAAAAAGAAGACACTTGGGTCCTGGATAATATCCTTATAAAATTCATAGATGAAGGCAGGACTGGACTTACCACAAGAAACCAGCTGTTGCATCTCCCAGAAAATTTCCATACTCTTCCTCCTCAGGCCGTGGAGTTTATTGTATGTAGAGTGAAACCTGCTGATGGTGAAATTGAGTGGAATCCAAAGGTGAGTTATTTTGGCTTTTTATGTTTTGTCAACTTGTGGAATATATTTAACCCATAATATACACAGACTTAGAGTGTTGAGTGTTTGCTTCATGATCCTAAGCAGTTAGAGTGTGATCTGCTTAAAGTCCCAGCTGGTACAGGACTGTAGTAACTGCCATCATGCATAGAACTAGCCCTGAGCCAGAGTGTTGAGGACCCCTGACATTGTGGCTTCCATTGTTAGTGCTCATCTTAGAACTGATATAACACAGGGGTTGTGGTAAGATGAACTGGCTATCAGCTTAAGGAAGAGAAACAGTGCAAGCACCAATGAAAATGAGTCCCAGGCAAAGTGGGGACATAGGTGGCGGCCAGGTCACTCTGTTGGAGGAAGGGGAGATGGAGCTTCTAATGTGAAGGACATTTCCTCTGGGCCCTATGGGGGTCACTAGAACGTCACCAAGTAGAACGGCAAGGGCACCTAAGGCAGAGAACACTGCCTGAGGCAAGACATGGAGCCCAGAGAGCAGTCCCGCAGGCTCACATAGCTGTCCAAAGTGGGCAGAAAGGCACCACACGTTGTCTGGCTCATCGCAGAGCAGATGCTCCTGATTCTTCAAGAGAAGGTTGAATTTTGTGGAATCTGATTAATGGATTATGAAATAAGCCATTGCAGTTAGCAAAGTGAAAACATTTCGGGTCATAAGCAAGGTTAAACACCGCCCGGGAAATAAGCAAATGAATGTCTCTTGATGAATACACAACCTTACCATTGTGGGTTTAGTGAAAAGAGCCTTTATCAAATGGCAGTCTTTTCCATTTGTTGTACTAAATATTTACTGTTTATTGTGTGCCAGGTGCTGTGCTGGGTTCTGGGTATATAGCCATCAGCAAGAAGAAGACCTTGTCTTCAAGACAAGGTCTGTAAAGATAACTGACCACAGTTTTTTCTTAAAGGGCAGCCTTCTATAGACATAGGGACAGGTTCTCCTGTATATGTTCTTCCAGGTGCACTCATAGATTCAAGGGGAATGGAAACAATCTCATGTCACTAACCATTTCCCTCCTGTTCTGCTTCATTGGTGTTAAAATGTGCATGAAAGATTGCCGACAGGCCTCACCTGCTGCGGCCCTCCTTGAGAGGAAAATAGTGACACATTCAGAAAAGAGCACATGAAAGACCAGTGCCCCCAGACCCTGTCTAGCAGAGCAGAGCAGCTCCATTGCCATGAAATCCTCTGGAGCAGCAAGAACAACTTTTTTTTTGCTTCTATTGGTCTTTCAAACATACATACTCTGAAGACAGAAGAGAATTGATGCAAGTGATGAGTGCATACATGTCCACAGCAGTAAACAATTAATATTAGGATTCCAGATACTCCACATGGACTCTCACCCATTCCTGAAACAACTAGCATGAGCCCTTGGGCAAGTTCCTGCACCTTTCTGCATCTCTCCTTGATAAACTGTTGTTACCTTCACTGAGGAAGTGGGGTGATGCCTCCCTAGCCCATAGGGTTGTTGTGAGGCTCAAATGAAACACACAGAATATTTTGCAAATTATGCAGCATATACTGAATAAAGTCTTTTGTTAAAGCTTCAGATAAATAACTGAAGTCCTTTTTTTAGGTTACCAGGTACATTCATCATAAAATTATTGGAAAATTGCATGATGCAAAAGTGGTACTGGCTTTGGGAAACACAGTTTGGATTGATCCGATGGTAAGCATGCAGTTTTATTAGAAATCTCAATTTGAGTAGGCTTCTAAAATAGTCCAAATTTTTCCAATGTGCTGTGTGAATGACCATTTGCACCCCAGCTTATTTGGGGCTCTAAGTTAGGGAGACATCTTTTTCATGTTATTTCAGTCATGAATTTGATTGTGGGTTTGGTTTTTCGTTTTTTTTTTTTTTTTTAAGTGTTTTACATGGTAACCCAGTAATCCTTCTACGCATGATGTGCATGCACTCTCACTTATAAAACTAAAGTTTCATGAAACTGTTCTTACTTCATATGACATTCTCTAATATTTACAGTTCTGCTCTATTTAACTTCCTTAATGTTGATCATGAATAATTAAGTCAGTCTCACAACCCACCATCCACCCATATGATAAACCTGGGATCAATGACTGCTGTAGAGGATCCATCTTTGCTAGTTTATAAATGATCCTAAAGACCTAAGATATGCTCAGTAATGCTGATAGTTCTGGTCCTTGGACATTCAAACATAGGTTTTTCTACCTTATTCATTCACCAATTATTTACTGAGCACCTACTATGTGCTAGGACCAGTACTGGGCCCTTGAGTTCCATCTGAACAAAGCAGCTGAGGCCTTCTGCCCTCTGATGCTGATGTAGAGTTGGGCATGAGTGTGACACAAGGACATGCAGTATACAGGTCTCTATGGCTCTCCACTGGTGCTGGCACACCCCTCTCTGAGTTTGCTATATTAGACAAATCTTAATTCCTGTGATTGTTTGTAAGATTTTTAAGGAATTCAATTCAAAATTGTTTTGCTAAAGGTAGTTTTTATAAAGTTAGCAAAGTTCTAATTCCTTAAAAGGGGAGTTTGGCTTATGATTTAAGGATAAGAGAGAAATAGTTTTAAGAAGAGAAAATGTAAATTACCAATGCAGATAAGCAGATTTTTTGGGGGGGAGGGTCTTAGTTGATGTTGTTGTAGTATTATAGTTGTTTTCAGGAAACTTTAGCAGGAATTTCTAAAACTGCAGCTTATAGAATGAAGCAAAAAAGAAAACCCACTTGGCAAATATGTTCCCACAGCTGCAAAGTGTGCCTCAGTGTCCATTGACACACCGGAAGGAAGCTGACCCCCAATCTTGCCAACTTCTCCACCCAGACCAGCTCTGTCTCCACTTTGAGTGGAGAAAGGCTTTCATGCACATTGCCAAGTGTGAGACATATGCCCAGGGTTCACTCAGGAAGGTGCCCGGAGGGGCCAGCCTGGCCTACCCCTGCTTCACTGTGACACTCAGTCCTGTGTCCACACCTCCCCTCCACAGGAATCAGACTGTTGCAGATTTTTGTGGTTCAGTTAGTTTTGTATAAATTTAAATGAATGAGAGTATTTTGGTTGCAGAAAAGACAAGTAGAGGAAATAGTCCAGAACACAGAATTTAGGCTCTTGGGATAAGCCCTCTCTGGACATGTTAGGACTCTGAGCCTTAGGCTCCTCCTTGCTGATAGAGATAAAAATAGTTGAGTGAGAATCAGAAGAATGTAAGAATTTTGTATTTTGTTACATCACCACAGATTAGTCTGGAATAGGGGTTTTATTCATATTTCCACCATGTGGGTTTAGGCTTGGGAAGATTTGATGTAACCTCAGTTGTGAAATACACAGATGTTGCAGTGGGAACCACTTGTGTGTTGTGGCATGTTCTGGAGCACATCAGATGTGCAGAGAGAGACTGAGAGACCACGTGAGAGTATTCAGTTAAAATTCAGAGAGTGACTTCTTCAAATGCATGTTTTTTCTTTGATTCAAGGTACATGTTACAAAACTTTCAAATTTGAAAACTTCTGTCATTGATTATAATGTTCGAGCTGAAATTTTGTCTATGGGAATGGGCATTGACAATTCGGAACACATAGAACAACTGAAAAAATTATACAAAGGAGCTAAAATGCCAAATTTTGAAGCACACATAAGCCAACCTCAGTAAGTACAGTTCTGCCTCCCTTTTGGAAGAGATGTTTTGTTTTAAGGAAATATTAAGTGTTAAGTTAAATGAGTCTCCACATCCCTGTCACTCAGTTTTGATAACTATCAAGGATCAGGGAATCTTGTTTTATCCATACCCCAACTCTGTTTTGTTGTTGTTGTTGTTATTGTTGTTGTTGTTAGTTGTAGATGAACAGAATGCCTTTATTTTATTTGTTTCTTTTTATGTGGTGCTGAGGATTGAACCCAGTGCCTCACTCATGCTAGGCGAGCGTTCTACCATTAAGCTACAGCCCCAGTTCCCCAACTGTAGTTTTTTGTGGAGTATAATCAAGCAGATCTCAAGTGTGTTATTTCACCTGTGTATCTAGTGTACTATTTCACCTTTCTCTCTCCCTCCCTCTCTCTTTTTTGGGATGTGTGTGGAGAGGACGGGTGTACCGGGGATTGAACTCAGGGGCACTCGACCACTGAGCCACATCCTCAGCCCTGTTTTGTGTTTTATTTAGATACAGGGTCTTACTGAATTGCTTAGTGCCTCGCAGTTGATGAGGCTGGCTTTGAACTCACAATCCTCCTGCCTCAGCCTCAGGAGCTGCTGGGATTACAGGTGTGTGCTTCTGCGCCCAGCTTTACCTGAATCTCTTACAGAATGGACTTGTGTTAACTTTTTGTTGGCAAATAGCACACATACAGAAAAGTGCACATGTCACAAGAAGAGTTTGATGGATTTTTTTGAGCACAGCTGGGAAACCAGCCTCTGATCAAGAAAACAGAGCATGACTCAGAGCCTCCTCCCCTCCCAAGGAAAGTCATTCTGTCATGGAAAAGCATAGACCGGGTTTCCCTGGTTTTGAACTTGGTTTGAATGGAATCAGCAGTAATTCTCCTTTCTGTTTAGCTTCTTTAACTCAGCATTGCTTGTGCAGTTCATCTAGTTGTGTATGCTGCTGTGGATCTGATCATTCATTGCTACATCATGTCCCTTTGTATGAATGGACCATGATTTGTTTTGCCCATTCTGCTGTTGCCTGAGACCTTCCACTTGGGGGGTACTTCAGGCAGTGGTGTCTCCTGCATATCTTTTGGTGCACTGAGAGAGAGTTACGATGGAATGGAATTGCTGAGTCATAATTAGAGCCACTGTCCATCAGTTTTCCAAAGTGGCTGCACAGTTTACACACCCATAAGCAGTACATGAGTGACCATTAAGTCTCTCTGAAAGGGTATACAGGCAACCACAGAGGGAGAAGATGGACACAGCATGTGTGTTCACCAGATGATTTGTACCAAGAACTCCTGATCATAAAGAAAAATGTGGACCTCTATTAGGAAAGGGGACAAAAGACTTGAATAGCCACTTCACAGTGTCCAGTTGCTTTGTGAAAAGGTGCCCAAGCTTATTAGCCAGCCAGGAAGTGCAGATTCAAACCATAGTCAACAGCACCACAGCTCCAGCATGAAGGGAGAGAAGAGAAAGGAAGTCCTGTTGTCAAGGATGTGGAGGAACGGTAGCCAGGCATGGTGGTGCCCACCTGTAATCCCAGTTATGTGGGGGACTGAGGCAGGGTGAGGCCCACCTAGGCAACATAGCCAGACCCATCTATGAGTATCTATGGAATTGAAATATCAGTTGGTTTCTTCCCACTTTTGGAAATGAGAGAAATTTCTCCTACTTACAAGAGATTCTTTTAAAAATGAAGGTGCCTTTACAATTCAGATTTAATAAACATATGAGGTTTGGTCATTTATGGGAAGCCCCAGTTTTGCACAAAGCCTCTGCTAGTTCCCTTTCCATACTGTGATTTTGAAATTGAGCAGAGAGAATTACAACATTGCCGCAGTCACAGGCAGAGTAGAGAGCTACAGAGCACCACGAGGTCTTACAGAAGAAGCCCACCTAGGAGACTGTACGTCAGAGAGTTCTTAGAGAATGCAGGAGATTCCGATGGGTAGAGAGGGAGCAGCTGTGGAGAAGCAACCCTTGGAGAAATGATACAGGGATGGGATGAGGTTGGGGCAAGTTGAAGTAACAATAAATGGTGAGGTTGATGGTGAGAAGGCTTACAAGGCTGGGTTCACCAGGGTGTGGAAGATTTCAGGATGATGTTCAGCATTTGTACCTGGGTAGGTAGTCAGTGGATGAGGAAAACTTTTTTAGGATTCTAAAAATACAGCTGACACAGCATGTTGGGATGAGGAAAGACAGTACACAGGAGATGGGGGATGGGGTGGCAATTACCTAGATGAGAAGAAGGCTGGTATCCCCCAACAGGAGGACATATTCTGGCACTGACAGGTGGAGAAGCCGTAAGATAGTGACTGGCAGATATAGAGAACAGGATTCTGAAACCCAGTGACTGTGAGGACGTTTGCATGGCAGACAGTGTTTTCCAGAGAGCAGCTCTTCGGAAAGGAAGAGATACTAAGTTTGGTTTTAGACATGCTGTTTTAGGTTTATTGAAAGTATAAGCCCACAGCTCAGGGAAGCAGCAGGGAAAGACTGTTGGTTTGCTGGCATTTGAGGAGAATCAAGACTTTGGTCAGTGTGAGGATGAAGAAGCAGACCTGGTGGAGGAGGATCTAGTGCAGGAGGTCAGTGCTATGGTGGAAGAGGAGGGTGGGAGGAGCAGGACGTGAGGAAGAGGAGGCCTGGGGTGGAGCGCCTGCATTGGTGGGCACGGTGTGCTCTCCTTCACCATTTGCTCAATGCCATGCCCCAGGTTCACACATGTCTGTCAGAGGCCACCTTGGAGACACATGTTGACACCCCCTCCTCACAGACATCTGTGGGTATGTAGCTGTGCTGCACAGGTCTGCTCACTCTGGCTTGAATTATCTCTGAAAGGACGCACAAAAAGTGAATTACATTGTCACCTATGACTGGCTAGCTGGGGAAGAGGGGTGCAAGGAACATTTTTTATTGTGTAGGCCTCCATGAATGTGGCTATTTGCTCAGAGAACCAAAAGAATAGTACAATTTTAAAAACTTAAGTGAACAAGGCAGCCCTCAATGTACTGATATGAAATAATCCCTAGCTGGTTATTAGATAAAATAAACTGGAGTAGCACAGTGGATTTAGCAGGTTCCCACATGTTGAAGAATATGACTGTCTCTGCGTTTCAGATAGATATAAATGGCAATATTTGCTTTTTTATGCAAAGAATATTCCTAGAAGTTGATTTAAAATGGTGTAGTCTCTGGAAAGATGGTCTGAAACACAAGCAGGGATGAAGGAAACTGTTTTCACTTCTGCTCTTCTGTACTGTGTGAAGTGGGGTAGCAGTGTATGTTGCTAGTCTCAAAATTCCAATGAATTTGGAAGGAAAATTGTTGAAGTAAATGAGTGAATGCCTTTCTCTGATAATGTCTGTCATCCACTGTGTGCTTGATGTAAGGGCATAGTAGTGAGCAGAGCTGGCCAGCCCTGCCCTGTCATCAGTAAATAAATCGTAAACTCCTTGTGAATCTGACTGCAGGGTACCGAGCACTTCATTCATTTATTGCCTGCCATTCTCTTCCTTTGCCCAAGTGTCTCTTGAAGTTCCAGAGTTAACCTCCACCTTTTCTATCCAGGACACCTCCATTAGTAGAAAATGCTGCTTGTCTGCAGGACACACAGCAAGAGGACAGGAATGCAGAAAAAGGAGCTGGCTCTGAGTTGAACTCGGAGAACCTAAAGCCCGGTTGGTACTTTTTATTTAAAAGATGGTTGGGGCTGGGGATGTGGCTCAAGCGGTAACACGCTCGCCTGGCATGTGCAGGGCGCTGGGTTCGATCCTCAGCACCACATAAAAATAAAGATGTTGTGTCCACCAAAAACTAAAAAATAAATATTAAAAAAAATTATCTCCCTCCCTCCCTCCCTCCCTCTCTCTCTCTCTCTCTCTCTCTCTCTCTCTCTTAAAAAAAAAAGATGGCTAACTTGAAATCACTAATGTTTAGAACTGCTCTCCACTGGTAGATGAAATACAGAGAAAATAACGCAAACTGTCATACCTAACTGTTCCTCTTTTTGATGATTCAGCTTCCAATGGTGGTTTTTTTCAAACAGTTTGAGGCATAACAGATGTCCAGTGAAGTACACAGGTGCTAAATGGGCAGCTCATCAGGGTTTGTACTTGTGTATATGTCCTCTAGCCACACCTAGGTTTTGCTTTTGAAGGTTTCCAGAACCCTCCCCAGTGACTTCCATTCTGATTTCGTTTTTTTTTTTTTTTTTCAAGATTTAATATACATGTATTCTTTTTGAGGATGGGTACCAGGGATTTCATGGAATATATAGTATAAAGATTTCATTCGAAATAAATGATATTCATTAAGCCAAAAAGAAAAAAAAAGGACATCAAGTTTTAGCTACATTGTTAAAATACAAATATGCAGATTTTTATATATGATAGCAGAATGCATTACAATTCCTGTTACACATATAGAGCATAATTTTTCATATCTCTGGTTGTATACAAAGTATATTCACACCAATTTGTGTCTTCATATATGTACTTTGGATAGTAATGATCATCACATTCCACCATCGTTTATAACCCCGTGCCCGCTCCCTAACCCTCCAACCCTTCTGCCCTATCTAGAGTTTGTCTATTCCTCCCATGCTCCCTCCTCCTATCCCACTATGAATCAGCCTCCTTATATCAAAGAAAACATTCAGCATTTGGTTATTTGGGATTGGCTAACTTCACTTAGCATTATCTTCTCCAACTGCATCTATTTACCTGCAAATGACATGATTTTATTCTCTTTTATTGCTGAGTAATATTCCATTGTGTATATATGCCACATTTTTTTTAATCCATTCATCTGTTAAAAGGCATCTAGGTTGGTTCCACAGTTTAGCTATTGTGAATTGTGCTGCTATAAACATTGATGAGGCTGTGTCCTTGTAGTATTCTTTTTTTTTGTTATTTTTAATTTTTTTTAATTTTAAACATTTTATTTGTCTATTAAATTATAAGCATATGTACCATGTTTTATAATATGCTATTTATTATTATATTAATTAAAAACTCATTGTGAGAAACTTGGAAAATATAAAGAAAATAAAAATCATCCATAATCCTACCACCTGGAGATAACCATTATTATCATTTTGATGTATTTCATGCTAATACTTTTCGTTACATTTTTTAATAGTTGAAATCAATTTTTATACATTTTATCATGCTATTTCATTTAAATTATAAATATAACTATTTCTCCATGCTATTAAATATTATTTACAAATTTTCTTTTCAATGACTGCAGAACATTTTATTACATGAATATATTCTAATTGATGTAACCATATAAGCATTTTTGAACATGTGGGGTTTTTTTTCTCATTTTTTAAATGACTATAAATAATACATTTGGTTTTTTTAATTATTTCCTTTAAAAATATCACCAGAAGTGTAGTTTAATCATTGTTTCAAAGAGACAAGGTACATTTTTAAGGCCCTTATTACTTTCCAAAAATAACAAAACAATAGATATTCACTTCAGCAGAAAGTAAGAATCCTGTCTCATCATAACCTCAACAGCATATGACATCTGCATTTTAAGTCTTTAGTAATAATTTCACCTTAATTTTTATTTCTTGGTACAAACAACATTTAAAATTGTTATAGTCCTTTGCAATTATTTTTATCTTGTTTTTTTTCCTGCCTTTATCCATTCACTTGATTTTCCATTTAATAAATGTTTATTAAAACAACTACTTCAGGGGCTGGGGATGTGGCTCAAGCGGTAGCGCTCTCGCCTGGCATGCGTGCGGCCCGGGTTCGATCCTCAGCACCACATACAAACAAAGATGTTGTTTCCGCTGAAAACTAAAAAATAAATATTAAAAAATTAAAAAAAAAACAACTACTTCAGAAGGGCATCTAGGTTGCTTCCACAGTTTAGCTATTGTGAATTGTGCTGCTATAAACATTGATGTGGCTGTGTCCCTGTAGTATGCCGTTTTTAAGTCCTTTGGGTATAGACCAAGGAGAGGGATAGCTGGGTCAAATGGTGGTTCCATTCCAAGTTTTCCAAGGAATCTCCATACTGTTTTCCATATTGGCTATACCAGTTTGCAGTCCCACCAGCAGTGTATGAGTGTGCCTTTCTCTCCACATCCTTGCCAACACTTATTGTTGTTTGTCTTCATAATAGCTGCCATTCTGATTGGATAGTATGCTGTTTTTAAGTCCTTTGGGTATAGACTGAGGAGAGGGATAGCTGGGTCTAATGGTGGTTCCATTCCCAATTTTCCAAGAAATCTCCATACTGCTTTCCATATTGGCAGCACCAATTTGCAGTCCTACCATCAGTGTATGAGTGTACCTTTTCCCCCACATCCTCGCCAACACTTTTTTGTTGTTTGTCTTCATAATAGCTGTCATTTCTGACTAGAGTGAGATGAAATCTTAAGAGTAGTTTTGATTTGCATTTCTCTAATTGCTAGCGATGATGAACATTTTTTCATATATTTGTTGATTGATTGTATATCATCTTCTGAGAAGTGTCTGTTCAGGTCCTTGGCCCATTTATTGATTGGGTTATTTGATTTTTTGGTGCTTAGCTTTTTGAGTTCTTTATATACCCTAGAGATTAGTGCTGTATCTGATGTGTGAAGATTTGCTCCCAAGATGTAGGGTCTCTATTCACCTCACAGATTGTTTCTTTTACTGAGAAGAGACATTTTAGTTTGAGTCCATCCCATTTATTGATTCTTGATTTTAATTCTTGCGCCACAAGAGTCTTATTAAGGAAATTTGGGCCTAATTCCACACGATGGAGATTAGGGCCTACTTTTTCTTCTATTAGATGCAGGGTCTCTGGTTTTATTCCTAAGTCCTTGATCCATTTTGAGTTGAGTTTTGTGCGTGGTGAGAGATAGGGGTTTAATTTCATTTTGTTGCATATGGATTTCCAGTTTTCCAAGCACCATTTGTTGAAGAGGCTATCTTTTCTCCAGTGCGTGTTTTTGGCACTTTTGTAATTTTGTGGGTTAGTGTCTGTGTCCTCTATTCTGTACCATTGATGTACCAGTCTGTTTTGGTGCCAATACCATGCTGTTTTTTTACTATTGCTCTGTAGTATAGTTTAAGGTCTGGTATAGTGATGCCACCTGCTTCACTCTTCCTGCTAAGGATTGCTTTAGCTATTCTGGGTCTCTTATTTTTCCAGATGAATTTCATGATTGTTTTTTTCTATTTCTATGAAGAATGCCATTGGGAATTGCATTAAATTAGTGCTTTTGGAAGTATGGTCATTTTTATTAATTCTTCCTATCCAAGAGCAAGGTAGATCTTTTCATCTTCTAAGGTCTTCTTTGACTTCTTTCTTTAATTTTTTAAAAATTATTTTAAAAAATATTTTTTTGTTGTCAATGGACCATTATTTTTGTTTTAACTTATGTGGTGCTGAGAATAGAACCCAGTGCCTCACACATGCTAGGCAAGCGCTCTACCATTGAGCCACAACCCCAGCCCTCTAATTATTCTTTATAACTGGATATTGGGTTTCTATGAAATATATACTTTTATGTAATCCCTTGTCTAAATGTTGGGTATGTTGCAAAAGAGTATGTGTACCTATAACTGTGTATGTGTTGTATATAAATAACCTGTAGGAAAATTTGACTTTGGTTTTGTACAGACACTTTATCTGAAGACACAGGAGCTGCTTCTGTTAGCAAAAGTGCACAGCCACACCTGAAAAGGTATGTCTCCCTGTTGCCAGAGCACATGCTCCCCTTAATTGGTGACTAAATACTGGTAAGCCTTTATCTTTCCTTCTAGCTTTCACCCACAAGTAAAGTGGTTCCAAAAAGAAGATGTCGTCATCTTGAAAATAAGAATAAGGAATGTAAATGATTACAAATGTAAATACTTCAGAGATAGAGTCATTTTCAGGTAAGTTTATGCATGGCTTATAAAATAAAATAGAAATAATTTCCAACATGCTAGAAGGCTAACTTTATTCTTTTTATAAATCTAGTGCCTGGGTGGGAGACAAATTTTACTTGGCTGATATGGAGCTGCAGGCCAACATAAGAAAAGATGAATGCAAGTGTGTAATTAAAAATGAGGAGCCTGTAATCACACTTGCAAAAGAGAAAAGGGAATCCTGGTGTAACTTACTCAAACAGAGGGTGAGTTGAACGCACTGTGGCTGACTGGTCTGCACACCATGGGTTTTATATTCGTTCACTTATGCGAGCTGTTTTATTGAACAGAATCCTAATGTGGCATTTGACTTTGATCACTGGGAAGAATGTGAGGAAGACAGCCCTTTCTCCAAGAGTAAGATGTGAAACAACTATTCCCTAAAGGGATGAGGGTCCTGAGCATGGTGTGGGTGGTGCATATCTGCTGACTTTAGGGAGTCGGGTTTTGTGCAAATGCTATTTGGTATAAAGCCCTTAGAAATTGGCTTTCTCTTTGTGATTGATCTTGGTGCTAAATGTTGTGGTATGAGAATTTACCACCTCTTGGTAATAAACACATTTTTCTTATAACACTTGTATGACATTTGACCTAGATGAACAATTTATTTTTGAGCAAATTTTACCAGCTCATTTCTTACCTAAAATAATAGAAATATCAAATAAATGGCTAGATTGAACTAGAACCCAAGGGACATTTTCTGCACTGACCAAAATAATGGGGAACAAAGATTTGCCAAATAGACTATTGTTAACATATATATTATCTAACTTTTATAGTCATAAATTCTAAAAACCTGTCCTGCAAAGTGGCAGAGGTGGTTGAAAACAGTGACATCACTTCGGAGGATGACGGAAGTGAGAGTGAATGAGAATGTGAAGTAAATCCAGAAGAATGGCCGGAAGACTTTGAACAAAAACATTGCTAAGTGACTGGACTTTAAGAAAACAAGCAGTCATAGCCAAACCTTTTTGTGCCTGAAGGATAAATTATTACTAAGTGTCATCTTGTGGCAGTGGATCGGTACTGGTGAGAATTCTTAGTTGACTTAACAATAGGTTAAAAATTATGAGATTGTCGAAGGTGGTGGAAGCAGGATCTGGAGTCAGAAGCAGAACCCAGATTGTACAAGAGTCTGCTTCACTGCCTCTAATAACTCATCCAGACATATACAAATTTGAACAAGCACAAACCGTGACATTTGAGATTTGAATCTCACCATATGCAGTTAGTACTTTTTTTTTTTTTTTTTTTGGTACTAGGGATTGAACCCAGGGACTCTTAACCACTAAGCCACATCCCCAGCCCTTTTTAATTTTTATTTTTGAGACAGGGTCTTACTAAGTTGCTTAGGGCCTTGCTAAGTTGCTGAGGCTGGCTTTAAACTTGTAATCCTCCTGCCTCAGCCTCCTGAGCCACTGGGATTACAGGCGTGCACAACCACGCCTGGCTTTAGTCCACTTCTTTTTTCATTTAGGCATTTGGTGGTACATTGCTTAAAACCCAGTGTTAGGCATATGAGACTTCCATTTTACAAATAAATTCATGTTCAACAACTGCTTAACAGAGCCCTTCAAGTTTGATTGAATTAGTCAGGATTCGCCATCACTGTGTACGGGTACTAAAACTTTCAGTATTCTCCAGATCTTGATAGCTTCCAAGCAAGTTGATTTTTTTCCCCAAGACAGTATGGGATTGCCTTAGGAAGACCAGAAGACTCAGGGCTTTCTGGATGTGTCAGTGCTGGTTCTAAATTGCCCCCTTGGACTTGCAGAGTCCAGGGCAAATGGGACAAAGTTTTCTTTTTTGGACACTTAAAAGGGACCTTTGCAGTATCTGGGAGTAACTATGAGAACACCTGGATGAAGTGAGCCCTGAAAACTTTCATGACTTGATCCTTTTGAAAGGTTGTGGCACCTAGGGTTACCAGCTTCTTGGGAGGAGTATGTATAGTCACTGCCACTTAGATGTAGGAGGCCAGGAGGCATAGTTGTAGAATACCCTGCATGCTTTGTTCATTTTAAAAAGTTGGGGAGGTGAGCTGTTGGGAAATTTTAAATCCTGTCCCTCAATATCAGTTTTTCAGTTTATCCAAGAAGTGGGAAAAAACATTGATAGAACATGACTGTTGAGTGACTGCCCCAAGACCTTTATTCTTTTTTTTTTTTTTAAACCAGAAGCACAGATGCCCAAGCTTATGTACATCCTCCGTTTAAGCTACTGCTTGAACTGAAGGTAAATTCTCTCATCAAGCCATCCCATGAGCAGGATTCTGGCTCTCACTTTTCTCATCTGTAAAATAAAATGCTGAGATCATTGCATAGCCTCCCCTTGCCACAGAGCATGCCCAGAGTGCTGTTGGGGCAGGCCATCTTTTTTGTCCAGGGATTCTGTGATGGGCACCAACCACTGCACTACAGTCAGAGGATGAGGTCCAGCCTGAAGAGCTTCCAGGAGCCTGTCCTTGCTGCTGCTATGACTCTCATGGTTGGCTGCCAGCTATCAAATTGGCCCGTGAATGAGATGGCTACATTGGGCAGGCTCTTCAGGAAGCAAAAAGATCTGGTGTCTTCTGGCAAGGTTCTACTTTGGTGCTCATCCTTGTTAGTGTCAGTTTCTGTAGGTTCAGGTATGCCCCTGCTGAGGGAGGGCTTGGGGCAGTGCCTGCACCTCCAGAGAGCATCCCGTGGGTACCCACTGGCTGCCCATCCTCTGTGCTTAGCTGTGTGTAGTCTTTTGTGAACAATAATGGCAGGATCTAGAGCTATAGAAGGTTGCTTCCCAGTGTTGATGGCAGGTCCTATGTCAGGACACGGTGCCAGTTCTTTTCACAGTTCACCAGTAGCTCAGTAGGAATATTGAGGGAGAAGGGCTGTATGTTTAAGTCTCAACTTCTTGTTTCAGACATTCAATGTTGCTAATATTTGAAGCTCTGAACAATATTTCAATGGACATAGGATGCTGACTATGTAAAGGATTCATAATTGTTTTTCTGTACTGCTATTAAAATGTACTGATTTCTGAAACGTAAGGGAAATTTTTTTTCATCTGTGCTTCTAAGATTTCTCTCACAGTTCTGATGTGAATGCCTTTGTAGTGTATCATTAATAAAGTTTCAGTGTCCTCACAGAAATGTTACTTTTTCTTTTCTTTTTTTTCTTTTTCTTTTTTTTTTTTTTTTTTTTGGTACCAGGGATTGAACCCAGGGCACTTAACCACTGAGCCACATCGCCAGCTCTTTATTTTTATCTTTTATTTTGAGCCAGGAAGGGTCTCACTAAATTGCTGAGGCCGACTTTGAATTTGTGGTCCTCCTGCCTCAGCCTCCCAAGCTGCTGGGATCATAGGTGTGCACCAGTGCGCCCAGCACGTTTTCAGTTTTTTAAACTGTATTTTCCTTGGGTGCTAAGTACAAAATAAAATTTATTTCACCACACTTTTGGTGACCAAGATGCTAGTGGGCTGTTGGGAAGCAAGTGATGTTGACCTGGATAGAGCTCCCGTGTAAGCACATTAGACTTTCAGTGTTCTAGGTGGATGGTCAACTTTGCAGTGGGGGCCTCATTATTCAGCCCAGCACAGACATATCATGTATATCACAGTTAAATACAGGGGTGGCAATATTTTTTCTGAAAAATGGAGAAAAAAATTTGTGAGATTTTTAAAAAATTTATGTCAAAGCAAAAATATCACCAGAATAGACCTTATTGATCATATGAGTTTAAGGAATACCCTTTATTTTTTATTTATCTTGCAGTGCTGGGGATGGAATCCAATGCCTTTCATATGGTAGGCAAGTGCTCTACTACTGGGCTTCCCCAGCCCCACCTGGTAATGGTCTTTATACAGCCCTTTCCCAGTCATCATCTTTCTGTTAGGCGATGTTCTCTCCTTTTAACTTTGGCAAATACCTGTCACTTCTGTCAAGACCTCTATTCAGAGAATGAAGGATATCTAAAAATAATATTATACAAACACCTGGGCATATTTTTTTCCTTAAGAAAAATATCAGGAAGAAATAACCACAAATATTGCTTACAAAAATAAATTCATCACAGTCTTGACTGTGCTACAAGCAATGAACTTGTTACTCAGTTTCTTTCTCTGGTGGGACGACTTCCATCAGCATCTGAAGGTACATGGTGACAGGCTCTGGGACAGAAAGCACAAGAAGTGCAGTTAGCAACACATAACTAAAAGACCTCCCTATCACTGCTGAGCAGTGAGCCTGTTCTTACTCTGTGGTGATAGGTCACCTCTTAGGACCTCCACTCAGGTGACACCTGGGGTTCAGAGTTAATGAGAACCCTCTTGGTAACTGTAATGGTTGTATAGAAATTATTTCCTATTAAGGAATTAGGAACCTGGTAAATATTTTTTTGCTTCTAATTTACACTATAGGAAAAATATGAGTGACTCAATTCTGTGTATGTATTTAATACCAAGCATTGACCAATAAGAAGTCACTGAGACTGCATTGTGTCTAAAATAAAAATGTTTGTTTTTTTTTTAAACCACCTTGACCCAAGGTCTTATCAGTTTTTGGAAGGAGCAACTTGGTTAAGCATACTTAAGGAAGGAAACAGCTGAGAAGCAGCTTGTATTTTGTATCATCAGGTTGCCAGTCATCCTGGCTAGGTTCTCCATCAGTGTGGTCAAATCCAAGTTCATTTCAGAAGCATGGAGAAAATGGCTATTTTTCTGAATGACTTCCTTTCCTTTCTGTACTCATGGGCCTGCCTGCAGCCTGTCTTTCTCAGCTTAGGGTTGAGACTTGAGTGAAGAGAATGGAGGTGAAGGGAGCTGTTTCAGGAAAGTGGAAATAATAGCTATGTGTGCTTTGTTTTCACTTTGCTAACCAACAGGAAATAGTCTCTCTGGTTCTACCACCACTTGCATATAAGTGGTGGTACCAGATTCCCCAGCTGAGAAAACAGATAGAGAGAAGCTGTCACTTGCTCAAACTGAAGAAAGGCATGCTCCACCCTGTTACTTGCATCTGGAATCCCAGATCAACTTCCCTACCAACCAGCTTGCTTCTATTCTTTCATACTGTGTGTATTATATTTATGCAGGTGTATAAATAAAAACCATAGGAGGGCCTCGGGGTGATTTTTTTTCTTGTTCTGACAGGCTGAACAGCAGCAGGGAAGAGTTAGGTTTTTAATCACAGTTACTCAGTGAATGAATGTTGGATACCAGACATTGCTAGCTTCATTGTGCAGAGCCCAGTTCTGGTCTGAAAGGGACTCCCAGTATAGAGAAGAAATAGGCCATTGATCACCTCATTGCCTGGTGAGGTGGCTTTGAAGGCAAGTGGGGTTTCTTAGTTGAATCTGCTGGGTAAGGTAAAACACTAGTGAATATAATGTAGTTACAGACTTTTAAAAAATAGGTAAGTTCAGAGGTTTTTTTTTTTTTTTTTTTTTTTTTTTTGAGGCATTTTTTTGCACAGTGCTTTCTTTTTAGAACTGGATGAGGCTAACATAAGCTAAGTTTTTAAACAACTCTTGTCCAAAATAGATGAGGATCAGGATGCAGAATCCTGATGGTCTCAGCATGGGAAGGTTCAGGCTCTTGTCCCAATTCCCTGTCCTAACTACCATCACTTTTGGGGTATTTGGGGGGGATACTGTTGAGCCTCTTAGGTGATGGCCACACAGCTCTGGCAGGAGAAAATGGTGCTGTCAAGATGAGATGTAGGACATGAATATACTTGACCCTATGGAACTAGTCACTCAATAGTGGTTTAAATGATAAATTTTTATCTTAAGTGTATTTTACAATTGAAAAGAAAATGGTGCTTTTCCTTCCTACTTGTTAATAATATTTGACAGGAACAAAGGAGACTAGAGGTAGACCCAGAGCATTGTAGAGGGAAAAGCGTCCTGTATCCTCCAACGAGGAGGTGAAGTCTGTTATCTAGGTGAGAATCTGTCATAAGGAAATGTGGTGGTAAGAAGGCAGGTGAGATTGTCCCTCTGCCCTTTACTGATGGCACAGCAGCCCTTCTGTTTATACTTACTTGAGATTTTCTGAGCCCATCCAAACTTGTAGTAGACAAAAAGGAAGTAAAATATAAGGCCACTCAGTATAAATAACACACAGTAGAGATACTCCCATGCAGGCCTACTGATGATTGGGGCCAGAACCAAAAACACAGATATGAGAGTCACCAAGATGGGAATGAAAATGGGTACCTGTAAACAAGACAGCAAGGCGTGTGGTTAAGCCCCATACATTTGTTTTCCTTTTTAAAATTTTCATTTTCAATTTTTTCATAGAAAAAAAGAGTAGAATGAACTCTATGAACCCTTCCTGCAGTTTCAAGAATGTTTATGTAATTTTGCCAGTCTTTTCACCTACTCCAGTCTTCTTGTTCCTAGAACAGACAATACAGATAACTGTAAAATGTTGAATATGCATCTCTAGTCAGTGAAGGTGTACTGTTTTTTTTTTGTTGTTGTTTGTTTGTTTTGGAGGGTTTTTTTTTGTTTTTTTTTTTTTGATGGGGGTACCAGGGGTTGAATTCAGGGGCACTCAACCACTGAGCCACCTCCCCATCCTCATTTTGTATTTTATTTAGAGACAGTCTCACTGAGTTGCTTAGCACCTCCCAGTTACTGAGGCTGGCTTTGAACTAATGGTCCTCCCGCCTCAACTTCCCCTGAGCTGCCGTGCGCCATTGTGCCCAGTGTAAGGCCTCCTGTTTTCAACTAGATAATCCCCCCTCCTTATCTTACTACTGATTCCTTGGGGGAAGTGGATGATTTCACCTGTACAGTGTTTAAATCCAGTTTTGTGTGATTGCTTCCTCCAGATGTCATTTAACTGGCTCCTCTCTCTCCCGTATCCTGTAAAGTGGTTGATGTAGAAGGAAGAACCCTTCACGGTCGGAGAAGTGCACATCCTTTTGTGATACTTCATGAGGCAATAATGTCTGTCCCACTTTTGAAGTGCTGAGGTCCATCGGCAGATGTGGAGGAGAGAGACCAATCCAACCTCACCTTTGCAACTTTCTTGCTAATTTTTCATGGTTTTAAAGCAAAACTAAAACTAAAGCTGTAATGGTTTTATCCTTCACTGATCATGTTGACTCAATTGGTGATTTCATCAGGGATTGCAAAATGGTGATGTTTCTCTTTCCTTCTTGACTTAAATGTCTACAGTGAATAACTTCATCAACTACTTGGTTATTCTGAATTGCAATTTATATGGGAAAGGCAGCATAAATGCTTGGCTCTTTTTACTTCTAAATTTTTAGAATGATCTTAAACTCTTAAACTCTTGGGTTGTAATATATTTGTAAGTTTCAATCCTATGTAGTCATTTTTTCCAATGTTCTGTTCAGCGTTCTGTTCATACTGCCTTGTCACTGCCATCAGGAGCCTCTTAAAACTGGCTTTAGGGCCTTGGCCATGTGATCCTAGATCTTTTCAGAAGCTTTTCCTACTTTTTGGCATGACAGGATGTGCTATCCATCTCTGCAGGGAACTCTGTATCCTTTCAGTGAGAAGTGGCATTAGAAGACTATAATCTGGGTGGTTGGAATACTCATTGTTCTTTTACAAGTACAGAGATAAAGGTGCTTTTTCAAGAAAGGAAAATTTTTCATGAATTCATACAGATTCTTTTAGTTTAAATGTAAGATTTCATGGGAGTTTTTTCCTTCCTTTAATTTAGACCTATTTTTTTCCTTATATTTCTGAAATATTACTTCTTATGACTTCAACTCAATCATTTGCTTTCTTATAATGTAACTGTCAAGGCACTTTAAAATAACTATACCAATATTATAAGTAGAGCTAAGAAGCTTAAGAATTTTTCTTTGTAAACCCAGCACATTGGCACATGCCTATAATCCCAGTGACTAGGGAAGCTGAAGCAGGATGATCTCAAGTTCAAAGCCAGCCTTAGCAACTTAGCAAGACCCTGTCTCTAAGTAAAATATAAAAAAGGGCTGGGAATGTGGCTCAGTGGTCAAGTGCTCCTGGGTTCAATCCCCAGTATTAAAAATAAAAAGGGATTTTTTTTTTGCATTTCTTTTTTAACCAAAAACATAGCCCAAAGGAAGATTTATTCCCTTTATTATCTTAATTATCTACAGTGAAGGACTTCATCAGCTGTTTGGTTATGTTAAATTGTAGTTTGTACAATTCTAGTAATTATTTAATATTTTAATAGCAATTCTAGTAATTATTTTCTCTATTTGGTTATGTCACCTACTTGTTATTTATCTTCATTTGTTTTCAGTTTTTAGGGATTCATTTTTTCCTTTTTAGATTCCATTTTTTTATATATTTTTTTAATTTTAGGCGGACACAATATCTTTATATTTATGTGGTGTGAGGATCGAACCCAGTGCCTCATGCATACTAGGTGAGCACTCTACCACTGAGCCACAACCCTAGCCCCATCCATTTTTGTTTATTAATATTACTATTTTTTTTAACTTTTCTTGATATCACTTTATTCTTCCATCGTTTCTTCTTGAGAATAAACATATGCACAAACATACATATGCATGTTCATCTTCCACTGCTCTTACATAAAAGATAGCAACTTGCATAATAGACAGTTTTGCAGCTTGCGTTTTTCTTTCAGTATATTGCAGGGGTAATGCCCTAGTAAATACATAAGTTTTGTAATCATTCATCTTTTACTGTTGCATACTACTACTCTACTTTGTGGCTATACCATAGTTCATTCAACTGGTCTTCTAGTCATGGACATTTGGGTTGTGTTGAACCTTTTGCTGTTAACAATGCTATGATAAATCACTTTGTATTTCATATTTCTGCCAGTTTCATTTGGGGATAGATCATTTCAAAACGAGATGGCTGGGTCATATTATTTTGCTAGAGATTGCCAGATTTCCCTCAATGGTGGCTATGCTATTTGTATTCTGCTAGCAATGTATGAGAGGGCTATTCCGCATGCTTCCTCCAATGGAGTCAGACTTTGGGATTTCTGCCCATCTACTAGGCAATAAATGGTATCTCATTCAATTTTGGCATGCATTCTCTTATTAGAAGCCAAGTTGAGCTTTATTGGGATTTTTTTTCTTTGTTTATATTTTTGTCATTGCATTTTTTTCCTCTTTGAACTGTTCTTTTTTGTATCTTTTGTCCATTTTTCTTTCATATGCTGATATTTTTCATCTCTGTATTTAGGAACTCTATATGTTAATGATATTAGCCGTGTGTGTATGTGTGTGTGTGGTGTTGTGTGTGTGTGTGTAATATTATTTGCAAATATTTTCTTATGTACATGTTTCTTTTTTAAAGACATGAATTTTTACTTTATTAGAGTTCTATTTATCATTTCCCCCCCCCTTATTATCTGGATTTTGAGTCATGGGAAAGTTTTAAACATTTATAAATTTATAAAGAAATTTGTTTTCATGCAACAGCACCATAATATTTAAATATTTAATAGCATTCTCTTGTTTCAATGTTTTCCTATAATTCTTGCTTGTTTGTCCTTCAGTATGAACTTAGGAATTAACTTATATATCTCCAGAAAAAAAAATACATGACATTTCTATTGCAATTGTATTTATTTGTTTATTTATTTTTATTTTTTATCTTTTGCAGCTGTATTTAAATGTCTGAATTAATTTAGGGAACACTGACATCTTTATGATACTGAATTTTCCTGTCCAAGAATATGTATGAATTTCCATTTGTCCAAATTTCCTTTGAAGTCTTTCAGGAGTATTATGCAGTTTTCCATCTACAGGTCTAACGTCCTGCAAAGTCAATGAGTGGTTTTGTGTTTTGTGGTTCTGTTTGAGAGGAGGGGGTGTTTCCTAAAATTGGCTAAAATCTTTACATTGGCTCTAATTTGCATAAAAGTTATAGATTTCATCGTGCTTATTTTATTTTGTTCCTTTTTTTGGGGGGGGGGCAATGCTGGGATTGAACCTAGGGCCTCATATGCTAGGCAAGTGCTTTACAGTGAACTGCATCCTCAGCCCCTAGTGTGTTAACTTTATATCTTACAAACTAAATTTTCTTTTAGTTTTTTCTTTGATCCTTTCAAGTCTTCCAGATATACAATTATATTGTCTTTATTTACTTTTAAAAAAAATTTTAGATGTATGGACCTTTATTTTATTCATTTACTTATATGTGGTGCTGAGAATTGAACCCAGTGTCTCAAATATGCTAGGCAAGCACTCTACCACTGAGCCACAGCCTCAGCCCCCAATTATATTATCTTTAAAAGGACAGTTTTAGATTCTTTTCAAAGACTTTTCTAGTTCTTAAAATGCAAATTGTTTTCTTCTGATCACCCTGCTAATATCTTTAAAACAATGTTAATGATGGTAGAAAAAGAAGTCATTCTTGTTCTTAACTTTAGCAAGAATCTCTCTAGTGTTACCATGTCAAATAAATAGCTTTTTGCCCTTTGTACGTGTGCATGCGCACATGCATACACATATGAAATGGAGAGTACATATTATTAAGATCAAATTCCTGTTTGTGTTTTTATCATTAATGTGTGTTAGATTTTATTTTTTGCATCTCTGGTGATCATAGGGATTTCTCTCATGAATATGCTAGTGTGATGAATCATAGCCATCCATGAATTCAGCTTTAACTAATAGATTTTGATCATTTTGATTATGGACTTACTCATAATATATTTTTAATGTAGCTGGATTCTGCTAGTTACTATAAAGATTTTATATCACTATTCATAAGTGAGATTGTACAGTAATTTTTCCTAGTTTGTACTGTCGTTGTAAGGCTTGATATCAATGTTATAGTATATAAAAAATTGAAAACCAATTTTTAAAAAACCTTAAATGGGGGCTGGGACTGTGGCTCAGCGGTAGAGTACTTGCCTCGCATGTATAAGGCCCTGGGTTCAATCCTTAGCACCACATAAAAATAAATAAAATAAATGTACATATAAAAAAATACTCTTTAAAAATATATTAAAAAATAAATAAAAAACCTTAAATGGGGAGAAACTACAAAACAAAAGTAAGAAATGAAAATGGGAAAACAGTCTCCAGAACACAGGAAGTTATTTTTCTTAAATATGCTGAGAACTACTTTGGACAATTCTATACAAATTAATTTGAACACCAAATGAAATGGACAATTTTCTAGGAACGTATGGTTTACTAAAACTGATCTCAACAGAATTAGAATCACAGGGAAATTCTAAAATTCAGATAATCCCAGTATTAATTTGTACTAGAGAATTGAAAAAAAAAATGAAAACTTTCAGAAAGCCAGTGTGCTTAGTCACTCATTTGTTTTTCTCTTTTTAACACTTCAAGTTCTTTTCATATTTATTAATTCCTTCTACTCTCTTTCTCTTGTTTTTTTTTTTTTTTGAGTTGCCTGGTTTTCATTTCTTTTACTTTTATTGATATTAATACTTAAGGCAAGGAAATGTTCTCAAGGCTCCAAGTTGTGTCTATAGATTGTCTCATTTTCATTATTTCCTATTTCCTCTTGGACTCAAAAGTGTCATTTGTCCTATTTTTTGTTGTGTTGCATTATAGATGAAGAATATAGTTTGCATGATTTTTTTTTACCATCAAGGTTTTCTTTATGTTTTTATAAAGATTGACAGTATTCAGACCTGTTCCTATATGTGAATTTGAAAAGATGTGTTTGCTGTTGTTGGGTTTCAGAGTTAAATATCAATCTGTAAGATCTACCTTACCTTGTTGTTGTTTTTAAGTCTTCAATCACTTTTACTAGTGATGTGTCTGGATCTGTCTTGGACCAAAGGAGGTGTTTTCAAGTTGCCTGTTATTAGTGTGTTTCTATCTCTTTGGGGTATTATCTAGAATGGGCAATAGTTACATAAGCTAGGAATTATTTTCTTTCCCTCAGCCTCTAATTTAAAATGGTATCCTTAATTGGCAGCTTGCCTGGCATACTTTTCTTTCTGTTTTAATTTTTTTTTTTAGTTGTTGATGCTATTTATTTATATGCGGTGATAAGACTCGAACGCAGTGCCTCACATATGTGAGGCAAGCACTCTGCCACTCAGCCACAACCCCAGCCCTGGCATGCTTTTCTTAATCGGTATATACTTCACGTTATTTTCTACATTTTCATTTTTGTTGCATAATATTGATATACTGTTCTTTCACCTTTACCTTTCATCCTCTAGCCTCAGTTCTGTAGTTAAATACATTTACCTTATGCCAATGACTTTCTGGTTACAGAAGTTCATTCTCTGGGTGATTCCTCAGGAGGGCTCATGTAATAATGCATTCCTTGAATCATTTTATACTGGTAATTATATTCTTCAAGGTCATTTTGGCTGGATATGAAATCTTGGATTTTGGGGGGGTTACTGCGGTTTGAAACGGAGGTGCTTTACCACTGAGTTACATCCCCAGTGTCCCCGTCCCTGCCTTTTTGTTTTTTAAATTTTGAGACAGGGTCTTACTAGGTTATTATGGGCCTTGCTAAGTTGCTGAGGCTGGTGTTGAACTTGTGATCCTCCTGAGTTGCTGGTATTACAGGCCTGAGCTACCATGCCCCATAAGAATCTTAAATATACTGCTCCAGAGTCTTCTGGCACCAAGTGTTAATGTTGGTATTATTATTTTTTCCTTTATAAGTAAATTAGGGATGGCAGTGGGGACAAGAAGGGGAGAATGGATGCCCAAAGTATTTTTTAAAGCTCCATAATTATATCAGAATATATTTTTGTTTCCTATTCTAGTTTATACTTCCTAATCATGTTGTATCCTTTTACTACATTGGTTGAATGGTTGCGCCTGTCCTTCAACCAACCTTTCCACCACAGGAAATAGTTTTGAAATTAGTTTTTAGAATTCTGGTTAATTTCATTCTTTTCTTCAGGGACTCCAATTATACATGTATCAGAACTTCCTTGTTTCTGTCTCCTTATTTTCTCTCAAATCCTCTTTATTTCTGTTTGGAATTTTTCATTTTCTTCTTCAGGTCCTCTTTTTGCTGGCATGATCCTTTGCCCTCATGTTCCTTCTTGCTTGCTCTTTATTTCTGAAATTATTTCACTTTCTGAAATTGTTTTGAAGCCTGACACAACATGGGCTGTGTATGCAGCCTCAGCCAGGTGGAAGGCATGTATCCCAGACCCGCCTCCTGGGACCTGAGGTTCTTCCATGCTCGGTGTGGTTTCGGTTCCTAGCAGCTGTTCCTGTCATCTTCAGTGGTTCAGGGGGTGCTTCTGTCCTTCTGGAAGGAAGGTGTTGTGGGGAGCTGCTAGGATCCTGGCAGGCTGAGGACATTACAGCTCTGTTCTCTAACCTCCACTGTTGGTTCTTGAATCTTCCTACTGGGAATCCCACCTGTGAGCCCTCTGGGTGGGGCTCATAGTGCTTCCATCCAGGGTGAGGTGAGTGGCAATGCTTCATTTCCTCATTTATGTTGAAGATGTTGGCTACAGCCTCTGCTATTCCAGTGGCTCTGACTATTTTTATGAAGGGTTTTGTGCGGATTAAAAATCTATCTTGCCACCCTGATGTCACAGCCTAGGTGAGCTGAATGAGGTGGAGCTGCCAGGCTCCAGGCAGGTTGTATCTGTTACCATAAAAATTAAATAGCAAAACAAAGTAAACTCTACTTCCTCTCATGGTTTATAGGCACACCAGCTATCAAGAGGATGGAAAAGCATATTATGAAGGTGGACAAGAACAGACCCCGGACCAGAGTCCAGAAATCCCTATCATTATATGAAAAGTGTATGCAAGAGGCAGGGTGTGGTGGTGCACACTTTTAATTCCAGTGGCTTGGGAGGTTGAGGCAGGAGGATCACAAGTTCAAAGCCAGCCTCAGCAAAAGCAAGGCACTAAGCAACTGTCTCTAAATAAAAATACAAAACAGGGCTGGGGATGTGGCCTAGTGGTCAAGTGCCCCTGAGTTCAATCCCTGGTACCAAAAAAAAAAAAAATTATTTTTAAGTGTATGCATGAGAGACACTGGGACTATTAGAACTGACTTGTTGCTATGGTTAGAGAGATTGGTTACAGTTATTAATAACAGGTTAATAAAATGGATGATACAAGTAGCTAATTGAATCATAAATTATCATATGAAATGAAGTAAGGAGTGAACTCCCCTCTAAAATATAATACTTAAAAACAGAGTAGAGTCAGGTTGGAAAGAGAAAGATTGCTCTAGCACTTGCAGTAGTTGCCTCTAATTAATTTTAAGAATGTTTATGACATTCATGCATTAAACTTACCTTGATAGGCCTTTCCAGGTCTTTTTTTGTGAACCTCATCACAATGAGTCCTAAAATCGTCAGCCCATAAAACAGCCATGCAGCAAAACTGAAATAGTTGACTAAGGAGTTTATATCGCCAGGGATGATATAAATTGTCGCTATAATACCCTAAAAGAAGAATAAATTCTTAGGTCATTAGTACATAAAAACATTACTCTTATCACTTCACAAAAGACTGAAGAAACAGTTCTTCCTATGCATAAAATTTATAACATGAAAGAACCTTCCCAGGTAACCTTGACTATGGCTACCATAGCTGTTCTCTTTGAAGCCTGAGAGGAAGAACTGAACAATTTTTGAGTCTTCGAAGAGGTGATTTTAAGATAGGGACAAACCAGAAAAATTATATGTGTGCATTGTTCTGGCTTCATAATCATGGACTCAATTACCAGAGAGTTTTCTTCATGAGCCAGAGCCTCCTGGACTATGAAACTCAGGTCTGATCTTGATGGCATCAGTTGCCTGGCCCTGGCCCCGTATCTGGGCCTGTTTCCCATCTTCTGATTGAGCATGGTGGTGAAGAAGAGGGTTCTCTGGAGCTGTGGAGAGTGGTCTGTCCCTGAACCAGGGATATGAGTGGTTTCTGGGTGCCCAGAATAGTTGCACAACACAAGAAACTCCAATTGGAAGATGCCAACGACCTCATAACTTCCAAGAAATTTTCTCACTAGTAGAACATAGTGAGAGATGATTATCTGTTAAACCCTGTAAGTGTCTGGGCTTTTATCAAGCTTGTTACTAGGGACCCAGAACAGACAAATGCACATGCATGTAAGAAGTAGGGAAGGTACAAGCTTGGAAGGTTCAATGTCTTTCACAGATAAATTCAGAAAAGGGAGAAGTTGGTAAATTAAATTGTCTTCGGTGTGTGTGTGTGTGTGTGTGTGTGTTTTATGTCAAGTACTAAGGGAATGTATCATTTAAAAACCATGGAGTTTAGCAGTAGCAGGTTGACTTCACCACCTGAATTGAGGACCCTTCTCCCTTTAGGGGAGCTGGTGTCCTGGCAGGATTCATACTTACGTAAAAGATGATGGCGGGGGCAGGAGTGAGGCGCCTGACACTGATGTAGGAGAGCACTTTAAGCATGTGGCCTTCCCGGCCTGCAACGTATATGAGCCTGAAAGAACAAGCATATGGCAGTCACTAAGCAAGTGTCCTGAGTTTCACTAATGAGACCAGAGAGAAGGGAACTGAGTGATAAGTCTGTTCTCTGGAGGGGATTGAGTTTGGGAGGAGTAATTAAGGTAGCCAAATATGCCTGTGAGGACTGCATCCTGGGACAGTGGAGTCACCAAGGCAGGGATAGTTGGGGAGGCCCTTTTAGGAGGAGGTGCCTACTCTGAGTCCCGAAAGTTATGCAACGAATGTGTAAAAACTAGTCCAGGGCCAGTGAACCCCAGTGCCTGGGGCACTAGACAGAGGCAAACACAGAAGTGCCTTGTGCTTGCAAAAGTCAAGCCACTGGAAGTCCTATATTCTAAAAAGTCGAGCAAATTAAGGGTGAATTAGCCCGGCCTGGTGGTTGATGCCTGTAATGCCAGCACCGTGGGAGGCTGAGGCAGGAGGATCACAAGTTCAAAGCCAGCCTCACTAACTTAGTGAAGCCCTAAGCAACTCAGCAAGACCCTGGCTCTAAATAAAATATAAAAGGGGTTGGGGATGTGGCTCAGTGGTTGAGTGCCCCTGGGTTCGACCCTAGTAAAAAAAAAAAAAAAAAAAATTAAGGGTGAATTAGCCCGGCATGGTGGTGAATGCCTGTAATCCCAGCACCGTGGGAGGCTGAGGCAGGAGGATCACAAGTTCAAAGAAAACAGCCTCACTAACTTAGTGAAGCCCTAAGCAACTCAGCAAGACCCTGGCTCTAAATAAAATATCAAAGGGGTTGGGGATGTGGCTCAGTGGTTGAGTGCTCCTGGGTTCAATCCCTAGTACAAAAAAAAATTTAAGGGTGAATTAGCAGGCACAAAGTGCACTCAGTTTTAGCAGGCACAAAGTGCACTCAGTTCTCCCCAAAACTGATAGTTCAGTAACCTGAAAGACTATATTTAAAAGACTAAATAAAGAAAATGGGGGAAAGCTGAACAGAATTGTTAAAGAGAGTTATCATAATTAACAATTCAATTAGATACAGTGAAAAAATAAGTTGTAAGTTAGATGTACACACCAAGCACAGAGAGATGAAAGTATAGATGGAAAAGTGAGAAGAAGACACCAAAAAGCTCAGACACTGAGTGGTAAAAGGCACATTCAAAAAGCAGAGAATTTTTATAAAATTGAAACATAGCTAGGCACAGAGGTACATGCCTGAAATCCCAGCTACTTGGGAGCCTGTAGGAGGTGAATCGTAAGTTCAAGTCCAGCCTGAGCAATTTAGTGAGACCCTGTCTCAAAAATTGGCCATGCTTGGGCAATTATATCAAAATGAATTCTACTGTCATGTATAACTAAAAAGAACCAATAAAAACAAATAAAAAGGGTTGGGGATGTGGCTCACTGGAGGAGCACCCTGGGTTCAATCTGTAGTACACACACACAAACACTGAGTCCCCAACTGAACCTAGTCTCACACAAGACAAAGCATACCTACCCAGATGTGTTATAGTGGAAAGAGATCAAAGTCTTAAGAGCTCCTGAATTTAAGAGACTAACTACAGAATGGTGTACATGGTGCGAATATTTTCAAAATGATGAAGGAAACAGATTTTCATATTTGAATTCTATGTAGCTAAACTAGCATTCAAGACGTGATGAATAAATGCAGTTTTAGATAAGCAGTGAGACATTTCCTCTCCAGTCCTCTATTAGAGTCTAGGGAAAAACAAACAACTTAGAGGCAGTCAATTTTAAGAAGCAATGTTAAGGAAAATATGTTGGTCTGTAGATAAATATTGGGCTAGTTTTTCTTTTTTCTTTTTGTATTGACAAACGTCTTTTGGAAGTGTGGGCTAATAAGATACAGCTGATGTACTAGACAATATGAAGAGTGAGCCCTGAGAGAGGGAAGAGAACTGGCATACTGCTACTGTTCTAGACACTCAGGTTCTATTTTGGGGTGATCATTAGAAGACTAGTATAACTGTCACATCAGAAGAAAAATGGGACTAAAGAAATTTGATAGCTATCACAACTCAATGAGATTATTTTAAAGCTAAGAAGACAGCAATATGTTATAAATTCATTCAGTTGCATCAGCAATCATTTGAATTGTAAACATTCTGGTTGGATTTTTTCAAAAAGCCCAATGACACTGAAAGGTTGGTGATAGAAAAGATGGGACATTACCAAAAATAGCCTCAGGATAGCTGATGCAGCAATAGCAGACAAAATAGAGTTGAAGGCTTTAAACTGATAGTTTCTTCGGGGGGAAAAAAAGAACAGTCTACCAAGAAGTAGTAAGAAGGATGACATAAAAACCAGATGCCCCTGAAACAGGGAAATCGTGGCAAAGCCTCTGTTAAAGTGGGCAGCTAGAACAGTACAAGTTGCAGACTTGATATAAAAATCTAGAGACAGTTTTAGAAATGCTAGTTTCAAGACCATAGCAAACACACTTTTTTTTTTTTTTTAATCAGGGATTGAACTTAACCACTGAGCCACATCCACAGTCCTTTTTTGTATTTTATTTTGAAACAGGTATCATTAATTTGCTGAAGCTGGCTTTGGACTCGAGATCCTCCGGCCTCACCCTCCTGAGCCACTGCACCCAGCTAACAGACTTTTCAGTGACCCACAAAACAAGCTCTAAAACTTTTGAGGAACTGAGAGCATAGACTACAAACTGAGACTAGGAGGCTGTGGAATTAGTTGTCAGGAATACAAAGACCAAAAAGACCCATCCGTTTAGAAACAGTCACTTGAACTGTGAGATGATGCCAGCATGGTTTTTTTCCTGGTTGATTCCCAGAAAAAGGCAATGGAAACAGGAAGGAGTTGACAGGAAAGGAGACCAGACAATGCTGCACATTCACTCTTTAAAATGTTTAGTTCTCCACAAATGAATATATCAAGCCACACAATCACAATGCACCTGGACAGAAAGCATGAGGGCCCCTGGAATGCTGACCAGGCAAGGAGAAGTCTGATGTGGTCCTAGACCTACCAGATTCTACATTGCAAAGCTATAAGATGTTCTCATAAATACAACAATAGCACAAAAAAGGACCTATCAGACTGAGTGAACCAGGAACACATGGGAATGATAATAGAGGCAATTGTAACCAATAAGGGAGAGAGGCAATAAGTAATATTGGGATGACAGGTAAATGTTTGAAAAAGAAAGTGAGACAGGCCTCACCTTGAACTACCTTCCACACTGATCAAAGAGCTAGAGTAGAGTGCTAGGGGGAAACCCAGACAAGCACTTTAAACAATCTTGGAAGGCAGAAGGAAAGTTCACCTGTGGGAGATAAAAATTCAAGCCTGTTATGGTTTAGATACAGGTGTCCCTCAAAAGCTCATGGTGACACAATGTGAGAGAGTTTAGAGGTAAATGATTGGGTTATGAGAGCCTTAACCCAATCAGTGTGTTAATCCCCAGTAGGGATTGATGAGTGTTGACTGTAGGCAGGCAGGGTGTGGCTGGAGGAGGTGGGCCATTGGGGGCCTGCCCTTGGGGTATATGTTTTGTGAGCTGAGCTGCTCCTGGTGCCATGAGCTCTTTTCCTCTGCCAAACCTTGAGCCCCAAGGAATAGAGTCAGCCATCTATAGACTGAGAACTGTGAGACAGTGAGCCCCCAAATAAACTTTTTCTCTTAAAATTGTTCTTCTCAGGTCTTTTGGTCATAGCAGCTAAAAAGTTGACTAAAAAAAAGCCATTGTGGGAAATGCTTAGATTTTTTTCCATAAAAATTATATACAACTAGGTGGGTGGCACACACCTGTAGCCCCACTACTTGGGAGGTGAAGATGGGAGGATCTCTTCAGCCCAGGAGTTCAAGGCCAGCCTAGACCCCACTTCCCATTCCCCCCACAAAAAAAAACTATACATGGTCATCCCTCTGGATCCTTGGGGGATTGGTTCCAGGACTCCTGTGGATACCAAATGCCCAGATGCTCAGGTGTCTTACATCAATTGTATTGCTTGCACATCGTCTGTATAATCCTCTCATCTGCTGTGAGTCATCTCTGTAATGCCTTAACACAGCGTCAATGCTGTGTAAATAGGTGCTGTACCATATGTCTGTGGAATAATGACAAAAGTCTATGTATGCTTGGTACAGACTCATTTTTTTTTCTGAATGTATTTGATCTATGGTTGGTTGAATCCATGGATGTAAACATACCCATTTATGCAGAGCAGAGTGGCACAGACCTGTAATCCCAGGTACCTGGAAGACTAAGGCAGGAGGACCGAAAGTTCAAGGCCAGCCTCAGCAACTTAGTGACACTGTCTCAAAAAATAAAAAAGGATGGGAGCAACCCCTATTAGGTCCCCTCTTGCCCTGCGGGAGTTCTGTCTCTTCTCACTTGAATAAATCCTACTCTTTGTATGCTCAAAAAAAACATAGGGGGAGTGGGGAATTGGGGTTGTAGCTCAGTGGTAGAGCACTTGCCTAGCACGTGTGAGATCCTGAGTTGGAATCACAGTACTGCAGGAAAAAAAAAAAGGCTGGGGTGTGGGTGCAGTCCATGGCAGAGCACTTCCCCAGTGTGTACAAGGCTCTAGGCTGCATCCCCATCGCTGGGGGGTGGGGGTGGGGGTGGAGGGTAAGACCAGGTGTTGGTGAAGGCTGCGGAGGGGGGGGGGACCCTTATGCATGGCTTGTACAAATTTAAATGAAACAACCACTTAGAAAAAAGTTTGGCAGTTTCTTCGAAAGTCATAATTTATGAAGAAGTATTGATTATACAAGGGTAAAATACATCTTGTGTTTTATTTTCTTGTACTTGCTTTGTAATTAAATATTCTAATAAGCATAATAGAAGTGGTTAAGCATAATTTTGTAAACTACTAAGAAAATAAACCAAGTCTTATTAAATATTAATGTACCATACTGGCTGGGTGGTTGGTTGGTTTATTTTTCTGGAGATTGAACTCCAGGTCTGTATATGCTAAGCAAGCGCTCTGTCACTGAGCTACACCCAAGCCTACCATGTCAATGCCTTCAAAACAAAAGTGGCTTTATTTTTCCATCTCAAATACAACATTATATAGTGAAAATTTAATTCAACTGCACCTGGCAGCTCCACGGCTTTAAATAAACATCTACGTTTTAACCAGAACTAAAGTTAATCATAAAGTTAGATTGTGACCAAGCAATTCTATTCCTAGTAGCTTATCAGAGAGAAATGAAAATATTTCTCCATATAAAAACACATACAGTGCTGTGGTTGTGGATAAGTTGTAGAGCACTTGCCTAACATGTGTGAGGCACTGGGTTCGATTCTCAGCACAACATATAAACAAATAAATGATAAAGGTTCATCAATAACTAATAAAAATTTTAAAAATAAAAAATAAAAAAAGATATTGAGTCCATCTACAACTAAAAAATTTTTTTAAAAAACCACACAGCAGCACTGCATAACAGTCAAAACTAGTTATTCAAATGTTCATCAGATGGTGAATCCATATAATAGAATAGTATTCAACAATTAAAAGGAATGAACTGATACACACTACAAGATGAATGAACCTCAGAAACATTTTGTTCCTAAAAGAAGTCAGCTGCAAATGGTAGCATTTAGATGAACTGTCTAGAAAAAGCAAGGTTACAGAGACAGCATATCTGTTTAGGGATGGAGGTTGAAGTAAAGAGTAACTGTAATTAAGCATGAAGGAAATTTTTTGGGTGATGGGAGTGTTCTAGAATTAGAACACCTTACAGGTTGACCAAAATAGCTGAGTTGCACAATAGCCAAACTATGGAAACAATCTAGGTATTCTTCAGTGGATGAACGGATAAAGAAAATGTGGTGTATGTGTGTGTGTGCGTGCACACACACACATACACACAATGGAATATTACTCAGCCATAAAGAAGAATGAAATAATGGCATTTGCTGGTAAATGGATGAAACTAGAGAATATCATGCTAAGCGAAATAAGCCAATCCCTCCAAATCAAAGCCTGAATGTTCTCTCTGATTTCTGGATGCTAACCCAAAACAAGGGAGGTTGAGGAGGGGAATAATAAAAATCCATTGGGCTAGACAAAGGGAAACGAAGGGAGGGGAATAGGAAAGACAGTAAAGTTCATTGGACATAACTTTCCTAGCCTTGTATTTGAGTACACTATCAGGGTAACTCTGCAATATGTACAGCCACAAGAGTGGGATCCCAAATAGAGTAAGTTATATTCTAGGTATAATTTGCCAAAATATATTCTACTGTCATGTACAACTAAGAAAAATAGCCGAGTTGTACAATTAAAAGGGTGAAGTTTTAACAGGTCAATAACTATTCAGCCTTAAAAAAAAAATTCAGGCACAACAACATGATGAGCTCTTAAAATGTATATATTAGAAACTATTGGGAGCAACTTTTAAATTTTTTTAAATGACATTTATAATAGCATAAAAATATGAAATACTTTGGAATAAATGTGACCAAAAGATGTATAAGAACTATATATTAGTTCTTACTACTCAAAACATTTTTGAAAAAAAAATTATTAAAACAGACAATCTATGCCTAGGACTTAGAAGAATCGACACTTCCAAGATGGCAGACTTGCCCAAATTCCAATTCTGTAATTTACAACCACAGGGATGGCCTTAGAAATCATTATGCTAAGTGAAATGAGCCAACACAGTCCAGATCAAAATCATCAGAGTTTTTTGGGTATAAACTGACAAGCTGATTCTAATGTTCATATAGAAATAGGAAAACTGGCTGTCTACATGCAGAGAAATCAAAATCGGACCCTTCTGTCACCCTTTATACAAGAATCAAATCAAATGGATTAAAGACACAAAACTGTAAAATTACTAGAAGAAAACAACAGAAAGGCTACAGGGCATTGGTCTCAGCAGTGGTCTCTTGCCCGTGACCCCGAAAGCACATGAGGTAGAGGCAACTAGACAAGTTGGGTTACATCAAAGCAAAAAGCTGCATGGTGAAGGGCACCGGCTGTGAAGAGACGACCTTCTAAATGGAGAAATATGTGCAAATCATACATCAGTTAAGGGTCTTATCTCCACAACATGAAAGGAACTCACTCTGTAACAAGACAGCCCTGTTAAAAACAGGCAAAGGCCCCAAACAGACATGGTTCAAAAGAAGACGTGCAAAAGACCCAGCAGATAACGAAAAAACGTTCAACATCACTAATCAGAAAATGCAAACCAAAACTACAACGAAGACATCACCTCCCTCCTGTTAGAATGGCTATTTGCAAAAAAGAGAAAGGACAAGTGTTGGCAAAGATGCAGAGAAAAAGGAACCCTATACACTGTTGGTGGGGATGTACATTTATACAGCCTTGTTGAGAGACAGCAGAGAGGTTCCTCAACAAACCAAACAGAGTTACCTACCATCTAGCAATCCCATTTCTGGGTATGTACTAAAAGGACTAAAATCAGTGTGTCAGGAGAGAGATATACATTGTAGCGTTATTCACAATAGCCGAAATACGGACACAGCCTAAGCAGCCATTAACAGATAAATGGAAAAAAATAATGTGCTATAAATACACAATGGAATACTAGTCAACCTTTAAGAAAAACATGATTCTATCATTCACAACAACGTGGATGGCTTTAGAAATCATTATGCTAAGTGAAAGAAGCCAAGCACAGAAAGGCAAATATTACATGATCTCATGTTCTTGTGGACTCTAGAAACTTGAACTCATAGAGGAGAAAGTAGAATGGTGGTTACCAGAGGCTGGGGATGTGGTGGATGGACAGGGAAAAGGAAAATGTGGGTCAATAGGTACAGTATCAGGAGGAATAAGTTCATGGCACAGCAAGGTAACTATAGTTAATTATCAAGTACACGTTGGGCTGGGGTGTACTCGGTAGTTGAGCATTTGCCTAGCATGTGTGAGGCCCTGGGTTCATGCTCTAGAACTGCAAAATAATAATAAAACATACTTCAAAATTGCTAAGAATGGATTTTAAATGTTCTCATCACAAAGAAATGATAAGTATGTGAGGTGATGTATGTGTTCACCAACCTAATTTGCTCATTCCACAATTTATAAATGTATCACATTGTATCTCAGAAATATATACCATTATTGTCAGAAATAAAAGAAGCTGGGTGCAGTGACACACACCTGTAATCCCAGCAACTCAGGGAGCTGAGGCAGGGGGATTGCAAGTTCAAAGCCAGCTTCAGCAACTTAGGCCCTAAGCAACTTAGCAAGACCCTGTCTCAAAATGAAAAATATAAAAAAGGGTTGGAAATGTGGCTCAGTATTTAAGTGCCCCTGGGTTGAAACCCCAGTACCATTAAAAAAAAAAAAAAAAAAAAAAGTAAATTGTATGTAGAAATGCAAAGAATTTAGATTAGTCTTTTTCTTTTTTGCCCTGCTGGGGTTGGAACCCTGGGCCTCACGCATGCTAGGCCAGAGCTCTACCTCTGATCTGCCTCCCCAGCCTGAAGCGCTTTTGTTAAAGAACAAAGTTGGAGGACTAGCACTACATGTACTTTGATAGGTTCAAAGAATGATTCTGTGGTCCACATGTGGCAATTTCATTCAGAAATATATCCTCTGGACTCTGGACACTGGGCACAGACATGTCCCAGAATGTTCTCAACAGCAGCTTTTATGGAAGCAAGCCACCCAGCCTGTGAGTGGAGCATCTGTTGCATTATGCTGCCTCGTGAAGGAGAATGGGCATTGGTAAAGCCAGACCGAACAGGTGGGCGAACTCCACCTGTTTCTACCTAGTTTTCTGGGACCTCACCAGAGCTTCTTACTTTGGTGTTGCAAAGACGGAGCTGAGGAGTTGCGATGGAGACTTATAAGGCCTGCAAGCCCCAATGATTAATATCTGCTTAAGGGGAAGTTTGATGATTCCTGGTCAAATTTGTGTGTATACTAAAGTAAAATAAATAGTGAAAAAATGCAACATAGAAAGGACCAGGTGGAAACCCTGTCACTTCCCTCTGCCTCGTGTTGAAGTTGGCAGCATTTTCCCCTCATTTGGGATAAACTGATGTGACAGCGCCAGGACTGAGGGCAGCCACGTGGTCTCCACGTGCAGGTGGCCAGCGTGCTGGGTGGACCAAGCCCCTCCCTCTGCGGCCTTCTGAGTCCTGCTTAAGCCACGAGGGGTTCTACCTGGCCGAGCCCCCAGCACCTAGGGCTTCAGCCCAGGAGAGGGTGGCGGGGTCCCCTACCTGCCCGCTGTAAAACAGGTCCCATTGGCAGCACCGATGGTTGAGAACGCCACAAAAAGTGGAACGACCCAAGAGGCAGGATAGAGCACACGGTCACCAAACGTCTGGCAGGGGAAGCAAAATGAATCCTGAGGGTCTTCCGTGGCCTCTAGGAGCTGCTGACCCAAAAGAGCTACTCGCCCTCCTAGAAGACCCAGGTCCCCACTCTCCTCATTGGGCACAGCCTCTGGGACCGACTCTGCTGGAGCAGGGAGGTGGAAAACCTCTTCAGGGCATCTCAGGATTTGGGGTGGTGGCAGAAGTCTCCTACCAACCACTCCCTGGCATCAGTCCTAGACACCCCACTATTCAGCTGCTCGCTCCCTTGACCCCTCACTCAAAATGACCTTGCTCTCTGCCCTCCTCCGCCACCCACTCTCCTGGTCATGGGTGACCTCATTGTTAGACAAAACTGCATCTCCTCCACACTCTGAACCCCATCACCTCCTTGTCTGTTTGACTCATCTCCTGTGGTCCACCAATACCACCTGGCCTCCAGCCATGGACCCCCGCCCAGTATCCGCTGTCTCTGGTGCGGTTCCTTCTCATCCTGTCTTCCTGCCTTGCTCAGCTGGACTTCCAATCACCTCTTTCAACTTTCAGCATTCTCCCTCGGCTTCCTCTTGTTTGTCAAAACCCCCAATCTGGCTCAGTCCAGCCCTCTGCTCAGCCACAGGCTGCCCCCTTGCCTGGGAAGACTGGCGAGGGGGTGGGGTGGGGGTGGGGGATGGATGGGGAGGAAGAACCCACCACCTGCTGACGGTCTCCCCAACCCCAGGCCTCTCCCTTTGGCCAGCAGGTAGGTAGTCCCTGATCTGTTCAGGCTCCTAAATGACTTTACCCTCCTCCTCACAAACCACAGCCCCTTCCCATCAGCACTCACCACGGCCACCGCCTGGGACTGCAGGAGTTCTGTTGGGGACATCACAGCGAAGTAGGCAATGTTCATGAGGATGTAGCACACCGTCACCAGAGGGATCCCAATGACAATGGCCCGGGGCAGGTTTCTGGAAGAGATGGTGACATGGGAACACAGGGTCATGTGAGATTGTCATCTTTGTCCAGCCCTTCCCCGCTGGCTGCCCTCCACCTGCTTCATGTGATGGGATAGGGTCACAGATGCCCTTTCTGAGCCCACCCCTGCCAGGGACGTGTGGCACAGCAGAGCCCCAGCAGGGATGAGGCATTTTCAAATGAGAATTTTCCCTCTCACACTCCAAGGCAGTAGAATTAAATTATTTAAAATAAAATGAGGGGCTGGGGATGTAGCTCAGTGGTAGAGTGCTCGCCTGGCATGCACAAGGCACTGGGTTCGACCTCAGCACCACATAAATGTGAAATACAGATATTGCATCCACCTAAAACTAAATATTTAAAAAAATGAATAAGGAAGAATGATCACTCAAAAAACAACCTCCAGGGAAATTAATAAAATAAAATAAAATAAAATGAGCCAGAGATAAAGGGAGTTCAAGTTCTTCCCTCCCCTTAGCAACCATTTCACTGCCCCCAAACAAAGCCAGACTCTAATGGGTGTATAAGGAGCTGACAGGAAACCTTCTGGGCTGGTAGGGTCAGCTCCCAGCTGAGGGGTCGAGTGCTTGCCCAGCATAAGGCCTGGGTTCCTCCCTCAGTACTTCAAAAAGAGCAAAATCTGGAAGTAGGTGGTGGAATAGCAGGAGGAAGCCGCTCCACTTTTTGCCTGGGAGGAGAAATTTGCTTTCACACACATGGTATTCTGCTTCCTCACCTGAAAGGCTCTTTAAGCTCTTCTGTGATATAATTGAGTTGATTCCTGGAGGAAAACAAAGCAGGCAAGGGTGACCTGTAACTTGTGACCTGAGTTTCTTGGCTAAGAGCGTGAAACACACAGTAATGAATGTCAGCCTCATTTAGAATTCTCCACCACAGGGAGCTCTGCTGCCGGAACGCTGGGGCGGTTTTTTTTTCTGGGAAGCCCTGGTGGCCTCGTGGCCCAGGGCCCTTCCAAGACCTACACATCTGTCTGTCCGTTGGTCAGACGGGAATCACATGGATTTTCAAGAATGTTCAGGAGTGGGGAGTCTCCAGGATACTTTGGAAACAATGAGAGACTGAACGGGAGATGAAGCTCACGACTGCTTGGCAGGAGTGACAGCCCTGCACGCGGATGGCCACCCTGCTTCCTTAAGTCACACAAGCATGGTCACATCGACTAAAACTACTATTTTCAAGGTTTAAATTGTTAAATACACTTGGCCTTGTCAAGCACAGGGCAGCCCCAGATGAAGCCTGCCCTGCTGCTCACCAGAGCCTCTAGGCCCAGGGGGCCTCTTTCTGGGCCTCCTTTTTGTTTGCTTGTTGAAGATTCTGCCTGGGGCTCACTACTACCTGCCCACCCGAGGTGCCACGTCCAAGACAGGACAGGGAACAGGCTGCCTTGGTGTCCCTGGGGTCTGAGGGCAATAGAAAGGTCAGGGGTGGGGCACTATACAAAAGGCAAACGTGAGATGAATTTTAGAGTCCCACCCAACCCCAGAAAGCAGAGGCCTTTGTTTTCCATAGAGTTGAAATCAGAGGGGGGCCTTACCAGCCGTCATAGGCCCAGAGTCCGTTGTAAAACGCGAGACTGACGGTTCCCACAGAAAGTTTCGTGCCCTCAAAGGAATTTTCAAAATTCTTTGTGTTTCCTGTAATCAATCCAAACAATGGACAGTGGGTGTCAGCTGACCACGTCTGGACTTTGCACTCCTCTCCATGAGAAAGAAGGGCGTGACTTGTGACCCCCAGTTTATAAAACAGACTGAGGGGCCGGCCACCTACAGCTTCTTTGGGGCAGTCCTGCCAGGCTTGACTTGCACTCACGCGCAGGACTGTTCCCGAAGGAAAGCAGGCGTGAGCTGGGCAGTGTCCACCCTTCTGCCTTGCTGCCACTCACCTTGGGCCAGGAGAACGAGTCCACTGATGATGATGACGGCCACGATCACCAGTTTGGCTGCCGTGAAGAAGTTCTGCACGTAGCTGCCGAGCCGCACACTCAGTGCATTCACTGTCGTGATGAGCACTGGGAAGGGCAGGAGCAGGGCGACATTATGTGCTTGTGGTTTTTCACAGGCCCTGGGAAGTCTCTCTACTCCCACTTCCACCCCTCTCCTCACCACATTTATGTCCTAAACACAGGGAGGGGGCAGGGTCAAGCACAGGAGTTGAAAGATCTTGAAAATGCACTTGATGGTGAGCTTTGTCATCCAGCTGGGCTGCCCCAGAGGATGATGGAGAAGCAGCCAGGCCTGAGCCAGGGACACGGATGACCCTCAGCAGCCCTGGCAGGCCTAGGGGTTTCTCAGCACCAGCAGGAACGGCCCAGCCTGCCCTGCTTCTCCCCGGAGCCTCTAGGCCCCTCGGGCCTCTTTCTGGGTGTGGAGGAGCTGGGGCCAGACTCCCTGACCACCAACTGTGCCAGGCTTTCCCTGACCCCTAACTGGGACTCCAGGGTTGGATACTCACTGATAGCAGCTGCAGCCAGGCATTTAATGACTGTCTCAGGAGGCTTGCAGCCTGAGTAGAAGGGCGCACACACGTACTCAGAGAAGCTGAGGCAGATGATGGCAAAGGATGAAGGCTTCATGACCATCAGGCTGGTCCAGGAGAAGAGGTAGGCAGGAATGGGGCCAAAGGCCTCCATCAGATAGGGGTACTCGCCCCCTGACTTGGTGATCATTGTGCCAAGCTCTGCAAAGCACAGCGCACCTGGAACACAGACAGGATGGGCCACCGGGTCCCCTGGTGAGGTGTTGCCCTAGTCCCAAGGAGCCTCCCTCCCTCAGGGGTCTGGGCTTCCAAGGGACCACCATGTCCTCTCATGACAGCCAGCCTGGAGTTTGGACTGAGGACATTTAGTGTACCCTTATTTGCCACATGCGCATCCAAAGTGAACCCAGCAACAGCAAGGGCAGCAGTGCTGTGTGTGTCCCCACATTTGACAGGAAGGGGTCCACGGGGAGCAGGTCTTTGTTACCCAGTGTTGCAAGGATCCCACAGGCTGCCCATATGATGAGACAGGGCCCCACGGTTTCCGTGTTGCTGAGCACAGACTTGGGGGAAATGAAGATCCCAGAACCGATGATGGTGCCCACGATGATACAGATGCCACTGACCAGGCCCACCTGGGACATGCAGGAAGGAAGAAGAGTCAATGCTGCCACCCCAGAGGTCGCAGGGACCAGAGGCAAGTCCTCAACACCCATTTATGGCCAGCACAGCTAGACGGCACATCCAGGCAGGTCCACCTGTGCTAACAGCAGGACAGTTTGGGGGCTTTGCTTGTATTGAAAAGATGGATCCTCATGACAGCCCCCTGAGTTGGGGATACCACACCACCCCCATTTTACTCCTGCCCAGGATTAACAGGTGGGGCAGACCTGGCTCAGGTTGCATACTGCCAACCAGCTCCCCAGAAAGACTCACTTAACAAACAGGTCAGCACCAAGGCCCCTGGGACATGCCATTTAGCTGGGCAGAATAGAAAGGATTTCTCCACCAAGCAGACCGTGGTCAGCACTTGGAGTCCTGGCCAGAGGAGCCACGTCAGCAACAGAGACCTCCCGGGGACAGAAACACTGGGGGACTGAGAAACTTCCTGTGGTGCCCTTGTGTAGGGGAGGGTGTGGGCTTTCTAAGAACAACATCCAACTCAGGTACATGCTGCACCACTACCTCCCCATGAAGTTTGGGAACAGGACAAATGAATCCACGGCAATAGAAACTGGGTGGGAGTGGGGAGGTCCTGCCTTGAAAGGAGCAAGATGGAGCTTTCAAGGTGATGCATTTATCAAAACTTCTCAAACTGAGCACTAAAGAGCTGCATCCTCCACTATATGAGAATTATATGCTAATGGGGGGTGTGCTTTTTTAAAGGGGAAAAAATTTTCTTGACTCAATAACTCATAACATCAACCCTTTGAAGCTGCCCAGGCATGATTTCCAGAGCAGGGCGTGAACGATGCATGGGTTAGACCCGGGTTAGATCCCAGAGGGTGAGGAGGATCCCAGTGAGGCTGGCTGCCCAGCGTCCTTGACACGCACAAGCAGGGGCTTCAGCTTCCTGAGCGCTTCTCTTCCTCCTCCTCTGGCTCTGTTCCTGGCTGGTGGTTTGGCTCACCAACATTTGCCCTATCCCCATCCCAGACCCTTTCTCTTGTTTGGACAAGGTCAGCCATTCAACCTGTAGTGTCCAATTGGGCTTAGAACATGCCTGGGGTTTGCTTAGCTGTGCTGTGTGGCTGAAGGGCCACAGGGTTCTGGAAGGACATCACTGGAATCAGGCCTGAGACTGGCAGAGAGGGAGAGTGTTGCTGCCGAGTTCCTGGCTCCTGCCTCACTAGATTCCTCCAAGATACAGTTGTCACCACTACAGATGCTCAAACTAGGAGGATCAGATATTGGGCAAAGATGGGATACAGCAAACTCAACCATCAGGAGAGCTTCTCTGACCGCCCCTGTAAAGGCCATCGGTTTAAGCAAATACTGGAATCTCCACATGCTTGCCCAATGCATGGAAGCATGTTCATGAACTTCCCATATAAATTCTCAGAAGAGTATGCTGATTTCACTCACCAGCACAAGGTAAGTCCAGAGAACCGTTCGTTTTAGGATGTACTTTGCAGAGCAGAAATCATATCTTTTGGTTGCCTACTAGGGATCAGTGGGGACTTTGGTCCCTGCTGCCTGTCCCTCATTCAGACCTGACAACCTCCCCTCTCCCACCCACCCCGCCGTCCCCCACACACCCTTACCTCTTTCTGGAGGCTTGTGGTCTTGGGTTCATTGCTCTGGATCGACTTCTCATCCTCTCCCCGTTTTCTCAGGCTCGTCTCCCCCATCTTTTCCTCCTGCTAGTCCCAGGAGGCTGCAAGGAGGGCATGGGCCGAATCTTGATTCGGCAAAAGCAGACAAGATGCAAAGGGAAGCTCAGCCAGGGCTCATCTGGACTAGGGATCTGACTCCCAAAGCAAATCACTTGCTCGTGTCTCGGGAGAGAACAGGGGCCAGTCCCTTAGGGACAGTTTGCTCAGCCCCAGGAATAAAAATCAGTCATTGATACTGCTCAGGCGGTGGGAAACAGAGCTTTCTGGATCTTTCCCAAACCTCAGGTACTTGTTTTGCCCCCCTCCTGTCAGGCCCCCGGCCTCCTGGCTCCCAAGCCACATCCTTGTCTCCTGTTCCTCAGTCACAACACACTTGAAACGCACTCCAGCTCCATGCTTTTTCAAAAGTAGAAAGAAATAGCTTAGAACACACTGGAATATACTCAGTGGAACCAAGGCCAAGGCCAGGGTGTCTGTCCCACTCTTCCTTCTCAAGGTTAAGACATCTCATGCTAACAGATCCACAGCTTCAGTGGAATGATAAAAAAAAAAAAAATTGCTGAGGGACACTAAGAATTAAGAGATGGTCATACCTTCCTCCTAAGTAAATTCTCTGTCCAGGTCTCCTTCAAGAGAGCAGGGGGCCTTACCCCTCTGGCCTTACCTTTCTCCTTGACCTTGTAGAGCCAGGGGAGCTGCCGGCCTTACTGACCACCTGCGTCTGTACAGTTGATCCCTAAGGAGGACCATCTCTTATGCCCAGAAGTAGAGGAAGCCAGAAGGTACAGAGGTCGACAGAGGTAATTATTAAACATGTCCTTCTCTCTCTTTTTTTTTTTTCCCCAACAATGAAACAACAATGATACACCACATGAGAAACGGAGGACCAAGCCAGCCAGTTTCTCTTCCAAAAAATGCTTTGTGTGTGTGTGTGTCAAGGTCCAAAAAACAAACAATCCCAAACCCAAACAAAACAAAACTAGATTTCTCCAGATCAACTACATCCTGTAAGTGAAAAATCTCTGCAATAAGTAGGAGTCATGCTTGTTTTCCCCTTTGGGAATCAGGAGATAAACTTTGGAACCAACTATTTTATTACCTTAATAGGCTATATATAGAACTCAAGTCAGGGAGAAACGCAGGTAACTCTGGTGTGTGGCACTTGACAATTGTTTTCCTCCCCACCCAGAGGAGAGGGCTGGAAGGTTGGCGCTGCCCTGGGGCACCCATCTTAACTGCAGCTCTGACCAAACGTCAGGTTCTGTGGTGGGCTGTCCAGGGAGCCTAGGACCCTGTTCACTGGGCTGTAGAGTTGGTTCCATACTCTCACTTGCCTGATGGGGAAATAGACCAGGGGTTGGGGGGAGCTAAGGTCTGAGACTACAGAGCCCTGGCCCAGCAGCGGTTCTCCAGCAGGGCTCAGAGGGGGTCCTGGGGGACAGCCCTCCCCACCAGGCAGGCTCAGCCCCAGGTGGCAGCTCTCAACTCTAATCTCAGATCAGGCCTTCCTGGGGAAGGAAGCTGCTTATCACAGGGCAGGGTGACAGCAGGGAATGTCTGAAGCATTGTTGCTATTATCTCCAGCCAAAACTCTCCCAGATTTTTCCTTAGGGTAAACTTAACAGCATTCCTCCATCCCAGGATGAACCAAAGGTCGGGGACAGCGCTGGACTAGTGTCTAGGGTCACTTTGGGAGCACATTAGGGCAGGCAGACCTGGAAGAAGGACAGATATCAGGGCCATCTCTCTCTCCTCTTTTTAAGCAGTGAAATGTAAATTGCAGACTCCATGTGTTTATGTGTGTGTGTGTGTTGCTGGGGATTGAACCAAGGGCTTCCCATTTGCTAGGCACTAAGCTACACCCCATGATTTTCTTACTTTTTAAAGTGCATTTACTTATATTATTTTAAAGTGCATTTACTTATATTATTTTAATAATGGGTTTAATTGTAATTGTGGAATATTAATACAAGAAGATAACACACCTGGATCATTTCCCTCTGTTATCCCCTCTCCCGTCTCCTCTTCTCTACTCAAGTCTGCTACTTTCATGTTCTTTATAGATTCCACATATGAGGGAAAACCTGGGATGTTTATCTTTCTGAGTCTGACATTGTGCTTAATGTGATGTTCTCTAGTTCCATCCATTTTTATGAAAATGGCATGATTCCATTATTCTTTATGGCCAAATGATACTCCATTATGTTATACACCATTTAAAAAAAAATCCACCTATGAATGGTCAATAATTATTTGAAAAAACATTCAGTATCTGTAGCCATCAGGAAAATGCAAATTAGGAGTACATTACGGGGCTGGGGTTGTAACAAGGTGGTAGAGTGCTTGCCTAGCACGGGTGAGGTACTGGGTTTGATCCTCAGCAGAACATAAATAAATATGTCCATCTACCAAACAAAAAAAAAGACACTGGGCTTCCATCTCTTCCCTGTTAGACTGGCTGTCACCAAGAATATAGAAAACAATGCTGGTGAGGATGCAGGAGGAAAGGGAACCCTTATTCACTGTTGGTGGGAGTGTAGTAAATTGGTACAGCAACCATGGAAATAGTATGGAGGTTCCTCAAAAAACTAAAAGCAGATCTACCATATGACCCAGCTGTAGCACTCCTGAGCATCTCTCCCCAGGACCATCTCTTACAGTCAGTCGGAGGATACAGGGAACTGGGCTACCCCAGAGCCGGGGATACTGATTTAGAAGTTTGTCACCTCCCTTCTTAAGAAGGTCCCACTTGCTAGATCCCTGAGCAGAGTCCTGGTCCATGGGTACCCGAATGCCAGGGGAGTGGAAGCCTGAGGCCAGAGGCAGGGCCTGCCCAGGGGCTTTTGTGCACCTTAGCATATCTCCTAGCAGCACTCAGATCACTGGCCTGTCTGTATTTACAGGACACTACAGAATGCTCCTAAGGTCAAGATTGCCCACCGTGGGCTGGTTTTTATTTTTATTTTTTAAAGAGACAGGGTCTTGTTATGTTGCCCAGGCTAGTCTGGAACTCCCAGGCTCAAGCAATCCTCCTGCCTCAGGCTGAGGTTCCCCTGGACTTCTTGACCCTCACCTCATGCTGAGTTTGGAACATCTGAGCATGAGGATTCTTTGTCAAGCCTGGCTCAAGTTTCACCTCCCTGCTGTCAATTCCCTCTTAAAGTTAATTTCCCAGGAAGCTTTGTAAAATGCCATTATTTCTTAGATACCTGACAAATCTCTTGATCTTCCCTTTCAAAATGTGTGGGTTTTTTTCCCAGTTGCAAAGCTGCTTGCAGTTTGAATAACACTATCTTCATTTGATCTTACATTTGGTTCCCTGTTTTTATGGGTACTCCACCACTGAGCCACATCCCCAGCCCTACTTTGTATTTTATTTAGAGACAGGGTCTCACTGAGTTGCTTAACACCTCAATTTTGCTGAGGCTGGATTTGAACTCTTGATCCTCCTGCCTCACCCTGAGCCGCTGGGATTATAGGGGTGCACCACCACATCTGTCTTCGTTCTCTTCTTCTGTAATGGTTTTTAAACATAAAATGTGTTTAACCTGGTGGTGTAAATCCATTTCTCCACAGTCTCTGGGATATCCATATGGACAATATTTTCTCTGATTTATCTTCCACATGACAGACTGGAGCTTTGACAAACATTCAGGCAGAGGCTGCCTTGTCCTTTGCCATCTAAAAATTATTCCAGACTTGTAGTAGTCAGTTTTGCATTACTGTAACAAAATATTTGAGGCAAGTTTTACTTTATAAAGGAAAGAGGATTATTTGGCTTACAGTATTGGAGGTTCAGGAGCATGGCACTGGCATCAGTCAGCTCTGGTGAGGGTCCTCTTGGTTGTGTCCCATCACGGCAGAGAGCAAAGGCAGGAGTGTATGTGGGAATATGCAATCACATTGCCAGACAGGAAACCAGAGGAACTGGGGTCCCAAAGCCCCTTCTGAGGGCACATTCCCAATTGACCTAAGGATCTCCTGCTAGGACTCACCTCTTAAGGTCCCACCACCTCCCACTCTGGCCACCCTGGGGACTGAGCCTTCAATACAAGAACCTGTGGAGAAACATACTTAAATAAGTAGGTCCAAACCACAGCAAGACCTGCCTTCAAGTTTATAAACTTTGGTTCTTTTCCTTCCTTCCTGACACTGCTGACAGTAGTTTAGGAGGGGACCCAAAAGACAGGTGTAACGTGTATGGCAGTGTTCACTTCCCTACCTGAGTTCCTACCAGAAGAACGCGGAGAGTCTGGAATGTGCAATCTTGCAACGTTGAGGACTTAAGTCATCATACAACTATTAGCAAGGTAAGCATGATTTCAGTCTTATCTGGGAACAATCTTTACCTACACACTCAGGAACTCTTGGAATAGGGCAATTCTACCTTAGCACTTTGATAACATCTTCCTTCTTTCCTTTCTGCTCCCCTTCCTTCTTTCCCTGGGGATTAAGCCCAGGAACTCTGACATGCTAAGCATATGCTCTACCACTGAATTACACCCCCAGCCATGTCCTCATTTTTGTGTTCCAAATACCTTCAATAAAGAACCACCACTTGTTTCTGTCTGCCTGGTGTCTACTACTTGGGAGAACTGCCCCTTCCTGTGCCATTCTGATGGGCCACCATTAGTGAGCTTTCCATTACTATGACAAGATACCTGAGATAATCAACTTATAAGGAGGAAAGGTTTATTTTGGCTCACAGCTTAGAGGTTTCAATGCATGGTCTCTTGGCCCCATTGCTTTGAACCCGTGGCAAGGCAGGACATTGTGGTGAGAGGGCATGGTAGAGAAAACCTGCTCATCTCATGGTGGCGATGAAGCAAAAAACAAGAGAGGAAGGGGTGAGGGTCTCAATATTCCCTTCAAATATATGTCCTCAACGACCTACCTTCCTTCCACTCCCCCCGCCCAGGAGAGCCAAGGCTGGTGACCAAACCTTTAGCCTGTAAGCATTTGAGAAATGTCTACGATTCAAACCACGACAGTTAAAAACCAAAGGACCCCATTTCCCAGCCGCAGAGGAACACTTATATGGTGTCTAGTATCTCTTTCCAAAATTTTTCTTTTCCCCCTACATGTTGGGCATTTCCCTTAAAGTCCTGTTGCTTACAACACAACCCTGGTTTGTAGAACATACTGCATTGTCCGGTTCCTCCATTTTCAAAGATCTATTCTTTGAAAATTATTATAGGGGTTATAGGGGTGCACCACCACATCTGTCATTGTGATAGCCAGGCCTGTCCCGAACAGGTGAGACACAGGATGCTCCGTGCTCCGACATTCTTGATAACGTAAGGGGCACAGGTACTCTTGCCTCAGAGTCAGCTAGAAGGAAGGCTAGCCACCTGTATTCGTCCATTTTCTGTTGCCAATAACACAGTCATAGATTGGGTAAGTTGTAAGGAAAAGAAGATGATTTTGGCTCACATTTCTGGCCAAAGGCCAAGGGACCACATCTTGTGATGTCTTCTTGCTGATGGAGTCCTGAGGCAGTGTAGGGTATCACAAGGAGTGCCTGTGTGTATGTGCCTGTGTGTGTGTGTCCCCTTTGGTCCCCTCTTTATAAAGCCACCAGCATTCAATCATGAGGGCTCCATCCTAAAGAATTTGTCAAACGTAATCACATCCCAAAGGCCCTACCTCTAAACACCATGTTAGATTAAGTTCCCTCCCCTTTAGCACCCCACCGTGGGACGGTATTAAGGGGAGGGAACCTGCGTTTTGGAGGGAACAGTTTTTGAATCACCAGACCACAGGCACTCTACTCTCATCTGTCCTCTCTTTACAGAGGGCTGTCATATGAAGCAAGAGGATGGGGGAGGGCACAGCACACCCAGCACAGAGGTGGGGAGCCAACCTCGGGGACCTCGGCAGTGGTGTCCTGTCCAGCTCGAGGAACTGCCATGGGCTCCTCACGTCTGAAGTCTGCTTGGGCTCACTAACCACCTTCGTCCTGCTGTTTGGAGTCACTGGGACTGTAAAAGTAGACCCCCATAAGCGTGTGTAAACTACAACTGTCCTTCTCTAATCCCTCCTACACGACCATCATCAAAAATGAGCAAGAGTTGACTGGGCGCCCTGGCACAGGCTGTAATCCCAGTGGCTCAGGAGGCTGAGGCAGGAGGATCATGAGTTCAAAGCCAGCCTCAGCAAAAGCGAGGTGCTAAGCAACTCAGTGCGACCCTGTTTCTAAAAATAAGATACAAAACAAGGCTGGGCATGTGTCTCAGTGGTTGAGTGCCCATGAGTTCAATCCCTGGTACAAAAAAAAAAAAAAAAAAATTAAAAAAAAACAAAACCGAGGAAGAGTCAAGCCTGAGGGGGTTGGAAGGGAGCAAGCTCTCCACGCAGACCTGGGACGGGCTCACCGCTCCCAGGAAATCCGAGGCCAAGCCAGCCAGGCCCAGGCCCTTCCTGACCGCCAGCTACCATGACTCCTGACACCAGCCAGTTGTAATGGAGCAGAGTAAGGCCGGTCATGGGCCACACTGAGTGCTCCCGGGCTACCCAGCTCCACCCTGCTGTGCTGTGGGTGGATAATTATTTGATTTTAGTTCAGAACCATCCCAAGGAGGCTCAGCCTCTGGTGTGCGATCCAGTCTGAACTTCACGTCCAGACAGCATACATGGCTCCTCCCTGCAGGCCGGGCCACCTGTGCCAAGCCCAAGGAGGGACCCTGCTGAGCCACCCAAGCTGGTCACTGTGCCTTTCACTCCTGATGGCAGCACAGGTGGGTGAGGGCCAGGCCCAAGGCTGGCTAAGCTCCAAGGGCCAAATACTAGGATGTTTTTTCCCTCAAATCTCTCCTCTCAAAAAAGTTACTGACAACACGGAGTACTGGAAGGTGTAGAGGATCCAGAACTCTCACAGATGTTTGCTGGAATGTAAAATGGTGCAGAGAGAGGCCTGGCAATATTATTATTATTATTATTAATTTTTTTGTGGTGTCACCTCTGATCTCAGTGCTCCCCTGCACAGGTCAACTTGAAAACTAAGAATGTCTCTTACCAGCTCCCAGGACAGTCTTGTGCCCAGCCTTCTCTCCCCACCCAGTTCTGATTTCCCCCAGGGCTGCTTTTAATTGCTGTCCAAGGCAGCAGGGCTCACTTGAGTTCCTGGGTCGTGTTTAATAGCTGTTTGACTTTGATCACTTTCAACCTGATCAGGAATTTCCATGACTTCTGTACTGGGACCAAGAAGAACAGTATGGTTTCCTCCTCAAACCGAGACCTCAGGATGGAATGAGCAGAGCCCTCCAGCAGTCCTGCTCCCCCTGGTCTAGCCTCGCCTCATTTCCCACCTCAACCCCAGTCAGAAGGCCCTGCTGCTCCTGAGTGCTTTCCTCTGCTCCCAAGAGTCCTCTGTGTCCTTTAGCTCCTGAAACCTGTCCATTCTGCAAAGCAGGGGGCACTCCCAGTCCTCCATGAACCCCCATGGTCTCAGGCCCTTCTTGGAACCCCACAAGTTATCTGCTACTCAGTGGCCTTAACTTTTGCTGCTTTGCCGGCCTCACCCCCCTTCACACCCTGGACTTGCAGCCCATCTGTCTGAAGCAGGCGGGGGGAAGCTGGGCAAGGGACCAAGTGCTATAGGACCTTCCCCTCTTTCCTGGTCACCATGCAGTCCCAGGGGTCACTGAACTCACAAAGTATGTTTGAAATGTGTGTTTGAAACTTAAAGCAGAAATGTAAGAATGTTCACTTCTCAAGGGAATAAAAATGGTCTCACAAAAGCAGAAGACAAGCATTAAAATTCTTAATACACCTTTATACCACCATTTATCATATCCCTGTTGCACATAAGGTAAGTTGACACCAAATTCACATCTTCATACATGTATTTTGTATAATGATGAGGGTCTCCTTCCACCATCCTTGCTATTCCCCTTCTCCCCCCCTTTCCCTCCCACCCCTATTCCCTATCTAGAGGTAATTTTCCTCCCTTGCTCTCCCTCCCTACCCCACTTTGAGTTACTCCCCTTATATCAGAGAAAACATTCCACATTTGTTCTTTTGGGATTGGCTAACTTCACTTAGCATAATCTTCTCTAATGCAATGCCATGATCTTATTCTTTTTTAGTGCTGAGTAATATCCCATTGTGTATAAATGTCATATTTTTTTTATCCAATCATCTATTAAAGGGCATCTAGGTTGGTTCCACAGTTCAGCTATTGAGAATTGTGCTACTATAAACATTGATGTGGCTATGTCCCTGTAGTATGCCGTTTTTAGGTCTTTTGGGTATAGTCCAAGAAGAGGAATAGCTGAGTCAAATGGTGGTTCCATTCCCAGCTTTCCAAGGAATCTCCATACTGCTTTCAAAAAAAAAAAAAAAAAATCAATGATAGTTCATGTATATGGCATAATTTGCCGTGAACATACTTTATATACAGAGTTATGAAAAATCGTGCTGTGAATGGATAATTATGAATGTAATGTATTCCACTATTGTCATATATGAAATAATTTTTTTAAAAAAGCAGAAGAGATGTCAAAAATAGCTCCCCAGGTAATGATGATAGAGCAATGTTCCCACCAATGAGCCACCCCCGAGAATGAGACTCACTTGTACAGATTTTGAGACAGTTGATATAAATTCCTTTGAAATAAAAAAGTTATTTACTAATTATTTACATCTCCTAAGGAGATGTTACACAGTTTTAAATTCTGTTGAACCTTTCTACCCTTTGAAAAATAAAATTAAATTGCAATGTTTTAGTTATTGAACAAATTCAATAAAATGTAAAAGATATGACATTCTATCCTAATTTTCCAGCTAGCACTCAAAGGTCACTCCTACACATGACTAATGACAAGAACCAGGGCCTACTTAACCCCTAAAACAATACAAAATTTAGCCACTGGGGGTTTTGTTGAAGGATGTGTTCCAGGATTCTGTTTAGGGTCTTGATGTTCCTGAGTTCGTCCAGCATGCCTGGAGCAGGTGGCCCTGAATGGCTGGCACTTCCACCAGGAGTCCCACTGGGTGGTCCTAAGAGACTGGAAAACCTACCTGAGAAGCCATAGAGAGGAACAGAACATGGGCCCCCTAGTGTCCTTGTTGGTGGCAACAGTAGAGGGACCCCACCTGGGTGCTCAAAGGGAGAGCTCTCAATGAGTGGCCCTAGTATCTTCCCAAGAGAACCAGGAGGACTAGGAGAAGGCAGAAAGCCTCTGGTTCTACTCCCTGGGACATGAGGACCAGCACCTTACTTTTTTGCCCACCCAGGACGGAGGCATAAGCTGTCATTACTGCTGCTCCATCAGCTGCCTCATCCAGCTGTTTATCTGACACACAGAATGTGCTCCTCCAGCTCCTCCATTCCTTCCAGAGCTTACTCAGCTGCAGATCTAGAGGCCTGTAAACAGGCCAGCCCAGCAGGCCACCTGCTAACCTGAGCAGTGACATAGTCTGAGTGGCAATGCAGCTAGAGGACATGACCTGGCTGAAATATATCTCAGCAGTACATTGTTAAGAAAAGCAAAATGTAAATAACCAATTAAACTCCCGCGAGTTTATTTCTTCCTTGCTCTAGCACTTGCTGGGCCTCTGCATTTCCCTGGCCACTGCTGGCTCTTGCGGACGGATGCTGCCCTGTGTCAGCTGGTGGGAGGCAGACCTTTCAGGCCATGGCGCCTAACCCACTGGCTCCTGCAGACTCTGGCAGGTGGAGGTGAGAGGCTTCCCGTCGCAGAAGCTGGCGCTGTGCCCATCCAGCAGGTCTCCCTGAGCGGTGCCTTCGAGGCACACATACTTGAAAGCCGTGTTGTCCCACAGGCCTTTCCCTGCTAGTGTGGTCTGGAGAAGTTCTCGGATTCTTTGGTTTTCCTTGGAGGCAGACTTGCAAATAATCTCAAGCTCACCTTCCATTTCTCTGAGAAAAATACACAAATCAAAGGGGAATTTTAAAATACCACAAGTTGAATATATTCACAGAGGCTTACGAACCTAAAGTAGAAGGAACTCAAATGAAAGCAAATTGAACATCACAGAAGAGCACCCACTGCGCTTCAGGGCCAGGGCAAAGGCTCAGGGCTCAGTGAAGCACCAGGCCCTCTGGAAACAGGGGAAAATAAAAACCAACCGACCAACCAAACAAAACGCAAAGGCACAGGCTTCAAAAGGATTTCTTATTTTTCTCCTCTAAGCTTTGCCTTTTCCTTGACTTTAGCTTCAAGGCACACATCCTCTGCTTCCTAAAGAATTAACGTGAGCAATAAAATAGTAAGAGTGCGCGCAGCGGCTGACCTAAGCTGGCCAGCTGCCACAGTGCAGGGCCTGGCTGTGGGCACCCACAGGGTGAGCCACGTAGGCCTCCCTGTGACCCCTCCTCTGCCTGTCCCCACTGTGGCCGGGCCAACACTCAGGGACTTTCACAGGAGGCAGCCATCCATAAAGCTGCTGATGGGCCCAGACACAGAGAGGTAGGATAAGGAGGGAACTGGAAGAGTGGGTCACATAACTGAGGACACAGAGACTGGGCTGGACCACACGCAGGAGGCTGAGTGTCAGAGGAACCAAGACTTGTGAAAAACAAGGGGCAGCAAGACAAGGATCTGGGCAAGATGCCATGTGGGGTGTCGGGAGATGCTCACAGGGCAGACCTGCCACCGTGGCACAGGGGGAAAAGAGCAGGCCTTTCCCTGGTGGGGGCGGGGGGCGGGGGGCGGGGGGCATGGAGCAAGCCTTGCCCAGAGTGCAGGGCTGGAGAGGCCAGGTGCCAGGTGCAGGACCAGCACCACTGTGCACAGAGCAAGGCACTGAGATTGAGGGAGGACAGCGACACGCTGACCTGTCCAGAGTCGCTTCCCCGTATGAGCCATTGCTCCCCCCAAGGCTCTTATGGCTGGGAGTTCTGCAGAATTGATTAAACTATATCTAAAGAAATCCTACGACTTCTATTTCCTCTCACAAATCACCCGCATATTCGATAAACTAGAGCAGTCATGTTTAAATGTCTGGCTGAACCCGAGAGAAAGGATAGGAACTTTCTTCAGGGGAAAAAAAGATGACTAAATTAAAATCAAGAGGAAGGCATCAAAATGTCACCATTGTTTTGAGAATAAAAGCTGATGCCCCAAAACCCACATTTTTGTGGAAGGAAGAGGAGGTCTTGGGCCCATGGAAACTGAACAGGACAGAAAGTCCCAGGACTTGTTCATCTCTCTCCTCACAAGTTTTTCTTCCTAAAAATACTTCCTAGGCAGGTCATGGAAGTATGTGAAGGACCCTCATGGAAAGATGGCTGGGAAGATCTTCAGATCTTCAAAACAACCTGCTCTGAAAGGCTGACTCCCCTGGGAGGCCCACAGCCGCTGGCCTCTTCTCAAATGGACCTGGAGTTAGAGTTTACACTGTCCCTGACTGGAATGAATCAAGACTTTCATGACATTTTTGAGATAATAAGGGGAAAAATTCAATGGGGTGGATTAAATAATAAATTGGACATGGCTGAAGAGAGAATTAGTAAAAAGAATACTGAGCAGAAGAAACTATCCAGAATGCAGTTCAGAAAAATATATAAACATTATTTCATAATATATTATAAAAATATTATTAAATCTAATAATGGAATTGAGGATATAAATGTGTGTGTGTGTGTATACACACACACACACACACACACATTCCTTTTGGATTTAAAAAAAAAAATAGTTACTACAGCCTATTTTAAAAATCAATAATAAAATAGTTCCAGGTTGGAAATATTCTCTGGAATGAAAGAGAAGCAAAGGCCAATATTCTCTGGAGAAAAACATCCTCAATCTAGACCCTCAGGATTTCATAGATTAAATTTAATCAAATATAAGTTCATAGTAAAAAAATTACTGCAGACAGAAGGAAATAAATGATCTAGCAGTTTCACTTTTATTTATATATATATATATATATATATATATATATATATATCCAGAGCAAATTAATGTGTCGAAGTAATATCTACACTCTCATATTTATTGCAGCACTATTCACAACAGACAAGCTGGGGAATCAACCTAAATATACATTGACAGACAAAAGGATAAAGAAAATGTGGAACATACACAATGGAAAATTATTCAGTCATAAAAAATGAAATCTTGGGGCTGGGGTTGTGGCTCAGCGGTAGAGCGATTGCCTTGCACACGAGAGAACTGGGTTCGATCCTCAGCACCACATAAAAATAAATAAAGTAAAATCTTCATGCAATTATTAATATAATATTTTAAAAAATGAAATCTTATGGGGCTGAGGTTATGGCTCAGTGGTAGAGCACTTGACTAGCACATGCGGGGCCCTTGGTTCAATCCTCAGAGGCACAATATATAAATCAATAAAATAAAGGTATTGTGTCCAACTACATCTAAAAAATAAATATTTTTTAAAAATGAAATCCTATCATTTGAGAGAATATGGGTGAATTTAGAAAACATAATGCTAAGTGAAATAAGCTGGACACAGAAAGACAAATACCACATGATCTCACTCACACATGAAATCTAAAAAATTTAATCTTGTAGAAATAGAGCAGAATGAGGGGTATCAAAGGTCGGAGAAGGGAGGGGTCAAGAGAAAATGCTCAAATGAGTACAAAGTCACAATTAGATACAAGGAGTAAGTTCACCTCCACAAAACGTCTCCAGTGTTTTTTGATGTGTATGACTTTTTAGACAGGGGCCTCACTATGCTGCTCAGGCTGGTCCCAAACTCCTGGGATCAAATGACACTCCTGCCTTGGCCTGAGTAGCTGGGACTACAGGCACATGCCACTGCAGTGGGCTTCTCGGATATTTCGAATCCACTGACAATATTTCCTCTATCATATGTTTGAGGGATAAAAGTGTGGGTAGTATAAAACCCTCCAAACACAGAGAACGAATTTTACTCGTAATCTTATGATCAGGATGTAACAAAAAGGGAATGACCAGAGACTTTAAGGTTCTCAGAAAATTTTTTTAAAATCACAAAAGAAATAAAACAAATTAAATCTCTGAAGAAAGTGAAATAAAACAAAAATATCAAAGAGATGGAAAAGAGGAGAAAAAGGGAAAGGCAGTTAGAGGACTAGACTGCAAGTCCAAGTCAACAGGAATTTTTAAAAGAGAGAGTAAAGAAATGAAGGGCAAATAGAAATGAAGGCCAATGTTAAATCCAGATCAAACTGAAATGTAAAAATAAAACAAGCCTAAGGTTTTTTCCCAGAAAATTCTATGGAACACACACACACACACACACACTTTCTATGAGTCGCTGGGACCTGGGGCTGGGAGGCCCCACCTTCTCTGCTGCAGGGCTTCATCCAGGACCTCCTGCTTGTCCTGCAGCATCTGGTGGAGCTGCCGCATCTTCCACTGGTACTGGGCTTTCTTGCCGGCAAAGTGCTCTTGCTGCTCCAGCAGTTGGTGATTGATGTCCCCCAGTTTCAGTGCTGCCTGCTTCTTATACGCCTGACGGGGAGGAGGGACTCAGTGAGCCAGAGGACACTGCCCGGGGCTGCGTTCCTGCCTACTCCCTACACTCCTGGAGCCCACTAGGTTGAGCCCTAGAGAAGGCTGATCTGGGAGGGCAAGTCTGCATCCTCAAAGTGAAAAAAGTGATAAAAGAATTTCAAGTAAAAGTAAACCAAATTTCTAGTGTATATTATGCCATGGTTTTTTAATATGCAACAAATAAAATTAAATATTAAGTACTAGCATCACAGAACAAATTGGTTGTTATTGCAAATTAAACTACTTCTTTATTTTTTCCAGAACAACTTTCATCCCTTGTTCAACTGGTAATATAAGAATTAATGTCATGGCTGGGCTTGTGGTGCACCTGTAGTCCCAGCTCCTGGGGAAGCTGAGCCCAGGAGATCCAAGGCCAGTCTGGACAATGAAATGAAGCTTCAACTCAAAAAAATATAATAAGGTTAAATTAAACTAAAGAAAGAAAGAGCTAATGCTGACACTGTCAGTATTATTAAGGAAACCCCATATATGAACCTAATAAGGTCTGTCATTCTCTATTGTCAAACAAATGACAGTTAACAGCCCGATTCATTTATTTTCCCTCTTTCAATTGCATCGTATTGTATTTTAGATCTTCACAGGCTCTCTGAGCATTTTTAAAACTATTGTCACAGGGACTCTGACACACACACAGTTCACATAGACTCAACATTTTAAACAAATTCTAATATTCTAATATTTATATACAGTTTAGTGCCTAATTTTTAATACTTCTAATGAAAGAAATTTCTGATTTTATTAATGTCAAGTTTTCATATTTGTGATAAAAAAATGTCTGTTATTTCTGCTTTAGGGATTAATGAGGCTTTCATTGTAGAGAAGCTAAGATCAATTTTCACAATTGTTATTTATATATACATAAATATATCTTATTGATCATGTTGTTAAACCTTCTATGTCCTATTTATTTATTTTTAATCTTTTGACCAGTCTTAGACCAAGAATGTAGATAAAGCTCTTATTACTATTTTAATTTATTATTTCCTAGAGTTTAACTTTATAGATTTGCTGTGGTGTCGTATAGTTATTCACAACGACAACATTATTAATTGTAGTCTTTAGCATCTTATTTATTATTTTTCATTTTTTAATTATTTAGTATTTTTTTTAATTATTATTCATTCTGTGCTTTTGGCTTGAATTACATCTTGGCAGATGTAAAGAGTCAACGGCTGGGCTAGCGTAGCCCTCCAAGCCTCATGGAGCCTCTTCTCTGTCTCCCTCAATCCAAAGGACTTCTATTTGCAAAGCCAAGTGACCTAGATCTTGTCATGGCCCCTAACTTCCAAGGTGAGGCCCTCACTTTTAGATGTAATGTTTTGCTGGGGTTTCCCCAGAGTCTGCCCTGCTTAAACTGGATCCTGCTCATGGTTTCTTCTCTGGGTGAGTTCTATTTATACAAGCTAGCTAATGTCGAGTTTTTCTTAGCTTGTGAATGTTCCAACATATTAAATGCCATCATCTATTTCTCCATGACCAGGCCTTCTTAAAATCATTGTCCTATAAGTATATGCACTGGTCAAAGACCTTATTTCCTAGGCTTGGAGCTACACAACCTCACAGCACCTTCTCCTTCAAAATTCCAGGTCCCCTGCTCTCCTCCCTCTAGCCTCTAGCCTACTGGTCCTCTCCCTGGTCCTGCCCAACAGAAGCCAGGTTGTCTGGTGATGCTGTGCGGCTAGAAGTCAGAACACAGCCAGCAAGGATGGGAGCAGGGGTCTAGGGAGGGGTGGTCCAAGGCAGAAGCAAGGTACAATGAGGATGGCTTTCTTTGAGCAGAGAAACTGGAGGGTGCAATCAGATTAAGGCAAGAGAGGAGCAGGTCAATGCTGCTCTTTAACTGGATCAACTAAAGCTAGGGTTGATGATAAAGCTGGCTGGCAATCTAACAATAGAGCCTGGAGAGTTTTCCATCTTTTTTTTTTTTTTAAAACAAACCACTATATAATTTTTTTTTTGTAGAGGAACCAAAGATGATAATTATTATAATGGTTTTTAGGGTACTAGGGATTGAACTAGGGGGCACTCAACCACTGAGCCACATCCCCAGCCCTATTTTCTATTTTATTTAGAAACAGGGTCTCACTGAGTTGCTTAACACCTCAATTTTGCTGAGGCTGGCTTTGAACTTGTGACACCTCCTACCTCAGCCTCCCTAGCCATTAGGATTACAGGTGTGTGCCACCACCCCCGGCTCCAAAGATTATTTAATAACTAGAGGGGTACTATTTCTGCAAGCAAAACCTTATATTGCTTTACTCTGTGAATGATCAGTGACACACACATACAAAATGTCATTTTCTTAAACACAGAAATCTACATGTAAGCCCCATTCCCCACGGAATCTCTGCAGTTAAAGGACCGCTTACCTTGATTTTTTCCTCTAACTTTCCCAAGCGAATATTGCCTTTTAGGATTGTATTCAGGACTCCGTGTTTTTCACTTTCTAAACATTTAGTCTAAGGAGAAAGTGAAGACAAAACTAAATGAGCTCTCAGTTTTACAGAAAAATTAAAATAATAAAAGATTTTTGGGCTAAGTGGTAAAGTGTTTGCCTGAGATGCATGAGGCCTCGGTTCCACCTCAAGCACTGGAAAAAATAAATTATTTTGCAAACAATGAACTACTCCCAAGCAATCTCCATTTTGTCTTCTCCTATACACCCCACCTTGCCTCCATCTCCAGCTTCCCGCACTACTTGGGTGAGGGCTGTGAGCAGAACTCAAGACACAGGCTGAGGAGGGGAAGAGCAGGGACCAGCATGTGGGATGCTTCTCATGGGCAGGAATAGAAGACCTAGGCCCCCCAGACAAGGGGGAAGGATCATAGGGGCGTCCAGAACATATCTCTATCCTTGTGGAATATATAATGCCTTCAATCATGTCAAAGGAATAAGTACTAAGATGTAAAGTTGTAATGTGACTAATTTGATTCATTACAACAAAATTAAGGATAATCATATGAATATACAATGCTGTTCTCCAAACCAAACATGACAAACAGTACATCTAAGAGGGATGTCATTTGAAGCTTAATGATTTAGATTAATATCCAAATGGAAAATGAACTATCATATACTATTAACAATTTAATGGTCTGGGGTTGTGTCTCAGTGGTAGAGCACTTGCAGGGCACTGGGTTCAATCCTCAGCACCTCATAAAACTAGATATAAAGGTATTGTGTCCAACTACAACTACAAACAAAATATTTTTTAAAAAAGAAAACAATTTCAGTTGCTAAAATTAAAGAAAAAAAGTAAAGGTTAGGGGCTGGAGATGTGGCTCAAGTGGTAGCGCGCTCGCCTGGCATGCGTGCGGCCCAGGTTCGATCCTCAGCACCACATACAAACAAAGATGTTGTGTCCGCCGAATACTAAAAACTAAATATTAAAAAATTCTCTCTCTCTCTCTCTAAAAAAAAAAAAAAGTAAAGGTTAGCATTCCTTCTAGCCTAGTGATGACACAGTTTAATATTCCAGAAAAAAAAAAAAAAGACAGACATGGAAAGCTAAACAATTTGCCTGAGTCATGTTGAAATTCCACCCAATAAAAAATTAAGATGTCAGAACCTAAGGCCAGTGATCTCCCACAGAAACTTGACAAATGAAAGATGGTGAAATTACTTGGGGAATTTTAAAGTTATTTGGTGATCAGTGGACAGTTTCAAAAGCAGAGTGGAAACCTCCCCCTGCCTGAATGTGTATGGAGGGTCAGAGTGGGGTCTCTCACAGAGCCCAGGACACGAGGACGGGATAGGATGGAAGAACATGGTTGAGACCCTGGACAGGACAGAAGCCAGAAGCATCACCCCTGGGCCTGGGCTAGAGGAATGGTGCCTCCAGGAGAAAGAAGCCCGCAGCCCAAGGACACATATGACCTGGGCCTGGTTATGCAGAACCCTGAGTATCCTGCCCAGATGTCCTGGCACCTCTCTCACACCTCCCTATGTGGACAACAGAGTCTTGGTGTACAATGAGGTCCCTGGTGATAGGTGGAAAGTCCAGGGACCTACATCTTATATTCTAGGAATCTGTGGTTCTGAAGGGTTTAAGGATTCTAAACGTGAACCTGCCTCAGGCTTTTACAAAGATCAAGGCAAAAAGAGAGAACTCATTTTTTATTAACACTCTGTTGGCTCAATTTATAACTTTTAAATATTTGGGGATGTAGAATTCGGTTTCCATTTGTATTTCCATGCCTGGCCCACAAAGATGAGGGGTTGGCCCCAGGGGGACCATTTGAAGGTCAGGAAAGATCTTCACTTCACTGTGGAAGCCTATGATGCCCCATGGCCCAGTGGGAGGTACGGAACCTGCATCCCAAGGACAGGGATTCCTGCATATCCTACAAACAAGATGGCTTTGCATCTATGGTAGCACTAATATATAGTGGGCAGGTCTCCAGGAACATGCTAGATTAACAGGTTTGCTTGGCACTTTAATTTTCTAACAAGTTTTGGCTTTGCTCTTGATATTCCAGTGGGCAAGCCCAATGCACTCAAGTGAAAGGAAAGTGGGTACTCAGTGGCGCTACAGAAAATATCACTTTGGTTGGGACAACAACTTTTCAGGAGGGGGACTATGAAATCAGAAGGTTTGAGTACTTTTAGGATTCCTACGATGCTGTGTCAAACCAAATTGTTTTCTAGAAGACTCAGAAAGGACTTAGAATTCACCAGTAATGTACAACCAGACTTTCTATACTTCAATCAACTCTATTATGGTTTTGAAAATGTTTTGTAACATTAAGTACAGATTGGTATCACAAGACTAATTAAATTAGCATTTCTTTTATTAAAAATAAAGATCACGGGGCTGGGGATCTGGCTCAAGCAGTAGCGCGCTCGCCTGGCATGCGTGCGGCCCGGGTTCGATCCTCAGCACCACATACAAACAAAGATGTTGTGTCCACCGAAAACTAAAACAAATAAATATTAAAATTCTCTCTCTCTCTCAATAAATAAATAAATAAATAAATAAATAAATAAATAAAGATCACCATTTTTCCTCAAGAGCTGCCTACTACTTATATTTCCTCCTCTATATGCAAGGGATAAAAGCCAACATTCATTTTCCTGTGGAGGAACTTAACGTCTTTCTAACAAATAGAAATGGGACTGTGACATGTCCCAATAGACTTCCAGGTTTGCAGGATTCTGACTTTCTCAGAATTTCCGCTGGTTTCTTTTGTCATGGCATTCATTCAGTTATGACTTCTAATCTTATACTACCAGAGATTGCAACACTGCTTAAACATACATGCTTACATGTATAGAAGCAATATGTGTTCGATGTAGGAAAAAACACAAAATGCAGATAAGTGAGAAGACTTTTCTTAAAAAATCATCTGAAATTCTACTTTTTGGAGATAACTCACTGTCACAATTTGGGGTAAATCCTACAGATCTCTTTCAATGCATATGGCTTGGCATGACTTCTTCCTCTCACCACATAATCTGTAGCAGATATCTTTTGAAATCATTATGGAAATGCCTAAGATCATGCCCACACATGACTCTTGCTAGCTGTGTGGTCTCCATCACTTAGGACACCAATGATTGAATTAATTCCCTTCCTTGGGACTGGCATATTAGAAATGGTATGGGAAGAATCTCACCTTTCAACTATGTCCATAGGAAGAAATATCTATGATTCTTTTTTTTTTTTTTTTAGATGTTGATGAATACCTTTATTTTATTTTATTCATTTATTTATATGTGGTGCTGACAATCGAACCCAATGACTCACACATGCTAGGCAAGTGCTCTACCACTGAGCCACAACCCAAGCCCAATACTTTTTTTTTTCCTTCAGTGCTGGGGATTGAACCAGGGCTTTCCCCATACTAAGCACATGCACCACTAAGCTACACCTCCAGCCCTATGACTATGCTTCATCTTCAAACAGGGAAAATAATAGCACTACGAAGATAATATAAAGCTACATGTGTAGGTATAATAAACACGAGATGACTTACTGCTCCTCCTAAGTTGCTTTCTAAAATAAAAATTGTCATTATTTAAAAACGTTTTTGTGGGCTGGGGATGTGGATCAAGTGGTAATGCGCTTGCCTGGCATGCGCCGGCGCTGGGTTCGATCCTCAGCACCGCATAAAAATAAAATAAAGAAGTTGTGTCCACCAAAAACTGAAAATATTAAAAAATTCATTCTCTCTCTCTCTCTCTCTCTTCTCTCTCTTTAAAAAAAAAGTTTTTGTTCATGGTTTAAAAGATCAAATTTTGGGGCTGGGGTTGTAGTTCAGTGGTGCAGCACTTGCCTAGCACATGTGAGGCATTGGGTTCGATCCTCAGTACCACATTAAAAAAAAAAGTAATAAATACAGTAAAGGTATTCTGTCCAACTACAACTAAAAAAAATTTAAAAAAGATCAAATTTTAGAGAATTTGGAAATGTGCAGGTAAAATTTTAAAACATGAAGCTCTTTTACAGAAAGAGGCTTTTTTTAAAAAAAAATTATTTTTTACTTTTAGGTGGACACAATGTCTTTATTTTATTTGTATGTGGTGCTGAGGATCAAACCCAGTGCCTCACGTATGGTAGGCGAGCGCTCTACTTCTGAGCCACAACCCCAGCCCCAGAAAGAGGCTTTTTTAAAAAAATACTTTCATTAGTTGTTAGATCTTTATTTTATTTATTTATATGTGGTGCTGAGAATAGAACCCAGTGCCTCACACATGCCAGGCAAGCACTCTACCACTGAGCCACAACCCTGCTCAACATGAAGCTCTTTATGGATTAGTTTTGGGAATACTCTTAAAGTCACATTTGCACATAAACTTCAGTTTATTTTACATTATTCTGAGGCAACTTACCAAACACATAAGACTGTCTCGTTCCTGTGTTATGTTCTCTGCTACCCCAACAAGATTTGCCAGGTTCTGGCGAGCAGACATTTCACTCCCCATGGCTTTTTCCACTTGCTTTTTGAGGATATCGATTTTCTTTTGGTATCTCCTACAGAGTTCCCCAAATGGGAGAATAAAAACTATTAGCCTGCAGGGCTAGGGCACAGCAAATATCTGTTATAAAAACAGCAAGCATGTTAACAGTTCAAGGCTATTCTTGGGGCTAGGGGGAGAGTGCTTTCCCGGCATGTTCAAGGCCCTGGGTTTGATCCCCAGCAACGCAAAAAATTAAAAAATAAACGCTGTTGTTCAGCAACCTAAATCTTCTACTATTGTAAGGTAAGATGATTTAATTTGAAACCATGCATAATTAATAACTCCAAATCAAGTTAATAGGACTCACAAAATTCCACCAATAAATAGGCTAATTAAATACTATTCTTTTAACTACTTGGCTCATGCTCTAAAAGATACTTTTTTTTTTCCCCTCTTCCTATGGTACTGGGATTTGAACCCAGGGCCTCATGCATGCCTGACAGATGCTCTACTGGGAAATGTTAGGACGCTCTACCAGTAAATGATTAGGAATGAACTTCTAAAAAGTCAAAGGTCTTAGTGTCATCATATGATTATCAACAACCACATCTGAACTCCAGACTTGAGAGATGTGGTTAATGTTGGCCAACAGAAAAGCTTTCACTATACATATTCTGATATCCTATAATCTCAATTGCTCTTCTCCATTTAATAGCAATGTAAAAGGAAAAGGTGAAGGAAAGGAAATATTCTTTAGTTGTCTTTTTTTTTTTTTTTTTTTGATCTATTGGGAAAAATAAAAACTTAAGGAGAAAAAAAATAAATCTATAAACCTATTTGTTTTCTGGGTTTTTTCAAGTTCGGCCTCCAGTGCTTTGTTTCTAGCTGTCAAGTTGCTCTTCTCTAGAAGCAGGCTCTTTTTCTGCACTTGCAATCCTGTCAGCTTTTCCATCAGCTCTTCCAGCTCAGCACTCCCTCTCTCTTCTTCCTTCTTCAGTTGGCTGAAGACAAAAACATTACAGGCATGTATCCAGTGCACCAGCTAAAGTCAGGCGGTCACTGCAGCCAGGTGATCAATAGCGGAGCCCCTGGGTGAGCGGCCTGGAGGCCTGAGCAGACTCACCTCCCCATCCTATGCCCTAGGGGGCCCATGTCCAGCTGCTGGAGCAGAGGAGTGAGGGTGTGGCTGGGAGCAAACTTCTTGGATAGGGAAGATCTAACCCCTCTTTCTGCTCACAGGTTGTGCTTTTACTGGTATATGTACCGTTCATACCTGTTTTTCCAGAAAAAAATCCTAGACAGCTCAGTTTTCACATGGTTATAATTTCCAGGGAAAAAAAATACTATTTCTAAAACAAATTTCATTTTGTCATAATATAATTATAAACACATGCTTTTATAATAAAAGAAACAAAGAACAAATGGGACATTTGTCTTGAACACCAGCTTGGGTGCTGTCAAGTTTGTACAGAGGGTAACATGGGATAGGAGCTGCATACCTACCAAGTACAGCAGGGATATATAAGAATGTACGGTTTTCAGGATGGTCTAATAACTGGAACATATAAAATTCAGAACTCATTTTTTCATTAAAAACTAAGTTAACCATTATTTTTTGGATAAATCGTTGAACTGGATTAATAATAAAAGGTTAAAAAATAATTTTGAAAATATAGTTTTGCTTCCAGCCAGGATTATTACAGAGGCCAGATTTAACCTCCAGCTAAGAAACCAGGTGGAACAGAAGAAGCAACAGTTTACAGACTTTGGACAACTGGCACCATAGGAGTGTGAAACCCAGATAAGGGAAACCAAGATGAGGGCCACAGTGGCTCCACCTCTGCCTCACAGCGTGGGAAAACCCAGAAGTGGCACACCAGCTGGGGTGACTTGCCAGAGATCAAAGATCAGGGAGGTTAAGTGTCTAGGGCAGATGGGGGCTTTTTCAGAGGGAGGAAGGCTCTGGAGATCTTTTGGGGGCCACCACAAGTTTTTGGCTGAATACAGACCTATACTCATGTGAGAGGAAACTGTCCACTGGCTGAAGAAAGAGACACCAGAAATGAGGAAGCAGCACACAAGAAATAGTACCTGAACCCACCAAAGTGGAATAGCACAGGCCATAGGGACATCAGATAGGATCCTCAGAACACTACTGCCTTAAAAGTGCGGCTACACCTAGCCAAAAGGTTGTCTGGGCCCCTCCTAGCAAGAGTGGGCTTTGGATGAATCTGGCACTTCTTAGTAACTTTGGCATGCAACAAAAACAAAACACTATTTAAAACAAGGCAAGAAATACGGCATTGACCCACAAAAACCTACACTATCTAGGATCCAATCAAGCAATAATATGAGAATATGGTCCCTGATTAGGAGGAAGCAAAATTAAAAGAAGAGACCAAGAAGTGAGAGAGATGCTGGCACTGGCAAACAAGGTTTTCAACAGCTATTATATATACATGCCCCATCTGTTTCAGAAAGTAGAGAAAAAGAGCATGATGAGGAGAGAAATGGAAAATACAAAAAAGACTCCAATGGATCCTCCAGATATGGGAAATATAAATATATATATATATATATATATATATATATATATATATATATATATATATATATGACACGATCAATTCACTGGATACAAATAATAGCAGATTAAATAGCAAGAGAAAAGATCAATGAGCTTAGAGGCAGAGCAATAAAAGCTATCCAATTAAAGCACAGAGAGAAACAATGAGCACAGCACAGTATCAAGCAGTCCCAGGGGAAGTGGGTAAAATACTCCCAAGTATGATGAAAGATATAAGCCCACAGCCCCAAGAGGCTCAATGAAACTCAAACAGGATAAAGAAACCACACCAGGGCTGGGGTTGTAGCTAACTGGTAGAGCGCTCGCCTCTCACTTATGAAGCACTGGGTTTGATCCTTAGCACCACATTAAAAAAACAAAATAAAGGTATTATGTCAGAAAGGAAGGAAGAAAGAAAGAAAGAAAGAAAGAAAGAAAGAAAGAAACCACATCAATAAACATCCAAATCAAGTTTCTGAAAACTCATGATGAAGAAAAATTCTTAAAAGAAGCCCGAGAGCCAGGCGTGGTGGTGCACACCTGCAGTCTCAGCTACCTTCAAGGCTCAGAAGATAGATCTCTTAAGCCTAGGAATTCCAGGTCAGCCTGGGCAACACAGTGAGAATCTGTCTCAGGGAAAAAAAAAGAAAAACCCTGAGCAACCTTTCTCCACTCTGCCTACATTGATATGCAGGTTTCTCATTAATATTTAGAAAGACATTAAAGCCTCACCTTTTTAACTCATTTACAATTGAAGTATGAACTTGCATGGCAATCTTGCCGTCCAAGTGTGCTTTAAGTTCCTGACATTTGGTCTCTAAACTCTCCAGCTGCTGTTTGTTTTCCATCAGCTTCTTTTCCTGGCCCTGTGTTTTAGTTTCCAAGAGCATGAGTTGTTTAGTCAGCTTAGACACTGAAAAGCAAAAGAGAAGGACACAGACTCGACACAGGAGCTTAATAAAACACAAGTACTAATTAATTACTAGGAAACAATGTGAGACAGCTTGCAAAATGGTCTTTTAAAAATAATCTTTGGAGAGTTATAAATTAACCAAAGTCTTTCACATAGAAATTGCTTTGCGGGGCTGGGATTGTGGCTCAGCGATAGAGTGCTCGCCTAGCACAGGCAGGGCCCGGGTTTGATCCTCAGCACCACATGAAAATAAAATAAATAAATAAAGGTATTGTGTTGTGTCCATCTACACCTAAAAAAATAAATATTAGGGAAAAAAAAAAAAAAAAAAAAGAAAGAAATCCCTTTCCCTGCGCTCACCTATAATCCCAGCTACTAGAAGGTTGTGGCAGGAGGGTCACTAGTCTGAGGCCAGCTTCAGCAACTCAGCAAGACTCTGTCCCAAAATAAAAAATAAAAAGGGCTTGGGATATAGTTCAGTGGTGGAGCACCCCTGGGTTCAATCCCCAGTACTGAAAGGAAAAAAAAAAGAAGAAAGGAAAGAAAGAAGAAAGAAATTACTTTCCCTATATTAAACATTCACTAAATATACAGTCAGCTCTCCGTATCCATGGGTTCCACCATCAGTGGACTCAACCAACTGTGGGTCACAAATATTCACAACAAAATTAGATCTATACTGAACATATATAGTTTTTTCCTTATCACTACATTATAAACAAAACAGCATAGTAACTGTTTACATTATACTAGGTATGATAAGTAATTTAGGGAGGACTTAAAGCATACAGAAGGATTTGTGTAGGTTATGTGTTGATGCTGTACCATTTTCTATATGGGACCCAAGCATTCATACATTTTGGTTGTGTGTGTGTGTGTGTGTGTGTCTGTCTGTCTGTCTGTCTGGAACCAATCCCTTGCAGATGCTAAAATATTTTATTGGAACTGACTATAATATTTAACAAGACATGAATCCAGTCTTCAAGGAATTGACTTTCCAAAGACTAAGTCTTAAACCATACATAGATTTGCAAATATATATCATGATGTTGTCTCTAAAACTGGAAGATTTTCAAGATTTTTAAGGATATCAAACACAGCCTAAGCACTGAATTTATTATTTTTTCTTCTAAGTTTTTTTTTTTTAATTGTTGATGGTCCTTATTGTCTTAATTTTTATGTGGTGCTGAGGATCGAACCCAGTGCCTCATGTATGTTAGGCGGGCACACTACCACTGAGCCACAACCCCAGCCCCTCTTCTACGTTTTTATAATTTATGCCCTATATTGAAAGTAAATCAGAAGTATTTCCATCCCATGTGACATGGTCATATATAATGAGATATTCCCTGGGCATCTGTTGAAAGCAGCCTTTAGAAGTATGATAGCATAACACTTTAAATCTTTCTACTCTAGAAAACACTGAGCTGATCAAAGGGAACAGCTGTTTCCAGGGAATGGGAAAATAACAGACAACTGGGTCAATCATGAACACATGGGCCGAAGGCTTGCCTGCACCAGCAGATCAGAAGAATCACCACACAGGTACAATCCATTAAGTTTAAGAAAATTAAACTTAGTGAATAGGAAAGTAATTTCCCCATTATTTCCATTTCTGAAAACAAAGCCAGGAGGCCCAGAAACAGTCTCTTTCTTCCTGCTCAACGATGCCAGAATAAACACAAGTATTGCCAGGCACACAGGTCGAGAAAGTCCTGCAGAGGACAGCCCTGTGGGGACTCTGAGAGATGCTCTTGTATTTAAACATGGCCTAGTTGGCAGAAACACAAAATGCGGCACAGCAGCTTCTGTGATAGCAGGCTGGTAAGGAGCTCTTCCTCAATGTGGAAGGGAAGAGTCACTAAACCAGCATGTGCAGGAGGGCAAACAGGAGGAGGGGTTACAATGGCTCACTCAAGACACTTGTCTTTCAGCTTACTGTCCTATGTTATTCTTCCCTGGAAAATTAAGTAAAGGCAAAAGAAATTGCTATTTTTTTTCTGCTCATAAATTTGGTTTTAGTCAAAGCAGAAGAAACGATTCTTCCTTAATCTGGCTTACTTGCAAATCCACTGTCATATGGAGTAGGGCTCCTAGGGTGAGGGAGGGACTTTCAGAGGAGGTATCTGATGGAGACTAACTACAAAGATTTAACCTCTCTTAGGCTTAACCTATCTCCCTTAGGCTTGTTGGAAGAAAAAGCACAAAGAGAGGCTCTACTTATTTACTCATTCAACAAAGATTTGGGAGGATGTCATTGTGTTGTTTAGAATGCTTTCTTCCCAGAAGCTCAGGAGGGTGAGGTAGGAGGATCATGAGTTCAAAGCCAGCCTCACAACTTGGTAAGGCCTTAAGCAACTTAGTGAGACCCTGCCTCTTAATAAAATAGAAAAAGGGTTAGGGATGTGGCTCAGTGGATAAGCACCCCTAGTACAAAAAAAAAAAAAAAAAGAATAGAATGTTTACTCACATGACTTTGTCCCTTCTAAGGCACTAATTTACTCTAAAATCAGTTCTACAGAGTCTACTACCTACAATTAATTCACAAAATACAGAAAATGACTAGAAATAGTGCTGTGGCATCAAAGAGAAGGCCATCAATGCATTAAGGGCAATGGCTAAAAATGTAATAAAGAGTTGCATTTTGGGAAAAAAAGAACATTCAGAAAACATGATTTTTTTTTCAGGGATATAATAGTGACATCACCATTACTCACCTTCTTGGAGATGCTCCTGGTGAGCATCCTTGGCTTTCATTTGCTGAATCGCCAACTGGTCTATCAACAACTTGTTCTCCTCTAAAACTAGTTCTGCTTGAGTCTGAAGCTGATGCCTACAAATGATTTACAAAATTAAATACAGCCATTCAGGTACTGAGTGTGATTACAGTAACCTACCAAGTCTAAAAGAAAACAACTGATTTATGGAGGTGATGAATATCTGGACATGTTTTAATGTTGTACATTAATTCAGTCATTTGTATTAAATAGGGAAAAGAATTGCAATGAAGTTTGAATGATGGCCTGCTTTAGTACCTTTGTTTTCATTTTGATACTACAGATAACAGTCAGGGCTTAGGCAGCTGCGATACCACTGGGCTATACTCTGAACCCTTGAGTAACTTTTTAAAATGTATCAGGGCTGGGAGTGTAGCTTAGTGGTAAAGTATGTGCTTCATATGTGTGAGGTCCTGTTGATCTCTAGCATAAAACCAAAACAACCTGTGTAGAATGTAAAATTTCAAAGATATACAAAAGAGAATAATATAGACTCTCATATACTTAATATCCAGCTGACACAATCATCAAATGGACCACATTTCATCTATATAAACCTCCAATCCCCACATGCACTGAATTATTTTGAAGCTTGTAAGAATTTAGAAAGTTCCCATTTTACTGAAAAAGTACTCACTTATGATCAGTAGCATAGTTGCCTAAAAATAAATACTTTGTTAGAAGGCTTTGTAATGGTTTCTTAAAACTACACAAGACTACCCTAATCTTTATTTCGACACAAGCAAACCCTTTTCTTACAGAAAGTGCCATGTAAATTCTATCCAGCTCAACCTTCAGGATTAAAAATTCCAATAAGCATGAGCTGAAGGAATGGTATAATGGTCTAGTTAAGTGTTTACCACCCAAAATAGACTATAAACAAATAACTATCTTGATTTCCTACTTTAAACTCAAAGGTCAGAGGAGAAAGGAGAGAGGAAAGAAGGAGCCAGGCTGTGACAATGACCTCACGCCACTGTGGCTGCACACTAGCTCCTTATCACTGGGGTGTTCCTGCCTGCTATCTGCACTGTGAGAAGGGGCCTCAGTCTCACTGGCCTCTTTAGCTTCCTCATTCCTGTCTCACAGAGCAGCTACACTTTGACCCATTACATTCTGGACGTCCTTATGAGACTTTTACTTCATCAGTTCACTCATTCATTCCTCCCTCAACTTCCTCCCTTTATTCCTTTCTATTTAAAATGAAAGGGTTCCTTTATCCCTAAAAAAAAAAAAAAAAAGTTGAAAACCTCAGATTTAGTTTAATACTCCTTTCCATTTCAGCCCACGAAGCTGAAGTTACCCAGCTGATCAGGTGAAATTAAGATGAGACTAGCTACAGCCCAGGAATTTACTCAGAAATTATCGGAAACTAAACAGACAAGCTTCTACTGAAGTGTGAGGTCTGTGTGCCAAGAACTGTGTGCAGGTCTAGGAGTTGCACGCCTGGGCAGGCACAAAGGAGCAGTTAGGAGCTGGGGGGAAGGGCTTCACAGGGCCTCAGAGCCCAGGGGCCCCTAGCTCACCCCCCTCGCTGTACAAGCCACCACCCTAGAGCAGAGGGCAAAATTCAAATCTCAATAAAAACAGGACTGGGGAATTAGGCAGGACCAGGGATTTGAATGCAGGGCTGTCCTTTATTTTATCTTACTGATTTATTTTTATTTTAAGGAAACATAAAGGAACTTGACTCATGGCTATAACAAAATTAGAAAAGAATCTAAGATTCCAGATTCTCCCTAAGGCCCTTGGAGGCATGTTGTCCTGGGTGCTGTTCAAGGAGCACTAACAGGAGAAACCTTCCAGGAACCCCGACAGAAGACAATCCAAGTTCAACAGGGGAAATCAAGTGCACCAAAGTCCAGTGGATGCCCATGCCAGTCTTGAAGGACATATCAATCAGTGAACATAATGGAAAATATTTCATTTTTTCAGTAACATTAAGACATTTAAAAAATACTAAATGTCTCATACCTATCCAAAACAAATCATCTTCTTAGCCTTGCCTGGATAACGCCATTAAGACTTTTCATGAGTTTTACTTCCTCTACTTCATTATAGGGGCATTTGTTTTACTGAGCTGGATGCAGTTGTATACCAACATGAACAGGATGTGGTCACTGCCCTTGAGGAGGGCAAAGGAGAACAGACACGCAGAGTGGAGACATACAGGACAGGTAGGTATAGCGTACCAGGTACCAGGACAGGGCAGATGCTTCGGACTATGTCAGAAACAGACAAGGGAGCACTAACTCTGCATTCAGGGAGAGTTAATGACAGCACCATTTGAGCCCTGAAAGATAAGGAGTGTGGAAGGGGCCTCCAGGGATGGGAGCAGCATTGGAAAAGAGGAGTAGAGGGTGAACATCTGCTGTCATGTGTGTAGGCTTTATCCTTTATATTCCAAAGTCCTGGAAGTGACCAGAGGAGTTGAGAAATACCACCTCAGAAAGTAAAAACAGAAGCTGGAAGGGTGGTACACGCCCGTAATCCCAGCAATTTAGGAGGCTGAGGTAGGAAGACTACAAATTCAAGGTCAGCCTCAGCAATTTAGAAAAACCCTGTCTTAAAATTTTAAAAAAGGCTGGGGATATAGCCTAGTGGTAGTGTCCCTATGTTCAATCCTCAGTACCAAAAAAAGAAAGAAAAATACCATTTTAGAATAGTTTACTATGATTTTATAGTGCCTTAATTTCTAAGAAACTCCCTTAAAATATATTTGTTAAAAAGAAAATATATTAATGCACTTGATGATTTCATAAAATTTATTTCTATTCTCTTGCATTTTAAATTAGCAAAATACTAGAAATACCATCACTTGCCATTCATCACTGGTAACAGGTCTACTCTTATTTAACTCTTGGTGCAATTCTTCATTCTCTTTCACCACTTCTTGGACTCGCATCCTAAACATTCTCATTTCCTCCTGAAATAAAATTTATGTAAACTGTAACATCCACATCCACGTGCACTTCTCTTTCTTGGCTCTAGTGCTGTTGCTGTGCCTACAATCCACTGTCATAGCCATTTGGCAAAGCCTTACCCCAGCACCAGCCTTAAACTCTGCGTCCCAGTGCCATGTGCCCTCAGAGAGCTAAAAGTCTAGTGAGATAACGCACCAGGCAACTGCAAAGTCATGGAGCACAGGGACAAAGAACCTGGCTTTTTAAATATCCAACTCCTGATGTGAAAACATTTTTCTATAATTGCGAAATATTTGAAGAATTTAAAAGGGCAATAGAAAAAAAAAAGCCAAGATGCCCATAAATACTGCAGTTTTTTTCTTTCCTTAGAGACTCTAGAGGATAAATAGGAGGGTTTTATGTAAAACATAAGAACTTAATGAATGCCCATTTGCATGGGGAATTGGTCAGTTGGTATGGGGGCTGGAGGCTCTTAATCTTGCTCAGAGCAAGCATGAGAAAGCCTCTTTATTAAAAGGCATCAGTCCCTATAACTCTGAATCCAGATCTGTGGTTCAGTCTCAGCTTTAGGCTCCTAATGATGTTTATGGCACTTCACCAGGGCCTCCTTCTCCACCATGGCTTTTCTTGGCCAGTATATGTCTGGCTTCAGTGTCCTGCACTATCCTTTATAAGAATCTTGGGTGCCAACATTTACTCTGGGGTGCTTTGCAATATTCTTCTCCTAACTATTAGATATTTATGCTTACACCTGTTTGTCTCAGCAGCATTGCCAAGTTGCTTCCTCTCCTCTTCTACCCAGTTACTCTCCAATAGCTGCCAGCCCACCTGGCTCTCTTTTGAACCGAGTCAGGCAAACTACAGTGGGCAGTCCATTCACCTGATGTTTTAATGCACTGTAGACCCACCCAGTGTTTACATGTTGTCTACAGTTGCTTTCATGCTACAATAGCAGAGTTGAATAGCTGCAAACAGAAACTGTACGAACCACAAAACCTGAAATATTTATTAACTGGCCCTTTACAGAAAAAGTGGGCTGATCCTGATTTAGAAAGAGTGTAAAAATAGCAATTTTATTATCAGGATTGATTTTTGATCAATTAGTACTAGATTAATTCATGCTTTTAAAAAACTAAGTGTCCAATACTAAGTCTAGATGAAAAGATTCAAAATTGCATTTCCCAGGACACGTACATGGAACAGCACAAGTGAAGAGCAGGCTGGGTGACTCTTAAAGAACCCTTCTTCCTCAGGATTCCATAAAAACCAACGCTTCTCTCTCTGGATTCTTCCAATTCCAATTCTAGAGATCTATTTGGCCACTTAATTGAAGAACCCAGAGGTATAGGAGGCATAAGTAACGCCCGTGCTTGTTTTCCTGCACAATTAGAAGGAGCTTTGCTTCCAGAAGCCATTTCCACAAAGCACAAATTAAGAAAACCTCACTTCCTAACCACTTCAACAGCTCAATTACTTGACTTCCCTGGGGTCAGTTCTTCTTGGAATTAATATGCATTCAAGTTTGCCTATCATGGCCCTGGCCTATTACTTTCCTTTCCTGCCCAGAGGTCTCTTCAAATTGTGGTATTTGCAGCTGCAAAGTCCCATAAGAGAAGTGTCTCCCTACTGCTGAGTTCTCTGCACCCAAGGTCCTAGTCCACGTGGGGTTGCCCAGGCTATAACCATGGTTTCCAGTGCAGCACCTCCTGCCCCTCCATACCTCTCCCCCCATGCCCACCCCCCTGCTCGGCCAATCACGCTCTTCCATTTTCCCTCTCTCCTCCTTGCCTCTCTTCTTCTTTCCCTCCTTCTCCCACTTCCATACTCCTTCCTTTCTTCCCCCTTTCCTTCTTTTAACAAACTGAGTACCTACCACATGTTGGGCATGCTTACTTACCTTCAGAATGTTCCTGCAAAATTGGAAACCAGTCTTATTTTTATAAATCAATCTTTTGAGACATCTGCCAACCTACCTCGAGGGTGGCATTAAGCTCATCCTTCTCTTTCATTATATCTTCATAAGCTAGCAACAACGGTGAAAGGCACTTTATATCCAACTGAAGACAATGGAGTAAGAGGTGGTTAATATATTTCTTACATCTAAACACAACTGGCAAAATTTTAAAAAGGCAAGAAGACATACTTATATTGGAATAGATTGTAATAGGTATGCAAACACAGCCCAGAAAATATTGGCCTGAAATTAAATAACTTTTACTTACCAGCCAGGGTGGTATAGGGCCTTTTGATGGGAGGCCTTCAGTATGTAAGCTCTAAGAATAAAACACATATTGAAGACAAAATAAAATATACTTCCTCTGAAATTCTAAGTCTTCTACATTGTTAATTTAGACCAGCATCATTCACCCCTATGTTTGCATGAATGTATAAAGGAGAAAAACTTTTCTGCAATGTTTGAGAGTAATGCCCTCTTTCCTCTAAATATTTCAGTGCATATTTCCTAAAACCAAAAACATTCATTTACCTAACCACAGTACTATACTGAAAATCAGAAAATCAACACTGATGCAATATTATCTGAAACAATACTATCTGAAACGCAAGTAATTTTTTATTAGGATGCTAGACTTTGTGAATGTTACATGGTGTCTGGATTTTGTTGTCTTTCTTTAATGATTTTTGGTTATTCTCTCTCTCTCTCTCTCTCTCTCTCTCTTTTTTTTTTTTTTTTTTTGAGTGTGTGTGTGTTTGTTTGTTTTAAACAGGCACTGATATTATGGATCAGCTTGTTCCTTTCAGGCTTGTTTTTCATCCTAGTGTGGTGAAAATAATCTGGTGGGGTCTGTAATAACCCTTACCGAAAGGCTAGTTTAGCCACACTCCTAAAGCACGGCCCTTCTGGGCTCTGTGCTCAATGTCATAGCATTCAACAAGGTCTCTCCATTATGGCGATCAGAAGTCAAAGATCTCCTTGTGCTATGTGAGCTCTGGGAACTATTCAATTCACAGATTCCTGTACTTGTTTTCTGCCGGTCTAACGGGGCTCCATCCTACATGTGTGCATACTAGTATTTAACAAAAGACACAAGGAATTCCATGCAGATTTATGCATTTCTTTATCTACGGAGCTCCCTCCTTTCTGGTATTCCTGCCCTGAAAATTCTAGTCTCCTCGACTTCCCCAAACTCTGTTTACACAAGAGAGAAAGCCTGGCACAGAAGCAGATATCCCAATAGAGCTATTCCTTATTTAATAAAAAAGTTTCCCACGTATTCATCTTAATCATCTATCTCATCACTCATTCATTCCATGAACATTGTGAACTTGTGAAGTCATTATGGACATTACAACATAATCCTAGTTTTCAAGGATTTTATGTCTAATAACAGAGATAAGTCTTTTAATACAAATGACTTTTTTATTGTCATTGTGCAGTGTAGTCAGGCACCATCATACATGTGTATAATTCCAGCAACTTTGGAGGCTGAGGCAGGAGAATCACAAGTTTCAGACTAGCCTGGGCAACTTAGTGAGACCCTGTCCCAAAATAAAAAAATAAAAAATGGCAGGGGATATAGCTCAGTGGTAGAGCACTCCTGGGTTCAATACCAATACCACAAAAATAGATGGCTAGAATGGTAGGTAGGCAGGTAGGTAGTAGACAGGTAGACAGGTAGGTAGGTAGACAAATGGTCTGTAGATGTAGCTCAGTGGCAGTCTATTATGATTTAAAGAGAGGTCATTACTTCTGGCTAGAGTGATCACAAAAAAATGTGGCATTTGAACAGGGTAGAAAAAGGGTGTGCAGGGGAGTCAAGGGAGGGTGGGGGTGTCCAGAGGGTTATCAATGGGCCTGCTTGCCCTGCCTCACCCATAACCCTGAAGAAGGACCCAATCTAGGCAACACAGTTTGGAGTATGTGACCCTGAAGCTTTATTTTGTTGTTAAAAGTTAATATTGGGGCTGGGGGTGTAACTCAGAGCTACAGTGCTTGCCTAGCCTGCATGAGGCCCTGAGTTCAGGCTCCAGCACCAAAACAGAAAAAAAAAAAAAAAAAGATAATTAATATCAGGCTAAGTATAATAAGTCAGTCAAAAAAGACCATGCATTGTATGGTTCTACATATATATGATATGTTCAAAATAGGCAAATCCATAGAGATAGAAAGTAAATGTGACCATTAATGGGTATGAAATTTCGTCATGGGATAAAAATATTCTAAAATTCACTGTGGTGATGGTTGCCTAAATTGGTGGACACAGTAAAACTCTTTCAACTGTACATTCCAAGAGGGTGAAATGAATGGCATGTGAATTATACCAGTTGAGCATTCCTAATTGGACAATCCAGACTCCAAAATGCTCCAAAATCTGAACTTATTAAAAAATTCCAATTAGAGAAGCTCAATAGGTAAAGTTTATGTAAATATTCTAAAATCCCTAAACTTCAAAAGTTGAAAGACTTCTGGTCTCAAGCATTTCATATAGGGGAGATTTAGCCTGTTGTCTAAGCTATTATTTTTAAAAAATCAAACTTGAGTCCCTCTTCAAAAAGAAACTCAGGGGCTAGGGGTGAAGCTCAGTGGTAGAGCATTTGGCATGCACAGGGTCCTGGGTTCAATCCCTAACACACATACATACCCCCGCCACACACACAAAGAAAAAGAAAAGAGAAAAAAGAAAAGAAAAAAACTCAGAAACCCACAGGCCTGCTGGGCGAGGTGGTGCATACCTGTAATCCCAGCAGCTTGGGAGGCTGAGGCAGGAGGACTGCAAGTTCAAAGCCAGTCTCAGCAATTTAGCAAGGGTCTTAAGCAACTAGCAAGACCCTGTCTCTAAATAAAAAACAAAGGGCTGGGATGTGGCTTGGTGGTTAAGTGCCCCAGGGTTCAATATCTGGTACCAAAACAAACAAACAAACAAAAAACCCCAAAACAAACAACAACAACAAAAAAACAAAACCAAAAACAACAGGCCCTAAACTCCCAGAAGCCACATAATAATGCTGTGTGCCTATGGCTTTCCCTTCCTTGACCCCAGCAAGAGCCAATCAATCAGCTGTGCACCTCCCATTCTCTAAGAGCAGGGGCCCAGACCTGCTCTTATCTTATATTCTTCACAACATCTAATATGTAGCTTGCTTAGTAAGAGTCTGTAGAACTTAATTCTGCAACCACTCTTATCAATAAACATCTACTTTTTTTTTTTCAGTTTGTATATTGGCAAATAGCAGCTGTAACAGAAATCAAATGGAGCAACTGAGATGGGCTCAGTCTTTTACTTTATGTACTTCTATACTGTATCAATGTCTCCCCAAGGTCTTTATCACCTATATTAAAGGGAAAGAAGAAAGGAAATAGAATGCTCTTAAGAAAGACTGTGCTTTGGCATATCTTTTTACCACTGAGCCACATCCCCAGCTCTTTTTATTTTTTATTAATTAATTTATTTTAATTAGGTATATATGACAGCAATATGCATTTTGATTCATTGTACACAATTGTAGCACAATTTTTCATTTCTCTGGTTATACATGAGGTAGTGTTGCATCATATGTGCAATCATACATGTACCTAGGGAAATGATGTCCATCTCATTCCACCATCTTTCCTGCCTCCATACCACCATCCTTCCCCTCCCTACCCTTTGCTCAATAAAAGTTCCTCCATTTTTCTCATGCCCCCCCCCCTTATTTTTTATTTTGAGACAGGGTCTTGTTAAGTTGCTTAAGGCCTTGCTAAGTTGCTGAGGCTAGCCTCAAACTTGAGATCCTCCTGCCTCAACCTCCCAAATCACTGGGATTACAGGCATGCACCACTGTGTCAGGTTGGATGCATCTTTTTTACATTAAATTATAGTACATAAAAACCCCTCAGAATTGGAAATCAATTTAATATTAAAGGCTTAAAAAAGTTTGATTTTTCTAAGTAGAAACATTACCTCTTCCTTAGACAAATGTCTGAATTTTGTTTGATAACGACTCAGCTCTACATTCAAACGATGAACAGTCATTTTCAACCCATGATTTTCATCGACCAGTTCTTGAGCTTGTTTCCTTAGATAAAGTAATTCAGGTGCAGTAACTCCTGGAAAAAAAAAATCAATTTAATATCATGCTATAAATTATACTAAACTTATCAGAATTTTATATAAATTACTAATCTTTTGCCTCTTGTTCCCTTTTAAGCTTACAGAGGAAATAAATTATATATATATACATATAGATTTATATAAAATAAATGAATAGTAGTTACAACACTTTTTAATACTGGATAGTCAATATTGTTCTGGAAATTGTTGCATGTACAATAAGGCAAAATAAAAAAAATTTAAGTTGGAAAGAAACAGCCATTTTTCCAGATAATATAAACAGAAAATTTGTTAGAATAACCTTCCCACATAAATGCAATGTCTATTAGAAAACATAATAGAAAATAGATTCCACAAAGTAACATTGCAAATGACATAAATATATAATAAACATAAATGGAATTACAAATTACATAAAGATCAGAAATAAATGCTCCTAAGAAATATTCTGTAAAAAGAAAACTTATCATTTACTTAAGGCCATAATATTATTATTATATGAATAGAAAAATGTAAACAGAAAATATCAGTGAATATTTATATAAACTTAGAAAAACCACTTGACATCTAGGGAATAAGGTCATAAAAGGAAATCACCCTCAAGATAAAGTTGAATTATCAAAAACTAAGAAAATAGTATATACATGACAAATGACTTAATATGTAAAGATGCCTACAAATAAGAAAAAGAAAACTATTTCAATTTGAAGTCAGCAAATTTCTGAAAGAGAAAAAAAATGGCCTCCAAAGATGTGGAAAAAAAATACATTGAAGGTCATCAATAATAAAAGAAATACAAATTTAAACGATATTTTTTATTTTTGATTATCTAATTAGCAAGGAAGTATACTCTTCATCACTGGTAAGTATGTGGTTAAAAAGGCACTTTTATATGTTGCACATGAAGACAAAAAATGATAAAAATACATGTACACATAAGATACTGGGTCTAATAAAGCATCAAGTTCCAAAAGTATTGAAATTTCTTGAGCATAACAATGAAAAAACCACATGGCAGATGAAACCAAATTTCAATAAGCATAAAGATAGTAACGAAGGACAATTAAATATGACAACATAAGTTATCCACATAAGTATCAATATACAACATGAAACATTAACTGTCAAAATAGAGATTAAAATGAATGAAGTGTACTTGTCCCAACCTTCCTGAGAGGATGCTTTCTCAGCCTCTTTCTGCCTTTCATTGTCTTTTTCCATTCTCTTTAGTTTTAACTGAAATTCTTTCATTGCTTGTTTTATTGCACATAGCTCAACGGTAAGGCTTTGATTTTTATTGTTTAGGTGCAAATTTTCTTCTTTTAATTCCTCAAACTTTTCTTTGGTTATTTCTACACATCTTTGACGCGCTCTACCAGTTACATCTGAAAAGGTAGAGGGAAAAAAACACTTTAAAATTGGGGAAGAGAAAAGTGAAAGTAGGCTTCAGAGGCTAAAACTTGACACAGCTCAATGGCTGACTGGGTGTGGGCAGTGGAGTGGGTGGAAAATCAAGGGTGAACATATTAAATAAAAGCCATGGAGCCATTGTTTTGGAATAAGGTGCTGTTCGAGGCCCCAACAAACCAGACTAAAAATTACAATGGAGTCACTCATATTAAAGCCCCAAGTCATTGAACTGTTTGTTTCAACTAAGTTATCTAGGGCTGTGGATGTGGCTCAACGGTAGAGCACTCACCTCTCCTGCGTAAGGCTCTGGGGTTCTATCCCCAGCATCACCAAAAAACAAACAAAAAATCAACTAAGTTATCTAACCTCAGGACAGAGAAAGTACAACCAAATTTCTCAAACTTGGTCATTTTCCTGTTGTTCTGTCCCAGTGCCCATGTTACAAAGAAAGTCACTTTGAAGTGACTAATCCATTTCTCCTTGTTCCTGCTTTCTCCGGCCCTCCTCGGTCTAGAAAGCCAACCTCTCCTGCTCAGCTCGCTGGAATGCTCATTCTATCTCAGGCAGTAAATGCAGCCTGAGGCTAGAACTGTGAAGGATTCTGATTAATAACAAATTCAAAGGCTGAACAGCAAGGTTCTTAGAATGGGGAATTGGCCTGTGAAGCCAAAAACACTGCAACAGGGAGGGTGAAAACACAGTCAGATATGAAGGACAGATTAGAATAGGGTTTTTCAGATTAGTGATGTGAGATATAACCTCCCCAAATTACAAAATCCACTTTGAAAGCTACTAAGACTCCCCAAACTGTACAGGGGGTATATCCCACAAAACATCAATCTCTGAGCACAGCACCCATTTACATATCCGGACCTCAGCACATCCCACGTGGACATACACCCACCACCCAGTATTTGGACCTTTTTGAAGACAAAGGCAGAGTTCAACAATTAAACACCTCTTCTCAAGTCCAATAACACTGGGCAGAAACAAAGAGCCTTTATAAGAAAATGAAGGTGAATTTTATGTTCAGATGAGACTATTCTGGGTATTCTCTAAAACTAAGTTTTTCAAGCATAATGAACAACAAAAGGCAAATACCTGGGGAAGGAGGAGGTTTTTCACATAATGGTGTTTTTTCATCCTAAGGAAAAAACAGGAGAATGTGAGTACAGAGTCCCAGCACCTTCTAAAAGTGGACTAAGCTGGGTATGGTGGTGCACACCTGTAATCCCAGCAACTGGGGACGCTGAGGCAGGAGGACTGCAAGTTTGAGGGCAACCTTAGCAACTTAGTGAGACCCTGTCTCAAAATGAAATAAAAAGAGTTGGGGATGTGGCTCAGAAGTTAAGCACCCCTGGGTTCAATCCTTGATACCAAACCAAACAAAACAAAACAAAACTTTAATTGCCACTATTTCTTGTAACTAAACCTTAAGGGGTGTTCCCTCCTGGTAGGACCTCTAAGGCAGAGAAGCAGGTCCTGTCTGAACTCTCTTCTGTCTTGCCTGTGAATTCAGAGACTGTTTTTTTCTATGTTGGTCCCATGAATGACAGGACATCAGTTCAGAACCTTTCTTTCTTTTTTTTTTTTTTTTTTTGGGGGGGGGGCAGGTACTGGGGATTGAACCCAGGGGCACTTAACCAAGCCACATATCAAGCTCCTTTTTATTTATTTATTTATTTTTTTTTGTAACAGTGATTTAATCCAGGGGCATTTAACCACTGAGTCACATACCCAGCCCTTTTCAGGGTCTTGCTGAATTGCTTAAGGCCTTGCTAAACTGCTGAGTCTGGCTTTGAACTTTCGGGATGGCTTTGAATGCCTGCCTCAGCTCCAAGCCACTGGGATTACAGGTGTGCACCACTACGCCAAGCTAGTTTGTGAAATGGCTATACATGCCACACAGAAATATAAAAACAGAAACTTTTCTCACTAGAAATGAAAGAAGAACCCTATTAATTGGAGCAAAGCATGTTTTCAAATGCTGAAAAAAGAATATAATACATTCTTGCTTCTCAATCCAAATCTCAGAGGAAAAAGAAGGCTTTAAAATTCTGTTAAATTTCTCCATTGTGCATCAGTGTGATATTAAGTTTCTAATTTCTGCTGAAAAAGTAGATAAGGTTATTAATTAACTCTACTGAGAAATGTTTAATTTTTAAATTCCTATGACATCGCACAACTGAAAACTTAAGCAAGAACTACTTTCATGTTGGCAATTAAGGTTGTCTATTATTCTACAATTATGCAATTTTTAACTTTTCAATACATTATTTTCATTACCAAACTATGGAAAGCATGAAATTCCTCCATGTTTTAAATGTGCTTAAGAAACATTCAATAGGAAAAAAATCTGATGGGAAGATTTTTTTTCCCAAGAGTATTTAAAAGTTCTAGTATAAATTCTATTTATTGAGAATATGAATTTAAAAAAATAAGCTTACCTTTAAATTCAGAACAGAGTGTTTACTATCTGATAAAAAAAGAAAAAAAATAAGGTAGATAAAAGATTTGACAACATAGAAGAGTATAATCATAAAAACTTGTTTCCTGCAGATGAGCCCCTGGCAGAGACAGATTTTGCAAGGCCACTGGCAGTTAGGTCCCTGGGCAGGGCAGGGAGCCTGACTTTTACTCACTCATCTCTCTATCAGGCTCAAACCTGAGCCCTTGTGGTAGCTCACATAATTGCAGAACAGAGGCCAAATCTCTCAATGTCCCAAGCTGGGCTCCTCAAATTCCTTCTGCTGTTCTCCAAGTGGACCGTGTAGAACAAGGCTTGACTTCTCTCTGCCTACCCAGCCAACTAGCATTGGATTGGATCAGAAAAACAGTTGCTCCTTGAAGTGAACTGCCTCAGTGATACATACGAAAACAAAGCCTGCCCGAGTCCTCATCTTCCACACATTAGTCATTCAGGTACCCCAGGAAGAGGATGAATTTGCCTGTATACTTTGCTAGAGTTATAAGTTGGACATCTGGTTGCTTAGAACTTTCTACTATGGGTTTGCAGAGTATAAATAACTGGCTAAAAATGAACAGAAACAAATTTGCAAAAAAATAGAAAAAAAAAACAAACCACAGAATTCAGAAAGCTGATAAACATGCTTAAAGATGCATGCAAGATTCTAAATCTATTTCCCGGGTCATCTGAATTATCAACTTATCTGTAAAAACCTTATTATATTGGGGCTGGAGTTGTGGCTCAGTGGTAGAGCACTTGCCTGCCTGGCATGTTTGAGGTGCTGGGTTTGAATCTCAGCACCGCATATAAATAAATAAATGAAATAAAAGATCCATTTAGAACTAAAAAATATTTTTAAAAAAACTTATTATTTGGTACCATAAATTGAACCTGAACAAAATGGCACTTAACCACTGAGCCATATCCCCAGTTCCTTTTATTTTTTTATTTTGAGGGTCTCACTGCCTTGCTTAGTTGCTGAGGCTGGCCTCAAACTTGCAATCCTCCTGCCTCAGCCTCCCAAATTGCTGGGATTATAAGTATGTACACCACACTTGGCTGATGAACATATTTTGACCAAAAAGTCATCCTTAACTATGGTTTCTAAACAAACTGATTTTGGTGAAGTGTTATGGGGCAGCCTTTGTGAAATGGCTATAAATGCCAATGGCTATAAATCTCCATTCATCACCTGGAGATCCCCAGCCTGTCCTTGAGTCCTCCTCTCTGGCAACCTTCTCTAACTGTCAGCTATGTTAACCACGCCCCTGTTCTCAGTGCCTCCTGCTACTCCCCTCAGCACCTTAGACCGCAGTCTACCATCTATATGACCCCCTCCACAACTGGAATGTGAGGGAAGGACAAGTAGCTCTGTCTTCTCTGTCACATGAATACATTTCTTTCTTTCTTTCTTTTTTTTTTTTTTGAGAGAGAGAGAGAGAGTTTTTAATATTTATTTTTTAGTTCTCGGCGGACACAACATCTTTGTTTGTATGTGGTGCTGAGGATCAAACCAGGGCCGCACGCATGCCAGGCGAGCATGCTACCGCTTGAGCCACATCCCCAGCCCGACATGAATACATTTCTGATGAGGAAAATATTTAAAGTGACACAAGAAAAATATTTCCCTTTTGTTTTGTTTTAGAGCTGGGTATGGAATCCAGGGCTTCATGCATGCTAGGCAAGTGCTACACCCTCAGTCAAATTTACATTTTTAATAACACTTTTAAATTAATCTTAATTTGGTATCCTACGATGCCACAGTATGATGCACTCATATTTAATGAAGTCTTCTGTATCCCCCTTGAATTCTTCACAAAATAACCAGGTGCAGTGGCAGACACCTGATATCTCAGCAACTTGAAGACGAAGACAGGATGATCACAAGTTCAAGGCAGCCAGGGCAACTTAGTAAGACTGTCTCAAAATTTAAAAGGGCAGAGGGCAGTGATACTGGGAACGTATCTGTGTGGCAGAGCCACCGGGTTCAATCCCCAGTCCCCCCCTCCCACTCACAATATCCACATAATAAAGTTGAGGAATTAAATGAGGAATGGTAAAATGCTGACAGTTTGTAGAAACTGGGTGATGGGGTGGTGGGAGTTCACTTTATATTCTACTATTGTACATGTTCAAAATTATCATAATAAAAGATTTTAAAAAGCAAGTCACTTATTTCTCCAAAGAAAATAATGATCTCTATTTCATCTTGGTCATAAACTTTTCAGAAAAAGAATCTAATGACGATTAAATTCACAATTGACATCACCCCAAGTTCACTCTGGTATTTAATGTATGTGTGCTTCACTTGGTTCTCTGTATATATTTTATTTCCTATTTTCTTATTTAACATTTCTCAAAAAGATTTCCAATCTTTGCCCTTCTCATTTTTCTTATCTGTATGGGCAAGGGGTAGATACAATTAAAATAACAAGAACTTTTATATTGGGTATCTCACTATATCCAAGATGTCATGCTGGATACTACCCCAATCTTTCTAGAAAGTTCATACTACATGAATACATTCTTGCTGTCAAAAAATTCTGATACAAAAAAGTCAAAACTCTTCTACGACCATAATCTCCTGAGTCTTCTCCTTCCTAGACTTAACCATAGCTATCAGGTTAGCATATTTTCTTTCCAATCTATGTGAATGTAGAAATGTCAGGCGCACAACCCACCTGCTACCCCCTTTCACACATTTACACCTAAGGGACACCTAAGATGGTGGGAAGGCAAATGCCATGTACAAAGTTCCAATGCAGAAGGGACATCATGAAGCTGAGGAAACAAATGAACACCAGAGTGCCAGGTATAAGGAACCATGGAATAGATCTAAGTCAAAAGGGTGTGGGATGCATGAGGCCATTATCAGGTTCATGTTTTGAGAAGACTGTGCTGGCTGCTACAGTGGTGCCAAAACATGGTGGAAACTCCATAGGTACACATGTATCTGCTGCCTGAGTGGATAAACCAACAGAATCAAATTGTAGCACTGGTGACATGAAGCAGGGAGAAGAACCCAGCACAAATAGCATTTGAAGCAGGGAAGGAGGGTGCAAGAGCTTAGAAGCGTAGAGAAAAGGGCCTAGAGTAAGATTGGAGAATGTCAACATCTAAGGGGCAGGAAAGAAAGGTGAGCCTGCAAAGGGATCCCCCCAGGAAGCAGGACACAAGGAAGGTGAGATGTTACTGAGGCCAGGGAGATGTGTATTTGAAGACAGTACAAGGAACCACATGGATTGCTCCTAAGAAGTCACGTCAGATGTTGAGTACAGTGGCACAGAAAGCTGAGGCAGGGGGATAGCAGGTTCAAAGCCAGCCTCAACAAAAGAGAGGCACTAAGCAACTCAGTGAGACCCTATCTCTAAATAAAATACAAAATAGGGCTGGGGATGTGGCTCAGTGGTCCAGTGTCCCTGAGTTTAATCCCCAGTATTAAAAAAAAAAAAAATCACATAAGATCAATCTAGAAAATCATCTGTTACATTTAACAACATGGAGGTCTCTGGCTTGGTGGAGTAATGAAGGGAGAAGCCAACTGGGGTGGCTTGTCAGATGAGGAGAGGTAGATATGTGGAGAGAGGTATCATCCGACAAATCGGATGTTAAAGAGGAGAAAGAGAAAGCACCAGCAGGAGGGAATTATGGAGGTCAAAGAGAGTCCACAAAGAACCTAGGAATGATATCCACGGGCAAGGCTTTGGCAGCTCTGACCAAGAGACCTGATGCCTTGACCAAAGGACTTCAGTCTCTGGTCTTCCCCACAGGAGTCTCCCTAGAGTGAGAGTAAGTCACCAGACTAGCAAAGCTTTAAACAATACTCATCATTAGCACTGATGGAAGGTGCAGGGCTTTACACATGTGTGATTTAACTTATCTTCATAGTAATCTATGAGAAACACTCTCAGACTGAGTAGAAGAGGGGTTAGGTAACTGTTAAGCCTCTTGTCACCTGGACATACCAGTCAAGGACCAAACCATGCGGCTGGGAGGAGTAGCTCAGTGGTAGAGTGCTTGTGTGAAACCCTGGGTTCAATCCCTAGAAACCCCCAAAAAACCCCAAAAAACAAAACAAACAACAACAACAACAACAAAGAACCAAATGAATAAAAGTCAGAGTTCCTAATCCACTGTCCACAGATCACTCACCTCATCCTCCCCAAGCTGTTTATTGAAAATATAGACCTCTGGGCCTGATCCAGAGCCACTGAATTAGAATTTAGGGTGTGGGGCTTTTCTACAAGTGTCCAAGGTGCATTATGCCCAACAGAACCAAGAACCACTGCAGGAGCCCCAATCCCTCTTGACCAGCATCTGTCCTCCAAATTCATGTTTCCAAGGGTGTGGATTATCACACCTCTTAACTCCGAATCCACCTTCACTGTAATATCCCCACCCTGTAGCTGGTGCCATGCTAAACTCCATCAGTGGAGGGCGCTGGATTTTTTAATTTGTTCTAATTAGTTATACATCAAAGTGGAATGCATTTCTTTTCTTTTTTGGTGGCCAGCAAACTGCAGCACCACTCTATGAGTGGTTCTATCTCAGAGAGTAGTATCTTAATAAGTTTTTTGTCAGCAGGCCACAGACATACACATCCTCTTCAACAAGGCCTATCTCTGAGTGAGGCTTCTTCCTCAGATGCTCTGCATCAACCCTAAAGAGAGTGGCTGCTCCCTCTATTTGTTAATCTTGCATTCTGGAACATTCTCTTTTGCCCTTAGTAGGCAATCCTATTAATCATTCTTTAATCTTTCCCTGTTAAAATCATTGTGTGGAGAATGGGAAATTATACTCCACATATGTCAAATATGTGTCAAATAATATGTAAAAATACATTCTATGTATGTTCTATGTATCCTCTATGTATAACTAAAAATAATTTTAAAAAAAGAAAAAAAAAAAAAAGAAATTGCTGTGTGAGTTCTGTCTCCTGATTGGATCCTGACTGATGTGATGCAGGGAGGAAAGAGCCACACTCATGCGCATAGGAAGACACTCAGGGTATGTTGTGAGATAAACAAAGGCAGGTGACAAAATGGTATGTATTTCATGTACATATACACACTAAAGTGTTGAAAATAATTATCTAGGGTGGGGGGACAATTATGTATGATTCCTTTACACATTTCTGTATTTTAGGTTTGTTTTTTATTTTACAGTGAAAAAATATTACTTCTATTAACAACAACAACAAGAAAAGACATACCTTTTAACTGAATAATTTTTATGAATTAATTAACTGGAGGTGCTGGAAGTTGAACCCAGTGTCTCATGCACTCTACCACTGAGCTATGCTCTCAGCCAAACTTACTAATATTAATATTTTAAAATATGCCAATTAACCAACAGGAGTTTTCTGGCTCAGGTATTACTAGGTTGGCTTCTATTTTCCAACCAGGTACCTGATTTATTTAAAAGTGTCTCAGAGCCCAAGCAATTCCACTTGATAAAGCAGTTACTGGTTGCTCACTGTATACGAGGTTCTTTCTCACTTCCACCTCTTAGGGAACAATATCCTTAACTTTGCTATAATGCACTGAGTTTTCTCACTGCGTCAATCAGTCAATAAGTAAATAAAGAAAGTAGATGCACAGTTCCAGAATTGTATCCGAAACACATCCACACACTCACGTGTCCAACAAACCTTCACTGATGGCCCACTGTAGCCAGGTCCTACTGCAGACCTGGGCTAGTGTGGAGAACTGGACAGGTCGCTCCACCTGTTCACTGCAGGGAGCAGAGGGAGAGGAGCATGTGGGATGTCACCATCTGAACTGAAACTCTGCCCACAGAACAGACAACAGGGGCTCCAAAGACAGCACCTAACATCCAGGCAATAGGCTGTGGAATAACTTACGTACAGTAAAAATAAATCACAAATATATTCCTAGTTGAAAAAGATCATGGCCCACAGAATGGAAATGCAATGGCACCAAAACTGGTGGTCAATATTTATTATCAAAGTGCTCGTTTGTTTATTTACTTTACCTTTTTGTTGTATATGCTGTGGTGTAAGAGGTAAGGAACCTGGAAGTCCATCTTGCTCAGAAATATTGTCATCATCTTCACTGTCCACTTTGTGTGACCATGGTACCTTTTTGTTACAAAAGACATAGGAACAAACATGCAGTAAGTGTTGCCTGTATAAAATGTGCTCCTAACAGACTCAAATGCCTGATTTCATACCTTCCCCACTGCTGCCCTCTTCCCTGAGCAACTAAGCTACTTTTCTTAGTGAGACCAAAAGGGTTACACCTGGTGGGGCTGCATGGGACCTACAAACCCTCATGAAAAATCTGGGTCACAAAGACAATGCCATCCAAATGATGCTCAGGCCATGAGGAGCTTCACAGCCCACCCATGCTGCCCGAGGGCACCTTCCCTTTTTCCTTCCTGCCACGGAACAACGCAGAAAAGGGATTGTGTCTGGACTGCTCTGCACAACACCCAATACCACCCTACCCCATACTGACACTTTGTTATTAATTTCTGTGTGAGACAAGGACTGCTGAGCTGCCTGGGAGAACCCACCCCAGGCAACTATTTAGAATTGAGGTCCACTAAGTTCGCAGATCCAGTGTCATTTCTTGATGAAATGGAACCTTCCCCTCTATTAACACCTATGTAGGTATCATGAATGGTGGCAGGACCACAGAGATGTCCTTTAGAGACCTATGGGCCAGAATGGGCTGTCTTGCAGAGGAGACATTCCCATTGGCAGGGCTCTAGGGGATATGGACAGAGGCCATCCAAAAGGAAATGCAGGGAAGCATATCCCATAGGGTAAACTATGACCAGCACTCTCGAGTCTGCTCCCGATTCTACAGTAAAATCTTGCCTGTGATCAGCTTGGCTTAGTGGTGCTGTGCTAAAGGCATGAGAAGATATCCCCGAGGCTGGTAGGGAGGTGGTGGCAACCTCCAGCAAGGTGCCCCTAAGAGGGGGCATTTCAGAACCAAGAGCCAAAGCGACTAGGTCCACAGGCTCTGTGCACATGGCTCCAAGGTGATCAGCTCAGGAGGAAGGGCAGACAGGTCTCCCAATCTACTCATCATTTGTAGGAAGAAAAAAGAAATGGCCTTTTAGTTTTTATTCCCCAATAATAAACTGCCTTGTTCACCTCATCAAGGATATATTGTCACCCACTTAATTATTAAGGAAATATGAAATTATAAGAGCACTCAAAGAACATCATAAAGCTAGTCTACTAACTAAACTGGCAGTATGAACTCGTACTATGGCTAATCAAACATGCGTCTATGATCATACATATACCACTTGCTCAATGTGTATCCACCAGAAGAATAGACAGAGATATGCTTCAAAGGACACATTGACAATGTTCATAACAGCAATACTTCTAAGAGCCAAAGCTGGAAACAACCAAGCATCATCATCTGAATAAGTAATTGAATGGGATGTACAATGGAATATTAGACAACAATAAGAATGAGCCATCTACAGTGACACACAATAATTGAAGACTCTCCAAGACAAAGAATACAAACTACATGGTTAAATTTATGTAACATACAAAACAGGCTAAATTAAACTCAATTTTTTTTGGTGCTGGGGATTGAGTCCAGTGCCTTGTGCATGTAAAGCATGTATTGTGCCACTGAGCTACACCCCCAGCCTTAACTCAGATTATTTTTAAAGATCTACTCTAATCTGGAGTCAAGACAATAATGAACTCTGGAGAAGGTGAGGATTGAGAAGGGGGACTTCTGGGCTATTTGCTATGTTATTTCTAATTGTGTGCATATGTGTGCACTTCTGGGATTGAATTAGGGTCTCACTAGACTGATGCTCAATCACTAAGCTGTATCTCCAGTCCACCCTCTTTTTTGCTTTTGCCATACTAGGAATTGAACGCAAGGGCACTCCACCACTGAGCTACAGTCCTAGCTCTTTCTATTTTTTATTTTGAAATAGGGTCTCCAGTCCCTTCTTGATTTAAAAAAAAAAAATCTTCATGGTGGCTACTTTATGAAATGTAGTGAGTTGAACACGTATGATTTATGCACTTTTGTGCATTTTTTTTAAAGTTGTAGATGGACACAATATCTCTTATTTATTTATTTATTTATTTAATGTGGTGCTGAGGATCAAACCAGGGCCTCATCTGTGCGAGGCAAGCGCTCAACCACTAAGCTACAAACCCAGCCCCTTTGTGCATATTTAATATAACAATAAATTTTTATTAAAAATATACCTTCATGAAGAATCAAACATATTCTAACAGGATTAACTTAAAACTTAAAAAAATTCCCCAATACTTCTGACTGTGAAAATTCCCTCTGGTAACTAAAACAAAACTTGCTTGGGTATTGAAGGAAAGGCAGGCCCAGCTCTGTCCCAGTGCTCACCCAAACAGCAAAGAATGCCCTCCCTCCTCTGCCTGCAGCCCTTGTCCTGTGCTTCTTCATCCCAGGCACAATGGCACACACCTGCAATCCCATTTACTCAGGAGGCTGCGGCAGGAGAACCATGAGTTCCAGGCCAGCCTGGGCAACTTAGTGAGATGCTGGGTTTTACTGTTTCCAGTGTGACTTTTACCCCTGTACTGGCTACAGTTTTCCTTTTTTTTTTTTTTTTTTTGCTAATTTACTCTTCATATCTTTCTCTTTCTGTGTCTCTTTCTCAGGGTCTTTATGTCAGTCCGAGCTGTTTTTAATTTCTTTTCAGAGTATGCAGGCTAGATAGATGCTGGACATAAAGGTGGGCTCTGCACTAGTGTTTCCTTTTAGAATCTCCTCTATGCTCTCTGCCCTTTGGGAATGACTGTGTTTCCTCTAGGACCCTCTACAACCTTGACCTCACTGCGCCCATCAGAATCTCTATGGACCTTTGTAACTATGACATTGATATTCTGGAGCATCTGCATCCTGCCTGAGGTCTGTGGTGTTTTACAAATTACCAAATTGTTTCAGCTTTCAGCTGCTATGAAGGCTGGCACGAGAGTCCCTTGGCCTCCTTGTGGTCACTAGTGGTACAGGAGGTCCTGGTCTAAAGCAGAAAGGAAGAGGGGAAGGGGAGGTCCCTTTTCAGCAGGCTGCTCTGTTTTTATTTTTCTATTTAGTGTATATATGGACACATTTGAATTTAAGCTTGTCGCCTTATTTTCCTATGTGTTTTATATTTTCCTTTTCTCTATTCTTCTTTTGGGTTGACATCATCTTCAATTGTCCTATTTCTTTCCCTCTTTTCCTTTTGAAATTATATTCTGATTTCATTCTAGTAGTTATCCTAGCAATTATAGCATGTATATCTTTTACTTTTTTTTTTTTTTTTGTGGTGCTGATGATCAAAACCAGGGCTTCACCATGCCAGGCAAGTGCTCTACATCTGAACCTCAGCCCTATGCTTCACATTATTATTATTATTATTATTATTATTGGTAAAAGGGATTGAACTGGGGGACACTCGACCACTAAGCCACATCCCCGGCCCTATTTTGTATTTTATTTAGAGACAGGGTCTCACTGAGTTGCTTAGCACCTTGCTTTTGCTGAGGCTGGCTTTTGAACACAATCCTCCCGCCTCAGCTTTCCAAGTCACTGGGATTAGAATCCTATAATGGCTATAATCCCACCGTGCCTAGTTCACTCTTTTATTTTGATATTTGGGATCGAACCTCATTTCTTTACCACTAAACTACATCCTCACAGTACTAAGGGAGTGACTCAAAGAATATATACAATAAAACCTAGCAGGGGCATAGTGGCAATTACCTGTAATCCCATCTACTTAGAAGGTAGAGGCAGGAGGATCTCAACTTTGAGGCCAGACTCAGCAATTTAGCAAAACCTTGTCTCAAAATGAAAAGGACTGGGAACATAGATCAGTGGTAAGGTGCCCTTGGGTTCAATCCCCAGTACTAGAAATAATAAGGAGGTGGGGCTGTGGAGATGGCTCAGTAGTGTAGAACACTTACCTAGTATGTGCAAGGCCCTGGTTTTACTCCCCTTAAAAAAAAAGCACCAGATATGGTAGTGCTCACCTGTAATCCTAGCTACTCAGGAGGATAAGGCAGGAGGATCAGAATTTCAAGGCCAGCCCAGGCAACTAAGTGAGACCCTGCTCAAAATAAAATAAAAAGGGTTGGGAATGTAGTTTAGTGGTAGAGCACTTGCCTAGCATGTGTGAGGTCTGGGGTTCAATCCCCAGTATGGGGTAAAAAAAAAAAAAATTACACAAAGTGTTGCTGAAAGGGAAAACATGGAGAAGAGAGGGTGCTATAGTTTAGATGTTGGATGATCCCCAAAGGTCCATTAGTGAAATGTTTCATTTCCAAGGTGGAGCCATTGGGATACAGTGGAATATTTAGGAGAGATCTCTTTTTGGGGTGTGTCCCCTAAAGGGATCATGAGACCCTGGCCCTGACCTCTTTTGCTCTGTAGCAATGAGATGAGCAGGTTGCTCCACCACGTTCCATCATTGCCATCCAGCATGCCCACCAGAGGCCTAATCTTGAACTAAAACTAGAACATAAAACAAACCTTTTCCTTTTATAAGTTAATAATCTCAGATATTTTGTTGTAGTGGTGGAAAGCTCACCGACATAAGGAACAAGAATAAGCGATATAGAAGACAAATTAAGGAGATCCAACAAATGTATAACTAGCATTTCCAAAGAAGAAAAGAATGAGTAGATAATTCAAAGGTAAAATAGAGGAAGAAATTTTCTGAAAATAAAAAAGGAAAATGAGATTTATGTGTGCAGAATTAAATTATATACTAAATTTCAAGAAAGAAGGAAAAAATAAATACTGTGATTATTTCTGCTGAAGTTACTAAAGGATAAAGAATGATCCTACTACAAAGGTTATCAGACAGACAGAAAAATTGTTACCTCAAAGGGAAACATTTTTCTGGCTGTAACTCCTTCTCAGCCCTTCACTCTTATTCTTTCAGCAGCTTTCCCAGAAAAGTAGAGGTCCTCTGCTATGTTTTCACCCTGACCAAATGGAATACTGTGACTATGGATTCTGATGTGGGCTCTCTGGCACCTACCAAGATGCCTGCTACTCATTAGATGCTCAATAAACATATGTTGAATTTTTCAACTACCCAAAGACCATTTCCTCCCTGATACAACCCATTATTGGTTGAACAAACTAAGATGCAGAGAGATGATCTGGCTTACCTAAGCCATACGACTGTGAGGCAGAGAAGCTGGGACTTGCTGTGCCCACTGGGCTCTACATTCCCCTGAACTGACCACAAATTAATGCACTCACTTTCCCTTTAGCCTTACTCTTGGGTAGCACCGACAAGAAAACTGCAGAGAATGAGACTTTCCATTGTTAGGCCACTTCTGAGAAGGTGCACAATTCACATGAAGATGTTGGCCCAAACTATCCTGAAACATAGAGAGGCATAAGGAACACTCTTAGAACCAAATTGCCTGATTAGGGGTTGATCTATTTCCTTATCTTAATAGTTTTGACAATTGTTTGCTTTAAAGGAAGTATAAATAACATCATAAAACCACCTACTTTATCACTAGATGCTACTAACCTTAAAGATGATATTGCCTATAAGGGCAAATTTATAAAACTGTTTTCTATATATTTACTATAGATTTTCTGAAATCTGGGATAAACAATTACAGGCAATATCATCTTTAAAGTTAGTAACATCTAGTGATAAAGTAAATGGTTTATATGCTCTATATGTCTATTTTTCAAGGGTGTGTGTGTGTATACTATATAGTGATACATATATACAGTGTATAAATTTATGTATGTATAAATTTGTGTATAAATAATAATGTATACATACATGTATAAATGTATATATAGCATATAAATACACTATATAGTGATATATCTAGTAAATGTGTGTGTGTGTGTGTGTGTCTATATGTAGTATGTGGGTTTATTTGTTTGTTTATTTTTGTGTTGCTAGGGCTGGGACCCAGGCCATCAAACATGCTTAAGAATACATTCTAGGGCTGCAGTCGTGGCTCAGTGGTAAAGCGCTTGTCTGGCATGTGTGAGGGCCTCGGTTCAATCCTTAGCACCACATATAAATAAAGATCTATTGACAACCCCAACCCAAGGGAATATATTTTAATCATATTATAAATTTAGAAATACTTGGTCAATTCCAAAAAGAAGTTTTATGTTGTGGAATTAGTTCTGATAAGTATGAGGGCTATAAATATAAAACTTTCCTTTTTTAAGAATTTTTTTCACAATGCATTTATTTTATTTATTTTTCTGTGGTGCTGAGGATCAAACTCCAGCCCCTATAAATAAAAATTTGAACTGTAAACAGGGGAGACTGGTCACCCTGTGCCTCTGCCAAAGGTGAGTTGGGTGATCATGGGCAAGTCATTTATTCTGTTTCTTTACATACTTAACTCGGGATGGGAAATAAATGATACATGTAAAAAGAAACAAACAAAGATAGTAAATGTAAACTGTCTTGCATATATCAAAAGCTCAGGAAAGGTCAACATAACCTCTGCCCCCCTCACCTTCCTCATGAAAAAAACTAACAAATCTATGGCAAATTGAAATCCCTTTCCGGTTTAAGGCACCTTTCGTTGCTGCTGTGCAGGTTATGATGAGACCTTTCGATGGACATCACTTATTCAAACTCTAGTTCCTATGTTGTACAGGGAAGAGACTTCCTGTTGGCTGGGATGTATAGGAACATGGAGACTGGCATACACACACTGCTGGTAGGAAGGTAAAATAGAGAAGCTGCTTTTAGGACAATTTGGCAATATCTAACTTGGCAATATCTAATTGATGCAGCAGACACAGGTACACATATCAGATATGTGCATGGAAACAACCTAAGTGTTCATCCGTAGGTTAGTAAATAGATAAATCAACAGGGATCGGTCTCAAAACTGCAATGCAATGAAAAAGCAAAGTAGTAGAATAATTGGTACTATAAGATGACCTTATATAATTAAAAAATAAAGCATTATAGTTGTTCACTTGCACTTATTTGTGGTAAAAGAGTAAAAATACAGACTTCTAGAATGTACTCCAAATCCAAGAGATGGGTTTCCAGGGAGTGGAGGTGGGAGACAAAGACAATTTCAACCCTGACTGTAACCTTCTATTTCTTTTATTAAATAAATAAAGAAAAGAAAAAAGCCAGGTGTGTTGGCGCACACCTATAATCTCAGCAACTCAGGGGATGCTGAGGCAGGAGAAGTGTAGTTCTAGGCCAGCCTCAGCAATGTAGGGAAAACCTGTCTCAAAATAAAAAATAAAAAGAGCTGGGGATATAGCACCAATGTTAAAGCACCCCTGGGTTCAATCCCCAGTATAAGAAAAAAAAAAAAAATAGGGGTCTTGAGGGCATGGCTCAGTGCTAGAGTGCACGCTTAGCATGTGCAAGGCATTGAATTTGATCCTCGGCATCAACAAACAAAACAAAAACCTGAGGGGGAAGAATGGAAACACTAATGTATTACATTATTTTCTACTTATCAAATTTTAAAAATAAAATTTCTTGCTACACATGGGTCCTAAAGTCACCATAATAGACTTGCCTAAAAATATACTATTTGTCCGTTGAATAATAAGGCTGCATAAGTTCTATAATTCTTTCTTCTAAGGGAGATGTGGTGACAAACTTCACTGCTGGAGTAGTTAAGTGATATAACTCTGTCTATAACATCAGTATCAAAGAATCAGACAGAAAATGTGTAGATAAAGAGCAATGAACTTCATCTAAGTCTTCTAGAACCCTGCAATGGCACAGCTTGGGGCCCTGAACAGCATCTGCAGGTTCCAGCAATATTCACTATATGGAAATCTACTTTTGCATATTAAAGTCTACATATGTTGGAAAGTGAAAGCTAGTTCATGAAATACTCACATAAGGATTCCTTGAAGTAAGTTCCCTAAGCCCATTTAGAATGTTGTTAATATAGTGTAAGATAACTAATATAACCAATGTAAATACAGCTTGATGCTGTGAGTCTACGTGTGCAGTCACTATGACAATATGCCAGTGTGATGGTGACAAAAGAAAACAGGAAAAAGATTATGGTGCTCTTTTGCCAGTAAAGAAATGGTGCTATTCATTTTCCAAAACCCTGGGAGCACAGTTTAAAACATCAGGATTAGATCACAAGCCCTGGGTTCAATCCCCAGCATCTCAAAAAACAAATATAAATCAGGATTATTAGAGCAGTTGGCCCTTTCAATCTCACTGTACCTTGTCCCCTCCAATGTGAGACAGGGCAATGAACAGAACTCCTCACAGAGTTAGTGGTAGGTCAGCTAAGAAAAATGCATGTCACTACACATGGTAAACAGCAAAGAAGGTCACTACTGTTGAGATGCATGACAATGTTCCTCTCACTGGATGCAAATCTGAAGAAAGGTTGCAAGGTACACACTGATAACTAGAAAAGTGACAGGAGAATTAGCTTTCAAGGTCAGAGGAAAGAGCAGAATTACTAGTTTCTCATTGAAATCAACATTTGTCTTTGAATGACTCAACTTTAAAAGGTAAAGAAAAGAGGTTTAAATTTTAACCTAACCAGATAGAAAAAAGGCTGGACACATTAAACAAATAAAAGCCCCAGAGCAATCAAATGCAGAATAGCGAAAAGAGAATGTTTAGGCCTACTTTGGAATATGGGAATCACCTGATTTTTGTGTGACGTAGCATACACAGCATCACTATGACCTCCTTCTTCTTTCCAGGCACTGCTATTGCCCAGCTCCTTGTCACTGGACGATGCCTGCATTTCAGAGTCCTCTTCATCCCCACAGCCCAGTGTTTCAAAGGATGGTAAAGAAGTTCTTCTTCCCAACTCATTCTGCCATGTCGGTCTGTATTAGAACATTGAATAGTAAATTAAATAAACAACTTCATCCTTGAAATCAAAATACACACATATTAAATGCACTGCCTCCAAATCCCCACCAGAGAAGTACTGTAATACATTACAAATGTATAGAAGCATGAAGATTAAATCATCCACTCTCCCATCTCTTTATATACTCTTGGTATTTATCTTTTTTTCTATTTTTACAGTTATCACTGCCTACATATGTAATTTGTCTTGTTATTAATAATGTTAACAGTCAATATTTTATTGTTTTGTTTTTTGGTACTGGGGATTAAACCCAGGGGTGCTCTATCACTGAGCTACACATCCCTACCCCTTTTTATTTTTTAGTTTAAGACAGGGCCTCACTAAGTTGCTCAGGCTGGCCTTAAATTTGTGATGCTCCTGCCTCAGCTTCCCAAGTCACTGATTATAGGCATGCATGACTATAACTGGCTAACAGTTAACATTTTAAAAGATAAGAATAAGGCTGGGTATGCGTAACTCCCTGAGTTTGATCCCCAGAGCACGTGCCCATGCACACACATATACAGTAAGAATCAAATAGATATCCCAGTTTAGTCAGCAATTCCCCTTCTTCGGTGGGTTTTATTTTTTCCTGATTTTCACTGCAATAAATAACCCCATAATGAACACATATGTGCAAATAACCTCTTCTATTTTAAGAATTAGTTCTAGAAAACAAACCATCATGATAAGTTGCTGAGTCAAATGGATTGAACATTTTGCGTCTGTATAATATAGCACAAAAGTCATTTCACAAAACATTTTCTCAATCTATAACTACATGAGTAAATTTTTTTTTAATTTGCCAAAACAATTTAAATCTCACTAAATACACATTTCTTACCGAGAATAAATATTTTCCATATATTAGTGTTTCAGTCATAATTCTTCTATTGTGAATTAACTACATAAATCCTGTGGTTTACTTCTAGAATGTCCAATCCAGTTTGAAGTTAACTTTTTCATCTAGGAAAATTAAAATCCTGTCTTAATTCTTGTTGTAAATATTTTTCCTATTTATAATTTTATCTTGGCTACATGAATTTTGTTAGCATACAGATTAAAAATACTTTTTTGGCTGGTCACAGTAGCGCACGCCTATAATCCCAGTGACTCAAGAGGATAAAATAAGTTCAAAGCCAGCCTCAGCAACTTAGCAAGGCCCTAAGCAATGTAGAAAGACCCTATCTCAAAATTAAAAAATCAAAAAGGCTGGATAAGCACATAACACATAATTGCTCAGTGATTAAGTGCCCCTAGATTCAACCCCTTTGAGGACTGGGGGAATAACTCAGTGGTAGAGCACTTGTCTAGCATGCACAAGGGACTGGATTTGATCACAGGTATAGCAAAAGCAAAACAAAACTAAATAAAAAATTTTAACCTTTTAAATTCTTAGCTTAGAAGTAAATAGCAGTCATCTCCCTGAGAAGTTTGATAAGACTGGCCACTGGATTTCACGGTCATATTTATGTGTACATACATAATAATCTTTCACTCAATACTTTATTTTGGTGTATGACTCAGACAAGGCTCAAAGCTGATTTGTTTCTGAATATTGTTAATCAATATATTGTGGAATCCTTTCTTCCCCCTTGATCTTTGGAGTAGCCTCTATTAAAGATTTGATATGCTTGTAAACTCAAGGTTCACCTCAGGCATTCAAGACACCTCTCAGACACTGAGTCTAGCACTATGTTCACTACTTTAATAGTACGTTTTAAAATATGATGGGGCTGGGGCTAGGGTTGCGGCTCAGCAGTAGAGCACTCACCTAGCACATGTGGGGCGCTGGGTTCAATCCTCAGCACCACATAAAAATAAAATAAAGGTGTTGTGTCCAACTACAACTAAATCATGATATTTAAAAAAAAATATGATAGGGCTTATCCAGCCCTTCTACAGGGCTAGTATTCTTCCTTTCTAGATTTCTTTCTTTTTTTTTAATATTTTTTATTTGTCAATGGACCTTTATTTTAATTTATCTATATGTGGTGCTGAGAATCAAACCCAGTGCCTCAAACATACTAAGTACGCACCCTACCACTGAGCCACAACCCAGTCCTCTAGATTTCTTTTGATGGTGTTATGTGCTTATCCCTTTCAATTAGTTTTATACCTAAATTCTTATTTTGTCAGTGTAATTTTTACCAGAAGAAAAAATGGCTATATTCAAACATCTCAAAAATAGAGTCAAAATTTTAAAAAAAAATTTTTTTTAGGGCTGGGGTTGTGGCTCAGCAGTAGAGGGCTTGCCTGGCACGTGCAAGACCCTGGGTTCGATTCTCAGCACCACATAAAAATAAATAAATATATAAAGGCATTGTTTACAACTAAAAGAAATAAATATTTTTTAAAAATATATTTTTTTTAGTTGTAGATGGACACAATTCCTTTATTTTATGTATTTATTTTTATGTGGTGCTGAAGATCGAACCCAGTGCCTCACATATGCTAGGTGAGTGTTCTACCACTGAGCCACAACCCCAGCCCTAGAGTCAAGATTAAAATGGAAAAATAAAAACACAACTTAGAAGGAAAAAAAAAAAAAAAAAAAAAATATATATATATATATATATATATAAAATACTATAGTGGAAAATGTCTTTATAAATATAAACATAATGACAGAAACTATAAGGAGGACAACAGATAAATTCTGCTACATTAAAAATACAGAGGGCTGGGACTGTGGCTCAGCAGTAGCGCACTCGCCTGGCATGTGTGAAGCACTGGGTTCGTTTCTCAGCACCACATATAAATAAATAAAATAAAGATCTATCAACAACTAAGAAAAAAATGTTTTTAAAAAATACAGAATATTTGGTGTCAACATACCTTATATATAATCAAGATATGATAAATTATTATATAATGGTGTATTAAGAATTGTAATGCAAAAAATAATAATAATAAAAAAATAGAATATTTGGTATTGCTACATTAAAAATATAGAATATTTGGTATATATATATATATGTGTGTGTGTGTGTGTGTGTGTGTATACATACATACAGGCTAGGGGTATAGTTCAGTGATCAAGTATGTGCATAGTATGAGCAAGACTCTGGGTTTGATCCCCAGAACCAAAAAACAAAACAAAAAATTGTATATATATGACAGTTAAAACGGCAAATTTAAGCCAGGCACAGTGACACATTGCCTGTAATCCCAGTGACTCAGGAGGCTAAGGCAGAGGATATCAAATTTGAGGGCAGCCTCAGCAATTTAGTAAGACCCTAAGCAACCTGGGGAGACCCTGTCTCAAAACAAAAAAATAATAGGGAATGTGAATATAGCTCAGTGGCAAAATACCCCTGGGTTTAGGGCTGGGACTGTAGCTCAGCTGTAGCGCACTTGCCTAGCATGTATGAGGCACTGGGTTGGATTCTCAGCATCATGTATAAATAAATAAAATAAGATCTATCAACAACTAAGAAAAAAATCTAAAAAATACCTCTGGGCTTAATCTCCAGTGTATATATATGCAAATTAGATGTCCTCATTCTCACCCACAAGCCCCAAAAGCCCATCAGTGTCTTTGGTGCTCTTAGGGCACATTCCAACCCTCTGAACAAGATACCAAAGGCCACCCCACTCATCGTCCCCATCACTGGAGCCCTCACAGACACAAACATCTGCCTTCAATTGCTGCCATGTCTCTGGTCCCTGTTTCAGGGTAATTTATGTATGTCCCCAAGTGCTCCCCTCAACCCGCGCTTCCCCCAGAGGAAACCCTCCTGACCTCTCAGCCCTGTGTCAGCTCAAACCCAGCTGATGCAATAAAGAAAAGCTGTTCAAAGGGAAAACAGGCAAAACTTGCATGAGTACTCGGAGGAGAGATTCTGGAGGAATAATGAGAAAACTCTCTCTATTTGGGTTGTAGCACAGAGAATCTTATTCAGGGCTAAAAGCCAACACTAAATCACTGGCCCTGTGCTGTCATTAAAATCACCAGTGCTTTTACAAGTTTAGGGAGACACTTTGGAGAAAATTCTGATTCAAGGGCAATTAATGTCCCTGGACAGTGTCCCACTGACACTAAGGATAAAACCTGACAACTAAGTCTCTTATCATAAATATCATACACACATGTGCATGCCCTCTCCCACACACACACAGTGAAGATGCTGAGCTGCTCCTCTTCTGTCCCCAGCAAAAGCAGAGCCAGCAATACTGTTCCTACCCAAGCCCGTGCTCTGAGCTGGTGGCATAGGGCTGGATGAAGCTGTCCTTTTCCACGATGGAGACCTCACTTTCAGATCGGGATCTCTGGCGAGGCTGGGGAATGGCAACGGTCCGCCCAGTCAGTGTTGTTGCCAGAATGACTGCAGCCAGAGCAGATCTGTGGGTGAAAACATTCCAGTGGGACAGTGAGACAGGGACACTATGGTGTCTAACTGAACACCTATGGCCTACATGCCCATAGCCTGCTATGTACCATCAGACCATCTCGCTTAATTCTCACATCAACTGTATGAAGCAATTATCACCCCATTTTTCAAGCAAATTTAACTTGTAAAGATTTTCTAGCCAATAGCAGGTATAACCAGATCTCTAGTCCTGGAAGTCAGATCCCAAAGCCTATCTTCAAATAGTTTTCTTATTAAAATGAAAGATCAGAATGGAAGAAAAAAGAGATATAAAAATAAAGAAATGATGTAAAGGGATGCTTTTAAAACTCTTGCAAATTATTTAAAAATAGGTTATAGGAAAGATAGAAAAAACAGGTTCAACCTCCTGCCAAAAAAAGCCAAACAAAACAAAAGAACAGAGTCCGAACTGTCCCAGCTTATTGCCTGGGAAAATTTCCAGGTCACACAGCACAGGGAGAAGGAACTGAGGTGGGGCCAGGCAGACTCTCTGAGTTGAGAGATAGAGCTGAGAGTCCATGACACCAAGGCAGACAGAATTTGCAAGACAGAGTATTAGAAAGGAGAGAACTGCACAGAGAGAAACTTAGAGATCTGCAGAAGGTCCCCAAATGTTAAGCAGAATATTCCTCAGCACACATGTGCAAAGAAATGATCCAAGGCTGGAGGAAGAGCCATCCAAAGACATTAGAGGAACAGTGCCAGACGCTTACACAAGGCCTGGGACAGTGCCTGTTCCCACCAGATGGACTGGAAAAACGTATCATTCATGGGACACTGGGTACACAACTCGGAAAGGTCTGGCCTCAGTGGTGGGAAATAGCTAGTCCTACTTGAGCACTGTTCCAGACACTCCCTAACACATCAAACTCAAAAGATTCAACTGTTTCCTAGTAGCTTAACTGTATCCCAGAACAAAAACCAGTAAGATTTATAGGAATATAAAAATTTCAACAAGGTAAAATTCACAATGTGTTGTATTCAAAAAATAACCAGGCACATAAAGTGACAGAACATGATCTCTTATGAACAATCAATTGAAGCCCACTCAGAATTGAACATATATGTGAGAATTGGCAGAAAAGAACATTAAGAGGGCTATTATAACTGTATTCCATATGTTCAAAAAGGAGATGAAATGACAATATCAGAGATGAAAAATACACTGATACAGCAGATTAATCATTGCAGAAGACAAAAGCAACAGGAAATAACCAAAATGAAAAGAAAAAAATTTTTAAAAAGCATCAGTGAGATGTGGATTTTAAAAAATGCTGTTGTTCAATGTTTAAACCACTAAGTTTCGGTGCAGTATGTTACACAGCAAAATACTGATAGGCAGCAGACAGCATGAGCAGTGGGAACATGAAGTTCAGGGGCCAGGACTGGACCGACCACATGCTTTCTCCTAAAAAGCAACTTACCTAAGGCCATTCTGGCCCTACTCTGGCAAGTCAATAGGGTATGTTGCATTCCTCAGCAAACAACCTATTATCTCTCAAGGCTCTTGACTATAAGATTCCTCCCTGCCAATAAGAACATGCTAACTCTGAAGGGTAACCATAAAATCTGTTAAAAACACATTTCATCATTTACTAAAAACAGTCAATTAATTATTTATCAATTAAAACTGGTCAGCACAAACCAAGGTGACCAAGAGTTACCTTTAGGTCTTTATCATATGAATTTTTTATTAATTATTTATTTATTCTGATTTGTTATATATGACGGCAGAATGAAATTCATTTCATCTTACACATATAGAGCACAATTTTTCAAGTCACTGGTTGTACACAAAGTATTTTCACACCATTCACGTCTTCATACATGTACTTAGGGTAATGATGTCTAACTCATTCCACAGACGTTTCCTACCCCCATTTACCTCTTCCCCTCCCTCATCTTCATCCTATCTAAAGTTCCTCCATTCCTCCCATGCTCCCCCACCCCCATCACCATGATGAGTCAGCATCCTCATATCAAAGAAAACATTTGGCTTTTGGTTTTGGGGATTGGCTAACTTCACTTAGTATTATATTCTCTAACTCCATTCATTTACCTGCAAATGCCATGATTTTATTCTCTTTTAATGCTGAGTAATATTCCTATGTATGTGTGTATGTATGTATGTGTATATGTATATGTGTGTATATATATATATATATATATATATATATATATATATATATATATATATATACACACACACACACACACCAAAGTTTCCCTATCCATTCATCAACTGACAGGCATCTGGGTTGGTTCCTCAATTTAGCTATTGTGAACTGTGCTGCTATAAACATTGATGTGGCTGTGTCCCTGTAGTATGCTATTTTTAAATCCTTTGGGTATAAACCAGAGTGGGATAGCTGGATCAATTAGTGGTTCCACTCCAAGTTTTCCAAGGATTCTCCATACTACTTTCCAGATTGGCTGCACTAATTTGCAGTCCCACCAGCAATGTATGAGTGTGCCTTTTCCCCCACATCATCGCCAACACTTGCTGTTTGTATTCTTGATAGCTGCCATTCTGACTGGAGTGAGATGAAATCTTAGTTTTGATTTGCATTTCTCCAATTGCTAGAGATGTTGAACATTTTTTCATATATTTGTTGATTGATTGTATATCCTCTTCTGAGAAGTGTCTATTCAGTTCCTTGGGCCATTTATTGATTGGGTTATTTGGGTTTTTTTTTTTTTTGGTGTTAAGGTTTTTGAGTGCTTTCTATATCCTGGAGATTAGTGCTCTATCTGATGTGCTGTGGTAAAGATTTGCTCCCATTCTGTAGGCTCTCTATTCACCTCACTGATTGTTTCTTTTGCTGAGAAGAAGCTTTTTAGTTTGAATCCATCCCATTTATTGATTCTTGGTTTTAATTCTTGCACTACAGGAGTCTTATTAAGGAAACTGGGGCTAATCTGACATGATGGAGATTTGGGCCTACTTTTTCTTCTATTAGGCACAAGGTCTCTGGTTTAATTCCTACTTCCTTGATCCACTTTGAGTTGAGTTTTGTGCATGATGAGAGACAGAGGTTTAATTTCATTTTGTTACATGTGGATTTCCAGTTTTCCCAGCACCATTTGTTAAAGAGGCTATCTTTTCTCCAATGTATGTTTTTGGTTCCTTTGTTTAATATGAGATAACTGTAATTACGTTAGTTTGTCTCTGTATCCTCTATTTTGTACCACTGGTCTACAGGTCTATTTTGGTGCCAATACCATGCTGTTCTTGTTACTATTGCTCTGCAATATAGTTTAAGGTCTGGAATAATAATGTTACCAGCTCACTCTTCTTGCTGAGGCTATTATGAATATCCATATGCTTTGGCTATTCTGGGTCTCTTGTTTTTCCAGATGAATTTCATGATTGCTTATTCTATTTCATGGAATGTCTTTGGGATTTTGGTTGGGATTGCATTGTATAGCACTTTTGGTAGTATGGTCATTTTGACAATATTAATTCTGCCTATCCAAGAACAAGTAGATCTTTCCATCTTCTAAGGTCTTCTTTAATTTCTTTCTTTAGCGTTCTATAGTTTTCATTGTAGAGGTCTTTCATCAAGTTGGGTTTTTTTTTTTTTTTGAGACTATTGTAAATGGGGTGGTTTCCTAGTTTCTCTTTCTGAGGATTTGTCACTGATGTACAGAAATGCCTTTGATTTTGGACGTTGATTTTATATCCTGCTACTTTGCCGAATTCATTTATTATTTCTAAAAGATTTCTGGTGGAATTTTTTGGGACTTCTAGGTATAGAATCATATCGTTGGCAAATAGTGATAATTTGAGTTCTTCTTTTCCTATCGGTATCCCTTTAATTTCTTTCATCTAATTGCTCTGGCTAAAGTTTCAAGAACTATGTTAAACAGAAGTGGTGAAAGAGGGCATCCCTGTCTTGTTCCAGTTTTTAGAGGGAATGCTTTCAATTTTTCTCCATTTAGAACCATGTTGGCCTGGGGCTAGCATGTGATTTTAATCTCATAATAATAGTAACATTTAAGACCATGTGCAATGGGGACTTAAAAATCTGATGCTATCCTAAGTCAAAAGTTGACAGGTGGTAACCTGGAAACTTCTCCAAGTTTCAGATACTTCCGTAAGATCCCCAATAAAACCAGAGAAAATAATACAAGAGCCAAGAAACAACGTGACCCCTAGATCATCACCATTAACATCAAATGGTGCTGGAAAAAATGAATATCCATATGCAAAAAAGAAAAAAAAATGAACTTGAATTTATATCTTCCTTATATCTTCTATGCCATATACAAAATTTAACTTGAAATGAATCAGAAACCCAAATGGAAAGCCTAAAATCATAAAACTTCTAAAAGAAATATAGGTGAAAACTTTTGTGAATTTAGGCAAAGATTTCTTAGGCATGATACAGAGAATATGATTCATGAAAGAAACAAATTGATAAACTGGACGTCAGAAACACTAAGAAGTTTCAAAGAACTTTTGAAAGTTCTTTGAAAGGCACTGCTAAGAGACTAAAAGGACAATCCACAGACAAGAAAAAACTATTCGCAAATCCTATATTTGGTAAAGAAATTGTAAAATATATATATATTTGAAAAAACCCTCTCATGATGCAATAAGAAAACAACCCAATATTTAAAAATGGGCAAAAGACTTGAATCGATATTTCATTAAAGAAGAAACAGATAAGCATATGAAAAGATGCTCAATGCCATTTATTAGAGAAATGAAAAATAAAACCATGATGATATTACTACTATCATATTATGATATGCTCACAGCTCCTGTAACCCTTGTTATTTCCTAAGTAACTAGAGCAATAAGAACATTTTGTTGTTTAAGAATTTGGTCTTTTGTCCTTGATTCCTGAAGCAACTCCAGAACAGCTTCGGAGCAATAAAGATGAGAGACAGCCCTTCATTATTTACAAGCCCTTCCAAAACACCTCAATACACCTTAGATTAATGAGGTGATTTTTGGCAAATCCCTCAATAACCACAGATGGGAGTTGGTTGCCCGGGGAATAAGCCAGGTGCTCAAAGGGCAGGAACTTTCAGCTCCAAGGAGGGAGAAGGTGACCACCAACAGCCAATCACTTAATCAATCTTGCCTACATAATGAAACTTCCACAAAAACCCAAAAGACTGGTTCAGAGAGCTTGCAGGAAGGTGAACAAGAACACAACAATGTGCTGGTGATTTACCCCAAGTCCATAGGGCAGAAGCTCCTGAGCTAGAGACCCTTCCTGACCTCACTCTATTATCTTTTCATCTATTTACTTGTATCCTCTAAAATATCCTTTATAATATACTGTAAACCTGTTTCTCTGAGTTCTGTAAGCTGCTCTACGAAACAAACCAAATGTAAGAAAGGGTTGTGGAAACCCTGGAAACCCTAGCCAGTAGGTCAGAAACAAGTAAAACGAATTGGACTCTGTGATATCTGAAATGGGGAAGAGGCTAACCTGTGGCATCTGATGATATGGTGTTGACAGAACTGAATTGCCTCTAAGAGCTGCAATACACAACTCAATGGTAGGGGAGAGGAATCCAGCTTTGCTGGCTGCTCCCCTCAAGAGAGGACACTGACAGGCATCCCCTGTCTTGATTAGCTGCTGACATTAAAACAGGCTTAGATCCCACCTACCAGTAGAAATGGAGAAAATCTGGTTTCAATAGAAACATAAATAGAACAGCATCTTTAGAAAATAGTTTAGCAGTTTCTTAAATTAAATGCCCGTCTGTCTCATAACCCAAATATTCCACTCCTAATTACCTAAGAGAAATGAAAGCATGTGTCCAAATATTCATATGCAAATGTTCATAGCAGCTTTATTCTAATAACTAAAAACTAGAAACAGGTGAGTGGATAAACAAATTGTGGTATAAATATACTACTCAGCAATAAAAAGGATGAATTATTGATTTTCACAATAATGTGGAAGCATCTCAAATAATTACAAGTGAAAAAAGACAGCATAATTATTTTATGTAATTCTACTTATATAAAATTCTAGAAAATACAAACTAATCTACAGTGACAGGTTAGTGGTTACCTGTGAGTGGAGGTGGGTTGGGCAGGGGAATGGGAAGAGAGGAACAAGAGAAAGGCATAGCAGAGGGGTTTTAGGAATCTCTTGGGCATCATTATCTTTAATGTTGTAATGGTTTGACAGAGATAAACGTATCTTGAAAATTAGCAAATTATGCATTTTAAATATGTAGTTTACTATACATATTATACCTCAGTAAAATACTTTTAAAAGACAAATAACTGTCTAAAGCAAAAACAGTAGCAATGCACTTTTGGATTTCTACATGTAGAATTAAAATTTTATGAATCCCGCTATTACATATAATTAATGCACTAAGTTTTTTAAAAAAGAGTGGAAATTTACGACAATAGTCACACAAAAGATGGGAAGGAAGAAATAGAAGTAAATTGCCAGAAGGCTTTGCATTAAATATGAAGTGGAATAATAATATTAAAGGTTAATTGAGGTGTCATTAAAAAAATTATTTTTTTGAAATCCAGAAATACGCCTAATTTGCCAAATCCATATCTACTATTTGGGGGTTATAAAGATCATAGCCTAGGAAAATATTTTTGTAAAGCACAGGATACTATGAAATTTTTCTAATAAAACAAGATTTGCCATGAAATAATACATTTTATTTGTTTTTCTGGGGCATAATGGAATGGGAAGCTACTCCCCAGCCCCAGCTACTGCCATGGTTGCATGAAGCCCCAACAATGCAACATAGTTGTTCCCACAAACACTGAAGAGTTGGGCAGAGCCACATCTGCACCACAGCCAGGCCACTCCTCTAGCCAGCCTTGAGATCTGTGCCAGATGCTAATACTCAAGCCTTGCAGGTGACCAAGAGAGATATGACAAACAGGATCCCTCTCATGGGGTTGTTGGGAGGAAGAAATGAGGAGACGCTTCTTCAGTATTTACCAAGGCAGTTGGCACAAAGTAAACACTACTACTATTCATGGTATCCAGACTGTGCTGAAGAAAAAGCAAATGCTAAACATTTCACACTGTTTTTTTTCTCTGGTAGTGGAACCGAACCCAGTGCATGCTAGGCAAGCACTCTACCACTGAGCCCTTCGAAGTTTTTTTTTTTTTTTTTTTTTTTTTAAATCAGGGGTACACAACATTCTAGAACCAAAGAACACTAAAAAGAAGGTACCACCCTGTAATGAAATTAGTTCTTATTCACTGTTAATAACCCAGAAGTCAATGTCTTCTATGGACTAAAAATAGACCCAAACTCTGTCTAAAAGGTACAACGCAGGGGTGTCTTAGGAATGAGAGTCAGGGTAGCTGCTATTTCAGAGCACTGGAGGATAGGGTATGTCAAATTTCAGCAGTGAATGTACTTCTTAAAGAACATAAAGCAGTTCTTTTAAAAGACAGGATTGTTTTTAAAAAGAAAATCAAGTGGCCAGGAGTGGTGGCACATCCCTGCAATCCCGGGACTCAGGAGGCTGAGGCAAAAGGATCACAAGTTCCAGACCAGCCTCATCAATTTAGTGAGGCCTTAGGCAACTTAATGAGGCCCTGTTCCAAATTAAAAAATAAAAAGGTTGATATTTAAAAGAATAAAAATAAAAATAAAAAGGGCTGGGGTTGTGGCTCAGTGGTAGAGCACTTGCCTAGCACGTGTGAGGCACTGGATTCAATTCTCAGCACCGCATATAAATAAATAAAATAAAGGTCCGTTGACAACTAAAAATTTTTTTAAAATAATAAAAAAAAAAGGGTTGGGAATCTATCTCAGTGATTAAGTGCCCCTGGGGTCAATTACTGGTATCATAAAAAGAAAAGAAACTATGTGCACAATTCAAAACTCTTTCTAAAGTACTGTTACCTGGCTGGGATGTAGTTCAATGGTACAGTATGAGCTTAGCACATACAAGGCCCTGAGTTTAAAACCCAGCACCAAAAGAATAAAGGAAGTGCTATTAACCTGAACACTCGGGTTTTAATGCTTTTTAATATTTTAAAAATTTTGGGGGAGGGTACTAGGGATTGAACTCAGGATCACTCAACCACTAAGCTACATCCCAAGCCCTATTTTGTATTTTATTTAGAGATAGGGTCTCAATGAGTTGCTTAGCACCTCGGTTTTGCTGGCTTTGAACTTGATCCTCCTGCCTCAGCCTCCTGAGCTACTGGGATTACAGGCATGTGCCTAGGCACTGGGCTAATGCTTTTTTATTTTGAAAAACACTAATTACATCCAATCATAAAATTTGAGACCATACACCTTACTTGGAGAGACCCTAGGTAAGTTCTTTATCCTCAGAGAAGCCAGATTAAGTTCAGCAATATAGAATTGTGGTAAATATTTCAAAGGATGTGCTTCTAATTACCCTACTTGTGAACTTGTGTGTGTGTGTGTTTTTTAATAGTTCCAGGATCCAGTACTTGGTGCTTAGGATAGGAGTAACCTCAGGGTGTGCTCATCTGAGACTCACCTTGGTCTCTCTGGAGATACATTAGGGCTTCGGGGAGGAGGTGTTCGAGGTACAGCTGGTTTTGGAGCGATGGTGGCTGCAGGGAGGAGGCCAGGGGTGATGTGTTTCTGCACAAATGAAACCCAGCAGAGGTTACTGGGATGGAGTAATCACTGGTCCTGTCACTACCACCACTTCCCATGCCCAGAAGGGGAAACATGCACTGGTCAATGAGGGATCCAGCCCCATCAGGAGCCCCACTCCTGCCCTAGCACTCCCAATCCCCTTCTGGCCATACTAGTGCACCCAGCAGGGGAGCCCACTGTGGGGGTCCTCTTGTCCTTTTCTCCTCACAATAGCTTTCTGGACCATATCCCAGAGTCACTCCTAGCCTCTCTACTTGTTCCATAGTAGTACTCCCAGTGATGTCCCCTGTGCGTCCCCTGCTGTGAAGGGTGACTTCCTAAGAAGAAGGTGACTTTCTTATCTTTAGTAATCCTGGAACTCTAGCACTGAGCACACTGCCCTATATCTGGTAGGAGCTTAATAAATGTTTTAGATGGCTTATCTCAAACACACAGAGTAATGAAAAACACTCCTATATAAAATGAAATTCAGATCCTGCTTTATGTAACAGGGATCCCTCAGAAGTTTCTGGGACTAGCCCAATCTTTATTTTCTGGGCACTAGCTATTCACTCACACCTACGAGCAGGACACCATGCAACATTGAGAAAACCTTGTCTTCGAGGAGGTATAGAGGAAAAACACCCAAATAGTTAATCTAGAACACAGAATTACAGAGTGACAAGCAAGAGGTAAAAACAAAATGCTGAGGTAGCCCAAGGAAGAAAGGGCTCCTTCAGGTCCTGGGGGCCAGCAAGGGGACTTCAAGTGTTCCCCTTGGAGAAAATCACAGAGGCATTTAGACTGGGTCTTCAAAGATGGTCACTGCTCCCACATTTGGAATGTGATGGAAGAGCATTCTGGGCACAGCGTGAGCAGAGGAATGGAGCAAGACACTGGTGATAGTACTCTGCAAATAATGAGTACCCTAGTTTGACAGGTCACAGAGTCACCTGGAAGGCGAAAAGCTACAACAGTGGGCTGGGGGTAACAATGAGGATTATTCCCATTTGCAAGCCTTTGGAACCAGATGAGGATATCCTATGGTCTAGTGAGGAGCACCCTTTGAAAATGGACCCTTCAAAGACTAATCAAATAGTAATAGACACAAAGTACAGGGGAGGAGGAGATGTGCAGCTGGGACAACTCTCAGGAGTGAGGGATGGGCAGACCTAAGGGTCTCCTTGCTACCTTAGTCCCATTTGCAGGGCACTCCCAGGAACAGGTGTTGCAGAGCAGTCTTTGCCACTTCTCTCCACTTTCTTTACCTCTCTTGTATGGTGCATACCACTCTGCATTTGTCATAAAACTTAGTTTACATGTCTGTCTCCTCCCTCACCCCTACCACCACCTGGGAGATATGCAAGGACAAGAAAGGGTTTTCTTCTTAACCTTCAAATCCCCAGGGGCTGGTATCTAGAAGGGCCTCCAAAAAGACCTCAGGATTTTTGTTTTTGTTTCAAAAGAGTAAATCCCTCATAGTATGATGAACATTTCTTACATGTGCCATTATAATCATTTCCCAACTATGGTCCTCTCACCTCTGGTCTCTGAAAGACAAGATGATTCTATCTCTACCCAGCAAGAAAATCCTCATAGACAGCTCCACTCTCTTGATGATATGTAAGTGGTCTAGCACAGCATACGTCTCTATAAGTTGGTTTCTACCAATGGACCTAGATTCATCTTTTGCAATCTTGCCTCATTCCTGCTCATAATCTTTTTTTCTTTTTACCTTTTTTGTGATGCTGGGGATTGAATCCAGAACCTTGCTCATGATAGGCAAATGTTCTGCCACTGAGCTATATAAACAGCTCCCCGCACACATTCTTGCTTTGGCACTCAGAATTTCCTTCCATTTCCCAAAAAGCAAATAATAGATTCTTTTTCAGTTCTTGGTATTTGTTGTCTTCTCCACCCAGAATTCTCTTTCCTTACTACTACCTCCAAGGCTCAGCTCAACTCTCTGGATTCTTAGCTGCCTCTCCAATGGTACAGATCTCTATAGTAGCTTTTATGTTACCATTCTGTGTTGAATTATTTTTGGACTTATCTATCCTATGAATAGTGCAGCTGTCAATCTTTTGTGGTTATCTGCACATAGCAAGAACTCAACAATATATATTGCTTCAAGTAGAAATTCAGTGAACATGCTGGTTTGGGTTAGTAAAATTACAAGGGCTTCAAAGTGGGAGTGGTGGCACACAACTTTTAATCCCAGCAACTCAGGAGACTAAGGCAGGAGGATTACAAATTTGAAGTTGGCCTTGGCAATTTGATGAGGCCCTAGTCATATATATATATATATATATATATATATATATATATATATATATATATATATATATAATATATGTGTGTGTGTGTGTAAAAGGTGAATGCTTCTCAACATCCACCTGTTTAAAATAACTTCAGCTAATAACACAAATTCAAGTGAGACATGCTCTCTGGCCTTATTTTAAAACAGAGTTTAGGAGTGCTCTTGTTACAATGCTTTTTCTGCACTTTAATATTAATTTTGTGGGAAATTCAGTATCAGTAGGTTTGGGTTTGGAACAAGGGAGTTGGTGGTGTTTAAAGAGAGTAATTATAAAGATGACTGGTGGATTTACAGCTGGAAAAGATGATCCCCAGTGTCAGGTGGGTTGAGGTGGCTAAGGGAACAAAGCACCAGGCAACAACCAATCAGACGCCCTCAGACAAGCAGTGATAATCACCTGTCAATCAGCGGGGTCTCCTGACTGATCCTGGAAGGACATGGAGCTCTAAGATCCCCGACCAACCCCAGGAGGACAAGGGACCCTAAAAACCTCCCTTTCCTGTCCCAAGCCCTTCCTTCTTGCCCTAAGCCCGATAAAATTACAATCTGGCTGAGCCCGGTAGCGACTCCCCAGGACCCGTTCTGTTGGACTGGAAGGTCTCGCCAGGGAGCGAATCTCAATAAAATCTTATTCAGCAGCTTTTTAATCTGCCTCCTTTTGGTCACCGGTACCTGACCTTACATCCTCTCATCGAGGATGAGAGGTACCAGTGGGTCATTAAAAGTTGGTAGGATCAGGAACCAGGGGTATAACTCAGTGCTTGCCTACCATAGGCAAATTTATGGGTTGGATCCCCAGCACCGCCAAAACAAATAAACAAAACGCACCGCTGGTAGGACCAATAAATTACAGAAGAGGAGAAAGGAGGTGTCAGAGGATTGTTGGGAGTCAGAATCCTAGAGGAAGTAAGAAAGACAACAGGGGTAGTGAGAGAATGAGACCGGGAATATAAATACACAGTGACAGTGTGGCCACGGGAAGATCTAGAAGGCAGCAATCCAGGTGTGTCTTGGAGCGGGTGGGGGGATGGGGGTGGATCTGTGAGTGCTGGGGAAACGGGGTGCCGGGGGGGGGGGGGGGGAGAGTCCAGAGGCTGCAGTGGCATGATCAGATTGGTGTTTTAAAATATTTCCTTTGGCTTCTATGTGGAGAACGGACCTCGGGGAAGAGCAAGGGTGAAAGCAGAGAAACTTGTGATGAGCTGTTTAGGAAGCAGACCAGGTATTTGGTGGGTAGAATCGATGGGATTTGCTGATGGGTACGTGGTGGGTGATGGAGGGAGAAATCAAGAAGGACTCCCCAGCGGGGATATCCAGCAGAGGGGCATCTTGTAGCAGGCAGGAGCGAACTCCCCAGTACCGAAGCGAATGTTGCAGGGAAGACAGTGATTCCTGTCTGTCTGCGGCGGATTCTGTGGTCGATGATTCTTTAGACCTGACTAATTAGGGCCTCTCGAACTAAAAACCACTTCCCCCGGTGCCGCCGCCTTGTCTCAATCTCAGGCCAAATACCAAACCTTCCCTAGAAACTCTCCCTCCTTAACTCCCGGCCGCACAGACAAAAGCGTAGGACGCAGGGCCTGAATCTACTTACGAACTGGCTCTTGCGGCTTCTCCGAAATCCCCGGAGCATCCTTGCTGCAGGGGCTGGCCAGGCCCGGGGCTGGATTTACAAGCATAGATCCCCAAAGCTGGGGACTCCTCTTTAAAATCGGTCTCGCTCCCAAGGGCCTAATTCCAGACGCTTTTTCTTCCCTAAAGGACTTCGAAACAACCACACCTGCCATTGGCTGTGTTTGGTCTTTGACCAATCAGAGCCAAGGTTACTTCCACCTCCGTCGCTCTTGGCAACTAGCGGGTCCCGTTTAAATAGCCACCAGTGAGGAAGCGGTCCGCGCTTTCAGCTCTCTTATTGGTCATCTCAGGTGCTCGTCTCTGATACCATAGCCTATCTGGCACTGTGGAAGGCCGAAGGCGGGTAGAATGAAAAACTAGGCGAGCCCGGCGGGTTGACATCCGGAAGTGGGGCGGCCTCGGGTAATGTTTCGGGAACCTCTGGACCGGGGCGAAAGTGGGGTCCTAATTCCGGACTGGACTGAGCTGAGGCACCAGGGCCCAGGCAGGTGCTGAAAATGAGGTGCTCACGAGGGCAGAAATCTCCGGGTTCTTAAGACTTTGAGAGACCAAGAGGCCCCTAGCTTCATAGTGGAATGGGGGACCCTGTGCGCGAGAGTTTGCCCTAGTGTCGTCTTGCGTTTCCCACTTTAGGTCCAGACCACCGATGGAAAAGAATCTCCCTGGAGGAACAGGCCCCGTGCACGTGCCCTTTGGGCATATTGTAGCTAATGAGAAGTGGCGCGGGTCTCAGCTGGCGCAGGGGATGCAAGGTCGGTGGGCAGCTTGTCAAATGTCCTTTCCTTCCTCCGCGCATTAAAAAAAAAAAAAAAAATTACATATTGCCGCCTTTTTATCCAAAGTTCACAGAACTCATTTTGTTTCCGTGTTTTAAGGGAAAATTAAACTCGTCTTTGAGGATGGACTGACACCAGTAGATTTTTACCTGTCCAGCAGATCCTGCATTCTTTATGTTACTGAAGCTGATTTGGTGGCAGGAAATGGCTACAGAAAAAGACTTGTTCGAGTTAGAAATGTAAGTACTGAATTAAAAGAAACTGAAATTGAACATTGACTCTCTCTATCCCTTGGAACAATTTACGTGTTATACTATGGGCCAGTTTAAGCACCTTCTAGCTTTGTTTTTGTTTATTTATTGGTGCATTATAATTATACAAGGTAGTAGAATTTGTTGTTATATATTTGTATATATGCTGTCAATTGTATATATGCATAACTGTCAATTTCGTTTTCTGTACTGCCCATTACCCTTCCCTCCCACTTCTCCCAGGTCCTCCTTTTTGCTTTCTTAACTTTGAAAGGGATTTTTGTTACAAAATGATTTACTGTCTTTTCTTTGAAGTCTGGAAACCTTCAAGGGATTGTAGTAGTTGAAAAAACACGGATAAATGAACAGTACTTCCCAGCCATCCAGAAGTTTACTGTGCTGGACCTAGGGATGGTGTTACTTCCAGTGGCCAACCAGATAGAAGCATCCTGCCTCATTGTTCAGTTAGTAAGTACCGATTTCCTCCTTCACAATAGCCCTGTCCTCATTAAGATTCTCAACTGACCTTTATGAATCCTTTCTTGACGCTGGCATCTGTCTTTGCCATAGTTGCAACCCATGAATCCAATGTCTTTCCTTGTGTTGATTTATCAAAACTTGAGAAGTTGAAGTAAGGAAGTTTATAATATACTGTGTGTTCATCTACAACTAAATAAATATTTAAAAGAAAAAAAAATTGGTTCTCCATTGTCTTCACTGATTTTTCCATTGGATTGTTCATTAGTATCTTCTGGAACTTTTTAAAAAGTTTAGGGCTGGGAATATAGCTCAGTGGTGGAGCAATCCCCAGACTGGGGGGAAAAAAAATTGATACATGGACCTCAACTGTGACCAATTAAAAATTAGAACATGGGGGTAGGGCCTGAATGTCAATTTTGTGTATGTTTTTTAAGTCCTGCCTCCGATTTGCAGCTAGGGTTGAAAACCAAATTGGAAATGCAAGTGACACTATGTGGTTCCTGGATTCCTCTCCACTACACCACTTTCTTCACTGTTCCTAACTTCCCATGATTATGATGCTATTATCTGCCTTGGGAAAACTCCAGTAACTAAAGGCTAAATTTCTCCTTTGAAAGGCAAGCTTGATAGGTTGTTTGAAGTAGATCTTATTTAGATGTAGCCATCATTTAACCTAGCACAAAATTCAAGTTTTGCTAAGTGTGGTCATATGGTCTATCTTTTAATAATTTCACTAATGTCTGAAAATTTATATTCATGGTGTATAAAAACATTTAAACCCATGAGTCAAGGTGAACCAAATGGAAAACTATTTTTTAAAAACTGCTGGTCCTCTAGAGGGCACTCATGTGTTTTTCCCTTAATTTCTGGTTCAGGTACAAGAGCAATCCAAAGAACCCAGTAAGAACCCTTTCCTCAAGAAGAAACGGGCTCTACTGTCTGAGCCATACCTTCTTCGAACTGTGCAGCAGATCCCAGGAGTTGGAAAAGTTAAAGCTTCCCTTCTGCTTCAGAAGTTCCCAAATATCCATGAATTGAGTAACGCTTCTGTTCAAGAACTTGAGCTGGTAGTAGGACAAGTGGTAGCACAGCAAATCCACACCTTCTTCACCCAGTCCAGGTGACAGCTGCCCTCACATCTATTGTTTTCACCTTTGACCATGAACTACAGGATCTGGTTTTCATATTCAAAAAACAAGAAAAAAGCCAGGTGCAGTGGCACACACCTCTAATCCCAGTGGCTGGGGAGGCTGAGATAGGAAGATCGCAAGTTCAAAGCCAGCCTCAGCAGTGTACCAAGATGCTATCTCAAAGTTTAAAAAGGGCTGGGATTGTGTCTCAGTGGTTAAGTGTCCCTGGGTTCAATACCTGGTATTAAAACACACACACACACACACACTCAAAACAAAACAAAAATAGAGAATCTTACAGCATCTAGTGAAAGCTGAGGTAGGCCTTGATGGAGCCTGTGGTTATGCTGCTTTGCTGTCAAGTTTGAAAATTTAAGTTACCCTCAGGTGGCAATGCCCTCATTCTGCTAAGTTGGGGGGAAAGATAGCTCAAATCTTCCTAAGAGAGTCAGGGACTCTCAGTAAAAAGACAGGACAGATTTTTATGAGTGACCCTGACCTGCATCTGTCATGGAAAAGACTTTCAGGTGGTGGATGTATCCATCAAAAGGAAACTAATGCACAATGAAGCCCTGTGTATCGTAAGCCCCTTCCTTCTTGGACTCAGAGGTGCTGTTCTTCAGGTCTCGTCTGCCAGTGTAAATAAACAAGTGCACAACAGCTCCTTTCATGGTTCCTTTGTTCCTTCATTTTCTCCTTCCTTTTTTTGGCAGAGGGAGGGTGGCCAGTTTATAATCACTGGACAAGTGTTCTGAACACAGAAAGCCTAGAGTGTGAAATTCCCCATTTATAGATGAGAAGTTAATGTATGTAAGTAAGAAAAGAATGTGTTTATAGATGAATGCCCAACAGTGGGGGGGATACACAAGAAAACAGAAGCAGCTGCATCTAGTGAGGAGAGTCAGGGCTGTGGAGCAAAAGTTATAACTACCATTCAAAACACAATTAAGAACACCATATGTTTTAAAAGTTATTAAATAACCAGTTTTATGAATTGTTAGTAATTTTTAAAAATCAAACACATGGGCTGGGGTTGTGGCTCAATGGTGGCGTGTTTGCCTAGCATGTGTGAGTCACTGGGTTCAATTCTCAGCACTACATATAAATAAATAAAGATCCATCAATAACTAATAGAAATTAAAAAAAAAAAAATTGTGTATGAGGTTAATGAAAACTTGAAAGAAGGAATTAAAGTAAAATAAAAGCAAAAAAACTCAGATAAATGAAGGTGTTTATTTAAATATTTATACAAACATGGCCCTAATAGCAGTAGATATACTTTCCCAAAGGTGGTTGCTTCCTTAAAGATATTGCACAATAGAAAATACTTGTTAATTCTCACATTAAATTTCAGCTATACTTTAAAAGCTATGTCATTTGTATGTCAACCATGAATCTTTAATTAGAGTCACAGTGTCATCCAAGTTACAGCCAAAGAAATCAAATTGGTAAGAATGTTCATTTAAAAAGTCAAATAGAACTTTAAACCTGAATCATTTACATCTTTACCTTACAAAATATAAAAACTACTTTTTTAACCAAGACTCTAAAAATATATAGTTATGTACTTTCTACTTTAAACAAAATGAAAAATAAAGTTTTGAGTATCAAACAGTATATTATCTACCCTGTAGACAGCATCTCCATCTAACACTGCCACTGTGTTAGCAACTTATAAATGGTCGGACTAGAGGAAAAGGTGCTCCTAAATTATTTTTATTTTATGTTTTATTTTTAGCAGTTCTGGGCTAACCCAGGGCTCTGAGTTGGGTTCAATCCCCAGGACTGCAAAAAAAAAAAAAAGTCAAAACAAATTTGGCACTAGACTTTATCTGGAAATAGCGTTCATATTATGTAGAAATAATAGTAAAATCTTATCACGTTAGTAAGTTCCCATGAGGAAGCAGTTCTTTGGAGCAGTTTCTAGTAACAAATTTCATTCTGTCATAGTCCTCCGACCTGCCTTAACTCAAGGGTCCTCTGAACTCTAGGTTAAGGAATGAGTATTATCCAAACTTTAACACTTACAAATAGTTCTATTTTTATAGGAAACCCCAATTTAACTCAGCGCCTGAAATTTATAACTGTAACCACTGAAAACAGCCATAATATCCATACTATTCTATTTACAATATTTTATAGAATAAATATCTTGCAGCAATATAGTGACATTCCTCAAATAAGCATATTTTCCACAAATTTCTAGAGGTTTCTTGTTACTTTCTTAAAAGCATGTCAAATACAAGTTTACACTGTGACAAAATGGGATTTGAGAATATTTGGATATTTTCCATATGGCACAAATTTTAAGGCCTAGTTAGCCCTAGAAACATTTGGGGCCTGAACATTTCTGTTTCCTCCCATTAGTATAAAGAGCTATCAGTGTTGAGCAGGCTGAAAGGAGTGGGGAACTTCTTCTTGATGTGAGGTCTTGCCACCCCAACTGCAGGGAGGCACAAGGTGCTGGCCGACTTCTGTCTGTTCTTATTGGTGCCCCAACTCAAAAAGGAAAGTTTTTTCGAGACTTTCTTGGTTTTATCACTTTTATCATCATCCTCTATGGCTAAGCAGATCATGGAATAAGTTTTCTGCATTCCCACAGAGTACGTGGCACTCTTATTATGCTGCACATAGAAAAGGAAGGAAAAAAGATGTCAGACATCTTCAAGATACTTAGTAAATTATTATAAAGTTTGAGACAGTCTGCACTTAGCCTCTTCAAGCTGATTAACTCTGAAACATGGGTGACCAGTGTTTACATAGAATTTGACCCTTGAAAGCAAGGACAATTTTTAAGAAATATACTCAGTAGTAGTAATTTAGGCTTGGGAACCATTTCTCACTTTTTAAGGTTCTTATTTTGAGAAAGTAAAATAACCACGGTAAACAATAGGAAAATACAGTAGGTCTTCCTCTGGTTTCCAGGCCCTCCCTCCAAGGTAACTACTGTGTTATACTTCTAGAGATAATGTGCATATGTGTGCATAAGTATACTTCACCATTTGTCTTCTTAAAAGGAATACACACTATACTGCACCCTGCTTTTTTCAATTAACAGAACTTAGATTTCAATCCATGCCAGCAGATGTAGATCAGTTTCATTGTCTTTAAGGACAATATAGAATCCATCATGAAGACACTGCTATTAACTTTTCTCCCCTTTAAAAAAAAAAAAACTGTAACCAGATGTGGTGCACACCTGTAATCTCTGCAACTTGGGAGGCTCAAGCAGGAGGACCACAAGTTCAAGGCCAGCCTCAGCAACTTAAGGAGACTGTCTCAAAAAATAAAAATAAAAAACTGCTGTGGATGTAGCTCAGTGGTAAAAATGCCCCTGGGTTCAATCCCAGTACAAAAGAAAAGAAAAAGTGCTAAAAAATAACAGAATTTACCATTTTAACCATATTTAAATGTACGCAAAATTCAGTGGTATTAAATATATTCACACTATTGTACAATCATTGCCATATCCCTAGAATTTTTTTCATCTTCCCCAATTGAAACTGTACCAATTAAACATTAACTTGGAACAAATTAAGTGGGGTTCAAGTAGGAAATCTAAGGAAACTTGTTTTCTAAACCACCTGCTTCTAAAGTTGGCCTAACATTTGAGATGGCTTCATTCACTAAATGTTTACTGAACATATACTATGTTCTAGGCACAAAAATCAGGCCATTTACAGAAACATACATACATACATACAACATATCTATAGTGGCTGGGTACATTGTTCATAATATACATCTAAGGAGGAATCTGAGTTAGGCACAAAACCAAGTAGTGGTATTTACTGTTATTCCCCTTAAGAATTTGGTTTCTTGGGATGAAGATTCTTCTCTCTTTTCTATAAAACTAAGCATTAATCCTACCATGCTTTATAGGGCACACTCTATCATTAAAAACAATAATGAAATAGCCAGGTGTGGTAGCACACACCTGTAATCCCAGCTACTTATGAGGCTGAGGCAGGAGGATCACAAGTTCAAGGCCAACCTCAGCAACTTAGCAAGATCCTGTCTCAAAATAAAAAATTAAAGGGGCTACGGTTGTAGTTCAGCAGGAGAGTGCCTCTGGGTCCAATTTCCAGTACCAAAAAAACCCAGAACAAAACAATAATGAAACCAACATTCTAGAGGCACGTTTGAAAGCTGAAAACAGTTTCCACCCTTAACCTGCTCAGTCTGCCATGCATCAGGATAGCCACTCTTACAAACACCCTCAGTTCTCTTCCATCCTCTCTGGCCAACTCCAGTTAAACTCTTCTTCCCCAAGGCCAGCATGCAAACAGCTGCGCTGCTGGACACATTTACCAAGGAGCTTGGCTTCCTGACACCAAACCTCTGAATAGCTGCCTGCTCACCTGGCACCCCTGTCTTTCCCAAGTCATGTCAATCCTTTTTTCCTAGATACCTGCCATGCCCTCTCTTCTCTCCTCAATTCACTCACATTTTCTCCTGATAGCCTTGCTTATAATTAATTGCATCGGTCCCCAAAGAACAAGCCCTCCTCTGTGCCTGGATTCCACTCCCTCTCTCCTGCAAGATCCATCCTTCCTGCCTTCCTGCCTCGCAGACCTTTCCCCTCTGTGCACAGCTTGCTCTGCTATCTCTGCATGCATGTGTGCACACGCACACCCCACATTCTTTGAAAAGCCTTCCTTGACCCTATTCCCCTCCGAGGACCACCCTAGTATCTCTCTACTCCATTTCACAGGTCATTCCTTCCTCTCACTATTTTCCCCCCTGTTCTCATCCAGCCAGCATGCTCCCCAACACCCACTCCTCAAGTCTTTCTGGGGCACCTCCCTGGAACACGTAGGGTTTTTCAGAACACATCTGAAACCACTGTACTGATCTAACTCCTATATTTTTTAGATGAGAAAAAATGAGGCCCAGGGAGTACATTAACCCACTGAAGGTCACACAGGTTGTTGATGACAGTCAGGGTCTGATTCCAAGTCTTGATTTCATTTCAGCCTTGGATTCTTTCCATTTTTTTTTTTTTTTTAAAGAAATGAGCTCTTGAGCTACACAAAGACTTTGGTTAATCTTTTCTCTTTTTAAAAAAATTATTTTTAGTTGTAGATGGACACAACACCTTTATTTATTTGTTTGTTTGTTTATTTATATGTGGTGCAGAGTATTGAACCCAGTGCCTCACACGTGCTAAGCAAGTGCTCTACCACTGAGCCACAACCCCGGCCTGGATTCTTTCCACCATTATCAGTAGTTTTCACTATGCATACCATGGAAGAGCACTAGGGATTCCAACGTAATCAAGAGAGCGTGGGTAACAGGCAATCAATTCTGCCAGAGCACTGTGCTTTATTTATTCTCACCTTTTGGTTTTGCTTGAAAGAAAGGCAGTTCAAACAGTGTTCAAAGCCATGTGTGTAATCCAGGCACATGCTTGTAATCCCAGCTACTCTGGATACTGAAGTAAAAGGATTGCAAATTTGGGGCCAGTCTGGGAAATTAGTGAGACTCTATCTCAAAACAAAAAGGGCTGGGGATGTAGCTCAGTGGCACAGCACCTCTGGGTTCAATACCCAGTACTGGAAGGTAGGGATAGGAGAGAATGTAGCTTGGCGGTAGAGCACCTATAAGTTCAATCCCCAGTACGGCCTCCTCTCCCCCCCAAAAAAACAAAAACAGTGCTCAACTGT